GCGGGGCGACCTCCACGAGCTCGATCACGGCGTGTGTCGGGTAGGTATAGGTGTAGGGCTGGCGGAGGTAGAGGGAGGGCGGAGGGTGGGTGCTGGTGCTGGGGGATTTGCATTCCTGTTGTGGTGGGGGGAGGTAGGTGTGTGGGGCGTAGGTGTGTGGGTGGGAGGTGTAGACGGGTTGTTGTTGTTGGTGGTGGTGGTGGGGCATGGGCGGGACGAGGTCGAACATCTTGGTGGTGGTGGTGGTGGTTGGGTTAATGGTGGCGATGGCGGCGGCGAGTGGCACCTCAAGTAGCGGTGGACGAGGTGCGGCGGCGGCGGCGGTGGGTGGGAGCGGTGTTGGCGCTGGTGGTAGCAGCGCGGGTGGTGATAATCAGGGTGCAGTTGAACCTGGTGGGGATGAGGGGAAGCGTCAACACCACGCAAATAAAGGGAAAAGGGAGAGGGGGAGCGATCAACCCATCTACATCGGGACCAGTGCGTTAAGTAGCATCGCATCCATCGCATACCCTGTCACCTACCCAAATAAATTTAATACGACCTGTCACCCTTACCCCTTACTCACGCTCGGTAAATTACACACAAAGAAAGAACAGCGTTACCCACAATCCCACAGTCCCACATACCGGCGCGCCCACGAAAGGTCCCATACCAAGAAGAGAACACCAGTTATTTTTTCTCCATCGTACCGTAATCGCATCGCATCGCATCTTCCGATCCCCTCTGTCCAAGTTCTTTCCCTAGCTTCCTTTCCCTAAGCCCTTCCTTCCTTCCTTCCTTCCTTCCTTCCTTCCCCCTCCCCCCAAGTCCTTCCCTAAGCCCTACCTTCTCAGCCCACGCCCACGCCCACACCCACACCCATGATCACACCGAACAACGAACGGGCCTAAGCAGCGAGATCCCATCCCCGATCCCCGATCCACCATCCTCCTTCCCCTTTCCCCTTCCAGCCGAGTGGGAAAGCGATCGGTGGACCTGCCTTATCGAGTCGAGCGAGGCAGGAGATCTATCGGGCTCTGGGACTCTGGGACTCTGGAGAGAGAGAGGGGACGCCAAGCCGTGGCTGGGGTGAGACGGGGAGGGTGGGAAGTGCACTGGGACTTGGGACCTCCCGGTCCCAAGGGGGTCGAGAGGGCGGACCAGCACGTGCAAAGAGGTGGGAAGGGAGCGCTTGATTTGGAGGGTGGAGGTCGTCGAGCAAGAGCGAGAGTCTGAGCCGACGCACAGTGGCGACAGCCCAGACTCGAGACTCGCCGCTCGAGGAGAGGAAGCGCAGTGATCACAATACAACCCACTTCATCTCATACTATCAGTATCACCCACTACACCATCTCAAGCCACACCCACCGTCTCAGACCATCCGTTTATCGCCACCTGATGCATACCTCCCATCCCAATACTACCAACACCCTTCATTCAGCACCGTTGTCAGCATCCAACACGCCCCAAAAATTCCCCGCGTCGAAAGTTGTTCCCACCGAACCTCCACAACCCCGTATGTCCTCATTCTTGTTTCCCTCTTTCCTTGATCCCTTCCTTTCCTTTCCTTGATCCTGTCGAACCGCGTCTCCCATTCCGGTCTCCCATTCCGGTCTCCCAAGTCGACGTCCTTTGTCCAGTCAGTCAGTCGCATGCGCTCCGGGCCCTGCAGAACCCTACGCCTCCCCCTCAGGGTTTTTTCCAACTCAAACGGCCTTTCATCTTTCAAATTTTTGCCCTTTCAAAATTTTGCCCTTTCAAATGCCCTTTCAAACGCCCTTTCAGACGTCAGACCGTCAGCCCGCGCTTCGCTCCCCTCCAACATGCCCGTGCCCGTGCCCGTCCATCGATCCGACAATCCCTGCGCTTCCGCATTATGTAAATTTACCTACCGTGCATCGTGCATCGTGCATCATGTCCGCATATTCCTTGGTTCATACCCCCTGCAAGCCCTTTGTTCGAATTCGAACAGGTTCGGATGCGCCGTGTCTTCGCACACACACACCCAGATCGAGAGAATCCCACCTATCGATATCGCTTTCGCTGGATTGACATGTCGATGTCGATGGCGATGGCGATGGCGATGGGCAATCTTGGTTCTCCAGGCGAGGTCGTGGCACCAGCAAGCAAGCCAGCAAGCCGACGTTTTCGTCCGTCCGTTCGCGCCTTCGTCCTTTCTTTCAACTTGCGACTCGGGAATCGAGCTTGTCACGCCCACTGCGCCGCTGCGCCGTCAAGCTTGAAGGTTTGAAGGATATGATCATGACCGTTGGATGCTCGGAAGTCGCCCTGCCAATAGTAATCATTCAGGTTGTATATACTCGTCTATCCTCTCTCCCAGGGACCAAGAACCAAGAATCAAGAGCGAGGACTTTTCCTTGACTTTTTTCTTTCGCTCCTTACACAAGTCTGTTCGCGTTGTCCTCAGGTCCTGAAAACCTACAGACCCCTGCACTGGCGTTCACGTCAGGCAAGCCAGCACGGTTTTCTAAATCCCCATCGGTGAATTATCTGAAGTTTGAACGTCCATCACACCCTTAGCTTAGCCAGCCAACCTAATTTCGCCCACAGACTTGGTAAGTACAGCAGACCCTTACCTTGTCTTTTTATAACCTTTTTTTTCATCGTGTCTTCCCATCTCCTGCCGGCCTGCAGGCATCCCACTGCATCCCATCGTCCGGCATTCAAACTCAAACCCTTCTCGCTGATATCATCGCACAGCCGACAAGCGAAAAACCCAGAAGCCGCGCTGCAGCCTGCAGGGCCGCAGGCGCCTGTGTGGAGGATGATTCAGACGCAAGTCCAAGCGTCCTGGTCAGTCGGTCTTCATCATGCTGCATGCGCAGGTGCGCAGGATGCGCCAATCATGAAGGTCCAAATCGGCCCCTGAGGTCCTATGTTGGTCCTAAGTATCTCATTCGCAAAGGCCCACTCGCTTGAAGCCCACTCTGAGGCCTTGAGGCCTGCTTCGCCCGCGAAGGACCACTTTGACTTGAATAAATAAAACAAACACAAACGAAACAGTTGTATGTATTCTATTCGCTTCAGGCTCAGGCCTGCGGGGAAGAGCTGCAGCACAACGCGACATCCACGATGCATAGGATCGTAGGAAGACGTAGCAGGATCGTTGGGTAGAAGACGTAGCAGGATTTGGTAGCACATGCGCACGGACACGGACACGGACACGCGAGCCGGACCCTACGTCTAAGTATGTACGCAGCCACGACCCAACACCCACACGCGAGTTCTGGGCTGATACGCTAAGCTATGTACTCGCGCCAGCCAGTGAGCGACTTTTCTCCCTGCTCTTCTCGATATCGCCGACATCGCCGACACCAACTGACATCGACATCGTGTCCAATTACTCTCCAAATCCTCAGGGTTTCCTTCCTCATTCTCCGCGAATGAAACCAAAACTACTCTCATTCATAATTTCAATAGCTGCCGTCTGTCCGCTTAGCGCGCTTAACTCTGTGCTTGAGAGTTGGGATAAAACTATTTGGAAACCCCTTTCTAGTAGAAACCCAGGGTTCCCAAATAACTTATTCGGAAACCCGGTTTCTCGAGTATGAGTGTTCGTGCCTGTCCGGTGATGTCAACCAAATATGGCACCGTGCGCCGTCCATGGCGTCGTCGGCTTTTCCCAAGTCGACGTTGTATGAGCTATTACTGCCCTTCCCTCTAGCTTTTACACCCTGATTTAGCCAAATAAAACAAGGCTGGTAGATATTTTGAGTTTAAAGTGTGAGACACACGGGGCGCAATTGGTTTGGGAAGCATTCATGAGGCGAGGCGGGCATTATTTGCAACGTCGGCACAGGAGGACTTGATAGATGATAAAGGGATGACGAGCAACACCATCACACATTGCTTGCGCTGATGCTTCATTAATCTGTACAAAGAGTCTGTATCTCCGTAGATCTCTGAACGCTCAGAGAGTGAAGACTCAAGTTGACAAGTCGTCTCCCAAGCCGCGAAGAAATTATCTAAGTCCACCACGATGAAAGATCAATCGATCAGGCAGTATATATATTGCAACGTTCAGACGAACATAACAGAGGACTATTTAAGAAATTATCATGTAGAACGCTCAGAAAAGTGCACTCATCCTGCTGTCTTGCGAGCGCAAAGCGGGCACCGGACACTAATATCAAGACATCGCTCAGATTCGCTCTCACCTCAGCGCATCCTCCCAGTGAAGTCTGCCTGCAACATTCAGGGATTCCGAGAACCTGTTCTGTTTTAACTGCTTTTATTGAGCTGAGCTGAAGGTTCTCGCCTTCCGTAGGCTCAATGCATTTGCATAAGTAATGGACGCCGGCGTCAAAAGGCGCTTGGGGCGCTTCTTAGCGCCTCCCAGATCGCCGGCGTCGCCTCCGGAAAGGCAAATATGCACAAGCTTTTGATGAAAGGACAAATGTGGGGGGTTTCTACATCAATGACGAGAAACCCAGGGTTTCCGTGGAAAGGGGGGTTTCCAAATAGTTTTATCCAGAGAGTTGGATGAGTAAAAAGGTACAGGCGCGGGAAGGCTCGAGAGGGCGTGCGTGCGTACCTAAATTCCCTTGTCCTTGTTCTTTTCGGTGCACACGTCGCCCTGGCTTTGTTCTCCGAATATTCCTTGTTTATATATCACCAATTTCACACCGACATGCAGCACGTACGTCGTAGGCGACGGCGGGAGCGTACCCCGAGCGTTGAACCTTTGTTCTCGGAACATTCTTGGAATTCCTCACGTTGTTTTTCTCATCGAGGTGAAAGGTGCGTATTCGTATTGTTGTTGGCCAGCGTTCAAGGACGTTGTACGCGGCGATGGGAACCTGTCCTTATTCTCATTCCTTTATGGTCTCGCACCTTTTTTATTATCACATTTCTCTGTCGACGAATGGAACGCACCCCGATCTTACCTTCCCTGTCAATTGTTTCCTTGTTTTCTAAATATTCTGGGAAACATCTCTCGCTTTTTCGCAGTGTTTTCTTGCAGCGTTCGCGACGGCGGGATCGCACGTCGCACGTCAGGCCTTCTGGTGTGCGCATTGCTCGAATTTCCCCCCCTCCCCAGCTTCGTTCAACGATTAGCCTCAAGATATCAGGCATGCATGGCTTGATTGACCCGCCAAAGTCTCTACACTGTATAGTGCCTGCCAGCACATCCGTGCGTGTTCCTCATGACTCTCTTATTCTTCTTCACCTTCATTTTCCCGACCTGCGCGCTCTCGTTCCCATCGATCCTCAAGCTCAAGTTCAGGCCATTCCGAAGATGCCATGCCACGACACGACACGACACGGACCCACCCTCATCCCATGGCCATACGCCCTCGCTCTCATGCGCCCGCAACCCCACATGGCTCTCGACCTTCTTGGCACCTTCTCCCGTGAGCCTTTAAGTTCAACCTGAATGGAATATACTGTATAATTGAATCGACTCGGAGTTCAAACGTAGTCCTGAACAGGCCCAGGGTCTCGAAGGCAATTCAGCCTGGGTGACCCACCCCCACGTCCGAGAATCGCCTTCGACATTCTCACTACATAGTAGAGAGGGGGGCAAAATTCAAGAGGTGACAATTACCCACTGCCACGCCACTCCATACCGCCACGCCCAGAAACCCCCCGTGTCAACGGAACAACTGTAGGAACAAGTATCCTTGAAGTTACTTGGAGAGCGCTCACGTAGGAGTCTTGAGGTTCGGAATTCACACTCAGGCTGTCACGGTCTGGGTATTAGTTTGAACAGATGGACGGTGGGTATGCAGTACCACGCCCAGCGATCTGCTCTTCCCAAGCAACCCTCGATGTCAACGGAACAATGGTAGGAACGCAGCTGAAGAGGGACGGGTGTGAGAGTGGTGTTCATTCTTGAGCATCTTGGGTCGAGAGCGCCCACGCAGGAGCGTGAACGTCGAAGTTGACAGGACGGTAAATATCATGCCCAGTGATCTCCTCTTTCCAACTGTCGGTGTCAGCGGAACAACGGTAGGAACATTAAACAGGAACGTGGGTAGGAACACCTGTGAGAGTGAGAAAAACCAAAGGCGCGAATGTCTATTTCCAGATGTTGATTGACTTAGAGGGCGAGACTCTACTTGACACGTACCCCCATTTATAATTACTGACATGTCCACCGCTAACTGAAGTCTGACGGGCGTTCGATCATGAGTACGAGTCGTGTGTTGACATCTTCATCGTAAGTTGACGTTCCGTCCTCCCCGCGTGAGTGCGTGTGTGAAATAATAAATTCAAGTTCTATTAAGGGGTAGTAGGGTGCGTTCGAGGCGCGTCGGAGGGTCCTATCGGAGGTCTTTCTTTGGATGACACGAGAGCGAAAGGAAAGTAAAAGGGGAACTTATTTAAGGGGAGACGGGGTCACTCGGCGAAATAGGTAAGCAAGGTTCTCAGTGGCGCACTTTTGGTAGCCTATTTGGGATCGGCGTGTAGGCCAGCACGGATCCGGATCCGGGGACTCTTCAAAGGGAGCGTTTCAAATACATGTTGCAGGACAAGCATCAAGCGTCTCAGCCTCCGTAGTTGGGTCCTTCCAGAGGATCTAATAGCAACGAGTTCAGCACTTTTTCGTTCTCGCAGAGGTGCCAACGCCATGGGAGAATGGCAGTCTCAGCTCCAGCGCCGGCATGTCGAGCTCACTCCAATCCTTACCATGACGATAACTATTTAATTTTGACTTCGCCTTTTAAAAAATTTACCTGATCGCCTCCCACCGCAAATCCACCTATACGTGAGGTTGCGGTCCAGAGCCACGGTGACTATTCTATTCCTGTAACATGCACAATTGCTTTCGTATGATAGTCTCGCGGATACCATCGTCCATTCTCCATCGCGTCCGCTTCAATGTGCATCCCGGCACTCCACTCGCGGCATGCCCATCTTGTTTATTTCCCATGGCGGTACCTGTGGGTAATTCAAAGATGATCATAGCCTTAAATCCCACTATCCCCAGCTGCAGGTGTCCCACTGTACCGTGGTGCAGTGCGAACGACGAATCACCGCGATGCACTGCACTGGTCTGTTCATGTTCCGAAATCTGAATTCGAAGCCAATTTGTGAGTTCCGTCTTTCACACCCGGCTGTCTGCGTGGGTTTTTCCCCCTCCCGAATCCCATATACTTCAAAGTTCTCCAGAAAAAAAACGAAATGATATCAAACCTACTTGATCATCGAATTAATATGTCAGCACGGAGGGCGATGATCATGAGAGCGAACACCTTTCGATGTTGTTCCGAATTACCTTCGAAAACCCCCTCTATGTCCTGTAAGAACACCCGGCACCGGAGGTGGGAGAAATCAAGTACGAAATGGGTATAGACGGGGACTCTGGGGTTTGACGCGCGGGAAAGGGGAAATAGAGTGCGCGCGATTTGAACGCGCTTCCCACTGTCACTCAAACGTCCATGCCACGCAGATGTCAGATGCTAGCGGATGGCTTGACAGCCAGAGCCTGTGTCCAAGCCCCAGTGAGCTAAGGACAAGCGAAGGATGAGAATGGACGGGCGCTCCCACGTCGCGTCGCACGCTCCAGCTCGGTTGCGCAAGGATTTCGATATCGATGACAAACGTCAGCGGTTGACGCAAGGTAAAGTTCCCAGCCCGACGCCTCCCATACACTCTCGAGCCCCATCTCCACCCGACGCGGCGCTATATTACAAGCTTATCTGATTATCACCATCTCGGCTCGCCTTGAGTTGCCCCGGGCGTTTTGAAATCTGATGGGGAGGGTCCACTGAAGGAGCCGGTGACCACTGCAACTGATAAACTCACGAGCAGGGCTGTAAAGCGAGCGACGATCACCCACAAACGCCCACATCGTACGGGGCGTCGGCCTTTTTTAGGAGTTAAAGCATGAAGGCTGGGCAGCACTTTGTACATACGCGTATACGGCTCTGCGCTAGGCAGTGGGGGAAATGATAGATGACACTGGCGAGCGCTGTGAGCGCGCGTTCCGATGATATCGCGGAAGTCCGAATGGCGATAATTTTAATACGGAAAGGCTGAGGAGGTCATAGGTCCATTGGGTTTGTGTCGCTCCCGAGTATTGTCTTCTCAAAAATACAACTAGACTTTGGTTAACGAGACTAGCTCCCGAGCTCGAGGCGACTTACACAAAATAAGCTGCATAAGCAACGGCTGGTTTCACTCCATAGCGTTAGCCGGATAGCTACGCACTACATCCCCTGCAAGTTTCGAAATCAACCGAAATCAGAAGTAGAAGACCTCGAAGGCGTAGCTTTCTAAGCACCTCGAGAGCAGCACCCGCTTCTCTTGATTCTCTCCACGTCGTCGTGTTACGGGAACAGAAAAGGAAAGGAAACATCCACGAGAGCATCGGGTTGGAATTACGCTGGAGGGGAGAGAATCCGGGGTAGGTTAAAATCTGTATGTGTGGATACGATATTTATCGGTACCACACAGTGCACAATTCGCGTACAGTTGTTGACGCCCCTATGCATATGTGCCCGTCAGCTTGGGATACAAAATCCCTGTGATAACTTGTCCAAACCATTCGAAAATTCAGAGAAGACTAACCCCTCTCCAGGTCAAATGGTAGCACTCTTTCTTCTAACTTCTTTGCCTCCTTTCTTTCTTCTTTCCCTCAGGAAATGCAAAAACCTCACGGTGGACGAAAGCGCCCGCCCTTTCCGTTCCAGGGCCGCGATCGCGAGCCACGTTGCCCAGCACCGTCCATATGCAGGCACAATAAGCGCTCCAGCCGCTCCAAAGAGAGCGTTCTGATCATGAAAATAATAACCCGAATTGCCAATTATCCGCGAAACAGATCAAGGTCCTGCCCCACTTGAGTCTATCCGAGGAAATTTGGATGCCGACTATTCGTTTACTCCAGGACGAAAAGAGGAGCAAAGACGCCGGGGAGGGTCCCGCGTGTCCAATTACCGAAGGTACGGAGGTCCCGCCCTTACCGGCGCCTCAACCCGTGGGATTATTCCCAGGGACACCGCGCCGGGCGCAGTCCCGCACCGCTCGGGATTGCTTCTTTAAGCACAGTCCAAAGTCTCTTGGGTCTTGTCCAGTCTTGTGCTCTTGGCTAGGTGCACCTCCATTGAGGCTGGGTGCCATCACTACTTCCTAAGCTCTCGTAACTCGAAACTTCAGAAGTCACTAGAAGCCCTCCACACCCTATCACGAAGAGAAGGTCTTCAGGGCTTGATAGGGTGTGGAGGGGTGTGGAGGGCTTAATTCAATTTCTAAAAGAATTCGAAATGTTTTCCGAAGTTATTTCGAAGTCAACGGCGCTTTTACTGAGCTCCGATTCTTTGTCGTGTGGGTGTTCCTTATCTGCAACCGACTCCAGTCTCGAGCGTCGGGTGTATATATATGCAGTCGTTAGAAATGAAAGAAGAGGCTGGAAGAGACGGAGAAGGAGAAGGAGCAGGGTAAATAATTGATAATTGGAGACCTGGGGAATGAAATGGACTCGTTTCAGTGGGAGATCGTTTCCGGTGCGACGTTGTTACCTTGGAGGATAGAGTTCAATTCATTATCTTTGTTGCACAAGGCACGAGAAACGGATCTGAGAGTACAATGTAACGATGCTCACGAGATAACAGGGTAAAGTGTTTCGCAAATTACCATTTGGATATGTGTGGTGCACAGGTTGGCCGAGGTCTACCAACTGCGGTCATCAATGTGCCGTGGTTTGTCAGGCTCCCTGGACGGTACTACTCTGCCGTGGGAGGTGCTGCGTGCGGAGCATGCTAAGCTGCCTGCTTAGACTTCAAGCTTCAAGCTTCGCCGACTACCGGAGATGGCACTTTTAGAAGCCTTTCTCGAAAGTTTATTCTGACTAAAATGACACTACGAACTACAGGCACCTCGGCCAACTGACGAATCAAGAAATGTCAGTATTTTTATGCCCCATGCACGGCGGCTCGCACCAGTTACCACAACACCGTGCATTCGCGTTTCCGCAGAGACGTGGTAGTGGGACTACATATATATCCCCGTCCACCTACAAGCGGCTTATCAGGTTATGTAACCATGCGCCACACCGACTCGGAGATCGACCCCGCCCCCAACGTCACGTAAGTAATTAACCCGACCCTGCCGCCTCCGCCCAACAAACACTAACCGACAACACGAGACGAGACACAGCACAGTAGAAAATGAAGTTCGACGAATAACGAGAAAAGGAAAATGGCAACCGAAAGGCGAATGCAGAAGCAAAGAGTGTGGATTGAAAGGAATGTTGTAGAAATGACGCCGAACAACTGGCAAGACTAGCGCGATCGAGATGGGACAGGAAAGAGAAAGGATACAAGGCAGGCAGTTCTTTTAGGGCATATTAAGGACGCATGGGCGCAAGCCAGGCATCGGCGGCTTCGAACTGGTCGATGAGTTCTCGCAGAACGGCACCTTCTGAGTGTAGATGCCTCATCGCCGCAAGGGCCTGGAAAAGTCCAAATCAGGTTTGTCTACTAGGAATGCGACCCCGAGGATAATAGAACACTTACGACATCCCAGAACCTGAAACCTCTTTCCACCTCCGCAGTAGGGCCCTTCACACCCGGGAATGTCTCTTCGCAAAGATCAAGCGCCATCTCCTTCTTGAGTTTGACGTCCGGTGCGTTCTTGTCCCTCACTCGCGTACCTCCATTGATGTGGGTAAGAGCATCGAGATAGACCTTGGCCAAAACGCCGAATCCGGTGTTCACCTCCGTCTGGAACGGAAGCGACAGCGCAATGTCAAGGAGGTCGTCCCGAGCTCGCCGAGCGTCGTTCCGGAGCAGCATATTCAGCGAGGTTACCTCGATAAGTGTGCGCAACGCACGTGTGAGCGAGCGCACAAACGAGTTGAATACTAGAAGCTCCCGAGAAAGGGGTGCCGACCAGGGTTGCGGCTTGAAGTTGAGCGGAACGATAGATAGAACACGCATCACCAGGAGCATGCTTGATTTTTCCTCATCTGGAAGGAGAATAAAAAAAAGGGAAGAGAGAAAGGAGATAAGGTCGTTAGCAAGGACCCAGTAAAACAAGTGTGTGACGAAATCCGGTAAATAAAGCGAAGGTGCAGGGCAGAATAGAATTGACAGGCATTAAATACCCCATTGGTGCCTCCCTCGGTTCCACCATCAGCGACCGTGAGAGAAAACCGGACGTTCCTCTCTCCGCATCACTCCACTGACAACTCTGTACCAACCACAAGTGCGGAAAACACGCAAAAGAAAAGAGGGCTAGGAAGCAATTCATCTCGCACTCCACCAATAAAGGGAGAAACGCCCCCACGGCGTGCCCATCAAAACGCAAAACGCGGGCCCGCATCGAACGAACAAAGGGAATAGATCGAAAAGATCAAGACAACTCAAGTACTTACCCGTTCCGAAGCTAGGCCCACCGCTGAAAGCGCGGCCAGACCACAGGTGGCCGTGCATAACACCCGCACGGACGAGTTCCAAAAACAAGTAGAGTGGATCCTGGAACTTGTCGTTCACCCGGGCCAGCTTGATCGCATTGTGCATCGCACGGGCGAGGGGCGAGTGGGCATGTGAGTTGAGAAGAAACCTGTGGACCAGACACGTGTTAGCAACAATCCACGAGCATCGGGTCGAGGTGGGGAAGAGAAGACTTCAGGATAAATGCATCCCAAAGGGGTGGTCGTGGTAGGTAAGGACAAGGAAGGAGTAGAAGACGACGATGAGAGAAAGACGTAGTGGGAGTGGAGATGGTGGGCCGCAATGATGACGGTGGCACAGATGCGGGTGCACATGAAAGATGGAGAGACGCGATCCTCGGTTCTCTACTCAGGCGAGACGATGCAAGGTTCCAAAAGCAGTCTGCGATATCATGCTCGCTCCATGAAGCAGCTTCCTCAACGGCACGCCAGGACAACGGGAACGATCGTCCGACATCCGGCACACAGACGGGGTCTAAATATCAATGAGAACAAGGAAGAACTCACCCTCTTAGCTCGAGGAAACGCCAAATTACATTGGCTACAACCTCATCTTTTTTCTCAAGAGGTGCGTTGGCAGCGTTCTTAATTTTGGTACGGCCAGCCAGCCGGTCCGAGGTGGTCGCACCTAAGCATAGGGCGAAGTCGATGGTGGACGACTACAACGAAAACGGTCGGTCAGATGCAACCCATAAAAAGCGACAGATGGGTAAGCAGTGAAAAATGCAATGAGAAGAAGAATAAAAGGGCGGTAACCATTAAAGGCGGAATTTCCGACCGCAGTTGTGAAACCGGGATGGCGTGAAAAGAACAGCGCGGATGCAAGGGTATGGCAAGGCAGGTGCTTACATTTTGCCTCCTGAGTTCTTCTTCGACGATTGAATAGGGCACGTTCCAGCCAGTGACGCGCTCTGCCAATTGGGCCGTCTGAGGAGAGTTGTGCTGCACGGCCTTCTGGTGCTGTGCGTTCGGCTGTTCGAACCAGAAAAATCCTTGCACCTTCTTGTTCGCCCAGAAGCTGTGGGATACGCTACTGACGAGAGCCAACGCAGTCGCTCTCGGGCCGGTTTGGCCGTCAGTGATGACTTCCTTCACGAAGCGTTTATATTCAGTCGTTTCGCCGTTGTCCAATGGCGGGTTCTCCACGATTTGTCCGCTTGTGAGCCAAACGAGAGCCTGTGGACCAAGGAGGCCACGTGAGAGGTAGTAGTAGATCTCGTCGGGCAGTCGGTGCGTGAAGATCTCGTGAAGGTCTTGTGGGACGTCCGCCGCTGTGGGATGGTGCGGATGATGACCATGACCAGCTGGCGTGGTAATCGCGAGAGGAAGAGGTAAAACCGAGCCTTCGGACGAGAGAATAAGAGAGTATCTGATCATCGACCGTGTGCGCGCATAGTGGTCTGAATACTGGATGGTCTTGACTGCGGGATGATCGGCGAAAGCTGAGACGGCTGCGTGCCCAGATTTGTAGTATTTGACCATGTCGACGGTTGCTTTTAGAGCTTGCTCGTGCACGGTTGGCGGGAATGGGGGGGAATGATCGAATCCGACCAGAATGCCGATGTCGAGGAATTGATCTTCAGTCACACCGAGCTCCTGAATGAAATTCCTCTTCGATGTATATTGGAACGTTGGGTTGGAAGACGATAAATCCAGAGCAGAAATCAGCTTGTCGACGCCGGGATAGAGCAAGGCGTCAGTTGGGCCGTATATAGCATGGATATAAGCCTTGTGGTGACGTTGGAGGTAGATCAGCTATTGCACGCGCCATGAAGAGGAAAAGTGGTTGTTAGCAAAAAAAATAGAATACGCGTGAGAAGGCACAGTATGCGCACCTGTGCCCAAGCGACATATGGCGCAATGAGAAATTCGACGTTTCGATGTCTGAAGATCCTTAAAACCATCCTCCAAAGGTCCCATTGGGCAAAACTGCTTCGTCCTTCAAAAAGCTTGGTTGCTGCCTCCTCCTGACCCTGTTCATACTTCGTCCATGCGTCTCGGCGATCCCTACATGCCTCGACGTGTTCCGCATGGTGCTGCTGCTTCCAGCGCTTGTTGGGTAGGAGTCCTGGGAATACAAAGACGGGTTTGATGCGGAGCTTCTCGAGCGCACGCAGGTCGGATTCAATGCGTTGAGTGAGCGCTAGCGGCAGGCCTCCTGTGGCTGCCAACAACGGCTCACGAGACGGAGGGTTATCCGTTATTTGCTGAAGGTAATACGATGCATCGATTCCAAGTCGAGAGTCGGAAAGAACGGCGAGAGAAAGCGTTTGGAGGTGTTTTCGTTCGAAAAGGTAGTCTGAAAAAGCGCGGAAAAAGACGGCGTGAGCAAACGGAAGGCCGAAGCCAAGCCGACGTCGCACAACAACGAGAAGCTTACTTTCAAGGTGCTTGATAGGCATTGAGCGAATGTCGTACACGGTGGGGGTCGTTGGGGGGAAAGGGTTGGTGGTCGTTTCCAACAGCCAGAGCAGTGAAGCCAGCAAGCAACTTGATTACGTAAGTAAATGATCAACAGAAACCACAGCCAACGAAACTTGTCCACAACTCCCACTATTATCGTGCCTCTCGCACGAGAAACGGCAAGGTAAGAGGCTTTTTTTGACGACTCAAATTTTGCATTAATTTTCCACGTCGACTCTCCAGCTCTTTCCCTGGCTCCGGGGGCTGAAGGTCGACGGAAAGCCGGATCGACCAACCACTTCCGATATGTATCGATGAAACTCTGATATACCACTGAACGCCACGAATTGCTTGTGGCTGCTTGTTTGGGAGGCCACCTTTCGAAAGCAGGGCCGCCTCACCGCTCTAATCTTAGGCTACCTTATCGCGATTTATGATTGTTCAATCCGGTCTCCCCAGCCGTGCTTCTGGTGTCTACGAACACTCCAAAGTCCGTTCTATCACCTTTGCAGTGTTTCAGCCTCGTTTTTCCAACACCGTGCGGCCTATTGTGGAACGCCTTTCCCAGCTCTTGCCATTGTAATTGCATCATGGGGTCCCCCAGCTATAATCAGCGGTGCAAAAGACCCTATCCTAGCGGAAGGAAGGAATGCCTTGGCCCCTGCAATTCATGCGCCACGGTGTATACTCCTACCGTTTCTTGCCTAACGCGCGGACGTATAGTCTTTGGTCCCTGTGTGCTGTCTCATGTACCGCTTCCCGAATCAACGCCTTCATCGGACCATTGTCAGATGACAGATGGGCCGTGTTCCTGCGAGAACGAACAGAAATATCTCTCATATTCGGCCAATGGACGTGGTCGCTTTATGGTCTTGGCGCTGCGGGATATTCACCGCCTGCAAATCGTGAACTTGGTCTTCCAACTACCCATGCCCATTCGGTGAAACGCTCGTTCTTTGCTATTGTTCCGATGCAACAGCGCTTTTGTAACTGTTCATAACCCGTATTCTCCTGTGCTTAATCGAGGCCCACTAGAAGCCACGATGCTGGTGCCCGTCTCTGAAAATGCAGCCTCCGAGCGGCATTTCTTCGGCCTGCCGACGACAGTATCTAGACTCCTGCTGCTTTGGTAGCCGTCATAGAATTGCACGGACATTTGCTCAATTCCTAACTTCACGGAACGTCATATGGACGACCTATCTTGTTTCGTTCAGTCTTTGAATTACGAAGCCATACTCTTCGAGCCATCTTCAAGCATGAGCCGTCTTCTCATGTCAATCAAACCTCAACATTCGGCGATTATACCCCTTTGCTCCTCTCGGGTTCATAAGGTCCGAGAAAGAAAACGTCCTATATTTAACTTTGTCTCAGCCTCCATCGTGGGGAAAGAGTCTCTGTCCTTCTTGCTTTCGCCCAACATGTCACCGAACCTTCAGCGACATCGTGGAAAGCCCGTCTTCCAGATCATCAGCCTCGTGTAGTAAATGTATCAAGACGATCCGAGTTATTCCTTTGCTTACTATGCTGTGATCCGGCAGTATACCTTCCCAGAGGAAGGCCCAGCTCCTGCCGACGCTGGACGGATTATGTGATCGAGGATACTTGGGACATCAGAAGCGCTCACATCCACGAACATGTACACAAACAACTACCAGCGTTCACTATTTCAATGTTTACCCTGGTCTCACTGGTTCTTCGACACTTCCGTGGTCACCGTCTTGGAACAAGCAATGGAAGATGGCCTGTGTGCTAGCCTTTCATGAGAAGAGGCGTTCACTGCGACACTCTTGGCACCAACTAGGATTAACACGCAGGACTTCTTGTGGATTGCCTGCTTTGTAGAGCTTGTGGTGGATGTTCCGCTGTACTTGGCGTGTAAACTGGTCTTCTCCAAAGCCTCCACAAAGCCTCTGCTTTAAGACAATCCCAAATGTAGCGAGAATGAGCAATGTGGACGAAGACCGGACATGAAATGACCTCAAGCTCCAATTTGCCTTATTCCAGAAATTGATCTCCCAGCTCCCCAAGGAAACATACCTCTGCTCTATTACAGCCTCTGAGCGGCTGTTAATCGCTTCATCGACGTGGTCACAGCGCATACCACTGCACTCCAACGCTGCTGCGTTCTCAATTCGACCTGAAGGAGTTACTGACGGACGGTTCTCACCAGTACACTTTCGGTGGTTCTGCTCCCCGTGTGAGCCTTCACGAAATCAATGATTTTATTTCTGGTTGCGAAGCCAGGACGCAGGGATATGGCGCCGCCGTCGACACGGGGCTTATGATACAACTATGACGGTCGAGATCACTTGGTGGGAAGACCATGATGCTTGATGATGACACAGAAATGTTCACAAGGACGCCGTCGCTTCCCGACGTGGAAAGCTGAAAGCACTGGAATAAAGCCTCCTGCTGTAGGTGCGTCACTTGGTCCATCCAATTGCTGTGGGATGGCTGCCATGATGAACGGACAATCTCACGCTGGTGCCACAATTTTGCGCGCTCCATCGGCGCCGACTCAACTGCATCATCAGCGGCTGATTCATCGGCCTGTTACCTCGATCCAATCCTTTTGAACCCTTTTTTATGTGCGTGGGGAGGGGATGGCGTAGATTAGGTTACAAGAATGAAGATCGTTTACCCTCTGGAGGTTGGGTTTGGTTGCTCTGGAGCGAGCGCGTTGAAGAAGGATATTATGCGGCTGGAGCTCATAGTGCCACCAAAACGAGGTCGATAGCCATGCTGTTAATGTCCCGACATTTCGGGTGCATCAAGAAAGAGTTCTATCATCCAGTCGTCCAAGAAATGCAAGAAGATTGCACTGTACGCAGACGAGGCTTCGCGTAGACCTGCTTGAGACCAATTGCACGCTGTCCATTGATACCAAGTGCCAATAGAATGGCAACCATGCACGCGGTATATGACCGAGCGCGATTCAGCAAGCACATTCCTCCCAGGAAGGCTTTCCGCAGCCGCTTGGCCAGAGGTGAACGTCCAATATAAAGGCCTCACTTAACGGTCTTCTCCGTAATCGATGTCATTAATCCCTCCACGTATAGTTCTGTGAGGAGAATAATTTTAGCTTCCTTTCTGCGAGGACCGCTTCCATGAGAAAAAATGTACCCAGCAATGACAAAACTTGGGAACGGCTAGGCAGGATCACTTCCGGATTCAGCCACTAGGATATCCCTCGTCCGTTCTTCTTTCATGAGAAGCGGACGAAGAAGAGAGAACAGTCACCGCGTGTTTGTCTAGACCAGTGCACGAAGTAAATATCTTTGAAGATATCTTTGAAGATGCTGATCAGGAAATATCGACGAGAGTAAAGTCGTGGTCTCAAATTCGCTTGTGACTCGTTCCACCATCTTGTAGATCCGTTGGAGTGTTGGGCAAGTTTCATTTATGAGCCCTGTGACCAATCAATATTGATGTTAATAATAATAAGTCTCAAAGGTCTACCTACTCCTTCCCGGCCATTGCTAGCTCCTTTAACACCAAGTCATGGTTCAATGAAACCTATCCCTCTCCACCGTACAATGTTCGGCTTTGGTCCGTGATTTGACGGGTATAACCTGCTAGGACTCATTCTTGCTTGGCATAAGATATCGGGTGTCGAAGTTGAACAAAGCCTAGGAGGACAGGAGTCCTTGGCCGGGCTGATATTGTCCTAGGCCGTTGGGAGTGGGAATACCCTGCCGAGCTGTCAATTATATGCTTATTTTACTGCGATAAATGTATTTATTGGCGAGATGGCTTCAGTACATAAGTCTCTAGGAGAACCATTTCTCTAGAAAAGATATGTGGTCTACATCATATGAATCGAGGGTTAGAAAGTTTGAAAAAGGCGCTGACAATGGGCCATTAGCATATTTTTATTTTCTCTGAGATTTTGCTATTGTTTCTAGCCTGGATCACGGCCTGGTCTAGAACACGGACATTTTGGGAAGTTGAGATGCCCTGCGCCACACTTCCGATTTAGTCCGCCCCCCTGTATGTCTCCGCCCCGCACTATCTAACGCACACCCAAAAGCACGAACTTGGGGCAATAAAATACTCTTGCCCTTACCTTTTTCTCCTGCTCTCGTGTGCTATACGAGCGACCAAAGGACATCATCGCCTTCAAACAGTGCCCAGTTGCTCGACAGTCCATAGTGTACGAGCTTCTTCGACTCTGCCCTTTTTCTGTTGTCTTCCCAGCCATTCCGATAAGACTTTCGCGCTCGTTTACATCAGAATATGATTCTGAGAGGTTCTGAGAACAGGGCTCTCGCTGCTCGCTATGCCGCGAGCGATTGCTAGAGGCGTTTTATGCAAGAACGTCTTTAATGCAAGAGCAAGAGTATCTTGGAGGGACTGGAGCTGAAGTCTCAAGGAGTTTGACAGGAATTTACCATTCTCATCCTCCGTTCATCCCCTACCCACAGGGAGGAATAATGAATTATCTGAGAGATACTACGATTTCACTTATGTGAATCACCTCCTCACGACTCCATACTTTCCAAATGCAGGATTCCTTCGTTTTTTGGACGAATCTTCTAGTACAGAGTGCATCTGGTGAGTTCGGTATCTACCTTAGGTGCCGGCGATCTCATCGGTGTGTTCGCGTGTCCTCCGGAAGAATTGCGTTAGAATCCAGCGGCGTGGAATCTTTGAACGGGTACTAGCTAGAATGGATGAGAGAAAAGGTCGGGTGCTGGGCCATATAATTCACCCCGGAATTCACAAAGGACAGGTACCGCGTACACGTTAAAGATTGCTCAGATTCGCCAACGGTATTGCTTCAAACCACTTACTATCAGCGTGATCTCGTAAAGGATCGTCCATGATTTCGAATGGACGTATGCTGGGATTGAAGTTCTTGCTCGAAAGTCTCAGAAAAGGTGAACGACCACCATTCAAATTTACCAACAAATGGATACACATATAATATTCCGAGAACGAGAGCAAAAAGGACACCTTGACGAATCGATGTGTCATCGCGCGTCAGACTCGGCAAGAGAAATGTAATTTCCAAATCAAAGGCTCCGTTCAAGGCCAGTGAGAACAGATTCTCAAGGCCACGAAACAACCATGCTCTGCTTCTGATCACGCGTGTGGCGCATCATGTTCTTCGAAGTCCGTTGTCAATAGTCCTAGAGATTTAGTCCCCCGATTATTCGAGAGGTCCACAAGAGGTACCGTGTCATAAGAGGTGCCACAGCGCAGGTACATGGGGTCCACGATGAATGTTGAGAGACAGGCGCGGATATAGCACTTTTGTAGATCCTAAGATGCCTCGATTGCCCGGACACAGATGTTTCCCCGCATGTGTACTACCGAAATGCCAAGAAGGTTGGGATACGGAGACAGAAAGGGAGAGATGGTAAAATCCATGCTTGTCAAACCGCTGCGGTGTAAATTTCCAGATCTGTGAAGCGTTGACAACACTATATGAGTCCTTAGATGTGATTGGAATTGTTGCAGGGCTTACATGGCGGCCATAATACCTTCGTACGCGTTCGTTTCAACGCATGGGTGAATAGACAGGGGCCTGTCTGTATCAAGAGGGGTTCTCTGCTTCTCTCAAGACCAGATTCTGCGAAAGAGAACAGGAAATCGATACTAGGTCCATAATACCCCAAGATCCTTGAAAGTCTCCGTGTTCACAAACAGGGACTACGATGAGCCATAGCGACAATCGCGGGAGGCGAGGCTTGAAGTAGTACACAACTTGTTCGAATTAGTATCAGCCAATATAAGCCCGCGATGGCGTCTGAGACCAGGAGAAAATCGAGGCGGGTGTTCAGCAGAAGTAGAAGACGCCAAGCAGGAGAGTCAGCTGTCAGGGTAGGGCGCTTGACAAGCTCGACAAGGAGCAGTTGAGTACCGGGATCCAGGTGCTCCCGTACCGTAGTGTGTCCCTTTCTCATGAGCTCAAGGAAGTCACAGTGGCTATATATGTCTGGAGCACGGGGAGTCCGCACATCGCATAAAGGGTGAAGAGTTTCGGGGAGTCGAATGGGACGCTGTGAGAGGAGGATTGGACGTCCTGGGAGTGACTATGCGTACACACCTACATATGGGCAAGAGTTCGTAAGTCAAATAGGAGAAAGGTGCTTCTTATTTCGTGGCAAACTGTTATCATCGAGGCTTATAATGCACGGTGGCGAGCTGCTATAGGCGGAGGGTGTCGATTCTCGTGTCAAGTAGAGAAAGACCCCTATAATTAAGAAGAGGTCTCGAAGTAGAAGGAATTCTGAAGTGCAAACAAGCTTCAGACAGCGTTCAGCGGAGGAAACACAAGTAACCGGCAGGTCTAGACTAGTCGGCTTGGAAGCATTTGGAGATGAATAGACAAGAGAACACCAGAGTTAGAACTTACGCTCCTCTTTTCGTAGACGTCGAGCTTTAGCGCCGCATAAACACCCCCAACCAAGACTTCGGCAATCGAGCCACGACAAAGTTTGAGATGCCTGGACTTGGAGAGACCAGATACTTAGTGTTGCCAACCGGGAGAGAAATTACGGCACCCCACCTTTCCGAAGAAGAAGCTAAAGCACTCAGAAAGAATTGTGGTCATTTTTTGACTTTGAATCTGAGAAGAAACCGAGACCCGAGGTCAGAGAACTCCAAGTCGAAGGGAGAGCGGAAGACGCGTGTGCTGCGGATGGCAGAGCATTAGGATGTTTGCAACGAGATCATGGGGTCAAGCTCGAGACAGGGACCTCCCCGGTTAATCAATCCTCCGCCTAGTCCCAAGAGATATCAGTGTTAACTTGCGAGTCTGAAGAAGTTCGCGACTGCTCGGGGAGTGGTGACCGAGTCGAAGGGACGGCTTCGCAGTCTCCGAATGTCAAACTTCGAGGAGAATTGGTTTCTGTCGAAGAGCAAAAGTCATTTTGCATATCAACATTTCGTCGAAGAAAGAGTGTGACTGCCAGCGAACACGGCAGCGACGCGAGCACGGTGACACGAGAGTACACATAAAATTAGTGTCACTATCATGTGTCGTGACAACAATACGTTTCACAACCGAGGTCGCGCCGGTTCGTCTCTTGACTTTTACCTCTAACCTTCCGTTTGAACTTGGGGCCCACTTCCTTCAATTGTGCTACCTAAATTGTAAAATGCATCGCAGTCGGAAAGCGTTGCACTACTTGGTGTAGGTCGCGGCTCGCCAGTTGTTGGAGATTGCTGACATGCATATGGTGTCACTGTCCTCGTTTCCCACCTCTCCGTCCTCATGAGTCCCCAGTCCCGTCAAGCACAGCCAGAAATAAAACCGAAAGTTGCTGTGATACCCTCGTATACGAGGTACCGATTAGCATCCCATCTGCTATCTATCGGTGCGCGAATTCTCTGTAAGTGCGAAACTTTGCATTTCCTTCGCCACTGACGGGCGCCTGTTTATCAGCGGTGTTCTAGGTGATGTTCTACACCACTCTGACGAAAGTCACGGTAGGAGAGAAAAAAGTGTGCAATTGACATCGAAACCTGACCTCTCGGCGCGATTAGACGTGCGTAGATTTCCAGCTACTTATCCGTAGAACGCCATAACTAGCTGGAGATGGAGATGGCCTTCCAAACCCAGCAAACCTCACCCATCTCGTCGGTGGAAACGGTCAGAGGCCCTTTGCGTTAGCGCTTAATCCTATGCCGTCCCGCCCCGAACTCCGATGTGAGTCTAGAACATAGAAAGGCGCGCGCTGATGGACACTTCTATGACGTCGAACCTGTCCTATCACCAGGCTTATGTTGGCGATCTTCGTCCCAGTCGCCTCGCATCTGGACCTACAAGAAGCGCCCGAACGAAGTATGAACCAGTCCGAGCCGCCAGCAGCAGGCAGCGACGTCATATCGGGAAGGACTCAAGGCTGTGCGTCATACTTCATGGCCGTGGGGCGCAGGTCAGTCTATGAAAGATAGCGCTATGGTCTAGAGGCTATATCACCGGGCCAGCCTATACGCGTAGATAGTGCTCGTATGTAGCGGCGCAGAACGAGCCGAGAAGGCAGTGGGAGAGCGGAGGGCGTCATCCGGGGAAAATAGCGCGAGGCGTGCGCAGCCTGAGGTGTTATCGCGCAGGAGTTGGACTAGAACTCGAGAGACGTAGGTCGTGCTTCGAACGAGGCAGACCGCGATCGCCATTTCCGGCCGTGTAATTGATTGACCCACGCCTGGTGTGGGTTGTATCGTCGCCGGTGCGTAGCTGATAAGTATTCGAACCAGTTGGAAGGATGATTACGATCCAGAGAACTGACGTCATGCAGGGGAATTGGAGTCCCTTGCTGAATCTATTGAGGGCATCGATAGCAGGTCCAAAAATACTGCCAGATGTGCCGACGCTGAGCATCCAATCTGCACGAGAAGCAGGAAGTCGTCGGAGGAAGTCGAACGAATCATAGGACTTGCACAAGAGAATAGTATCGCGAACGGCCACCAGGAAATAAACCAGATGGAAAAGCGCTGCAAAATTTAAGTGTCGAATACCAGAGACGGATGAACGGACGGAGGAATCACAGGAGGAACAGATCCCCCGTCGACGATTCAGAAGATAGCCCAGGAAGATTGGAGAGTGAGCAGGCTGAGCACAGATGGCCAAATACGCCTGCGTGCCGTGTTCTAAAATAGACGAAAGAGGAACGAGGGCTCGGAAGAGTTCGAATTCGACCTCGAGTCAGAGCACCCTCGATTCTCGAAGGCCCGGGAGTGCTCGTGTGCCCCAAAATCCAAAATCAAGCTGAGAGTATATCCGACTTACCTACCTTTTGATTTTGAAAAATGGAGGGCTATTATGAAGGAAAAGATGGCATTCAGTCGTGCGAGAGGCAGCCTGTCGTGGCGAAACGTCAATAGAGGGTATAAATTTAATTGAATAACGCACCGGTTCTGCCGATAATGAAGATATAGGGATCGTCAGGCCTTCAGTTTCAGGGTGAACAGATTATACCCTTGTATGGCTGGAGGCAGGGGATCGAATCGAAGGAACCTGCACGTCACCGCGAAGTGGACGAACTCGCTCGGGGCGAGCGAACCTAGGCGCATCGATCGAGCTCGGCTCGGGGGTCGACCCATACGAATACGAACCCACCTCGTGAATAATATGTCGAATAGACACAGATCTAAAGTCAATCAGAAATTAGCGCATTGGCACTCATTCTGCCGACATTAAGCAAACGTCCTGGACAGCGTGAGGAGTGAGATATAGAAAACTTATCATCCGGAAGGGACTTACGTCTGTGTTGGACTATCTGCGCAACCGCGGGAATGGCGCTTACAGGTCAATTATACGACTTGGACTGCGGAGAGTTTCAACGACGTGGGCCCTCAGGCCTCAAAGGGAGGGTCTTCGCCTGTGTTCGAGTTCTCTCCCTCTCTCCCTGGCTTGGTCCTACCGAATGAAAATGAAAATGAAATCAGACACACCAACTCGAAACTCAAAACCAAGGGGTCGCAAACCTTCTGTCATACTTACCTGACGGCCCTCCAGATCACCCACCCTAAATATTGCGTAAAAGAATGCGCGAAAAACTGAATGAAGAGGTGGGCTGACCGACTCTTTATAAGAAAGTGGGAAAGACCGACCCGAGGGGGCGGGCGTTCGTTTTATAAAGGGGACGTTACGAGATTCAGGAAGCGCCGACGCGAGGCATCCAGAAAAGGCACGCTGCAGGTCACCTGCGCAGGTCGCACTTACGTCGAGGACAGGAGGGGGGCGTTCCTGTACTAAATACTGGATTGGCGGCTCATGTGCCCATGTTGGGCGTCGCGTGCGCTCAGGGCTTACGAGGCTTGGGACTTGGGAAGAGGGGATCGAGCGCGAGGTACGAAGTGCATTATTCCAAACAAAAGGGCTTCAGGAAGGGCGTCAATGGGGGTGGAGTGTGAAAACACCTACTGACACGATAGTCGGAGCGCTGTGAGCAGGACAGCCAAAAATACCAGGTCTGGAAGTCTGCGAATGGTCCGACGGATACTTGGAAGAGGCGAAGAGGCAGCGCCGATTCAGAACTTGAGCAGGTCTATGAAAGCCTATGAATTAATGACCTCGAGCTCTGTAAACTGTAATTCCAGACAGACAGAACCTTGTCGAGCCTAAACATAACTCTAACCTTTGGTTCAATCGCCAGTGTGAAAAGAATGGACAATCACGAGAGCCGAGTGCGATGGAAGCCTGAAAGTAACGACGTTAACCTAGCCTCGAGACTCGTTTGTCGTTCTTGTGTCTCTTCAAGTACCCAAGAGTGAAAGAACCTTCTGTCATACTTCAAATCATTTCCATTGAGTTCCTCTAAATGTTGCGGAAAAGAATGAGTGAAAAACTAAATGAACCGGTGGGCTGACCGACTCTTTATGGGAAAATGGGAATGACCGACCCAACGGGGTGGGGCGTTCACTTTAGGCCCCTAGAGGGGGTAGGAAGCGCCGACGCGAGGCAGGAATCAGAACAGGCCGCAGGTCAACCGGTCACCTGTGCAGCCTGCGCCTACACGTAGTCTATGTTTGGTAAAGGGGAGCCGGAGGAACGAGGCGGGAAGCGCCCTGGACGAGCGACGCGTGCAAGCCCATGTGCCCGTCCTGGCTGTCGTAAGTATGAGGTTGGGGCACTCAGGGCTTACAAGGCTTGGGACTTGGGAGAGGGAGATCGAGCGCGAGGAGCGAGGGGCGAGAAGAGTCGTTCCAAGTAAAAGGGCGTCAATAAGGGGGTCGGGAAGGGCGTCAATGGAAGGTGGAGTAAGAACTCGGGAAAGACGCACACTGACACGGTAATCGGAGCGCTGCGCTCTGTATGGGTGCAGTGAACAGGACAAGCCAAAAATACCAGGTCTGGGAGCTTGAGGTGCGTAGTGGGGATCGGCAGTGCCAAACGTGGATCCAAATTACAGAAGTCGAAGTTGAAAGGCCCATTAAGTAGAGCTTGTAAGTCCAGACAGAAACCTTGTAGAGCACAGAACATAACTCTATCAAAGAATGACGAGAGCCGAGCGAGATGGAAGCCTGAAAGTAACGAAACCTAGCCTCGAGACTCGTCTGTCGTTCTTGTGTGTCTGTCTTCCTTGTGTGTCTGTCTTCGCTGAGATGAACGGGTATGTCAAGCCAGAGCCTCGAAATCGATTGGCTCGTCCGAGTCAAGCCGGCCCACTTGACCGCCAAGCGCCCACGTTTTCGAATTCTTCCTTCCTTGATTTCCGTGGAAAGCCTCCGCCGGGCCGGGACGAAATAGCCAGAAAAGACGAAAGGGACACACGCCAAGGAGGATGAATTCGTGTCACACGAGCGGTTCGCGAGGGTGACTTGGGGTCTGCTTTTTGGGTAACGGGTTTGCTTGGGGACGATTCAGAGGACGGCGAAAGTCGGGAGGTGGTACGATAAGCTCATACATAGCTTGCTGGAAGTGATGATAGACGTCCACCAGCGTCCACCAGCGTCCACCATGTCAGGATTTCCTACTGTTTTCCGAGCGGGCCGTCCGTACCGTACTCGTCGGTATCGGCGTCGGCGCCTCCAGTAGACCGCTAAGCACTTGCTCCTTTTGGCCGTGGAGACCGGAATAGGCATTCTTCTGCAGAAGAGTCGGCACCAACTTGTAATGCCCGACGTCCGTCCTCCGTGACTCTCGTCCGACTCTTCTTTTCTTGTGAGTTCTCGTGCTGCGCGTCGTGTGAAATACCAGTCGACTCGACTCGATTCGGTTCTGGATTACGAAACCAAAGAATATTAAAATCCTCTCACCTTGACCTCTCGAAGCCCAAGAGTCCAAGACAAGGCCTGCCCTTGCACACCAAGACGCCCGCATGTCATCTATGGCGAAGTCGCCTGACTTGTGGGTGTAGGTTTTCCTCACGAAATTTTACGCGAGGGAAGCCTCGTCGCTGTGAGAGTGAGGATTTGGAGCTCCGGACGGCGTCATGATCGGCAGGCGACGTTCCGTTGACGATGGACATTGACCTGGACAGGGTTTCAGCTTTTTTAGGAGAGGCTCTTGGAGCTTGAAGCTTGAGCTTGAAGGGCGAAAGGATGGCCTCATTTTTCGTGGACGATAAAAACCTCGTTATCTCGTCGTTTTTAGTAATTCTCCTGCCTCGAGGACATCCAATTGGGGCAAAAGGGGCGGATTAAGCAATTGGTTCCGGTAACCCCGACCGGCCGAACGGAAGGCGGAGAGGGACGGAAGGGCGCCTTTGGCTGGGCAACACTCGATCCCCCTTTGCTCTTTTGCTGTGCTCCTGCATGGCGCTGTTGTTGACGTTCCCACTGGCCCAGCAGCTGGACCCCTCCTCGGCCCCAGAATCAGAACCCAACCAACTCAAACGAAACCACTCAGAGTCAGTCTGAATCCACCCTGTTCTTCGGTGGTCTAAAAGTATCCTAAGGTCCGTACAAACCTCCTCTTGCTTTTTTCAGTCTTGGCCCTCCTCTCTTTCCTCTGTCCTGGCGTCGAGTCACTGCAGTCTTCGCTATAGCTACTCCTTTGCATATATACCTCCGCCCCCTCCCCCAACAATCCCCTCGACGCCCCAGACCGGGACACACGACCTCCGACACGCCACACCCGACGAGCGACGCAGTGTCGCCCGAAACGATCCGAACGAGCACCGAATAAGCCGAACAACGGCGAACAGCAAGGGGCCAGCAGCTGCTGCAGGTGCATTGTAATACGAGGACGCCGAGCACCATATGAAGGGGTGTCTGAAACAGCCCTCGCGCGTGTCGACGCCGCGCCTTGAGGGCGGACGGACACCGTCCCCGCCGTGTCACCACAAGAAGTGCGTCGCCTTTGGGTCAATCGTCGCAGAAGAGGTGCACATCGCGGACGAGTGGGACCGCACGCCCACTGAGCCTGCGCGAAAGCTGTCTTACCAGTGAGTCTCTTGCCTTGTCGTGTGCTGCTAGTATTCTATCTACTATCTACCCCGTCCCATCCCTTTTCTTTCCTTCCAATGAGATTTGTTCTTGGTGTTCTCTTGGCCGTGCCTCCTCGTCCCCTCCCCATACCCCAACGGAAAATGAGACTGACAACCTCCCAGAGACCTGCTAGAGCTCAAAGAGATCCAACGCTCTCTACCACACGCGAACCAGCCCGACGACCTCATCACAGGCCGCCCCGCACGGCACTTCCTCTCCACCGTGCCCATACCACTCCTGCCCCTCCTCGCAGAGACGCCCTCCAGCTCCGAATCCTCCCAGGCCTCCTCCCTCTCTCCCTCGCCACGGTCTTCCAGCCCCACGCTCTCCCCCGCCTCCTCCCCAACCTCCATACCCACCACCCTCACCACCACCTCCTACCCCTTCCCATACACCTCCGAGTCCCCAACGCCCACCATCACGCCCACCTCACCCACCAAAGTCTCGAGCTACTCGACCCTCGCCTCGGACATCGGCTCGCACCCCCCGTCCCACACGCGCGCGACGTCATGCTACACCTCGTCGGACAACGATAACGTCGCGCCCTGGACCGTCAACTTCCAGCGGCGCAAGGCCCCGCCACCGATCGCCCCCGCCGCGTCGTACGCATCGTCGTACAGGCCCCCGACGAACCTCGCGCACCTCCTTCCCTCCCGGCCGGCCCCGCAAAGGCCGAAGCCCTCGTTCGCTTTCGTGCCGTTGCTGGACACCCCGCCTGGGTCGGGGGATGGGTCACCGATGAGTGGGACAAGGCCGTCGTCGCCGCCCGTGGAGAAGGAAATCGAGACAGATACGGACACGGACCAGTCCGAGTCCGTCTCGCTCGACCCGCCGACGCCGTCGCTCACGAACGCGAGTCTGGACAGCAGCCCGCACTCATGCGCGTCGAGCTGCTCGCCTGAGCCGAGCTTCTTCCAGCTTCCGCCCCCAAAGGCTAATCCCAACCACCACAACTTCAATCCCAACCACTTCAATCCCAACCACTTTAATAACAATTTCGGCTCCAGCTTCAAGCCGCACGACCGACACCAGGAGGAAACCCAGCATCAACACCAAGGCTACGTCTCTGGCTACGGTTCCGGCTATGGCTACGGTTTTGGATACGCACCCTCGACCGTGAAGCTGCAAGCTCTGCGCAGCCCAGTACTCGCCCCGCCCTCGCCGCTCATGCTCAACAGCCCCGTGCCTGTTGCAGCACCGAAGCCGAAGCCGGCAAAGGTGAAGAAGCGCAACTTTATCGTCGTGAACGATATGGAGATCGATTTGGACTCGGACTCGGACGACGATCAGGATCAGGATGGGTCGGAGGAGGGAGGGGGAGAGGAGAAGGTGGTTTTCCAGGAGTCCTTATCGAGGAGTCGAGATAAAGATGAGGAGCAGCAGGTTCAAGGCCTGGATAGGAAGGGTGCCGTCACCCTCACCACCACCAAAGGCGAAGTCGAAATGGAAATCGAAGACACGGCCTTGTCAGAACCGAGGCTCGCCCCGTCTTCCTCATCGTCTTCTTTGAGTCTGACGCCCTCGGCGTCGACGAACGACCTGGTACGAGTAGGGAGCGAGGACCCGGTGAGGCGGTTGGGGAGCGCGTGGTCAGATCCGAGGTCTTCTTCCTCGTCTTATTTCTCTTCTTCGTCTTCCATCTCCAATACCTCGTCTACCAAAACCGTCCCAATTGTAACCACACCAACGACAACGGCTGCTCTCGAACCACCAACGACGCCAACCCCAGCCCGGCCGACCGCCCTACCCATGCTCTCCGCGCTGTCGACGTCCACCGCGTCGAGCGCCTCGCCGCCTAGGACGCCCTCTTCTCCGCCTACGCCTTCGTTGCTCTCCTTGTCCCTCTCCTCTTATCCTTCCTCCTCACACAACCCCTCATTTCAGCCATCCTCGTCGCCTTCAAAGGCGATGAAACACAGTCATCACTTCTCGTACGGCCAAGGCCGATCCACCCCCCCGCCGCATACGCCGCCGATTTCACCGCCCAGACCGGCGTCGCACGGACACGGGTTTGGGAGGACGCACTCGCGCTCGCCCCCGCCTGCCACGAGCGTGGGTGTGGGTGGGGGCCCGAATTTGCATATGCCTGTGGTGTTTAAAAGGGGGGCGAGGGCTGCGTAGGGGTCTTTTTTGGGGGGGAAGGGGGGTGAAGAAGGGGTGAAAGGGATGGGAAGGGGAGGAGGGTGTGGTGGTTTCTTTTGCTTCATTTTTTGGGTTTTATGTCTTTCGTGGTGGTGGTGCGGGTGGTGGGCGGTGGTGGTGGACGGGGTCGAGGGTGGTGCTGGTGCTGCTGGTGGTGGTGGGTGGGGGGTCGAGGAAGAGGAGAGGTGGTTTGAGAAGGAGGCGAGGTGACGACCTGGTGTGCCTCTGTGAAGAGGACGGATGCAGGACCTGGGTATATACGCGCCGGGGCTGCGTATCTGCGTTGGACTCCACGCCCTGACCGTCCTGTCCTGCCGTGTTGGCTGGCGACTCTCTGGTAAAGACAACGGCGCGATCCCGCAGCTCCTTTCGGCTGCGCCCCCTTGCGCTATCCCTCGGCCCTCGACGGTGTATTCGGCATCATGGCCGGCTGAAGGTCGTGTCGTCTTCTATCGTCATCGTCGTCCTTTACGGTCTCAGCCGGCATCGCCCACCTATTCGAGTAGTTCTCCCACCTCATCCTCGGTAGTGTTGCCTCCACCTTCGGACGGCAAGACAGCATCGTTGTCGATCGTTGCGAGTTCAAGAAGGCAGAGGCGAGGGCGAGGTTGCAGGGTTACGGTAGACATGCATCCCACACCCTGCCCACCTGGATTTTATACACACCTACTTCGCTTCCGCACGTTTACTCTATTACGTGCTTCCATGGAACTTGGGTTGTTCGGGCGGAGATTGAGTGGTCGTGCGCTCAGCGAACTCGGGATCGTGGAGAAGGCTGCGAGAGCGAACGAGCGAGGTGGGATAGCCGGTGTACTCTGGAGTCTGGAGGCGGAGCTGGGAGCCCTTCCCATCTCCATCGGACTGCCACGCACGAAGGACCTTTACCATTGGTACCCTCTCATTGACACCGATCGTCTCTTCTTTTTCTTTTCACCCTTATCGTTTCACGTATTTCCTTTCCTTCCAATTCATATCCACATACACGTTTCCACGTTTCGTTCTGTGTTCGGCGCAATTAGCATAGCATACATCCATCATCTCGTCGTTTTTCATCCTTCAAACTTCATTCTCTCCCGTCCTCATTCAATCGCCCCATCCCCGCCCCCCCCCCACTTGATCCTCGTGGTTTTCTGTTGTTTGTATCTCTCTCCAATCCCCATCCCTATTCCAGTGCTCCTTTCAGCTGTACGTTATTAGCGCTTTCCTTAATCGTCGTGTTCCTCGCCTTCATAATGTCTGCTCGCTTTGTCGTTTATCCTTTTATTTCCCCTATTCGTTATTTGTTGACGACTATACACATACCTAGACCTTCCTCGAGCTCTATATACCTGCTCTTCCTGTCCCCGAAAATGTGACATCTCGACAAAATATCCCGACGCCCCGAACGAATAGGGGAAATACATAAGAGGATAAGCGGCAAAGCGAGCAGACATTATGGAGAGGAGAATGATTAAGCAAGGCACTAAGAACCTGTGATGGACATAAAGCGGAGAGGGAGCACTCGAATAGAGGCAGGGATGGGGTGCGAAGCCATGCAACCCAGAGGTGAAGCCAGCATTCGGACAAGATGTGCCTTTGTCATTCCACCTTCTGGTCATTCTCAAGGAAAATTGAATATGATTGCCAGGCTTTACTACATGATCAATCTCTCTCTCAGAGGACGCCAACCTCACGTTGGTACTTCTCAATATTCTCCGCAGCCGTCCCATTCCAGGACGTGTTCTCCACTACACAGTCCTTCCACGACGAGTGTTCCCGCGCTGCTTTGAGCCACGCGGCCAAATTATCACCCTCCAAACGCATGGGAGTAAAAGTTGCCATGTTCATGTCGTCATGCCCGCTTGCATTGCCTTCATGGGCTTCAACCTGTTCGCCAGCACCAGTACCACCATTCCCAGGGTCTCCAGCACCGCCACGTCTGCCAACGTTATCATGATGCGGTTCTGCACCATCACGCCCACCAGGGAAACCTCCACCTTGTAAACTACCCTTCTTGATGGGGACCAGACGGTCGCCACGGGTGGGATGAAAGCCACGAACACGATATTCATGCCATAGGAAGGCAGTGGGGAAGGGGCATCGCTTCGTGTTGGTGTTGAAATGCAGCAGGTTGCCGTGTAGAACTTCCCAGTTGGGGTTTTGCGAGTGGTTGACAGCGACAAAGGTATTGGTCTGAAAGTCATGAATATGAGGATATGCAAAAATTCTGCTGCTTGAGACCTTACCTCAGAAATCCACCGAATATAAAACTGATGTTTGTCAAAGCCCGCATGGTGCGTTGGGCACATAAGGATTCCATTGCGGGGTTCGTGTTCAACGGATTTGGCGTTGCTGGGGATGTAGTGCAGGTCCCGCATGAGCGCCCACTATAACAGTCTTTAGAGAAAGAAGTTGTACGTAGCGAATGGGAATGATCGACTCACAGTGTTTCCATCGGCACGGGGGATGATATGACAATGTTGCAATACGCCACTATCGGCAGAAATAGGGCAGACGATGCAGCTGTTGTCACGCCCATCTAGGCCCGTGTTGAATGCGGTGCTATCCGATGGCTGAGTAGTATTGATGTCACCCCAAAGGTCGGTGAAGATAGCGTCGGGAGTGGAAGGGAGCGGCCAGATGGTGGTTGGAGTGAAAGACATGTCCGTGACGGATTACTCTAGACGTCGGCAGGTTTTGTCACGAGGCCCCACGCACGTGATGTCCAAAACGGGATTTCATACTCGACACCTTGTCCTCGGTGATGTTACTTCTCTCGGCAGAACGACGGTCCGATCACACACGTGATCTGGTCCGTCACGGCTCGTGGACGGTTCGGCACAGCCACCGGCGTGTCCGGGCCGGGGTACTGTCTTCCCCTCTGTCACCCCGCGTTGCGCGTGTTTGTCTCGGGGCCCTTCGTCTCCCGCGCCGTCTATCGCTCTGGGATGGCTGACACATGCTGACATGCCCTTCTTTTTTTCCCTAGGTCGGCAGTCCCTCCGGCTGTCTCACGGGCCATCGACGGCCTGCACAACAACGGCTGGCACACGTCCCTGTTGGGACGATCGGCCCCTATCATGGGCGTCTCCACTGCCACGGGCGCCTACGCGCTCGTGCTCGTCGTCGCGTTCCTGTGCGGCTACGCGCTCGGCGCTCGGCATGGTCCTGCCTTCCGTCAGGGCGCTGCAAAAAAAGTGGGACCCGCCCCAGCCCCGGCCCCTCCTGTCCGTGCAGCGTGCACCCCACCGCCACTGCCAACACACGCACCAGGAAGCCAAGAAGACCATGAGGCGGTCCTCCGTTGGGTACGTCAATACCCAGTCTTCATATGTGGTACTCAGGCTAATCACACCTATGGCATAAATATTAGGCAAGCAACATTATTTGCACGTACTCCTACAAGACAAAGGAGGAGCGCATTGCCATCAGCAAGGCCCGACGCACAGCGGCTCGTGCTGCAGCCGAGGGGGCTTGAGGCCTAGAATTACATACATAATAGCTTTATTTAGAACGCTCTGTAAATACATAAATGCACGATCCGACTAGCGAAACTGTCTTTTGATGGTTGGAGACCGTCTTTTATTTGATGAACTGTTGGTTGTCAGTCCAGATATAGTTAAAATTTGATGAAAAGACGTGCCCCGACTGTCCTTTTTTTGACCAACCGTCCTTTTTGTGGCCCATGACGGCTTCGGAAATTGATGGCCAGTTCATCAAAGACGGTTTTTCGAGCGGCTTCCCTGCAAGTGTCACACTGGCATGGCAGCTCACCTCGCTCAGGCTCCCAGTTCGGATCAACGTACGTAAATTACAACGCGCACGCAACGCGTGCGCGTCAAGGACACAATATCTATACACATCAAGTTATCCTAGCTTTCCTCTCTTCCTCTCCCACCAACACACCCCATTTCAAGAACAGCACAATGCACCCCTTCATTGTCAATATGGTATCAAAATTTAGGTAAGTTATTTACATTTTCTATTCCTTCCTTATTCTTCTCCCCTTCCTTTCCTCATTTCCCCTCGGCGATGCGCACACTCAGCGCTCGCGCACCATATCAGGCCCACGCGGCCTTGGTTTGAGTGATGGGACGCTAAGCGGGGAGCCAGCCCGTCTCGCGCCCACCTCGTGCCCGCCGTGGGCTGAGCCCCCACGGGTCGGCAACGCGGCTCGCTCGTTTGGGGCGTCCGCGTCACACCGTGACGAACCGTCCTTTTTGGCGGTCCGAGCCCTACTTCCTTCTCCAGACGGCAAGACCGCATCGCTGTCGACGGTTACGAGTTCAAGAAGGCAGACAGAAGCAGGCCCGGGCATAGGTTCAGGGTACCCTACACACGTCCCTCGCACCCTGCGCACCTGGATATTATACACGCTGCGGAACGCTTCCACCCACCCCGTCCCGTCTCCTTCGCTTCTGCAGCTTATTGTGTGCTTCTATGAGCTGTGTTGCGGGAGCAGGGATAGAGTGGCTTTGTTCACACTGAACTCAGGATTGTGGAGGTTGGGTAGGCGGGATAGCCGGTTTACTCGCTTTCCCGTTCATCCTTTCATTTCTATCTATTCGTTATTCGATGACGATTATACACATACCTAGACCTTCCTCTCTATACACTGCTCTCGATCGTGTTCCTCTATACACTGGAGCCAAAATCATAAGGCGCGTCGCGCTCATGACTTGAACGCTCGGGAAGATAGTCAAACTTGGACTTGTTGGAGGAGCCTGATTTATTTAATTTGTCATCGTCAGCAGCGAATACCATAGTCAAAACAGGTTTGCCCGTGCTCCGTGGCAAGGGGCTTGGAGCTGCAACTTGGAGGGGAATTAAATTCTAGCTTCCTTCTTCTGCGGTTTTCAGCTCTCTGCTTGAATTCACTTGGGGCCGCTCGCCTTCGCCCCTCCGTCGCGTGAGGCGCCAAGCGACTTCCGGCGGGCTTCAGTGTCGTGGATTCAGAGCCTGCAAATTTTCCTTTTCCGGAATTTGCCACCAAGATGACGACGTTGTGGGAAGAAGAGTAATCCAGCATGTCTTTCACTCCAACCACTATCTGGCCGCTCCCTTCTATTCCCGATGCTATCTTCACCGACATTTTGGGTGATATCAATACTTCTCAACCATCGGATAGCAGCGCATTCAATACGGGCCTAGATGGGCGTGACAACAGCTGCGTCGTCTGCGGTTTTAATGCCCGTAGCATATTGCACCATTGTCATATCATCCCCCGTGCCGACAAAAGCACTGTGAGTCGATCATTCCCATTCGCTACGTACAACTTCTTTCTCTAAAGGCTGTTATAGTGGGCGCTCATGCGGGACCTGCACTACATCCCCAGCAACGCCAAATCCGTTGAACACGAACCCCGCAATGGAATCCTTATGTGCCCAACGCACCATGCGGGCTTTGACAAACATCAGTTTTATATTCGGTGGATTTCTGAGGTAAGGTCTCAAGCAGCAGAATTTTTGCATATCCTCATATTCATGACTTTCAGACCAATACCTTTGTCGTTGTCAACCATTCGCAAGATTCCAACTGGGAAGCTCTGCATGGCAATGTGCTGCATTTCAACACCAACACGAAGCGATGCCCCTTCCCCACTGCCTTCCTATGGCATGAATATCGTGTTCGTGGCTTTCATCCCACCCGTGGCGACCGTCTGGTCCCCATCAAGAGCGGTGGTTTACAAGGTGGAGGTTTCGCTGGTGGGCGTGATGGTGCTGAACCCCATGATGATAATGTTGGCAGACGTGGCGGTGGAGACCCTGGGAATGGTGGTACTGGTGCTGGCGAACAGGTTGAAGCCCATGAAGGCAATGCAAGCGGGCATGACGACATGAACATGGCAACTTTTACTCCCATGCGTTTGGAGGGTGATAATTTGGCCGCGTGGCTCAAAGCAGCGCGGGAACACTCGTCGTGGAAGGACTGTGTAGTGGAGAACACGTCCTGGAATGGGACGGCTGCGGAGAATATTGAGAAGTACCAACGTGAGGTTGGTGTCTCTGAGAGAGAGGTTGATCATATGGTAAGCCTGGCAATCATATCTTGTCCGATACTGTCTTCTATACTGACACCCTCATTTCTCTCTTCATTTTCCCTTCATCGCGTTTAAAAGTGACAAAAGATAACCGCTACTCCTAATGGTCAAGGCCTCCTTCACATACACCGCCTACCTCACCTCCGAGTTGCAAGGGCATTGATTTGGGCTTGGGCAGGAGGACGCACTTGCGCTCGCCCACCTCCGCACCGGGCGAATGGGATGGCGGATAATGTCGGGACATCGAATTTGCACATGCCTGCGGTTTGTAGTAAGGGGTCAACCGGTCAAGGGCTGCCTAGGGCTTCGGGGTGGGAGGGCAGGAGGGTTGGGGAGGAGGGGCTGGCGGAGAGACGGCCCAGGCGCTGGGCAAGGGTGACGATTCTTTCCGGGCTGAAGGTCGTATCGTTATCGTCGTCTGTTACGGTCCCAGCCGGCGTCGCCTACCTTCTACCTCCACCTCATCCTCGTTGGTGTTGCCGCCAGCCTCCGGACGGCGAGACCCTATCGTTGTCGACCATTGCAAGGTTCAAGAAGGCGGAAGCGGAAGCGGGTGCAGGCTTAGTTGCAGGGTACACGCGCACCCCCACTCTAGCCCTCGATTTTATGCACGCTTACTTCGCTTCCGCACGTTTATTGCATGCTTCTATGGGTTGTGTTGCGAGGGCTGAGATAAAATGGCCTTCGTAACATAACACTACACTCACGACCCATCTGCTCTACCCTCGTTCGAAGCTACAAAAAAGGCATCTTTATTAGAGCTCTTCAAGCATTGAATTCAAACATTCATTCCATTTCCTTTCTTTGTTTTCAGCGACCACATTTCTGACGTTGTATTCCTCTCCTTGTATACAGGCTGGACCAGTCACCAAACTGATTGCCCCCTCCAGGACTGAGATAGGCGCGCGTATGTGTAGATTCACACGCTATGTACCTTGAAGAAGAGCACGCCTACCATATCCCCACTTCCAGTTGGCATGAAACAACGGTGTTTTTGGTTCACCAGTCAGTTGACACTGATCATAAGTGGTCGTATGTTTCGAAACTTCCGTGCCTTGAATGCAGGATTTGAGCACCCATGTACGTATAAAACATCTGAGAGTGCTCGGTGCCAGTTTACCAGTTCTCAGGCCTCAGATTTTTTATGCCTGCTGCTGCTTTGAATGAATTCTTACATGGTTGTGCTCCCGCTGTTTGGGAGTCCCTTCCAAGCTCTCATTCAGACGTTGGAATATCATTCTCAGTTATATAATTACAGAAATGGAAGCCTGGAACCTCTTCTTTAAAAATCGTCATTAGGATATCCGCCTCCAGACCCGTCATTCTCTGGCACCTGCTCATCTCTATCTCCTCTACCACCTTGCCCTTCTTGCCTATACGCTCTTCCATTGTACTCGCCCTCGTCGGCTCCTTGAATCTCCCCTGCGTGGCGACTTTGGTATTGGCTGTCACTGAGCTGTCCGCTGCCACAATCTCGAACAAGGTCCGGGTCGTCCTGGTCCTGGTGGTTTTGTACCTGAGGACAAGGAGCCGCGTCGTCCCCTTGCTCTGACTGATGCTCTGATTGCGGCGGTGCAGACGAATCGATGTCGGGATCCTTCTCCGCGCCCGCGTCAGGTGGCGCAGACTGCCCACCTTCCTTCGCCTCCTCGTCCTCGTTGACGTTCGAATCTTGCAATTGAAATTCGGCTTGAGGCGACGGAGCAGAAAGGTTGACACCCGAGACCTCGTCCGAGTCCACATCTGACACTGCGTATGTCCCGTCGCAGTTCTCGTCGCGCTTTGGGATTGATACCTGTATGCCAGGGGCGGGGCTTTCTGCGGTCCTCAGAGAATGGGCGTTAAGATCTGGCACCTTCTCGGGTTCAAGTCCTTGGGTTTTAGTATTGCCCTGTTGACCAGCATTTTGGTTTCTGAGTATTTCCTCAAGCAAGCCCTTCATTTCTGCCATCCCGGACTCTAGGGATTTGACAGACACCTCGAGGTTATTCAGCCTAGCGCCGATATTTGTGTCCTGCACTGCTGGGCCCTCTTGTGGACTTGCCGGTTTGGGCCCGTCCGAGTTCACTATGCCCCTGTCGGTGAGAAATCGGACGCTCGTTCGTCCCTGAATACAAGTACGGTGTGCTACGGCTTGTGCAGGCAGTCGGCATGCGTAGACGTGGGCCCGTTTACACAAGAAGCGCACAGAAGACCGTCTTCAAGAACAATCAGCACAGTGAACTGCAATGTAATAGACGATAGAACAGTACGTACGGATTCGAGAGACTGCCCTTTGAAGATGATATCAACATTCATTGGGGAGTCGATCGTGAACTTCAAGGTCTTAAGGGAAGCACGGTACTGCGCATCTTGCTGCTTAACTTTGTCCTGAACTAATCTACGCATCTCATCAGGAATGAAGGGCATCTCCGTCAGTTCAGTTGGGCAAAAAAGATGGAACAAGGTGTGATCGATATTGCAAATGGCCTGGAGCATGTACCAGCAATTGGAAGGCAAAGCTACGAACGAATTCATGTTGGTTTCAGTATTTGAAATACAAAACTCATCGGCGAACCTTTCGAACCGAGCTGACACATCCTCAAGAAAATCCCATTCATTCGCATCTTGTATATGTTCATCTCGTGCACCCATCCTGTTAATTGCTGAGAAATTGTACCTCGGAGAGATCAAACGCTCACCTATAGTATGAAATGTACACCACTGAGGTAAACTCCAACCCTTCGGCATCCATGCTGTGAACTCGTTAGCCTCGCTAATTCTGATAAACCCTGAATTATTGCCGTCGATAGCTTCGGAGATCCTAAAGCCAAGCCTGGAAAGGTATGATAGAGTCCATGCATCGGGATGCTTCTGTTTCCTGCCCCCCCGGGGCAATGGTTGGAGTCTGTATATTCGGTGTTCGGTCTTCACTATCGCCAGGCACCAGCTCATCCTTGCGGGAAGAAAACTTGTCGAGATGGTATTTGTGGAGCGCCAGAGTGAATAGCTTATTGTCGATGCAGAATATCCAGCTCTATGGATTTAAAACCAGAGTAGGCTAGAGATCATATTTTCGGTCAACATTACCATTTCTTTCCAGAGTTCGTGAAGGTCCTGTTCGCACACGAACTCCGTTTAGCTTCGTCGTATAACCTTAAGAATGGAGACGGACATACCTTGTGGTCAAGACGATCATAAGGTCCGGCAAGCTCCCTAATAATTCTCTCCTCTGTCTGCTTGAGCGAATCTTCCAGGTTCTTTTAATGTAGATCAAGTCTGGACTGGAAGAAAGACCAATTATCTTCGCATAGATCCTTCAGCGAGATCTGTAGGTCTCGTTGGATATTGTTCAGCGAGCTGGCGTCCCAATCCTTTCGAGTAGCGGCATCTGGCGCTTCGGTTTGATTCTTGTCCTTTTGGTCACCTTGCTCGTTCGAAGTCTTGATCAATTGAGCGAGTACAGTGCTATCCTTTTTGCACAGCGATGGAGGGCGATACTTGCGCATCTCGCCTTCGACCTTCTTCTCCCAATCATATTTTCGTTTGAAACATTCGTTGACTATCTGTAAGATGCGATCAAGCTTCGTTTTCGCATCCTCCAGGCTAGAGGCCGTTTGAACGTGAAGGGTCTGCTGCAAGCTGAGACGGTGGTTGTGGAAGGTCTTGACATAGTCCTCCATACAAGGTTTCCATTCGTTCGCCCTAAAGAATTTGACTGATTATCAAGTCAACTAATGCCCTGTAGATCTGGTACTGACAAGTGGGGGCGAACTCACCGATGCGCCTCTTCTCTTTGTAATAGGTGTCGATAGTATTCGAACATTCTTTTATATCGGTACGAATACGGTTCATCAAGTCGCTATACAAGTCGTCAGCTAATATATTGCTATCACTTTCGGTGGCGAATGTTCCTCCCCGGCGCTTGTTAAGCTCGTCCAGGCTGTGTGAAATCGGAATTAGTTTCAGCAGCTGAAAGACCGCTGGCCAGGATTAGCACTAACTCGAGCAAAATGCGCATCATCTCCGTTTGTGCCACCATGACGGTCGTGACACGCGCCTCGTTCTCCCTTCTGTCGAGTTCATACATGATGACGCCTTTGAAGGTGGCGACAATGGCTGGATGTATAACGATTGAGGAGTAGAATCTGGCCCAAGCAAGGAACGCCCACCTTTTGCGAAAGGATGCGCCTCTGAAGCACCCTCCAAGAGACCAATAAGGCTCCTGGCGTGGCAAAGGAAGGCTCGCCCATCTCTTGGAGGGTGGGCTACCATGACTTCGTGGGTCTTCAGCCATTCCTGTTGGGTGTTGCGTACCGCAGCATTAGTAGAACGGATATCATGTTCATCATAAGCTGGGGGGTGGACACGACCAGTGCTGGGGTTATAAATGCTGCAGATCTTCACGTATTTGCCTCTCGGAGAATCGCCTGCCCCCTTCACCTTTCCTGATAAGCGCTGGAGCCGGCGTGAAACGTATGATCGACAGTGAATATATGAATGGTCGAAACGTATGATATGCCATCGCACTGTGGGAAGTCGAGTCGGTTAATTAAGCCGACACGGCCGGAACTGCCCAAAAAGAAGGTCCATTTGGGCGACTTCTTTGACATTTTATTAAGGCGTTCTAAAAATACCTCAATCTAACCGTCCCCAAAGGCAGGCCGGTCATCAGCCCTGTCCCGAGAAGCAGCCCCGCACGTTGTTGTATGGGGGACCTCCCATCTGGAACCTCCATGCAGTCCCCAGTAGAACTACATTGTTATCTACCTATTTACCAGTAAGTATAAGCTGCCTATGAAATGCCATATTCCTTAACCCAAAAATCCATAACTCGGGACGAGGGAGCAAGCAACATTTGAGCCTTCACCATTTGGTCGACGTAAATGCGGGTTCCAAGGGAAAGGAGCAATTTCGGAGGCCTCTGGCCTCTCAGATCTATATCCTCTCTTACCTCTCTCTCCTTCCCTGGTCCATTTGCGTGTCGTTGCAGCTTGGTGCCATTGTTTTGGCGGATGCTAGACTTGTGATGGTATGGCACGTGAGTGTGACCACGGTTGACACCTGCACTGTGCCCCCTCTCTTTCTTTCTTATCAACCACCATCTCTGCAGTGCAGGTAAGCCCTCCTCTCTCTCGCTCTTACGGGCATCCTAAGCTCACAATCTGGATAGTGAATCCCTCCTGTCATCTTGCTTATCTTATTCTCATCTATTCACTATCCTATTGTGAGTTTCCACTCTCTCCTCTCTCGTCTTGAGCCTTACTGTCCCTCAGCTTGCTCATGGCTCTGCCATCTGGGCTCCTATCTATTTCACAGTAAGGCTCTGCACCCTTCCTGGCTCCGCCATCCCTCGCTCATCATCTGACAACATCCATTGATTAGATTTTGATCTAATCCATACCCTCGTTACCCTCTTTTTTCATCATTATCGCAACTCGAATTTCATCCGCGTCCATCTACATCTCATCTGATGACGGAACATGGGACAACCGAACCTCAATCTCATGATCGTGAGCAAGCTATCGAGGACGTGCGAGCTCGCATCGAGCGCCTCGAAAAAGTCGTCGAGGATGCCGTCGAGGCGAAGAGCACCGTCGCTGATGTTCTCGAGCACCTTAAGGGTGCTGGAGCAACACATAAGGAGGCTGAGGATTTCGGGAAACAGTTCATTCAGCTGTTCAAAGCCCGACATGGTAGCGTCGAAGGTCCAGGATCTCAACAGATCAAGGGGGAACGTGAGGGTACCCCTGAGGGTCTCAATGAGGACGAAGCTGCTGAGTTCCGACGGAAGCATGATTCCCTCCTCGGAGAGCAGCCCCAGGGCGATGAAGAGGAAGCTGCCCAATGCCGCCGCGCTGTCGACGCTGCTGAGTGGCAGCTTGTTTTGGCGAAACTTGCTACCGTGGCGGCGAGGCCCGATTCTTCAGCTGGGAAAGGATCCTTCTCGGAGCTCCTCAAAATCTTTGACAGATCCAGTGCATCTACATCTCGGTCAATCCCCTCGACGGTTTTGGATGGTGCTCCGCACCTACGGAACCTATCATCCAACGCTATCAAGGACCCTCACCTGGACGAAACATGGAGACTCCGACTCCTTTTCGCTGGAAAAGAGACCATCGACAGCATCGTCGACCATCTTCAAGCCCAGCCTGTTGATCAACCACTCCCTCGCTCCATCTGGAGATTGCTTGTACAGGACCAATATGTTGATTTCGAGAAGTTGTTCGCCTTGATGGATCCAAACTACAATCACAATGATGATCCGAAGGATTTTGGGGGTGGTTTCGCTCTTGTCAAGAAGGAGCTCGCAACCGCTAAAAAGACCCTTCGGACTGAAGCCGATTGGATTTGAGTTTTCGCTGCCTGCCTATTCCCGCCTGGTCTCTGATGTTTTTCACGCCTGCCCAAATGATCCTTCAAATGGCATACGCTTCGACCTCGAAAGCCGTCAACGTTATGCGAAGAGTCCTTATCGGCTGGATGACAAGGCCCAATCATTTGTGTCAATCCTGGGTCAGGTTTTCCGTGGGACGAAGAGGCAGTCTGATTCGTCTCTGGGTGGCCGGCTTCCACCAAAACGTCCAACAGTTCCTTGCTATAATTGGAACTTGGGTATCTGCAGTGAACCGTGCAAGAACAGTCGGAGGCATGGTCTCTGTAGTGAGTGTGGTGGTCAGCACCGAGCAAGAGATGTTGCGGCGTGCTATGCTGCTTTCCAAACTCGCAGAGGAAAAGGAGCTCGCTCTGGCAGCGCAGAGGGCAGCGGACCTAGCGGCAGTGGGGCCTAAGCAGTTTGTCAAGACAGATGTGAATCTCAAGCGTCCGGCAGCAGCGCCCCTGGATGTACCACCTCGCTATCGCCACGGATTTGTCTGGTCCAACTCTGCTTCTCTCTGTGAATCTCTGGCCGCTCTTTTAACCTTATCTGCTCCTCCTTTGCCATCTCCACCTTCTCATCTCATTGATGACCCTGCACTCATCTCTTCTCTTTCTGCAATGCAAGGCTTTGTCAAGGTTGACACCCCATTCAACGTTGATCGCCTTGAATCTCTTCTATCCGATCACCCCAATCGTCCTTTTGTCGACTCAGTTATCTGTGGCCTTCATGAAGGTTTCTGGCCATTTGAGGATGGGGACTGGGATAAGGATGCTACCGAACCCTTGTCCAACTTTGCATCTGAGGTTGAAGACCTTGATGCCATTCGAGCCTTTTGCGACAAAGAACTCGCTGCGGAGAGGTGGTCAGACCCACTACCAATCACAGATCTTCTTCTGGGGATGATGTCGTCGCCCATGTTTGTGGCATGGCAGAAGGAAAAACCCCATGTCATCACTGACCATTCAGCTTCAGGTCTGAACAATGGTATCCCAAGAACCAAAGCAAAAGTGCACTATGACGACATGTGCACCTTTGGACAGATCTTGTTTAATGCTCGATGTCAGCATCGTGGGCAAAGACTTGTCGTGTGGAAGTCTGATATCGCCTCAGCTTTCTTGAACCTCCCTGCCCATCCTTTATGGCAACTCCAACAAATAGTTGTGGTTGATGGAAAGTTTTACGTTGTTCAGCGACTCGTTTTCGGAAACCGAGCCTCTCCGCGCATTTTTTGCTCATTGTCAGGGTTACTCTGCTGGATTGCAGTTAAGAAGCTCAGCATTGAAGGACTTCTCATCTACATGGACGACTTTTACAGTTGGGATTTTGCCGACAACCTCATCAAATTTCGTGGTCGTCGCCGTCCCCGTCGGCAGGTTCTATTGCTCACATTCTGGGAAGCTATCGGATGCCCGTATGAGGACAGGAAGCAAGAGGATGGTGATTGTCTAAAAATCATTGGTTTCTGGGTTGATCCCAATCGTGGTAGCATCTCACTTCCCCCTGATTCCGTTGACACCATTGTGACGCACATTACCTCCTTCCTCGCTCATCCCAAATGTTCGCCTATTCTCCATGATTGGCAGCGGCTTGGTGGGCACCTGAATTGGCTCTTTAATGTGCTTCCATGTGGGCGGCCTGCACTTTCAGGGTTATTCCGAAAGATATGAGGAAAGACTCACAGCTCAAGCCCGGTTTTCCTGAACCGAACAGTTCGCAAAGAGCTGACATGGTTGGCAGGTGTCATTCGCCATGCTATTGGTGTTCGCTTCATGGATAGTCTCAACTGGACGGACGACAAGGCTGACATTGTTCTCTGGACGGATGCAAGTCTCCGTCTTGCCTTGAGCTTTTACTATAGTGGTAATGGGTTTGTGTACCAACTCCGGCCACCTCCTCCTGGTACTGCCATTGACATCTTCTTCCTCGAGCTGATCGCCATTATGTCAGCCATCTTCCACGTTGCGTCTTTTAAATCTCCACCATGTCGCATTCTTCTGTTTACCGACAGTTTGGATGCGGTTGGACTGCTCAACTCGCTTGCGGCATCTGAAGATCAGCACAATGCACCCCTCTTAGGTATCGCAGAGGTTATTCTGACCTCAGGTGTTGACCTTTGTGTCCGTCATATTCCTGGAAAGGATAACATTCGCGCTGATATGCTTTCACGTCTCCTCCTTGAGGACTTTCATCGGCGTTTCCCTGCAGACCATGTCCAGCTCTTTGACCCTCCAAGGGTCCTCCTGCCGGCGCGTTGGAGGGAGTGCTTTTAGCTGCACTCGGCAGGGGCGAGTTGCGTTCACGTTCATCTCGCCCCCGTCGCCAGGTGATGGACTTGGCTCACCTTGACCGCAGGACCCTTTGGTTGCAAGCGTCTGCGATTGAGAAGTCCACATCCCAAGGTTATGCGACTGGCGCGCGCGACTACCTTCGGTTTTGTATAACACATTCTCTTCCAATTAAGCCAACACCTCAGACACTTTCCTGCTACATGGCCTACACCTCTCAATTCATCGCCTCTGGCCTGAAATACCTGTCCGGAGCTCGCCATTTCCTCGCTGATTTCTATCCGGAGTTTGGTAGCAGTCATTCTCACCCAATTGTGCAGGCAACAATCTGTGGCTCGATGAAGACCCGAGCCGATCCTATCCGCTGCAAACTCCCATTACGGCTTGAACATCTTTCAGCCTTTCTCAAGATAGCAAGAGACTCTAAGTCATATGACAATCTACTCTTCATCACCATTCTTTCTTGCTGCTTTTATGCTTGTCATCGAAGCGGCGAACTCGTTCAGAAGAATGACTCACGTCTCTTTGATTTGCGTAAGATAATTCGTCGCTCCTCCCTCATCTTTGTTGATGGCCGTGCACAATATCGATTGCCTTATCATAAGGCGGATCATTTCTACCGTGGATCAGACATCCTGCATAGCTCGCAAGATGTGGTGGATCCGGTCTCCCTCCTCAAGGAATACGTCATCCTCCGCGACAGCATTCATGGGACCAATGTTGCGCTTTTCTTGAAGGAAGACGGAAGCCATCCTACACGCTCTTGGTTTGATGCAAAGTTTTTTGCTGTTCTTGATCGAACCTTTGGTGGTCACTCACCTCGAGCAGGGGGAGCAACCTTCTACGCTTCTCTTGGAGTGTCTGAGGATGTCATCCAAGCGATTGGACGCTGGTCGTCAGCAGCCTGGAAAATTTATGTGCGCGAAAACCCAACTATTCGGGCAGAACTTCAACTTGCAGCGCTGTGCCTTCGACACCTCTATTCTCCTCACCCCTCGTGACCTCGCTCTCATCTTTCTACACCTCCTCCATCCCCCACACACAACATCTCTACACCCTTAGCCCTCTCGCTCTGTCACCAATGCAAGCTGGAGGCACATGGTCATGTGCCTCCGTTTATGGCTAATACCCGTCTGATCAGTCAGCAGAGGTCAACGTAAATGCGGGTTCCAAGGGAAAGGAGCAATTTCGGAGGCCTCTGGCCTCTCGGATCTATATCCTCTCTTACCTCTCTCTCCTTCCCTGGTCCATTTGCGTGTCGTTGCAGCTTGGTGCCATTGTTTTGGCGGATGCTAGACTTGTGATGGTATGGCACGTGAGTGTGACCACGGTTGACACCTGCACTGCGCCCCCTCTCTTTCTTTCTTATCAACCACCATCTCTGCAGTGCAGGTAAGCCCTCCTCTCTCTCGCTCTTACGGGCATCCTAAGCTCACAATCTGGATAGTGAATCCCTCCTGTCATCTTGCTTATCTTATTCTCATCTATTCACTATCCTATTGTGAGTTTCCACTCTCTCCTCTCTCGTCTTGAGCCTTACTGTCCCTCAGCTTGCTCATGGCTCTGCCATCTGGGCTCCTATCTATTTCACAGTAAGGCTCTGCACCCTTCCTGGCTCCGCCATCCCTCGCTCATCATCTGACAACATCCATTGATTAGATTTTGATCTAATCCATACCCTCGTTACCCTCTTTTTTCATCACCCGCCCTCCTCTCCCTTTTCTTTTAATGGACAATTTAAGTAGTTTATTGGTACATATACAGTTGTAGCCCTCTCGCTCTGTCACCAATGCAAGCTGGAGGCAGTCGTGTGCCTCCGTTTATGGCTAATACCCGTCTGATCAGTCAGCAGAGGTTGTGCGACAATGTTTGCCATCACCGTGTTTGTCAATAGGCATCCAAACAAATTCTGGGTTTTCCCCAGAGTTTGTTTGGATGCCTATTGGAACAAACACGACGTTGCCAAGCAACTCACGGACACGTGATGAGACGCGTCGCCCAATCTCCAGCAAGCTAGCTTACATCTTTGTCTCCTACCTCCATGTTCTCCACACGACACACGATCCCGCCTGATCTCCCATCTGCAGGCGCAGATGGTCTCACACTTGTTGAAATCCTCCACATATTAGGCCTATAAGGGCCCTGTATGCTCTGATCGTCTCGATCTGGAATCTGATAGTCTGATCATGACATGGCCTTGGGAGCATAGTTTGCATTGTAAGTCTCCATCCCGCAGACTATATGCGTTCTATTTCACTTAGAACTGCCTAACCATAGCTTGTCCCCCTCTCCATGCACATTGCATGTCTTTGCAGGGGTTCACGGGGCACCATACTATGGGGTGAACACGGAGATGAGAAGCTGAGCCAAAGGAAGGCAAGTTTGAATTGGCCTTCCCTCTGTACTCTCGCTCACGTACATGACCAAGTTTCATATGATGGCGATAACATGGCAACTGTGTATGTCCTGTTCTTTTGATTTGGTGTGGCCGTGTACAACAGGTGTGATTCTTTCTTCGATGAATCCACACTCATTCACTGTGTCTAGGCCGCGAATGCCAATGAAACAACAGCTACGACCGCTGCCACCCATGCGTTTCATGATATTTACAGTGTATAATAAACACTCACGTCCGCGCTCTCAAACTTGACAACGACACGGTTCGCGCACATGCGAAGACGGAAAAGAAATTGTCCAGGATTAAGGCCAGCGTACGTACCTTTATTGTCTTCAAATGAGGAAGTATTGATGAAACCTACAGAGGAAGAAGGAGAAGGGATACTGAAGAATGCAGCGCAGGTGAAGAAGCAGGCGAGGGGTACTGACTTCGTATGTCAACTGCCTTTCATTGTCATTCTAGCTAATTTAGTCATGACTCTGCCAGGACGAGCTGGGCAAAGCTGAGAGCCTTCCTTGCAAGGAGGCCTGGGGCTTTGACCCTGGAAGATTAAGATATTATGTAGCCCCCCTGCACCCTACATATGTATGTTCGTACTTGTAGGCTCTAGAGTTGCTGTTGTAGTTGTAGTGGTGAATATACACTGTTTTCCCAATCCTGAATATGGACATGTGGAGCCTGATCATGAACTAAAATATCTGCCTTGAACACATCTCAATGGACTGCAAAAAGCAGCTCAGAAAGCTGGCAATATGGTGCCATTTACAGCTCATTGAGCCGACTTTAGGCGGTTCATCTGACCGACTTGGGGGCGGTCATATAGACCAACTTCAGACGGTTTATTCTGATGTATCCTAGGGCGGCTCAAAAAAATGTAACGACTTCCTGCAGTGATCGTATGATCGCCATTGGCATAAGAATACTCCCGAGTGAGTTTTGGTCTTGTAAGATAGGAAAGGCCTCACTTCTTTTGATCAGTGCTCCGTGAGATGGTAGTGACGAAGGCAGAAAGAGATGCATTCGTACTAGTACCTTTGACACATCAGAGGAGTTTGGATATCTTCCACCTTGCGTGCGGTCTGATCGTTCGAAGAACTCTGGCGGCGATCTCTAAGAAGACGGCATTGTTAATAGTAGTCTGAGTGACGATTCAGCAGTTGCCCAAGATTTATCGCTGGTTGTTTCGACCCACTGCAGGGAGAGTGTTTGGATTACCGGTTTCCTCGTCTACCACGCAAGGGAGAAATGTTGCCTTTTTCCTTTACGCCTCTTGGGGTTACGAGCCTGGATATCGTGTTAGAGTGGGTTAGAATAGCCTCAGGAGTCGAAATTTATTTATGCGCTAGCGCCTACCGCCCAAGCACTTCCAATCTACCCTTCAGAACATCTGTCGTACTCGTCAGCAGAACGTGATTGAAGATGCCACAGTGAAAGCTGTGGTGACCCAAGTATGGTGAAGAATACATGATATATTAACATAGATCAATGGATGCATCAAACCGAGATGCAAGAGAACAAGAATTTGTCTAGCTTGGCGGCAGAGAAGTGGCGGTTGGTGGGAGAGCAACGACACCTGACTTGAGACGACCTACGATGTTCGCAGGGATATCTTTGTGCGTGTAAACCCTCAATCCCACATACACGGAATTTGGATCATCGTGCGGGATAGTCACCTTTCCTTTCATGTCATCGCCAGATGTACCGGGTTCGTCTCCATATCGGGGTCTGGCCAACCTGTCGTGAGATGCTCGCTGGCGGTCACTCATGCTGTCCGAAGTATTGGGATCGTCGGAGGATACGTTTGGCGCTGCAGGCGTTACAGTACCACTAGGTGCGCTGGGCTCGCTAGGTCCATCAAACTTGGTCGGCGAGGTGACAGTATGGTCGTGCTTGTCACCAGTAGGTTCAGTCGTTGAAGTAGCAGGCACTTTCTTATTCGTGATCACGACCGTTTCGACCTTCGTAGTAGTCGTGGTGGTAGTGGTAGTGACGGTTCCGTCTTCAGTGACTTGCTCCACAGTCGTAGTGGTGATTTCTCCTTCTGCCTTCTTCTTCTTCTCGAATTCCTTGAAATCTTTTTCGATGAGGCTGTCGAGAGAGACAGGGAGGTGATGTTCAGATAGTCTGAGACCAAAGTGTTAGCATTTCGATGCATGCTCTTATTCGAGCGACACGTACTCTGCTTTGAAGTCTGAGTATACAATATTCAGTGATTTCCTATGTTAATGGCACAGAATAGACGCACTCGTTGCAATGGACTGACTTTTCGCTCGTTCAGTCATAATCCTTGAGAGCTTACGCAACTGCCACTCGTCGATCTTGTCACTATTCTAGAAACGCCTCTCAGCCAAGAATTCTTCTTTACGAGAGTGGCACTCACTTCGTTACGGTCGAGTGAGCGATCTAGACGAACGTAGACGAAATAGTCGCCCTTCTCCAGCTCAACCTCAAGGTGAACACTCCGGAGGAAGAAATCTGAATGGGCCGACTCGGCGATCGGTTCTTTTGTCCCAGCCTTTACGAGACTGAAATCCATCGTCCACGAAGCGCGGCCCGCGATGTCCCGATAATACCGAGAATCCACTTGGGACAGAACGATGACAGCACTTGTGGGCCCAGGAACCGAGAAAGTGACTTGAAAGGAACTGTCAATGGTGGCCAAGGACATAAAGGGAGAGTGGGCACACATGAAACATCTCCATATGACCAGGCAGTCGGTAGCGGAGGCACGGTAACGTTTAACCATTGCGAAGACATCCTCCAACTCTCGTCGAACAGGATGGTTCGGTCGATTTGCGCGAAACATTCCAAGAAGTCGGAGTCTAGAGAAGAGCGAATTAGCTAATCACACTGTCGTGCTTGGTGCTTGACTTACACTCCATGACGAATTGCCCATCGTCTCCGAATTGGTGTCCAAGATCAGGTAGAGCCTCTAACCACTCTTGCGTCCACTCTTTCGAGCCATCGGACCACCTTCCAGTCCACTCCGACTTGCCCCAAGGATTGCGAACGACGACAAATCGTTTATCCTTGCAAAACACCGCGCGCAGAACGGAATATGCATGGTTTCCGATCAGACCTTGCACTTTAGCGCCGGTGACACCGCTCCGCGTGCTATCCAGGTTATTAAACGAGCATCCAAAGAGACGGTCCTTGTTCGCTCGACTGAGCTCTTCGTCCCAAAACCGATCTATATCAAGGATGTCCTGATATGACGATATGACAGTGATTGCCAATCAGCCTCGAGGCTGGAGGAGATTAAATTGAAGGAGGCTCGAGCTCACCTTGCTCTGCAACACCGTTGAAACGCCCCTACATCCACCAACGTCAATGACCCAAACGGGGTGACGAAAACAGCGAACAGCTCACCCGGTCAAGTCCTCGATCGCGTCGCACTCCTGTCCGCCGAGGATGTGTGAGTAGTTCCCATGCAGCTTTGCATACGCTTTCTCGATAAGAGGGACCCAGGTTTCCCCGGCCGTCCCGGACTTCGCAAAGTACAGAGACTTGCCGCCTTTCCTCGCGGCTTTGTTGTATGTGTCCTTGTCGAAGTGGTACAGCTCCTGCTCGCTCGACTTGAGCTCTTCATATTTCGGGACACGTGTATACAGCATGCTGATCGGAGATAAGACGCCTGAATTGTCAGGATGACGGGAAGCAGAGACTCACTCGTCGATGATAACTGTCACCCAGGCGTTGTCTCTAAAGAAGATGAACCCGTACACGCCGACTTTCTCGTCTCTCTTGCGTCGGAAGATCGGTCAGCGAGCCGCTTCGGAGACAAGAATAGACATACCGCGACACAAAATTTCTCCACCAACCCCGGCGCTGTGGAAACAGTGGCGAGAGCAGAGAGGAACCAGCAGTCCCCGAGCGCGCCTTGGATAATGTCGTTAGAACTGGCTGCCCCGTTGACGAAGAACTGGGGATTGTCGAATATTTGCGTCACACGATGGACGTCCGCAGGTGAGTGGCTCTCTCCGGTTTGGGTGAACAAACCGTACAGGCACCTGTTCTTGTCATTCTCGAGGTCAAATTCGATGTCTCTACAGCATGCATGAACATAAGATCTGGATGAGAACCCTGCAACTCACCTGAACTTTCTGTTCTTCGCGCGACAATCCTTCGCGATCCGTTCGACTTTGGCTTTGCAATCTTGGATCGCCTTCTCCAATTCCTTGGTCACGAGCAGTCCGGCTTGCTGCTGTACGAAGGACACGATAGGCGGTCGTGCAGTCGTCGTTTCTACAGTCGTAATTGTCGTGGTCGCCATGCTTCAACGAACAAGATGATGGTGGAAGGAAGAAAAGGTTGTTTGAGAGGCCTCCGCGAATACCGTAGTCATGCTATATATATGCCACACAGTGGCTGTAATAACAATGGGATCATCAGTCGCCTTGGGCGCTACGCTGGTGGCTTCTCGCAAGCCGATTGTGCCGATTTGGTCACCCTAAACCTTTATTTTGCCTATAAGCGACACAGTCAAGGCGATGCCGAGGTTATAAATCAATGCGAGTCCTATAAGTACAAGAAACCATACACACCGCTCTGTGGGCCGTTTACTCATTCTGAGTTCGAAAGACTCCGAGGCGTGCTGTAGTTGCGGTTTGTCGTCAATCCCGTATTGATTGGCGAATAGCTGACGGGCGTGGCGCTGGTATGATTCGAGCCCTTGATTATTATTAGGTCATCCGTCGAGTTGAGACCGTCGTTGGCGTTATATAAAACGCGAAGCCACTCGTTTATCTCCTGTCCTTGTGACCACGGAATACACTATTCAGTTGTCGGTGGCGGTACATGCTGTGTTATGCGCGTCGAACGCTCGTGTAGGCTTGTGTCGGCATTTGAAGTGGATGGCGCCGCGGAATTATTCTGTCAGATAACGGCTTCCAACTTGTGTCAAAGTAAGGTTAAGCAGCATTAAGTTTAAAATACCTGGGAAAGAGTAACGTGTCAGTCTCCCTTTCTTGAATCCTCCGCCATATCTTAGATAAAACCCACTGTTATTCAATAATAAGAGATGTCTATCGACGCTACTCACCAGGACATTTTGCACGGAGGGTTCCATCGGGTTAGGAAAACGGGGGAAAGAAAAGCCATTAAATTTTGCAAGTTTGAACTCTGAACAGTGGAAGAAAATTCCCAGCACGTGACTAGTGACACGGCTTAATCACGTGGGTAGTCCCCTAACCCTCACGTCTCTTCGTCAGTTATCCCCCAACCTCTCACAACATCCTCATGGATATGGAATTGCGAGACCTCGAAGCAGGGCGTTCTATTTGTACTGAAATACGGGAAGCCAGTTCCAGGAGTCCCGTGCGTACGGTTCACAACACTGACAGCCTACAGGATAAGAGGGATCTCAAGAGGTGAGTATATGCGTCTTTTTTATGGTGGACGATCCTCTAGTTCTCTCATTTTCTCTTTTGAGGGCAACATGTGACCGCCTGCATCCACTGGTCATAGCACAAGTATTCCACGACAAGAAGCGCCGCTGTGCGAACGAAGATTGGCCAATACAAGGGCTACCCCGAGCTAGAGATTCCACCCAAATCCAGTGTTTACAGCGGGCAGATGCGGCGCCTTTCTCGAGTCGGGGACGGAGGGTTGATATATTCGACAATTTGATCCGGCGAGGTGCGGGCTCTGTTCAAAATTGAAAGATTAGGGGTCGACTAATATGCCTCCTTCCGGCTCCTTCACTCAATCTACTAGGTCTTGAGAAAAGAAGAATCGAATGTGATTACCGTTCTCCTTCTCAGAGTTGATACATGAAGCTAAAAGGGTACACAAAAGTTACATTCGACTTCGTTGTGCGAAAAACAAGCCGCAAAGGGTTGGCTGATTGCCACCTTTGTTCTATGTGGATCCCAGAGCCGACGAATGTCCGGCTCGTTGGCAAGGATTCGTGGCGCGAGAAAGGGTTGCTTACCGTAAACTTGCTGGTATGTCGAGTTATTTTTGAATGGAGCAAAGTGGGACTGACATTTGCGGATTGAAGAGCAGAGTGCCTTTGGCTTCGCCTGCTTTATGACCTGACAAGAAAACTCTTCGACGAAGGAGCCGTATGTTCATCCTACATCTTGTCGTCGAATTCCGGCGCTGAGGGACGATTTAATGAACGCAAGGTACGAGGGTCGTTTGTTGTTGGGTGTTTATTCGTAGATGCCAGATTCACATGTGAGTTGGGCTTAACATGTGCTTTTAGTGAAGTGGACGACACTTGTTTTATTGCTTTCTTCCACCCATCATTCACCGTCCTGCAGTATGGACGACCACTCTCCGTCCAGCCGCGCCGCCCTCGATGACCAGGACGAGAGTGTCCGCATCGCCGTCAAGGCCCTCGGCGACATGCGAAATAGCCATGCCCACAGTGCGTCCTATCCACCCTGTTCCGATCGATTTTTATCTAACTATATTGTGGAACAGGCTCTCGTTCTCGGCCCCAGCTTGCCCTCTCTTCCTCTTCCTATGCCTCCAGCTCAGCTTCCAAATCACCTCCGGTCTCCCCGTCATCGACCCAATCTCGAGAGTCTTCCCGTGAACCAACTGCCTGTAGTTCTCCCGCCTTCGTCTCTCGAATGTCTCATCTTCCATTGGTCGGATCCGCTCTCCGCGTGTATGAGCAGGGCAAAGCGTCATCGCGTGTCGTGAAGGTGTGATTTCGAGCGCCGTCCCCAACGAAAAACGAGGCTGACATGCATGTGATAACGTTTGTATCAATAGTATGGGGCAGAGATGGTCGAATCCAGCGTCAAGTCAATATCACGGCCAGTAATCGAGCGCCTCCCCGTCAACGTCAACCAACTCGACGAGTTTGCTTGCAGACAGCTGGACAGAGTACGTCGTCATTGTTACTTCCTTTACAGCTTTTTGCTTCCGCCCACGATCTTACAATTGCACGTTACACGTGATTGTGCTTAAACCTTTCGTTTCCACTACCATTCGGCTCAGTTTTGGTGCGATATTATTCATCGCTACCTGACGAGGCGCATGAAAGCCTGCTTTTCATGTCGACCTGAACACTAGTTCTCATAGAATGTCGTTCTTACCTCTTCTTTTCCATCTTCTCCTACCATGGATTTACCGCTGATGCTGACCCTCCTCAAGCTCGATAGATATCGACGGCCCTCAGCAGGAAATTCTCCGACACCCCTCACTGATTCCCGTTCGCCCACATCCCCAGAATCTTTCACAATCGACGCCGACCGTGGAAGACCCAAACTCAAAACGAAAACCTTTGATGGATCTGCCGTCGATGACAGAGATGTTAGTATGCAGCGCGATGAAGCCTCCTCCAGTAAGTTGAGGACTTGGAGCGAGTCGGACGACAGAAGTGTGCCCCGCTGGCTGGAAGGTCCGCATCATCTTCTATTTTCCCCGCATTGCCAAGACTCACTTTCCTTTCATCGACACCCAATAGCAACGAGCCCATTCGTCCAACCTCCGCCGCCGCCACCTGATGAGAGATCGGCAACGCCCACGCAAAATAGAGACAACAGCCAGTCAGAAAGCTCCCATTCGCGCACATCGACGACTGCTTCCTCAGGTGGTGAGCGTCAAGTGGCACAACGGAGTCGATGGCAAGCCGTACTTTTGGAAGCTGGTGGACTCAGTGCGGCTCTTAGCGAGGAGAGCATGAGGAGATTGAAGTACTGTCTCCAGTGGCTCCAGGTTCGTTTCTGATGAATGCCTTGCCTGAGGAAACGTTTATCCCAATGTTATCTAGTACGCGACCGCTCATATCGACGCCCAAATCCTTATCCTACGAGATTTCACGGCGAATCTCCAGCCACTACCATCCGATGATATTTCTACCAACCGTCGCCCCCCGATTTCGGAAGAACATATGCGCAAGCTGACTGAAGTCCGCCGTGACATCGTGCACACAATCCGCCAAGTAGTCGACGTCGTCAGCAAGTACGCCGGTGGGGCCCTCCCAGAACCTGCTCGTAATCGGGTGCGCGGGTTTATATTGAAGTTACCGCAACGATGGGCAAGCAAGGCTGGCCCGGCACCGGGAGCAGCTTCTACTGTTGCCATTGCAGGCGAGCGAGAGACTGTGGCTGCTGCAGGCTCCGGTACCGGCGCGCTGAGACGGCCAGGAGGCCAACGACGTGCGGCGCAAAGAGAACGTGGCACCGGTGCCCCAGAGGGAATGCGATCAGGAGGCTCGTCTCGGGTGCCATCGCCTGCATCTTCACCGAGGATGTCGCGTGCGGTCTTGAGACATGGAGAGCATGCAGAGGGTACCAACGGCGATCACCCTCTACACCCGCAAGTGTCGCATGGTTCAGCACTACTTGCTGCTCAAAGGATTCTGGCACTCGCGACAGAGAGCTTGGACATGATGCGGAATGTCACTGGTGTTGTGAAGGAGAGTTTGGACAAGGCCGATGCGTGCGTGGATTTCTCTCTTCTGAGTGAACAATACTGATTATACTCTTTTTAAAATAGCTGGGTTGGTCGTCTACGTACAGTTGGTATTCAACGCGGTGCCCAAGAAGGTGAAGACGATGCCGATGGGTCCGAAATCGACTTCCCGCCTTCGTCTTCTCATCGGATGCGACACCGCCGCACCGACAGCTCGCAATCTGCCTACGACGACCACGACATCGGCAGTGGTATGCCCTCGCCCTTCTTCTCTGGCGCCTCGACGAACTGGGGTTCGAGCATTCCCTCGACGCCTGGCGGCACGTACACGCCCGTCAACTCGAGCTTCTCGTACGCGGGCAGCGCGTCGAGTCCTGGTGCTATCCATATTCCGATCGGCTCGATGAGCTTGGGCTCAAGGTATAACACACCGAAGAGCGTAGTCGTTGGGCTTCCGGATGAGGAAGAGGAAAGCGAAGACGAGGTCGGGCGCAAAGTGGAAAAGATGGAAGTTGTGAACAGTAAGCCGGTTGAGAGGGTTGGCGGTGTGAAAGTTGTTGGTGTTGATGCTGGGATTGAAGAGGATGGGGAAAGGGGGATTCAGAAGATGGATGTGGATGTGTAACATGGACTCGAGTACGGTGTGCTCTTTGTTATTTTCTTTTCTTTTCTCCTCATATTCCCGGTGATTTATCCTCGCGCCTTCGTACTTTCCACCGCCTCTCACTCCCTGATTTTCCTTTGCTCTCCCCTGTGCTTGCTTTGCTCGTCCGTCTGAGCCAGCACTCTTCTTTACATCTCGAATATCGGGCTCATCTCGTGGTCTGCTGCAATCTACACACACACGCTCTCTCAACTATTTCTGCTTCTCGCTTTCTCGTCGCTTTCTCCCCTCTTTGCCTCTGACAAGTAGCTACCGTATTCTCTCCTTTCACCATTTCTTTCCTACTCGATCTCATACCCCTTCCCGGTGTATTATAGGCCCATCCTTATCATAACTTGTATCTATCTAACCGACCTCCAGCTTTTAAGGCCGTTGAAACCTGACATGAAGTCGAATCCTGTCGAATCTTAATGTCGCTCGTGGTTCGAAGAGATTTCTGTGCACTCTGCGAATTGTGGGATGACATCGTCCGTGTTCATCGAAAGTTTGGGCGCTTCATGAAATGATCCAAGGTTGCTCCCAAGTCACGAATTCCACTTTTATTTTCAAGCGCTGGCTACTACGCAAGGATATTTCCGCTTCATGTTTCTCCATGGTTTGTTCACGCCTGGTTCTCCATTCACTTTATGAAGTCGTTCTCGGGCCATTCGATCATACTGGTGGTCATGAGGTGCAAAACGAGGTTCGGCGTTGTTCAAGTTAGCCGACCTCGGGAAGACGTAACGACTACTATTCGACACCAGTTCGACACTGTCCTGACCTTTTTTTGCCTTCGCATTCAGTATCGACTTCGACTATAACGTTAATGAAGTCACTTTGACAAGCTGGATATACCCTTGGTTGACAATCACAAACGTATCAATTCCAGAGAACGACCCAACGTCTCCACATAGGACACGAGGAGGCTCATTATTAGTCTTCCTCAGCGGTGAGCTGGCGGTGAGAAAGTCATTTGACAGAGGTCCTTTTCCAGCGGCAGGGGATGTACTCCAGGCTGGGCGCTTTTTCTCCCTGCCATCGGTCCTTGCATACCTTTAGAAGACGCCCAAGGTCGGTCTTTTGTCTCCTCCTTGCCCTTCCTATCACTGACCGACCTTGACTCAAAGCCAAATAGACGGTTATCAGGTTGCTATATATTCGAGGCGCCACCGCCATCCCGACCAGAAGTTCCCCTCCACAGCCCCCAAGAACAAGGTGTATGTCTGAAGCCTCCTCAAGAAGGTCTAGATTCGTTCGTCGTGACAGCCGGTACCATCACCGGAACGGACATGCCCACAACCACCACGAGCCACCACCTCCGCCCCAGCAACATGAATTGCCCCCTCCAGGCAGCAATCCTCAGCCGAGGGTCACCAAGTCGTCAGTGAACACAGTTTCGTACGCCCAGCAGCAACTCGGAGCATGCGTGACAGAGGGGATGAAGAAGGCGTACGAAGAGTGCAAGGTGACAATTGAGAGGATCGCAGCACAATGTCGAGCGAAGAATAGACGATTCCGGTATGTTGGGAGGCTTTATAATCACACTGCCTTGAATTTAACCTCCGTTGTGCGCCGTGAACAGAGATGTCGACTTTGACCTCGAGAATGATTCTAACAGATGCCTGCATAACCTGGTCGAGAACAACACGTTCGTCCTGACGTCGGACATTCGCCGCGTGCCCGAAATATTCGAGAAACCAGTGTTCTATAGCGGGACGAAGCAGTCGGCTGAGATTGTCCAAGGAGCGGTGGAAGATTGTTATCTGGTGTCAGCACTTTCGTCTATCACCTCCGTAGACAAGTTGATCAAGAACCTTTGCGTTGCAGTGAGTAGATCGCTTCTTCCAGAGCGTAGTTGGCTAACGTCTGTCAGCATGACGAAGATGTAGGCATTTATGGCTTCGTGTTTTATCGAGATTGCTATTGGGTTCCTGTCATAGTCGATGAGTAAGTCGCCATTGCAAATAAATTCATTTTCCCCCAGCTAATTCGACCTAGCATGCTCTTTACGAGGGTGCCGAAGTACGAGCAGCTTACGGCGGTAGAAAAAGAACTGTACCACTTCGAGAAGGAGAAATACAACTCCACGGCACGGAAAGGCGCCGAGGCCCTGTATTTTGCTCGGCCGACCACAAACGGAGAGACGTGGATCCCGCTCGTGGAAAAAGCGTATGCCAAACTGCATGGCGATTACGCTTCGATAATGTACGGGCGGACCTGCGATGCGATTGAGGATATGACCGGGTGAGCTCTCCCTTTGGTGGCCTGGTTTCACGTTGCTAACTATTTGCAGAGGCGTGTCTAATCTCATCTTGAGCAAGGTTGGCCATCCCAACAGCCTTTGTGTTTTCAAACTTGACTGGTTACACAGGATATCCTCGATAAAGACAAATTTTGGCACGAAGAACTCGTCAAGGCCAACCAGGACCGCCTCTTCGGCTGCTGGTTCAAAACACTCAACGGCAACCGCAGCGGGATTAAGAACGCTTCCGTCGATGGCCTCGTCGGAAATCTTTCGCATTCGGTAGTCAAAGCTGTCGAAATCAAGGGCAAGCGGTTCGTTGTCCTACGTGACCCCTGGGGCGAGGCGGGCTGGGAGGGTCCATGGTCGGATGGTTCGAAAGAGTGGACGAAGGAGTGGCTTGATGTGCTGCCTGAGCTAGGGCACTCATTTGGTGGCAAGGGGCAATTCGTCATGGAATGTACGTTATTATTCCTATTTCTCTTTGGGGTGAATATCTCATCTGCATGTTAACCAACCAGATTCTGACTTCTTGAACATCTGGCAAGAGATTCAGCGAACACTGATTTTCGACGATTCGTGGCTCATGTCATCGCAATGGCTGCTTGTCTCCCAGCCGTATCCATACATGAACGCCTTGTCGTACGGCGATGTCAGTTGTGAGCTCAATCTCTACCTTACATTCCGACTCCAGAAGACAAACCCAGCGTTTCAGATACCTTTTCCTTATCCAAGCCGTCTCCAGCGATCATCGTCTTTTCCAAATACAACATGCGGTATTTCAAAGATATTCAAGGGCCATGTATATGGAACTTGTCGTTTATTCTTGCGAAAGAAGGCGAGACGGAGCCGTTGGCCGAATCCTCCTATTCGTTCTTCTATACGAGGAGCGTCAGCGTCGAGCTCGACCTGGCAGCGGGAAATTACGTCGTCTTGGTAGGACCTTTCTCTTTGGCCATAATATTTATCTTATGCGCTCTTCGTAGGGGAGACTGGATCCTGTCCCAGTTCGTGATAAAGTGCGTCCTCGCTCGAGACTCGGCGTTGGTTCTAAAGCAACTTCTAGGACTACTTCCGCAACGGCTTGACCAGTGGGTGGGATAGACGGAAACTTGCCCGTATCATCACAGAACGTGCAAAGGGGCAATCTATAGCCTCCAGTAAGCGGTACAATTTCGTTGAAGGTTTTTCTGACATTATCCACAATTCACTCTAGACTATAAACCTAAGTACGTGTTCGTGGCAAGTCATACTTCATTCAACTCACTCTTTCATCAGCTCTCAACTCTTGAGTACACCTGTATCGAAAACCCTGGCTAGCGAATATGCCAAAGCCGACAAGACGACCGTCGATGCTATCAAGACGCACAGCGGGGGTGTCAAGCCAGGCGAAAGTGTCACTGTGTCCACGACCACAACGACCACGACCGTTATCACCAAAAACGGTGGGGCAAACCAAGAGGAGAGGCATGCGCGTCCCTATTCATACAACCCTAACAACATCAGCGCTGCCACTATGCCATCAGCTGCCAACGGGTATGGTCCGCACGTAAACGGCCAGCAGCAGCTCGAGGCTGGATGGGTGGGTATCGCACCTGCTACGCCACCAGCAGTATCCCCCGCGGCCTCGCCTCCAATCGTACCATACGGAGGGCCTCTGCCGCCTCCGCCCCCGCTGGACTTGAGGCCGGCAAGCCCGACACCCCGGCCACCGGCTCCTCCATTATCTTCTGATGTTCTGGAGGAGGATAACTCAATCGTGGTCGGGCTCAAGGTGTATACTAAGAAGATTGCTCCGACCGTCATTTCTGGAAGGTTGAGAAATTCGCCTGGAAGTTCTTGAATAGATATTCTAGCTTGGTTTTTCATTTGTCGTCGTAAACAGTCTGAAGCTTATGAAAAGATCGACTAGATGACAGACCATCTTGTATACTAATTCGGGCCTTGACCAGTGTACTGCGTAGAGTAGTGAATGTGAAACATCTACAAGTAAATTCGGCACTGTCCAGGAGATTTAAAGTCGATGGGTAGGCCACTTTTTCTCCTTCATTCCTCACTTCATTTGAAAATCTACACGAGCTTCTCGATTTCTATTATCACAGCACTACTCGCACGATGATTTCCATGCCGAATGCAAGCTCTATTCTGGAACAACCTGTAATCCAACGGTTTGTTTATCTGAAGGAGATTCAAAGCTCAAGATCCGCTGACGGAGGAAAGATTATTTGTGGACGTCGATGAACCTTGTTGTCGATTCGACACCTGTAGTGTCATTAGCGCGCCGCATTCCGGGAAGAGGGGTCGGGCAATATATAGCGCAGAGAAAGACAAAATACATCCCAATGAATAATGAAAGTCGTGATCAGGTAATCAAGAGATAGAACGGGAAAACAAAGAGGGGTAGCTCAATGGCAAGAAAGCCACTACTCGGAACGAAGGTATGATGCCGCGGTCTCTGGCACATTCTAAAGATCAAGGCTGGAGATGAATACGAACGTGCTGTCCGAGATTATCACGACGACTGAAGGTCTTGTCGCATCCTTCGTAAGGGCATGGGTGCGCTAGAAACGAATCGTTGAGAAAAGTCTCAAAAAGGAGTCAGAAAGGAATGTACCAGGCTTACGTTTGTCGTGCGTATGAATGCTTCGAACATGGCGCTTCAGGTGCTCCCCGCGTACGAAACACTTGCCGCAACCCGGAACAACACAAACGTACGTCCTGCTCCCCGCAAGTTCGTCGACGACGGCTGCCGGTGCGGTCGCCGCCTTCCTGCGCGTACGTCCAGAGGTTTGGGTCTCGTTGGCATCTGTCACCGCCGCGATTTGCTTACTCTCAACTTCATCGCCTTCCTCGACACCCGCAACGAAAGGCACCTTGCGCCCACGACTCTTCTTGTTCAAGTTCGGGACGGGGATCGGCAAGGGTATGGGGTGGTTCTTCCTCTTACGAATGCCCGTCACGCCTTCGCGGTAGAGTGCCAGAGAGTCGAGGTCCTCGGAGTCGTACAAGTGCTCGCTCCCCTCCCTATGCTTCTCTGCACCCATCTGCGTAACGACGGCCAGTGCGAGCGCCGCGGACCCCTTCGCCTTGCCCTTACACGCCTTGGACTTCCTCCTAGATGGCGCAGGCGGCGCAAGACCGTTGGAATGTCCATGAGCACGCCTGAACGAGGGCGCGAATGCAGCTGGAGATGGGGAACGAGATGGGTGGTAGTCGTCCGAGTCTCCATCGGAATTAGACTCTTCGTCGGAATGCAACTCTGGATCAGAGCGTTCGCCAAGCTTTGAACCTGGGTTGCTACTGTGGGTCAAAGTTGAACCCGGCGACGGACGAAGACGTTTCGTCTCCCGGAACGATGAGGCGCGATGGCTACTGGCGCTGCTGTTCTTAGATGACACGGCCGACAACATAGCATCACTCCGAGAAGCTGCACCGAGGAACGGAGGTGAAATGGAACGCTGATGCTTTTTTTGAAGGTTCGAAGAGAGCGGCGCGAGGGATGGCAGGTTTTGTACTTCGCTATCGCACCATCCACTGAGGCCCCGACCAGAGCGACTTGAGGAATTGGAGTCTGAGGACTGGTGGCTCGAGTTCGAAGATGCGGTCCGCGAATTGACTCCCAGAGATGGAGGGGCACGATTTGGCAGACATAGATTTGTCAAGGTAAATTGAGAAGGGTCGAACGCCATAATGGGCAGCGCATAGTTGTTCTGCGCCGAATACGACGCGTCGTCTGCAGTATCGTCAACGCGATCAGGCGAATACAGCTGCGATGGGCCAAGCGGGTTGTCGTCGCCGTTTCCAGAGCTAGTAATGGACACCGTATGCTGGGGTGAAGGATATGCGGCTTTGAGATCACGCTCTGGGCCCATCAAGTGAAGGCCGTCGAAGACGTCGGAGCCAGGTGCAGGGCTGAGAGATGCTATGGGAGGGCTAGCGGGTTCCGCACCAGGAAATGAGTTCGTCGATGGCGAGAACAATCGAGAAAAAGAGAATTGTTCTTCAGGCTCGTCTGTGGGTGTGGGGAACTGGAGAGAAAGCGAGCCTCCAGATCCGATACCGAATTTCGAGTGTTGAGAGCCAGAAGGAGGAAGGAACATTGGCCATTGGAAGCCCTCAGGTAGTGGAAGGGACGTTTCGGAGGGTGGATAATGTAGTTCGATGCCAGTATCGTCTTCACAGTCGCCCGAATCTGTTGAAGATGAACGAGTCGCAGTCGAAGGAGAGTCCACAGAGGGATACACCAAACCCGGAGGCGTTATCGTTGTCGCTTTGACGGTATAACTGACTGGATAACCTTCGCCTTCGGGCCATGGGCGTCCAGCAAAAATGGAGGATTGTTCCCAAATGTCTGGATGAGGAAGAACTGTGTCGTTTGTGTCTGGGCGTGGCTGTAGAGCGGTATTCGAGGGCATTGCAATGCCGTTCCTTGAGAGATGTGAGCTCGATGTGGTAGGAGAGAAACGGAATATGGCTAACTCAACACCTCGATCTAGGCTTTCCATCCCTAGAAGCACCCCAATATCCATCTATGCGCTTCAAAACCGCCAGAGGGAGAGAGGGTAGCGATGAACGATGAGCGTCGTCACTCTTTTCGATCCAGTAGAGGCAGAATTCGAAACCACGCTCGTGGCTGACTGATAAAGGCATACAGCAAGCCAGTCCAGCCAAGTCAGTACTTGGTCCGGTCAACATTTCAATGTTTGGATCTGGGCGATCGAGGCGCGGTTCGTAATCGGGCAAGGCGGAAATTGTCCAGGCATTTGCTAGCAGTTGATTTAGAGAGCTTCAATCTAGAGAAGTAGTCTGAGCACTTACAGGCAGAAAATATTCGCTAAGCTCGAGAAAATGCTAGTACGTCTGGTATGAAGCCAAGGCAATCCTGCTGAAGTTGAACCCCTCTGATTGTGCTCGTCTCGAAGTGTCGCTTGACGAGTAAGGCATTTTGGCAATAAGGGAACTTTGGCAATCAACGACAGATAGGGCTCCTTTAAAAAGTGGAAGTATGCCTTAGGCAAGACGTCAGGAAAACTGACAGAAGCACTCAGAGGACGAGACAGTTGAAAGAGGTTGAAAGCAACAGGTGCTACAGAAGGCTCGGCATCTCGATGCCGAGTTATAAAAATTCTCACGATTGAAACTCCAAGGTGCGACTCGGATTAAGCCCTCCACTTTAGGGCGTCTGAAGGACCGCATAAATTGTTAAAGCTTTCTTGAGTCACAGAAATACACGAGTCCCTTTTTGCCAAGGAAGATGCATCAAATGAGATTCATTCATATCTTGAGCCTTGCTTAAAACGTTAGAGTTACTCGACGGGAATGCTTCCCGATACAAAGCAAATCGCCTACGACGCGATTTCCAAATGGAATACTTTTCGCCGAAACTCACATGAAACGTAGTTTATCCGCATGTTTTGAAGTCGCGGAAAGGCAAGCATTGGCCTCATCAAAAAAGTAACTTATGTTGTGATATAAAGAGCCATAGAGGGTGAGATAAAAAGGTTGCCAGTCTGCCCTATACTGTCTCGCAACTACCCACAACTTCATCATGCACTTCCTCAGCTTGGTGTTGGCCGTTGCTTCATTTCTGAGCTATGAGGCCCTTACTAGCACTCTCTCACAGACCTCTCCTGAGGTTCATCAATGTATTTATTTCGAGCCACTTTATACTCTATGAAATCTCTTGCGGACGACTTGCGTATAGGCGGGGGTCCTCTTCTGGGTCCGATCCTGGCAAGCCACACTGTAATTCCATGAATTATGGGAATTCAATTGCATCGACATGTTCATCTTTGAACTTCAGCAATGTGGGTCATTTTAACAAACGGGGCATACCTACTAACAGGGTAAGAAAGGCCCCTTTGGGTCTCGATGCTGTGGTCCTTTCGTGGACGGAAAACGTAAGTGTGCTTGCTGCTCTCATATAACCCACATAGGGCCCATTATTGAGCTTGGCATTCAGTTGTGTTGTAGGAGAGGCAGACCGCTGCCCCTTCCAGTCCTAGATATCTCTTTGCCGTACCCACCGCCCGGTATTCACGCATCTAAAGATTCGGAACTGGGAGCATGAGTCAATAGCACATGAGCAAAAGAATGTAGAATGGTGTATGAAGCCTTGAAGGATATGCATTGGGCCCTGTACTCTCCGGGGAATCATGATAGTCAGCGAGTTAAAATACATTGTGTGAGGAAGCGTTTCATGGATGCCAGCCGGCCCGCTGTCCTCGAAGGTGTGCGGTATGAGCCGTGTATCCTAATTTGGGTCCTTGACCCATAAATCATAAGCGCGTTGTTTGTTTGGGCTTGTGTCCGCTCATATGGGAAAAAGAGCAAACATGAGCGTTGAGGCCTTGAGGTCCCAGTATTCAAATTTAAATTGTCTCATGTATTTTGGTCAGATATCTATCAGCCTTCCGATATTTCTAACATGGTCGCAGAGCCCGTTTCCGTCAGACAACAGTCGATTCGGAGCCGCCTATCCGTAGATCACATACATCACGTAGGTACATCAGCAATTCCTGGTTGGGTTATGAGTGCTATACGAGGGTATGTAGCACTCCGTAGTTAGGGACCATCACGGTAGATAAGAAGATGCATTACAGCGCTATGGCGCGTTACGTAGCGCTGTGTAACGCGCCATAACGCGGTGTAACGCTAAAATCGAGGTCATTTTGACCCTCAAAATCAGGATTTGCTGATGTAGCATAATACCAGGGAGTTGTTCCGACTGTTAGACTTGTTCTCGTGGCTCAAGTACACACTGGAAGCGGTTGCCTACCTTGGTACTAGTGCCAGCGCGTCCTCATTCACGCCGACGTCCGTTGAGGGAAAATGGTTTTTTTTGGACCCAGACGCTACGAGTTTACGAGACTAAAACGGTCATCGACGGTCATATGCCGAGAACTCCAGGTCAATTGCGCGCTTACTCGTCGCCCTGTCCTCCTCATCCTATCTATAGACAATTCGCTATTTTTGTTTCGCTCGCCTGTCCTCAATACGCATTAGCGAAGCCTTATTTTTAGAGTCTAGGTCAGCCGCCGCAATGACACATTGCGCAGTGGACGTAGAAAATCGTATAAAAGGCGAAGTGAGTTTCCTTTCCCTCAACAGAATCGAAATGGAAGTTAAACTCGTATTCGCTACTTTCGCTCTTCTCGTCGCCCAAGCGGTTGCTAGTCCTGCTCCTGCTCCGCAGGGAGAACCTCCCGTCATACGCTGTAGGTACGCTCGTATGGACTATTGACCGAAACACTATTCTCTGCCATTTTATAGGCTTCACTGCTGCTGTAAATTTTCCATACGCTTTCATTGTACTATGCTAACAGTTACTTAATTTACAGGATTGTAAGAAGGCGTATTCGCTTCAATCTACATGACTGAACTAGCCACTAGGCCCTGCCGGTGATAATTGCTGCGGACCACGTCAACCAGCTGAAGGTGGTCTCGGATTGTGAGTAATTGATTTACCTAGTCTCACTGTGATATTCACGGAATATCGATGCTAGCTGCCGTGCCCCAAACTTGCTTTGCATTCGTTGATCATGCAATGAATTAATCATCCATGACGGAGGGAGACGACGGCGTTGTAAAGTTTGAGTGGAATGGATATAAATTTGAAAACCTCTGAGTATGCTTTGATGCAATCCCGAGTGAATCCTCCTTTTGTGTCTTTACCCATGGGTATCGTGACGAGCGAATACGAACTGTGGAAAGATGAAATTATTGAGGTGAACCTCCCGGGTGTACCTGGAATAATCATAAGCGTCTCTAGAAACTTCCTTCATTCTACCTTCCGGTGCCTCCAGCGCCTGCCTAGACCCATTTGTCCAGGACGGGAGGTAACAGAGGCTATAAGTAGCTCTCTTGGCACGGGGATTCCCGCACCAAATTGTCAACCGAACTTGACGGCGAATTTGATTGTATTCTCCCATGTCGGGCGGGGTAATACTTAAGAGTAGGTCCATCGGTCAATCGGAAGGTTTAACTTTGGTTAGTTGACATTCATCCTCCCCAGCCCCGAGCGCGCCCTCTAATGCATCCACCAAGTTCCGGGGTACGCATCAAGTATGTAAGATGCGCAAAGGTCCGGACGATCCCCACTAGGCCGTCGAGCCTTTCTCGATGCCCCTCCACCCTTAACGAATCTACGGATACCGTTTCTTGGCAGAGTTTCGAGAGGCCGCTCAAGGTCCCACTTCCATTTCACGCGACGGCGTTACCTTGGAGGATACGCAACCCATCTCCGCGCATGCGCACGGTCGTAGCTTACTCCCGGTAAGAGGCCTTGAGTTTCGGGGTCACCAAAAGGAACACATCCGTGTCGATCAGCATTGGCATTATATCACAGTATATAAGGACGCATGTCCAATGACGACCTTTCAAACCTCTCAAGTTCCAGAGACACCCGTCTAGTCATTGCACCATGAACAAGCTCTTCACTACTGCCCTTCTGTTCCTTGCCGCTGCCGCAGGCGCGATGGCCACCCCTCAAGGTGGAAACACATGTAAGATTCTTCGAGTCGTGCCAATTTCCGTGATGCTGAATAACATTTACTCAGGTGCTAGCGACGGCGATTGTAATTCACATTTTGTCGGATGATAATTTCGTACTAACCGCTGACCATGTAGGCGCCTATGGGTTCTCATGCTGCAAAGCCATCCCAGCACCGAAGTATGCCGCTTCTGAAAATTCGAAGATACTTTCTGACTGACATTCGCCCAGATGCGTGAAGCTCCCTTCTGGCACTGTTTGCTAACTACAAAGCTACACTAATACGAACCTCGATACTTGAAGTTTATATTTCATAGTCTCTAATACATCTCTTCATGTGAATATACGTCGTGCTGCATGATTTTCGAAGACCTGGTGTCGAACATCATAGTTACGATAATCCCGCCTTGAAACCACTCCCATTCACAAATACCAAAACACATCTAGGTCTTCTCCGCCGAGAATCTTGCGTCCGACCTGGTCCAGAAAACTGCCACGTTCATAGCGTTGGTTAGGATCTTGTCCGACTCGGAGTCCTGACGTACATACGTGGGTAGCCAGTCCATCTTGCATGAATTCTTCGCCAGGCTCCGTTGTATTCTCAGCATTGTCGAGTAAGAGTGCGGTGAAACAATTTACCGCTAACGTCGCCTTGAGGAAACGTTCGTCAGCGGCCGATCGACCTGTAGGTCCCGAAGAACGCTCAAATGCCGCGTCCCTCGTACCCCATAAACCATTCACTCCTCCAAGTTCCGTGCCCGAGTAAAATGGACGCTGTTTGAGCCTCCATTGCGTTAAGTACTGTACGCTAATACCACACAGCTAAAGCCGTGGGGCGGCGGAAATATTGGAACTGCCTAGTGAGCGCGAGGCTGATTCAGCCCCGGAGTATGTGGCGGCTGACCTTATTACGGCTTTCTCTCGAGCGTCGACCTCAGCCAGAATATATGACAAACGTCGAAAGTTCTACTATTCAAACAAGTGTCTATCCAGCATGCAACTCAAGAACATCGTCGCCGCCATCGCTTTGATGATGATCCCGGGCGCTTATGCACTCGTCGGCTCTCCCATTAACCAAGTTTGTGAGTCAATAAATGGTAGTATGGCCGGCCATGGTTTGACCAGCGATTTTTTTTTACGTCGACAGGTACCGCTGACGCGGTGAGCACCTCTTCTCCGTCTACAACCTACCCTAACTGATCATACCGCGTAGCAATGTAATCTCTTCGTGTTTTTCCCAGTGCACGTTCTGATATCACGTATATAGGCGGTACGAAGCTGCACTGCTGCGGCTTTATTCCGACCAACAAGACGTAAGTTTTAGTTTGTCAGATTTATCGACGATGTTCTTGAACGACTACGTAGGTGTCAGCCTCTCGACACGGCGTGCTGAAGGGACGTGGAGGCCGGTGGGAAATCGTAGCAGAGGGCAAGAGGAGCATTCTGTATGCGTCTTAGCGGCAGAGCAATGGGATAGAGCGGTTCATTGTCGAATATCTGACTACGTAGAAATCCTTATTCCTCCTCGAACGGCTACAATAAACAGTCGTCTACGCCCGCTGCGCTCGTCAGAAGATGCACGCCTCATCAGGCTTGAGCTTGCGGCAACTGTGACGCAGAGGGACATCAATCGACCCGTGCGCAGGGAATATGAAAGGAGCGTACGTTCCGCCCACGCCTTCAATGAGCGGGCCACAGCAAGTCCATTCGGGGCCTGGACCTGGTGAAAACATACGTATCATCAGCGTCTTCTCAAGGGCAGAGATATCAGCCTTGACTTACAGACGTCCTGAAAATCAATGACACAGGAACCACGTCAAGTTTTCGTCAGACATGCATGGTGGATCCGTGCAGATGATAATATACTTACGACACCATTACCACCTAGAGAAGATGAGGTCAGTGAGAATCCAGACGATGACGATGATCAGCTTACAATGGTAGACAGTTTGAGGAGCCTCTAGACTAGGAAGAGCGAGCCCTTGTGCAGCGAGCACGAGAAGCACGGAGAGGATATAGAGCTTTGCCATGATTGACTTGTGGTTTTGACGAATAGAAGGTAGAATGAGGATTTCGGAAGATGTCCGCCGCCTTTATGTGGGTCGCGCCGAAAGCCAAGCTCACCATCTACAGCGATCAGCCCTAGAAAGAAAAGCTCCCTTGGTCTTTAACGCAATAAGAACTTGAGAGACGTTCTAGCGTGGAGCAGGGACAGATGCATATCTGTGGAAGAAACGTCAAAAAACGCCGCCCAGAGTCGAGAGGCTGACCAACATCGGCCTTAGTCGCAGTACATAATGCTGGCAGGTCCACTTTGTTCAAGAATGGACACGGTGCCGTGCCACGTAAATGATGATTCAGTATCATCCCGAAGCCAAAGAATGGAGGTGAAGGGAGCCCAAGGCCATGGAGATTCTGAAAGGAGGGTACCTGGAGTCGAGATTGGAGTCAAAGACGCAAGGGAGGAGTAGGTGCCGAGCATTGATCCGGAATTCGGTTTGTGCCGAATTTTCCCACCTCCCCCCACGCGAGTGCCACGACCGTCGCTTGCACTTTGATTTTTCAGTGCAAATGTCATAAAGGTAAGGGTGAGCGCTTCAGATGAGACAACTTGACACAATATTACTGTAGGTTTTCTCGCATAGTTCGGTGTCAACGAGGGTCCTAGGAGGCCGATGTGTAATCCCCCTTGCAAGACTGTCGGGATGAGATGACCTTGTGAGGTCATTCAGGATGCCAAGACCACATCCTCCCTTCAGACTGGGGCTTTCTCTCACAATTCCTGATTTTCAGATTTAAACTTCGAGTTTGAGGGCATTCATTCCGTAAGAAACTCGGAACTATCACTCCAAACGTCTCTCGGGTGTCCGGTGGGTCAACATTCACTCACCGAAGGTAGAAGCGAGGGCCCGACAGCCATCTCACAAGCAGATCTGACCGTCAGTTATGCCGTCATATACGACATTTCGTATAAATTGAACTCGAGAGGACAAGCATCTCGTCGCACTGCGCTCGTTCCAGCCAAGTCGTACGTTTCACCAATCATGTTCAAGCTCAATATCGCCATTGCGGCTTTCCTCGTTGCCTTTGCCTCACAGGCAGTAGCGCTCCCCCAAGCGACACCTTTTGAAAATGCTTGTACGTTCTCTGTTTTGACTACCTGAGCAGTAGCGCTGACGATACTTCGAATAAGGCAACATCGATGTGGTAAGCTTATTTTCTATTGGATGTTACCCATCTCTGAGGGTGCCATTAACTCTTGACAGGACTGCGGTACGTACGATGAATCGAACTTGGGGCCCGTGCTTACAAAAACCCTTGTTTACTCTGGCAGGTCGCTATGGAGCTGAATACCGATGCTGCCATGGCTTTGCCAGCAACTTGTGAGTAACATCGACATCCATGTCAATCTCCACGAGAATATTCCTGACGCTTTGAATTACAGTTGCGCCATCGTTCCAGAAGACACCGCTTGCTGAGGTTATGCATAAAACGTCCTCGTGGGTTTGCTTTGCTTATAAACTACTCCATGCGATTGAAGGTGGTTAGGTTTTCAGCGTCGTCTATCCTCCATAGAAACCTTTGTCTCAGCATGGTTCATTGGATTTCGTTCGTAGCCGCCAGTTCCGTAGGACAGAAAATACAGAATATTAGACAATCGGAAGACCCACAGCGTTCGATGCCTTTGATTAATAGACGGAAAGGGTGTGGCTATCTCTCGTAAAGAGCATTCATAGTCGGGCATATTTGAAAGACTGCCCCTCTAATCTACATCTGCTCCTCGGGGTCGTCTATAAGCAGACTTTTAGGTAGAAATGCCCTGGAATCATTTGGGAAAATCGTGTCGGGGAGCACTCACTCGCCTGCCAAATATATGTATGAGTCGCCATTGGTTCCAAGGGTGCTTTGTCCTTGTCGACAGCTCAACCCTTTGACTCATCGTGTTCACCGACTTCTCGACACGTCTGGGATCCGCCCATACCTTTTCAAAGTTCGGCCTTCGACGGCATAGATTTTCCGTTGGAACCAGATTCAGATCTTCCCCTTATAATGGGTATAGAGAAGCTATCAGCGAGTTCCGGCAAAGACCACGTCGCTGCAGACAAAGAGAGGCAATACTCCGTGGCGAGGATAAAAAGATGAAGGACTACTACATTTTGCCGAATAAGCCGCGACCGAACATAGACAGCAAGAGTGCGACAATGTTACTTCATAAGTACCGATGAGAGTCGGAAATTGAAGACGGCCTCACAAATCGATCTTCCCCATGACCATGTCCACGGCCGCTTGAATGATTTTTGCAAGCCGTCGTTCCCCGTATTTCGTCGAAACTAACGATGCCCCTCATACTCTGGAATTTTCGAATGTGCGGTATTATTTTAGAGGGGAGCTTTGGGTATATGACCTGGCCAATTTTTGAATGAAAAAGCAAGAGAGTATCTCACACAGCTCACTCACTACTCGGTTTGATAGACATGCAGATCTCCATCATCGCTCTTGTCGCATCCTTTGCTTTGTTCGCGCCCGTCGGTGCCGTTCCAAGCCCACAGATCACGACCCCAGGTCCTCAATGTACGTGATCCAAGACCGTCGCGTTACCATTTCTGACGTGCCTCTCTTGACAGGTGGGGGTCCTAATGTAAGTCTAGGTTAATAATCCATAGAAAGGGTGCTCAGTGGGATCTCATCGCCACTGACCGCACTAGAGCATTTCCATGTAGGTTGCACACAGGTTCGCATTGTCCATTCGTTCTAACTTTCGACGTCGTCGTCAGGCCCAACTGGCTTCCGATGCTGCGGCCCGTTCATCAACGGTTTAGGCCAGTAAGTCTGGCACTCATACACCGAGGTGTGAAAAGAAGCTGACCTCCTGGAAGGTGTTTCGAAGGGGAAACTGGCATTTGCCCGCTCTAGCTCTGCAAGGTGAAGATCATAATCAGTCAGGAGGATAGTCAAATAGAGCATTGAAAGGTGGACTTGTTACCTTGGGTTGGCGAAACAACGTAGATCATTTTGGGAGGATGAGTCATGTGTGCGTTTAAGGGGATCGCGAACGTTTCACCGCCAGCGCCAATGCCGTACTACCAGCATCCCAGGATTCAACGTAAGGACCCAAACGTGGTCCAGAGGTGCTCGTAAACCTCCGAGATGGCGGTGATTAATACCACGTTCTGGTCTCCATCTCCAAGAAATTGTAATGTGACCAGAACGAAAGAAGACCGACAGGAACGCCGACATAACGAGATGGGGACGAAAATAGATCCTCAAGTATGGCCAAACTATTTATAGCCTGTGTTATAAATATCGTCAGTTGCGACAGTACAACTTAGAAAAAGAGAATCAACTCCTTGATCGACACCCTCAACGAACATGAAGCTGACCGTCGCATCCGTCTTGTGCTTGTTGCAGGTGGTGGCTATACCTGCTGTTGATGCTGCCCTAGTCTACCATTGTAAGTTGTCTACGAGTATCAATGATAAAGACGAAAGATGCTGAGCAGATAATATAGGCGGAGGACCATACGTGCGTTGAATCGTCTGATTTCGGGCCACATTCCCTGCGATTGAGCTTGACGAGTGACCTTGGGCTACTACATCATGCAGGTCCTAGCCTGTAAATCGGAAGAGCCCAGTGCCTGAAGAGGCTGTTATATTAATTTACACTCAACAGGCCCGAAAGGTTATCGGTGCTGTGGCCCCATCATTCAAGGTGTTGGTGGAACGTAAGTTGTCTCTATCAAGTCCCTGGATGTAGTATGTGGACTTGATGAACATGCAGATGCTTCGAAGGCGTCACTGGAATATGCCCTCTTTGAAAGAAATGTAAAGCAAGCGAGGGCATGTAGACTCACCAAAATTCGCGGGTAGAAAGTAAAAGACGACAAAATTGTAACCATGCGCTTGTAAGGTGTTCAGTCGTCTGTCGATGTCGAAAGCAAACCCTTCGAGAACCTAGGATTCGAGGTAAAACAAAAAGTCGCCAAAAAAATCAGATATCGCAAGAGCTGTGAGGTTCAAGAAAGCCATCTAGGCTGAGAGCAAATAAATAATGCTTTATTGAATCCGGAAGAGGAAACATGAGGGGAAAGCAAGGTCTCGCGTATATCATGATCAAGAAAGGTGTCCGTGAAAGGTCGGATGATCCCATTCCCGCTCTTTGGAACGTGGTTGACCGCCCATAAAATCGGGACTTATGAAGTCCGGATCTGCTTTTTCGCGGTACCGATCGTGGTGTTGTTGACCTGGATGACGGACGTCAGAACAATCGAGTTCAAGCAGAAGTGTATAAACATACCTTCGTCGCAAATCGAAGAGACGTCAAAGACTCCTGCAAATGTGCAGCGAGAGGCGACAGGTTAAGCACCATCTGCAAGAGGAATTAGGTCAAATCGTGACGACAATAGGCTCTAGAATGTTCATACCAGAGTCTTAGAATTTCCGCTCAACGAATTTTGCAGCAGATAGGTAAGCTAGGTACGGGTGCATGAGCGCAAGGTCCGTGTTGAGAAAAACAAAGGAAGTTACCCACCTTCGAATTGCGATACGGAATGTGCTTCTCTCCTTTCTCTCCCTTCTCTCCCAGTGCAGCGATGACGTCTCCTAGAGCACTCAAGCTCTTGTTAATATTCTGCGTCTCTCTGACCCTCTCTTTATCCGCCCCATTCGCAAAGCTCACGTTGAGCCTCTCGCTACCAGCGAGATCAACGAGGTTGAGGCTACCTTCGCAGCGCTCGCCAGTACCCACGCAGCCATCAATGCCAACATTGATACCGCTGATCCTCAGCGTGAAGACGGAATGCGAGCGGGAGGAACGTTCGTTCATGAGGGTCGCAGCCACGCTCCGCCGTGACTGGGCGATGGCCAGGAGGGACTTCACTTGGGAGGATGAGGTGAGCGGCACAACTTCGACGTCAGTGACACGGGTGGAGCCGGTCTTGGCGTCGTGCTTGATTTCATGTTTCTTCCTGTCGAACTCGCCCTTTCCGAGGAGATCGTTGATAGTTTCATTGTACTGAAGGCAAATAAGGTAGTGACGACAGCAGCGAAAAAAATCGCTTACAATTTCGAGGAATTGCCCTTCCATCTTGTACTCCCAGCCTCGACTCTTCATTTCTTCTGCAACGCGGAACACCTGTTCAACTGCTCGCGGAATCATCCCGGCACTGGAATCGGTCTAGGGAGCAGTAAGAAGCAGAAAAGAAGAGAAATCACGGAGATGCGTACCGCGCCGCCCTCCATCGTGAACGACTTTCCAGAGCCCGTCTGGCCATATGCGAAGATACAGACATTGTATCCATCGGTACAGCTCTGGGCGAGTTGGGATATCTCTTCGAAGACTTCAGCCTGCGTTGAATCCGGTTCGAACACCTGAATGACGCGTTAATGTAGTCGAAGAAAATTCATAGTCACTTACCCTATCAAATCCGAAATTGTAAATCTCTTTCCGCTCCTGGCCGGTGGCACTCGAAGACGACGACGAGACGACAATTTCTTTGCGGTCTCGGGTGTCGGGGAAGGCAAGGTTTGCCTGTAGCTCCTCTTTCGACTTTTCGAAATCGAGGCTACCTTCGGAGCCGCTGGATGCAGAACCAGATGTGGAAAGCCAGGCGGCGTAGGTGGTCAAATCAGAAGGAAGAACGGGGCGAACACGACAGAAAACACGAATATTGCCCTTGAGCTCTTGGACCATGTTGTGGAGTTTCCGCCGCACGAGCTCGCTATCCATGGCTTCCTTCTTGAGGTCCTCGACTTGCTTCTGTGTCGACTCAAGCTTGAGCGTAAGTTCGGAGACCGTTCTAGCGTAAGCGTCGATTTGAGACTGAAGAGCGGTAGACTGAGCCTCGAGGGCGTAGTTCTGGGTGGTGAGAGTGAGCTGGGCGGTGGATTGATGTGAAATAGTGTTCTTCAGCGAGGAGACCGTCTCCCGTTCGCGCTCCAAGTCGCTCCTGCAAAGCCTTAGGTCGTCGTTGACCTCTCTAAGCTCACGATCGCGTTTCCTGATGTCCGCTTCCAGATCAGTTACCTCCCGCAAATGCTTCTTCTTCATATTCTCGATCTCGTCCGAAGCATGGACGAGTTCACGGCGCTGGTTGAGCTCCTGCGACTTGGCTGTTGCCAGCTCCCTCGACAAGGCGAGATGATTCGCCTGCAGCTCCGCCACCTTGTTGCGCTCTGCCTCCATATCCCGTGCAAGGCGTTCAGCGTCGGCAGCACGAGAAGCCTCGATGGACGTCAGCTGGGTTTGCAGTTCGTTGAATCGTTTGTCGTCTGAAAGTCTACTTGCTGGTCGTGCGCCCGAGACAGCCCTCGTTGCTGGGGTACGTGATGCGGTAGACCTCGTTGGTGGTTTCGAGCTCGTTGGAGGCGCACTTGTTCCCCTCGTTGATTGCGTTAGTGTTGGTGCTCTTGGTTTTGTCAGTGGCTTTGGTAATGCAACCCCGCGAGTGTTGGTAGCCGTCCGAGATGGTTGTAGAGGCCTATTCGGCCTCGTCGCACCCACAGCTGCCAGTTTTCGGGGTTGGTCTCCAGCTTCCTCTTCCTCCTCTATGATGGCCTTTCTCTTCAAACTTGTCGTTGATCTGCTGGGCAAAGACGGACCCGCATCGCTGGCGAGGTGAGTTCTGTCTGGAGAGGAGCTCCTAAGACGTGGTAGTCGCGACATCGTAATGTTATGGCCGACACACTGGTCTTCGTTGTTGTTGTTGAAGGCAAGGCCGTTGAACGTTGAACAGCTAGAGTGACTTGTCACACTGTCACATACGTAAGTACGGTGCCACAGATCGACGCGTCCGACACGTGACCGTTCAGCTTAGTCATTCAAGGTGCGCCGCACCTTCCATCTCCATGGTCCCGGCAAATCAACAAATGGTAAAGCTGGGTAAAAAGGTTTTGAACAAGAAATTGGTAGTACCAAGTTACAAGGCTTTCTGGACCTCGACTTAATAAGTGACCCCTTTCCTGAATGCTTTATGTAGAAACTTAGACCAACAGAAACTCAGTGTATAGCGTACGGAGTCCGTCTCTAACTGTACCGAAAAAAGGTGCACTACTAACAGGCCTGCGCTACACTAGGAGTGTGGCCGTCAGTATGGCTGAAGGATGAAGCGAAGGTGACCAGTGCAAGGATCGAACGTGTGCGTCAAGGTCAATCTTCCGTGTGCTTTTCCGCAAGAATAAATTCTGTCAACGGTCTAGACACTCTTCCTTTCTTACCATTGCTCATGTGGGCAGTAGAAACGCCGTGAGACTGCCAGTGGATGATCCACAGGGCCAATCACGATATGTCGCCTTTTAGGTTGGAGCTGCCTCTCGCGATGTCGAGAACAGGCCATGTATAGAGTAGGTAAGGACAAGTAGGAATTGGTGATAACGCGGGGTGGTCCATGAAAAGGTTTCTCTCGAAGATGAGAAACTAAAGGCTCAATGAAGGAAACATCCTGGCACGATAAGCCAAGGTCGAGTCGTAGGGGTGAATCATAGTGTATCATCAACTAATCGAAGGTAAATGTGTCAGCTCCGAGAGCCGTTGACCGTTACAACAGCGTTGGGCAACGCCACAAAATGTATCTAGGCCTCTTTGGATATCCTGCGAATCTCTTCGAGGCCTTCATCATGTTCCCAAAAGCCCATATCATCCCTTGCACTCTCTTCACCCTCTCTACCACCATCGCCAACCTCTCGCTCAATGATAACCTGTTCTGCTCCTAGCGCTCCCGCGCTCCCCTTCAAGAACTTAATCTTCACCTCCCTATCCTCGCGCTCCCTCTCCTGTACCGCATTACTGCCTCGCCAGAACACCTTCTCGACGGCGTTCCGGATGAGGAAGCGGACGAGGATGAAGGCGTGTGACGCGACGAGTGCGACGAGGATTGCTGTGAGAAGCAGCTCCTTCGTGGCTGCCATCGTTGTTGATGAAGATGAGCTGTCAACACTCCAACCTGAGGTAGAGCCATCAGCGGCAGAGACAAGATGTTCCTCTACGAGCAGCTTGCTGCTATCTGCAGGTGACGTGTTTTCTGGAATAACATTGGAGGTAGGGTACGATGAGGTTGCGCTGGGAAGGAGTTGTGGGGAGAAAAGGTATACGAGGGCTGAGTTCGTCATGGCGCTGAGCCAGGTGAGGAAGGTCAGAGCGTCGAGCCACGGTCCAATTGTGTCAGTCCGTGATGGGATAGGTCGTCGAACATGGACGGTCATCTTGAACGCGTCCGAGCGCAGCTCCAGCAAATTGTTCAGAAAAGCCATAACTACATGTAAAATTAGATATCGTTCGAAGCGAAAGGAATGTACGCACCTCCGGCTAATGGCCAAATCGTCGACCAAAGTACAACATACCCGAACTGAATGACCATCTCGCTGTAATCCACGAACAAATCGTATTCCGGCAGGGCGGCCTCTTCACGCACGCTGTCGAGATACGCGCGCTCCTCCAACCCACCACGCTCCTGCTCATCCTCGAATACCACCCGCTTCTTCAAGACGCTGCTCCCACTATCCGAGCCTACACTCGAAGCGGCGGACGACACTGGCGAGCCGTTCTTTGCCTTGACTTTCTTCTTCCGGAAATCGTCCACCCACCGCAGCACGAACGGCAAGCCAACCTCGAGGAAAGTATTGACGGCTTGGTTGGTCACCGTAAACGCGAACATCTGATCCCGCAGCCGTCCTGGATTCAGCTTTGCACGCACATTGGCGGTGTTCGCGTCCCACACAGACGCCTTCTCCGGCGCCCCAGTAAGACCTTGCGTGAAGACCTCAGAGCTTCCCGACGTAGGCACGGTGCCATTGAGCATATCGCGAAGTGTGGCGGTGAATCCGTTTTGGGTAGACGCTCCTCCAAATAGCCATGCCTGGACCCATCTCATGACACCTTCGCCGAACGGCACGTAAACGAACGCTGATAGACTGAGCCCGAGATAGGCTACAATCGCGCTAAGTGCGAACGTCTTGAGCGTCAGCGAGGCATTGTATGTCGACTTGTGAGCGTGGTTTTCCCATTTTGTAAGCCTGACGGCTATTGCTTGATAGACGGCGAGCACTCGAGGGACCAGCGCCACAAAAAGGAGGGTCGGAGAAAATGCCTTCAGGAAATCAGTGTTGGTACATAGTTGGGAACCGAAGGACCTACGATGATTTTCTTTCCTGGGCCTTCGTACAATTGGGTGATGAACGCCTCGAACACAAATATACCAGTGAGGATTGCGGACAAAATCCCGGCGAACACCATGATGACGGGAATGCTGGCGAGTATGCGCAGCTCTTTGTTCCACCACGACATCCCTTGCTTGTACTGCGCACGACGTTTCTCCACCTTGAACGACCCCCGCGTGCCAAACCGCAAGGAAAGGATGCGCTCATGCACACGCCACCACTCCACAAACACTATGGACCAGAGGGCAATCAGAATTGAATAGAGTGGCGAATATGGAGGAAGGATGAAGTGGCCCAAGAGGCCCAAGATGGCGGGGAATACGAGGAATTTGGTGTAGCAAGAAAGGAAGGAGAAGTAGAAGGCAAGTGAGTCCCCGAATTGGTCGCGTATTCGTTCGAGTTGCACAGAAGCAATGCTTTGAGGTTTCCATGCCCGCACCCAATGCTCGTTGAACTCGCGATCTTGCAGAGGGAAGATGAACTCGACGAGGTCCCAATCAGGTGCATCTGGTGATACCCCAAGCCCTCCGTCAGAGGGAGTAGACGTAATATAAGCATGTACGAGTCGTATACGGTCTGCGGGGGATAAAGGGAGGATATTTGCCACTGGAGTGACCGGTAAACCTGAAAGAAAGTCAGAGTGTCTGGACAATTTAAGCCGTCAGACGAACTCCCCAACGTTTCGCCGAGGAAATGCTCACCGCTCTCGTTTTACCAGCTCTTCAACATGGCTCGGAGGACATGTCACGAAAACCAGAAGATGGCCCAATGACTCCCCTCTCCGCCCCACCGCCTTCAGCCCAGCGTACGTGAGAGTCTTGATAAGTCGCTGGTACTGTTGCTCAGCTTTCCGCGCATCTTCCCGGGTTTGTTGCTTCGACAATGAGGTCTTCTTCGCTGCCCTGAACGCAACAACGAGGTCGACGTCGGGTGGGCGGGCGTCTGGCATCATGGTAGTGGCGCGTGCCGGTGGTGGTTCAGGTTCACGATGACGACACGCTGAGAGTTATTTGCTGTTGTTGGTGTCCCGAGCATAACAGCAAATAGGGGCTACTATTCCCGAAAAGAGTGGGCTCGGAAGTGGCTGGGGAAGAGAAATTGAGCAGAGAAAGCGTCGATGCATATGGGCGCCTGGCAAGTCCGGAGTCAGAAATTCTAGTAGAAAGAGAGGTCAGTTGGCCCAATCTTTCTGTCTTGGCAGCCCCGCTGCATGACCGTGACTGCTGCATTTCAACTACAAATCAAGAGCAAGGCAGCGAGGAGAATGGTCAAGCGCGCCAAATGCATTCAAATACTCGACAGTCCATAGGACGGGACAGTGCGGATACTCGTGAATAAATAAGCGCCCGTGATGACGGGCCCAGGGACGTGAGCTATGTCAAAAATAAAGGGTTATCAAACTCGGTTGTGGAAACACGATAAACAAATGAACCATGTTTCGTTAAACCCATAATTTACCCAATGCATTTTGAATGCCTTCCTTCACAAGTGGTTCAACGAGCAACCAAACGTCGTTCTCCACCTCTTCCCTTTCTCGCCCGGCATCAATGTCCACCCATTTTGTGCTTGCCCCCTCATCCGCAACCATTTCAGCTCCAATCTGATGGAAGAACTTCCGGACGCGAAGCTGCATCTCCTCTTTCTCATACCTCTCTTCCCCATAACCCCCGCGTTCCTTGGCTTTCTCAGGTGTGATGTCGAAAAAAAGGACAAGGTCGGGAGCCGGGAGACCAACGTCAGGACTCCGGCACCATTCGAATGGAAGTAACGGTGTACCGGCAGCGTTCACCTTCGACGCAGAGAACGCGATTCCTGAGAACGCGTACCGATCACAAACGACGGTGGTTCCTGCTGTCAGCAATTTCTCGATCGTAGATCTGAGAAATGGTCAGAGAGCTCAAATGTGGTCCACAACTAAACAATGTTTACGCGAGTTCCCATCGATTTGCGGAGAAGAGGAGGTGAATAGCGTGATCATCCAGCTCAGACGTGGATCGGAGGTACGCGTCAATCATCTGTCCAATTGCCGTTGTCCTGTCTTCAGAAACGCGTCGGTTAGTACTAAGGTATATGTTGAGATATTGTCTGACCTGGAAACTTGATCAGGGTCGCGTCGATGCCTTCATTCCTGAGGTGTGAATGCAACCGTAAAGTTTGTGTTGTCTTGCCAGACCGATCCAAGCCTTCGATAACAATGAAAGGTGCGCGTTTCGACGTGTTTTCAAGCGAAAGTTCTTCCTTTTGGGGGTCCTGCATCGGTGTAAATTGCCGTTAAAATGAATGGCGCGTGTCTAGTGGAGGTGGTAGGGGTTTAAACGTTTAACATTTAAGCTGGGATCGTGCTTTCCTGTCCCGCGTGTGAATGGAGTCAGGTGGAAGTGCCAAGCCAAGGTCCTGCGCTTTGGCATTCCGAAAGTTAGACCAATACTCACCGAAGCGCAGAACTCGTCAACCAGAACATACAACCTCTCTATCCCTCTAAGTTTGACTGCCGCTTCTTGCCTTCAAGCACACTGTTTCTGGTCTCAAAGACTTCATGACTCTCAGGAGTTCAGATAATACATGCAAATGGCATGCCAATGGGGCAACCGTTCACGCAGACTTCCTGAGATTCAAGGTTCTTTTTCCTCGGGCACCATGTGAGTATAGTGAACACATGATTGGCTCAAACGGAGAAGGATGCTGCTGCTCCTCATCATATATAGCATATCTTTCGCAGAAAGGACCAATTGCAATCTGCGACTTCCCCGGTACACCAAAAGTTCTGGAATGGCTCATGTGCATGAGGTTTCGTAAGTGACCTCGCATGGCTTTCATATAGAACTAAGCTTCTGTTCATTCCCTTCCTCGTTCGGGAAGTTCCATTAGCAGGGAAGTACGCAGGTGGCGCCGGTGGGAGCCCATCGGATGCAACCTTTTCATGCTAGCCCAACCATAGAAGGGTGAGTGAAGTATCGAATGATTGCCTGATGCCGTTGTGTGATTCTATATAGAGGGCGCGAGCAAGCTAAGTATTAGGCTTGGATGCAATTTTCCTCCTCTCATGACGCTAACTGCACTCACTATGGAGGATCCTCGACTCCTGTTCTGCGTATCTGTTGCCCTCCTCTCGTATTTGGCTCTCAAGTACTTCAGTAAGCGGCCCACACTGCCACCCGGTCCTAGGTCGCTTCCCCTCCTCGGAAGCATGGTCGACATAACATCAAAAGAACTTTGGTTGCGTGTCGACGAGTGGGCCAAGAGATACGGTGGGATCCTTTCCAATCATGAAGTTATTCCAAATGTTAAATCGATGTCGTCCCATAGGCCCTCTTGTCCGTCTGAGCGTCTTCGGTCAAAACCTGATCTTTGTTAACGACGCCGACGTCGCGTGCGAGTTGTTTGACAGACGTGGAGCTATGTATTCTGGCAAGCCACGGTTTGTCATGGTTGGCGAGTTGTAAGCATCCGTTCTTTTACTATAAGGAACCGCATCAGGTTGAATCCGCGTTTCAAATTGTAGGTGTGGTTGTGAAAACATGGTGCTCAAAAAGCTTTATCTCACTCCCACTTGACTTACCAATGTTACTCCCTTGTCTTCAAGATTTTCTTCACCACCTATAATGAAAGACACAAGAGATACCGAAAGCTCATGCAGGCTACTCTTGGACCTCGAAACATCGCAGGGTACCACAAGCAACTCGAAGCCGGCTCGATTTCTCTTATCCGCTCTTTGGTATCCGATCCCAACAACTACAATCGCCACTTCCGCCGATATGCTGGCGGATTGACACTTGCCACTGTCTATGGGTATACTCCATCCTCTAGTGACGATCCGTTCCTCTTGCTGGGAGAGCGGGCTTTGAGCCTCTTGGCAAATGAGATGGGCGCAGGAATTGGATTATGGCTTGTGGACGTCTTCCCTGTGCTGAAGCACATCCCAACATGGTTCCCTGGCGCATCCTTCAAGAGAAATGCTGCGAAATGGAAGCTTAGGATGCTTGAATTTGCTGATAAGCCGTTCGCGTTTGCTAAAGAGAGCCTAGTACGTTTTCTACCTGACACTGCGATCAAAGATTATTCTGATAAAGACCCACATTGAATCCCGCAGAGGTGTGGCACACCTACGCCGTCGTTCTGCTCATCGCTTCTTAGCGAAGGCGAGATCTCTACAGAGCGCGAGGCAGATATAAAGTGGACCGCCAATTCCATGTACACTGCAAGCGCAGATCCTGTAAGTCGTGCATTTTGGGTCCTTACTGTCGTTTGACCCAGCCTCATACCGTGCGAAGACCATAGCTATACTATCGAATCTTATCCTTGCAATGCTACTCCACCCAGAACCTTTCGATATAGCTAGGAAAGAGATGGAAGAAATCGTTGGAACGGACAGACTACCGACCTTCAATGATCGAGCCTCTCTCCCCTACTGTAGGTGCTCTTTCTCGACACATTTATGTTGTGATTTGACTTAGCTTGGGCTGCAGTAGAATGCATTTTCCTGGAATCATTGAGATGGGGAAGCCCGGTGCCACTCAGTATGTCGGCGAGCTTCCTTCGAACTTCACCCGATTCATCGAAACCCGGACCTCTCAGATCTTCCGCACCTGGTAGAAGAAGAAGACGTTTATGACGGTATAACCATCCCCAAGGGCTCTTTTGTGCGTGAAAAGTCTTTCTTAACAACCTCCGATTTCTCACCCCCTCCCTTTGTTTCAGATAATCGCAAACTTGTGGTACGAGTTAAATACTGTTCAAAGTCCAACTGAAGATATTTTCTCTCATAGGTCAATGCTCCACGACGAGTCTCGCTACTCTGATCCGTATTCATTCAAGCCCGGACGCTTTATGAACGTCAGTGATCCGGAGGCGAAAAAGAAATTGGATCCGCGGACCTTTGTTTTCGCATTTGGAAGACGGCAAGCGCCAAACCCTAGCGATTTTCCTTGACCTTTTGCTCACCGTCTATCATACCAGCCGTTGCCCTGGAGTGGATCTTGCAAACTCATCCCTGTGGCTAACGTTGGCTGTAATGGTAGCTACCATTGACGTGTCGAAGGCGCGAAACCCGGATGGATCGATTGTAGAACCAAAGATTGAATACAATGACACGTTCTTCAGGCAAGTATGCTCGTTTTTGACATTCCGAAGTACCGAGTTCACGATGCTTTGTACAGGATTGCATCGCCCTCTAAGATTAAGATTCATCTTCGATCGACTTTGCTTGACAGGGACACGAATTGAGAGCGGAGGAAGTTGGTCTGCAACGTCCTAGAACGACCCGCTTCATGCATATGTACCATTAAACTTCTTTCTGAATTTCTGTAAGCAGACAATCCAATCAGCTAGAAGCTGACTGTAGTAAACTATCGAGATGCACTGCCTCTCTCTTTGCGCTGGCGGCGGTCCCGGCAATCTCAGATCTAAAATTAGCGCCCGCAAGAACTGCCCCAGGTTACTATTGGGTTACACATACAACATTCAGATTACTTGGTTTCAGCATCTTCAGTGGTCACTAGTGCCACAACGATAAGTAGTACAAAAGGTTCCGCACCGCACAGACAATAATGACTAACCTGGAGCTAGTGCTGATGGGCGCTAATCGGGAGAGAAATTTTATCGTGTCCTGACGGGCTTTACTTTCATCACGTTCGTCATTTTTTAGACTTTGGAACATGATACAGATGGGACACCTGTGCCCCCGATGTCTTCTTCATCACTTCCAGTTATAAAGCTGCGAAGGCACTCGACCGTCGCGAAATGTCGAATCCCCTCTCCAGCATGGACACCAGGAGCACCAACAGTGAAGAGCACGTCGCGACATCTGAACATCCTACCGAATATCACCCTCCTCCTTTGCCTCACACTCCCACTCTTCAGCGCCAACGCTCAGCACCACCGGCATCACCTGGGCCATACCCGAGTCAACACCACCACCTAGAAGCTGGTTCACGCACGCAGCAATCCCTTACCTATGCCGAAACTCGGAGCTCCATCAACCTCAAATACGAAGGGTACACCGCTGGGAACCCATTCCGACCTTCAAGCCGGGCGCATCGGGTCTCATCTGAGACTACATACGACGACATCGAAGCGATCGGCCACCCGAATGAGCTTCTAGCACTCGGCTCGCGATTCGAGTCCTCGACGTCGGTGTTGGGGATGAACAGGAGTACCAGCTCCGTTGGAAGTGGACAGAGTCGGGGATATGCCGCTAATGACTCTTTGAATCTATCGAGCCATGGAAATCGGGTACCGGAGAACCTCACTTACGATAATATTCCCCCGATGATACCTGCAACAGATGCCCTCGACGGAGTTGGTCCCTCAGTAGGAGAAATGCGAGGGGAGAGGAGTCCAAGTCCGGGCGAGCAACAACAGCGACGGGAGGACCATGAGCGACATGAAGGGAAGGAGACAGATATCGACTGGGAGGCCCAGGCCCGCCGCCCACTGCGTCGACGCCCACTTTCTACAATCACATCATCGACTGCCCAAGCCGAGAGTAGAAGCAAGAACAAGGAATTCCTACTCGACTTGCAGTATCAAGCTACTCTCCTTGTGCTGCTTCGCCTGCCCATGCTATATTTCTCGCGGGTGGCCCAAATATTCGAGGAGGCAGATTTAACCAAGGAACAGCTCAAATATATGTACTGTCAAGCAACGGAGACGAAATTCGACCACATGTACTCCATACACAAGTCACCAGACTTTGACGAATTGTATCCGGTCTACAAAACCTTCAAGTATTCATGGGAGTCGTTCGTCGAGTCCCTCTTGAAAGAGTGGAAGACGTTCAACATTATTTCCGCTTTGCTATTGGGGTGAGCTTCTACGTCCTTCTCTCGCCTCTTGATGTTCCTTACACCCAAGAATGAAAGAGCCATCTTGACTCTCTTCCAGATCCCCGGAGTCGCAAACGATCCATTGATTAAATTTACAGCCCTTTTATCCCTCTTGTGCGCCTTGATAAGCCTCCTTCACGGATGCATGTACATCATCCGCTTTGGAACTATGAGAAAGACATACGTCGCCGTGGAATGGGCACTGGTGAGTTGCCAGAAGATCTATTGATAGTTCCAGAGCAAAGCTAAATATACGGAGCGTTTATAGGAAGCTCAGAAGTTGCGCAACCCCTTGTGGAATACGTGGACTGTATTGGCGTTGCCGGCAATTTGGCTAACCTGGTGCGTGCCTCAAGGCTGCTTGGCATTTCCTTGACCGGCGCTTAAATTGAGCCTTCCGAAGGTCGATCGTCCTGTATCTCGTCTGCATCTTTTCATACGTGTGGAGGACGATCCCGGCGGACGGCGAGAAGTCGCCGTACGCATGGAACGACCACCTCGTTTTGGCCGCTCGGATACTGTTCTCGAGCACTTTCGGTGTGGGTATGATCCATGGCTTCTTTGTGATCCGCACCTTCCGTCGGTGGGGGTCGCTCACAGAAAAGCAATGGATCAAACGTGTCCATCATTGGAAGCAGAAGAGGTCAACCAATCCGATAATCCAGGAAAGTGAGCGAACCAGATCCGAGTCACAGAGCACCATCTTCTCCAAGGCTGGAGACGTTATCGTGAACGGCTTTGAGACAGTCACTATCCCTACGACACCACCATCTGCACCTGCAGTAGCTGTTGAGCCACCGACACCACCTGGACGGGAAAGTCGCTTTCAAACCTTCCGCACAAGATATGCCGGGAGACGAAGCCCACCAGGCGCAACGTCATCATCACAAGCGACGCAAGTGATGCCTTATAACGTAGAGGATAACCTCACTCTGCCTCCGTCGTCGAGACGAAGATGGGCATCTTCGCTGAAATCTGCGTTGAAACGTCAATCACCCGAGAGCGCAGGCGCGACGCAGACATCCCAACTTGACCCAAGGCCACCATTAACACGCAGACCATCACAGAAGTCCGTGCGCTTTTCAGATCCTCGGGTGTCTCAGCTCATCCAACGACTTCCTTCTGCACAATCCCTGGAGCGAGTAAGACTATCGCGCACAAGCTCAAGAACTGACCAGGCGGATCCCGGGCCCGAACACCAGTCATACGAGGCTGTCATGGAGGCAGACGAAAGCACAGAAGACACCTCGGGCATTATGGTGGCGATTCCGGAAAACACGCGAGAGGAGAGTCGAGTTCAGCCGGTGGCTCCCACCTCGATCTTTGATGACAAAACACAAGGCAGCAGTGAAGGAGAAGCCATGCGTATCCCTCCACAGGTCTACCAGCATCCCATTGCCCCAATATCAGAAAGAACGAATTCAACTCGTTCCGAGTCGATAGAAATTGACATCGTCGCCGAAGAAGATATTGCAGAGGACCTTCGGGAGGGGCAAAGGATGGATACTATTCACGAAAGCGAAGAAAAGGAGACCCAGAAAGTAGTACACATGATACCGCGTTCTTCCAGTCCCGACTCTAAGGTTTAGGGAAACGAAGAGCACGCGCACGTTGAACCTCCAAGAGAAGGCCCTCAGAAGGGTTTCCCCAGTTAGAGGACAAGAGAAAAAGTGTACCATCATGTTGCTAGTAGGCTGGTTTGTATCCAGTTGAGTATGTTCTGAGGCAGAACGTTTTGCGTCCTGAGACGCCAGAAAAAGGGGGAGTTCGTCCTCGAAGAAGTCATTGTAGACAATTACGAAACGAAGATGCCCTCCGAGTCGGCATTTGCCGCTAGCCTTTGTAGCAAACGTCCAACTCAACTTCGACTCAACATGAACTCAGCGCGCAATTTTGTCGAAATTTTCGTCTCCATTTTCTCACTGGACACCGCAGAACGCGGTTTTCCAATTACTATACAATTCAGCTAGAAAGAATGCCGAAGGATTACTAGTCTCTGCGCTACTTCTTGAACCTACTTTACAACCCAGGCTTTTCCAAGTCCACTTATCCGCAGTATTCAGTCTCACGCAGGCGAGTCTTGCATGTCCTATAACCGCCATTGCTTACCAAAATCACGTAGACATCTCACACCTCAAAGGGGTTCTTCCTCCACGCGAAGATACGGGCCTGGGACCTCATCTGACATCAAATTTGGTTGCTTCTCCACTTATTCTCACCACTTATGTCCATCAAGCCTATTTATACAATAACACCATAGGCCCGGGCACCCCTCTTAACCCGGACTGCGAGGCGTCTTGGTGCTGTCGGTTTAAGCCGGTACCCCGAATCATCTCTCAGCCCCCCTTCTTCCATCTTTTAAAGCTTGACGTTCTGTCCTTGGGACGCGTCTTCATTCCTCTTCCTTGATATGTCCGAAAAACTGCTTTCCCAGCTGGCCACGCCGTCGGAGGACTCGAGCTCGCAGTCGAAGATTGAAGAGAAAACCGGGATACCCTATGGCGACGTTGAGCTGGAGAGGAAGGCCGTTCGCCGGCTTGACTGGAGCATCCTTCCTGTTATGACCATGTTCTATCTTCTGTCCTTCTTAGTGAGAACCTTATGATGCTTCTATCGACTGACTTATCATCTCTGACTCCAACTCAAGGATCGAGCAAACATCGGTGAGCATTTCGACCTTGTTCCGCCCACTGTGGGCTCACTCGAGCTTCTCGCCACGTCAGGAAATGCTCGCGTCGCCGGTCTGCAGAGAGATCTCCGTCTTACCGACAGGGAGTATCAGATATGTGTAACGGTCCTCTACGTGTGCGTCTTGCTAGCACCGCCCATCTCCAACATCAGACATCTAACCTTAACACTTCCAGCCCCTACATCTGTGCCGAGCTACCTTCGAACCTCGTTCTGCGACGCATTGGTCCTCAACGCCTCATGCCAACCTTGCTCACTGCATGGGGCGTGGTTGTGACCTTGCAAGGTGCGTCAAGTGCCTCCATCCAATGCCGCCATTCACCTTGCCATATCCAGGCCTCGTATCCTCGTTCGCTGGTCTGGTGGTCGTTAGAGCGGTGCTCGGGCTCATCGAGGGGCCGATGTTCCCGGGGATTGTGTTATACCTGTCAGGATTCTACACAAGACGAGAGCTGTCGCTGAGGTACATCATTTCAACAACCAGCCACACCTCCATTAACGGCGACATATTGACATGACCACAGGATTGCGCTGTTCTTCTCATCGGCGTCGCTCTCTGGGGCGTTCTCTGGGCTCTTGGCCGCTGCGATTGAAAAGATGGATGGGATGGGGAATAAGCCGGGTTGGGCATGGATATTCATTCTTGTGGGTGAATTTCTGAATTTCTTTCTGGAAGAAATTGACCCAGGAAGTACACAGGAAGGCTTATTCACGGTCCTAATGGGATTTATCGGCTTTTTCCTCGTCCCAGCTACACCACGAGACTCCAAATTCCTCACATATGAGCAGAAGGAGTAAGCCTTTCTGTCATCTTCTGTCATCTGTCTTACCGTCGTTCGTACCCCACACAGGCTGATTATGGCCCGTCTTGAGCGTGACCGCCCCTCCATTCTCCCCGCCGACAAGTTCTCAGTCAAGGAGATATTCCGATCGCTTACATCCCCGCAAGTTATCATTCTCTTCGTCATATTCTTCATGGTCGGCACGCAGCTTTATGGCCTGGCGCTCTTCCTCCCTTCCATTGTCAATCAGCTCGGGTTCGACAGGAACAGGTCTCAACTGCTCAGTGTGGGCCCGTTTGCTGCAGGGTTCTTCTGTAAGTATAGCGGCCATTAAACCTGTTTTTCCACAACTTTATTCCATAACTGACTTCTGGTATCGCTAGTGACAATTGTATCTGCCGTATGGTCCGATAGGTGCCAGATGAGAGGAATTCCAGCTGCGACGATATCGCTGTTATCTGTCGCTGGGTTTTCGTTGTTCCTTGGTGCGTCTTTTCGAGTACGTTCATAGTGAGCGTACTCAAGTGCTTCGCAACAGCCGCGAGAGAAAAGTACGTCGCATACGGCGCCCTTTACTTGATGGTTCCAGGAGTGTACGCCTGTGCCCCGGTTTTCATTGCGTGGATGGCCAATAACTCAGAACCGCATTACCGGCGAGCCACCAGCATTGCTCTTGGCTTCGTAGCCACGAACTCGGTACGGCTCTCGATCAATCTGCGTATCCTGAATACTGAACCATACTTTTGAAGGGCGGTATCCTCAGCACTTGGAGATTCCCTACGAATGAGGGACCAAGGTTCAGGAACACAACTATTATGAACCTCGTCTTGTAAGCCCACCTTCTTCCCTCCTCTGTCAATCGTTTACGAGACGTCGCGAAAGTGCCATCCTAGCCGTCGTCGGCGCCTTTGTCAATATGGCCTATCTTCACTATAAGAACCAGTCAAAACAACGTCCAGGGTATCGGGAAAGGAAGCTGGCGAAGTACGGCGATGAGAACGACCCCGATGCTGTTCTGCATGCGTGGATGGACCTGGGTGATAAACACCCTGATTATCGATATACCTTGTAGACTTAGTGTAATTACTTAGGACGGAGCAAACGACTTTATGAGAGAAGATAATATATATTGTATTTCATAGTTCAGCTTTCATTTGTGTGCTTGAACGCGTGCAGGTCATTAGAACAACCTTCAACCTTTAAACTTCGGCGTCGATCCTAGCCTTCATCTTTTCCAACGTTTTCGCGAGTACTTCTTTCTCCGTCAGCTTCGCAGGCCAGTTAATCTCCAGATCCATGATCAGTCCTTCTTTCGGTCCCGGCTTCGGAATAATGTGGAAGTGGACGTGCGGGACGGTCTGGAAGGCCCCTTCTCCGTTGTTCTGAACACGAAACGTAGTGTCAGGCCCGGAATACTTGGCCGATGTGTTGATTCGTTATACCTGAATGACGTTAAACTCCTCCGCCCCAGTTGCCTTCGCCACCTTCTTCAGCAATGGAGCGATGTCGTGTAGATATTCATCTGGGAGGTCGAGGAGTGTCTTCGCATGATCTGTATCGATATCGCCGTCAGCCACCTTTGTCCTCCCGTCAGTCGGCATAGAAGATGTTCCATACACTTCGGGATAACCAATGAATGTCCTTCAGATATCGGGTTAATGTCAAGAAAAGAGAAACTGACAGACGAGAGGGGGCTTAATCAGACAGATATAGATAGGGGCCAAAACTCTAACAACGCACCTGTGCTCTGTCTCGAGAATCTTGAAACTCGGGATGGTTCCTACGAAACGAAAATCATTCAGGGTATATGTGGGCATAGAGCAATACTTACCTTTAATGATCATGCAGAAGATGCATCTACACACAGATCATTGTGGTGAGCACAATATTTCCGGCACCCCAACTCTCCGCACTCGCCCCAACAGACCCCCACCCCAGCTCCGACTTACATGTCTTCGAGGTGTTCGGTAGACATCTGACAGCGTTGACAAGTGGAATGTGGCTAGGTTGACGACGTTCGAAATGACGCTTGTGGAGGTCTCGAAGAAAGAATCGACCGCGTTCAATTATAATATACCTCCAGAAACTGTGCCAAGAAATCGTGCGTAACGCCATCGCACTCTCCGGCAACTCTCCGGTCTTCCTGAACACCACGGAAGGCCTAAGATTATCACCGACAAGCAACGCTGAAGGTTTGGCGATCGATGTTAGAGCTTAGAGTATGATCGACTGGACAGAAGTTTGTTCAACCAGAAACCCTGCGCAAACCAGAGCCATGCTTGGGATGAACCCATTAGTGTGCCATACATTCCCGAACCTACAAATATGTAATAGCGCCTCTCGCCAACCTTTCGCACATTTGTATCCTCGGAAAAGAAATTGGAATAAATATCAATATCTCTACTTCACAATTGAAGTCGCGAGCCCCTTCGAGGTGTTTATCATCTCCTTGATCTCGGACGGCAGGGCCTGTGGCTATCAATATCCATCAAGAGAGTAGAAAAAGGCGGGCGCGGTGTGTAACATTTGCCCCGATGGTACCAGATCCCCGAGTCTTCAGAATCATGGGATATCCTAAACGCCACCATCTCAACTTCTCCCGTCCATGATCATCACCCCGACGCTAGGCAATGGAAGGGGAAACGCCTCTGGAGATTCTAGCCACCACCCAACCCACCCAACTAATTCCTCAACGACAAGCACGCACGGGTCGCTATTACTACATTTCTTCATTGTGGCCAGAAAGGAAAGAGACAAGAGCTAGCTGAAAAGAAGGAAGGGGTTGTTTGAGATATTAGGATTAGCAGTTGGCGATGGTGGTATTATGTAGGAGACGATGAGGGTAGGACTGAGGGCGATAGAAGGAGCGAGAGTGGATAGGAGGGGGAGAAAGGAATGTGTGGCGCGCTGTGCTGGCGGAGAGGTGGTAGCCATGATCATTAATGCAGTCAGTCGGATCGGTCTGGGGAGTAGGCATCACGGGACCCGAGTGAACAAGGCGGTCATAACAAGACGTCAAAAAAAGGACGGTGATGGCGGTCAGGATCTTGAGGTGAACCTTGATACCATGACTGCTAATGCTATGAAGGCGCAGAGCCGCCACTTCTCATAGACAAAATGCCGCCACGCTGCCACCCATCCAGTGGTTGGAGCAGGAGCCGGGGCCGCGGGCCCCGACACCGCTCTCCGAGTTGGATCATCGGCCGCAGTCGGAGCAACAGGTCGGGGGTCAGAGTATGCTACCTTCAGCGCTGATACAAGGCGCACTTGCGAAGGGGGGTTGCGGAACATCACAGGCTCTGGATCAGGCTTTCCTCGTTCTTTCTCGCCCATATTAGGAAGATCCTTCATGGTTGGTGAGGAGTACTGTAATTGGCTATGCGTAAGCAGAAAAGAGAGACGATAAGAGATGAGCTTACCTCGGGAAAAGCATCTTTGAATTTTGGCTGTGCGATGTTCCAGCCATGACTTCGAGCCGCAAACGCACGTTTATGTTGGTCCGATGAGGTGACAGAGCCAGTCGTCATCTCGTCAGAAAGCATGAACGAGAGCAGGCCGGTCAAACTAGACGAGGAAGGTGGTCAGTATAGCTGTCAACCGGGGCTGTTTCGAAACGGAGTCAGGTAACGGGCAAAGCTCTGGCTGACACGATCAGCTCGGCTCCTGTCTTGCCTGCAGCAATCCGCCCTAAACTACCTCCAGATGCTACGCCTTCGTTCAACCCCAGCTCAAGAACAATGAAGAACTCACATTGTGGCCACACTCCACGCAGGATTCCACTATCAGCGTACAACCCGTCAATCTCGATTAACTCCTACAATGTCTACATGAACTCACAGATCCGGGGTGAAAGTCCGACATGGAGAAGCATATCTTGCGGTCTGGCTGGAAGCGGCCTGAGGGTGTGTACATCTGTGGAGGTTGGGATGGGGTGAGTGACGTCTTGGGCTCCGAGAGGTTGCAGGACAGACCTTGATGCCTGGTGGCTTGAACGGGTACTCTGACGGGAAAAGTAGGACGCCGTGGTACTCTCCGCCAGCGAAGGGCGAGTCGGGGGGTCCGCGCTAGAACAAAAGACGTATTACAAAGGCGATTCTGACGCCACAAGCAATGGCTGCGTACGATAAGATAGTTCCCTAGGTCGTGAGTGAGTACTGGAGCGTCATCTTGGGACTATAACGTGCGTACAGGTCAGGATATTCTTCTCATCTGGGGCAGCCCAGATGAACGGCGGCGGTTCCTTCTGCATGACAACATATTCCTTCGATAGCTAGATGTAGCGGAAGTTGGATAGGTTAGTCGCCTTATTGGTGGGCTTCTGGGTTCGCGAATAGACACGTACACGTTTCTGAGCGGCCTTGCTCGCCATTGTGTATGCTGTGGGCGTGGTCGGTGGGGTATGGTGGTGGTTAGCAGGCAAGCGGGGGATTACACAGCCAAACACGCGTGACATAGCACCAACTGTGACCGGTGTCACGTCCCTTCTTCCTCGTCATTGTCGTCAGCACAAGAAGAACTGAAAAGGTCTTGTGACCGAAAATCTCTATTGTAACTCATAGCAATGAGTACCGGCAACTATAGCATCTCGCAGCGTGATTTTTTAAAAAGAGGTGGCTACAGGCTGCTACAGGGGGGAAGAGTCAGAAAAAGCCTCATATGAGCAATCTTCCCGAAGTTTCTGACAAAAGAAAGTCCGCAATGCCGGCTCGGAATTGAACGATTCGGAACCGGGTTTCTGAAGTAGCGCAGGTAGGAGAGTTTTGATGTTGTGTATGTACAATCCTGGGCCTGAGGTGATATGCAAACCCCAAGGGTCAAACATCGACATGCACAGAGGGCGAGGCTAAAATAAATGAGCACTGGATGCAAGGGAGCCAAGAGCAAAAGGCCACTTACAGCTAAGCTCTACTTCCTGTATCGCCCACCTCGCACTTCCCCGCCCTTTGCCTTCAACGCCGCCTTCTTTCTCTCCTGCTCCTCGCCTTCGCACTCCTTTGCCTCGGGTCGATGACCTCGTAATCTCGCTCAGCCTTATCCGTCTCTTCCGTGTTACCTTTCGGAAAGTGTAGCGCGTGGCTCATGAACCCTCTGTCGTCGTCGACTTCCATGTCCTCCGTCCCGCCTTCCCTGCGTGGTGCCTCGGTTTCTGCACCGTCCGCGGGTGCGGGCTCTTCCGGAGCGTCATCCACGATCATTGTGTCTTGTAGTTTCCCTCTGAAGCTGTTCAGAGCAGCAATGATGTCGCCTTCATCCCTCTTTTTGCCCTTCTTGTGAACCCCACGTGAGCCGGCGTACTTGGCGAGCTCCTCACTGAGGTATGACTTTTTGGGTTTCTTGCGAGCCAACTCCTCGTCACTGTCGTTGCCATCTCGTCGTTTTTGAAGCATGCGGATTTCAGCCTCCATCTTTTCAATCTCAGCTTTCCGTGAGTTTCTGCAAAGTGGATCAAGTAATGCTGAAACGAATGGGGAATTCCACGTACTCTGACGCAGCCTTTTCTTTGGCATGTTGCTCTCGAATCTTGGTAATATCCTCCTCCTTTTTCTTGGAGGGTTTCTCCTGCCAGGCAGGTTAGATAATTGTGCATATGGTATTGAAGTCTAGCGGTACCTTCGGCCTTTCGGTTTCAAGGGCAAGTTTGGATGTAGTTGCTAAAGGTTGTGTCACAAAGTCTGGGACGGCGGTCTTCGTTTTCGTCTTTCCGGCGTCGACCACTAACAACTGGTAAGTAGACCAACGATGGCTTCAACGACAAGCTTACGTTCTGGACGGAAAATTGGCTTCTTGGCAATGGCTGGTTCTTCCTCCTCTTCCTCTGCGTCATCTCCAGCGAAGCTCAGCAACTTCACATTCCTGTCGCCCCATCATTTTACTGTAAAGAGCGAGGTAACATCGGCAACGTACTTCTTTGCACCCTTTCTCCGCTGCTCCTCTTCTCTTTCGCGTTGAGCCTGCTCCCTCGCTCGTTGTTGAGCTCGTTTTTCATCAGCTGTTATCCGAGGCACAATGTCATCGAAAGGGTTGTCGACAATGCGTATTGATTTGATCTTGGGTGGGCTAACCGCATATCATCGGTATTTCGAATCACAGAAAAATGTGCCAGCTGAGACTCACTATACAGGCCGTCCCTCCTTGTCCAGTTCTGTATCTTTATTAGCCAGGCGTCAAGGGCAGACGTCGAGTTCAAAGGCGTACCCATCTCTCCGATTTTCATGACGTCTGCAATGCACAATCAGCCAAACAAAACCGAGACTATAAAATCCCACGTACTGTATACTGTATCCCCCATACACCTCCCAAACAGGGTATGCTTCCCGTGTAGTTCATCAGCTCTGTCTGCCCAAACCGATCCATTCAACAAGACTCCACGAGCATTAGAACATTGGACCCACCCAGCGTGATGAAAAACTGTGAATCGTTCGAATTCTTGGTTCCATTATTTGCCATTCCAACCAACCCTCGGTGAGCCCATCGCAATCGCGGGTGAATCTCATCCTCGAATTGTTCTGCCGATAAAAATGGTCAGACAGCACCCTCGAGTATACAAGCACGTTGCTCACCGCCGTAGAACGATTCTCCACCACCACCAGTGCCTGTCTTGTCTCCCGTTTGGACGAGGAATCCTGGAACGACCCTAACATATTCGGGGAAAGCTTAGATGCACACGTTCGAGATGAAGTAGCTAGTCGCACGTACCGATGGAAGATGACCCCGTCATAGTATCCTGTACCACACTGCATGAGTTTATCTGCATTTCCGGCGTCCTTAGGAACTCACAAACCCTCCATGGCGAGTGCAAGGAAGTTTCGACATGCTTTAGGTGTTTCCTGCCAATGATTCAACGCGGTTTGTTTGAAGCCCGAGAAGATGTGAGAACACAAGACACGTACTTTGGACCATAGCTCTATGTATATTTCGCCCACTGTCGTGTCGATGATGACTCTGCCTTTTGTCGGAAGTGCCATTAGAATCTGTCGTAGTAGTAGGCACAGTTACGTTTTTGCCATTTGGACAAAGTGATGAACAAATTTGGGTGCAAATCCCAGCCGTTCTATAATTTTCGACTACAATATCCCAATATATGCAAGTTATTGTACAGAAGCTTAAGATCGGTCCTATTTGCACCTTGTCTTCAACTCGTGCTTGAACCTCCAACACAAAGAGTCAGAAACACGTCTGGGTAGCTATGCCATTTTTCAGCCCTCATTTCTCCCCTTGATCATAGGCGGTGGTCACTTCTGGGTGACCTTTTATTCCATGTTCTGTTGAAGTCTTATCCTGGATGCAACTCCCTGTCTTTACGTCTTTCCTCTGGCTCATCTGCTTCTTCAGTGACATATTTCGAAAATTGCATGGTCGAACGGCGGTCAATGGACACCCTAAACCCTACCCGCGATCCAGCCTCCATGTCAATGACTATGTAACCCGAGCGACGATCGACCCCCTTCCTGATTTTCTGCATCTGGCGGTTCTGCACTAAGCTCTTTGGGACCGTCATCGTGGTTCGAAACGAAGGCGGGCTCTGAGGTGGGTCGATGTTCCACCGCAGGAGTCAGGGATAAGTTGAGGGCGTCAAAGTTCTGCCTCATATCCTGGACTCTATACGGCCTTAAAGCCTCAGAGGGACATGCCATAATTTGCCTTGTCGGCATCTTAAGTTATCTGCGGATAGATCAGAGAAAGGATCGACTGATCAGAAGGGATTTACAAAAACTAGGCATATAACGCGCGGACGGCATCTGAGGACAAGGTCATCACGAGCATTTGTGGGCGCCCGTGGGACCTCGAATGTTGAAGTCTTAATGACAACAAGGACTTATGCCCAGAGTACGATCGAGGATTTAGCTAGTGAATGTCGAATATGCAGCCCCGGAACTCTGGAGGTTTGTAAGGTTTAGTTGACAGGATGTTCGAGAATCGGGTTATAAGTGCTATCGCCCAAGTTGCGCCCAAGTCAAAGGAAATGAAAAACCCCGTAAAAAGGCTGTGGTTGGAAAGCTACCTATTCCAACACTATTTGGAAGTGCTGTACTCTGAACTTGGAGGCCAGAAAAAGTGGCACGGCTCCTACAGTGAATAGGCGCCCGATTTCTGTCATTGCTACTTCGAGAATACTAACGGACAATAGACATGTATTACTTGTGCACTCAAGATAAATACAGGTCAGATTCGCGAAATATTCACCACGCAAGATCACGGTCTTAGTTTCAGAGCATTCGCATGTGACTTGAGAATTGAATAGACTGGTCCATCTGGGTATACAGTGTACCCATCATTTGGTGTGTCGCCCCTACAAGTTCATTGACACATTACGCTCCAGGGTATGTTTCCAACACTCACGTCGACAAATGAGACCCTGCTTGCCAAATTAGATCCCAGTCAGAACAGAGGAGATGACTTGATTCAGCCAAGCTGTGTAGATTGTAGCTTGATTATTCGTTACCCCAAACTCTTCGAGAATAACCGGCTTGTTAGCCTTCATCATAGATACAGCATGGTCCGTTATCCATTGGGTGCCCCATGCCTGTTCGTTTCCACCTTGGCCCCAGGGCGTGGGATACGACTGCGCAGCCGAGCATTAGATTGCGCACGCCACACATCAACATCATAAGAACCTTACATGGAAAGTCCCGAAGTCAAGAGTGCTGATGGCGAGGTTGGCGTCAAAATCGATCCCCTCGCTTCCTTGGTAAGGGTACGTTGGGACTCCAGATCGAATATAAAAGCCTTCATCGCCCAATGCAATGAGGTGATTACTGTCGATAGATTTGATATACGCTGAAATTTCCTTGGCCCAGTTGGTGATCGTGATCGTCGTACAGGTCCCAGATGACGTCCTATGATAAACTTCCATTGTGGGTTCAGGAGTGCTTGATTCAGAATATAGCTACCCGCTGCTGCATCTCGGCTCATTCGCGAGTTCCCAGGCCATGATAGTGGGCTCGTTCATGTAACGCCCAACGAAAGATTTGATATAACTTTTGAAGGCATTCTTCGAGGAAGAAAAAATCAGCCACTGCTAACCAGCCAAACGGAGAAATCAATACCTTTACGCTCGCATCCGTATAGAAAAGATCATGGTTCGCAGAGTTGAGAATTTGCTTGATGTGCACGTCCATGCCACCGTAGTCAGACCAATTGTTTGTTCTGGGGCACGTTAGTTGCGAGTCGGATACCGTAAAGCAACAGTAACAAAACGAACAGGGCAACGATGAGACGAAGGCCGTTGGCTTTGGCAGCTGCGACAACATTGTCTATGAACAGAACGAAAAGAACTTTGGTCAATTCCAAGGTAATTTAAATGCGTCTTGCTCGGAGCGCTTACCAAAGTTGGCCAATCCTGTAGATCCAGTGTTGACAATTGGAGTACTGCCGGACCAGCTCTGATAGTAATTTCCATTGGGACTGGTAACTTCATTGAATCCCCTGCAATATAAATGCAGTAATCAGACGATGCGTCAGATTCGAGTGTCGAGCGTACCAGGTGCGAACGACCGTTGCGCCGCTAGCGACGATGTTGGCGAAGCCTTGTTCATCTTAGCTGTGCTCAGCCCCATCAGGCCGACCCAATATGAATTGGAGCTACACACGAGAGTCCGGAAATTGAAACAAAAGGATGGACAAATGTAAAAAGACGAGGCTTACCCAGCGACGTTGAACCTCGAACCATTCAGCGTCAATTGTGTTCCAGAGGTCTTAACGAAGCTTGTAGACGCCGGGGGAGCGGTCGTCGTCGGCGGCGGCGGCGGTGCGCTTGTCGTGGCGGCTGTTGTGGTCGAAGCAACCGTCGTTGCAGTCCCTGGAATGCATTGCGAGTAGTAGTCGTTCTGGTATGTGCAAATCGACCCCGTAGCGCAGGCTGTTCGGAACAAAAGAGCATGAGCGAATATTCGGAGACGCTAGAGAAACGAACATACTTGTTTCGCCAGTGTAGTTTGTGCCACCACACTTTCCCCATACAGGCACTGCTGCTAGTGCATATCCAGAGTACAGGGAGAGCGCAACGAGGCTTACGGAGAGCTTCATCGCAAAAGTGATGGGGATCTGGAGAGAGCTGTCTTTTTATTGAGTATCCCTCGTTGCGAGCCAAGTCACCAGAATCGGTCAGGAGCCATGAGTCGGGCATTCTTCGCGATGTGCTTGAAGTAATAGTTCTTTTCGCGAAGAAGATCCGTTGGCCGTTGGTGTTGGTGTTATATTTGGAGATCTAAAAATAGAACTTCCTGCAACAACGAAGCCAAGGAAGGATCAGCGTGATCAGCCAGACAAACCTCCGAAGAAAAGTCTGCGGGATAATTTTATGTAGGAAGAATTTGGCCTGAAATTTGAGAGTCCTCACCTTTTTTACACAAACACTCTTGTCTCCACCTGCATCCCGGTCAATTGATTGACAATGTAGTATTGTCGGTTGCAGAAGATCCCATTCTAACGAACGTTCTGCCTCTGGCATTCTGGGTGGTATTTTGAGCTGCCAGGCGATCAAGGAGGAATATTATGAAGCATTAAATATCATTACATTAGCGAAAGTACATTCTGAACGTTCAGTGAATATCGTCTAAAGATTCATCGCGTTTTGGTAGTGTCGTGTGCATGCGATTAAGAGATTCTTTCGAACTTGATGCCCCACCCGAGAAGAGCGGCGTTGAAGGCGGTCCTATATTCGGAGAGGACCTCGAGGAGGTCGACGATGTAGTGCCTGCGGGCCGACTAGCCTTGGGACTCGAATCGTCCACCGAACGAGGCGATTGCCCGCCCCACGTCGCAGTACCGCCACTGCTTCCCTGTACCGAAACCAAAGGCGACCGGAACCTGACACGGTTATCCTGCAAATCCACGTCCTCTTCTCCTGGTGCTGGAAGAGGCGAATCGGCATTCGAGCGCGACCCGAGGCTGCGGTTGCTGAATGCCGTCATAGGGGTGCCGGGGATGGGTGGGAGGTTCGGAGGAGGTGGGACGGCGAGTCTAGGCTTAATCAGCAGTGGGGCGTTACCAGGAGGGTTGAAGTTGGAGCCGAGAGGCGCTTTAGGACGGAGAGGTGGTGGTGCTGGCGTCGAGTCTGTGCTGGAGGCATAGGATATGGCGCTGTCCATACTGTCTTGTCTGTGGTAGGAGGCCCTATTGCGGACAGTGTTCGCGCGTGTAACATACGTCCTCGAGTTGCTTTCCGGGCTCTGCGAGCGAGACTGATCTGGCGTATCGTACGGCTCTGGTGGAGGATGATAACTGGTCGCTGGGAGGAAGTCCGGGTTCTCTTGCATCGCATACCCGCTGCCATCTGCGGCGAAGCCATACCGCGGGAGGTTCGGGTCAGAAGACATTTGGCCACCAGGCGGTGACATGAAGTTCGTCGGGTATCCTGTTGGTGAGCCCGGCGTTGCGCCCCACGGCGTGTGGCCTGAGCCAAAAGGTGGGTAGCCGAAATGTGGATAGTGCGACCCCTGCCAATAAGGGTTCGAGGCTTTCTCGTCGAGCCATGCGTCGATACGTTGCTTCCACGCCCTCTCCATCACCTCACCGTACCGCCGGAAGGTGGCTATTATCGCCACTCCATAGACCATGCCCAGTCCGAGAACGGAGGAGATAACGATTCGAACGGTTAGAAGCGCATCGGCGGACATGTGCGAAGGTGGCGTTGTATCTTCGGCGCTCGTGCGCCAGACGAAAGACATGATGCACACGATGTACAGGATAATAGACCTGAAAGGACGGCGTTAAGAAATAAAGATTGACGCAGAACGAATGTTGTTGAAGGTGCGTACCAAGTCAACCAGATTGCGGGCATTGCGAGCAGAACCCAAACGTTCCACCATATGACCGATTTCGTCTTTTTAGCCTCCTGAGAAAGGCATAGCGGGAATATTATTACAACAAGCCAGCAAACTGATACAAGATAACGCACCAAAGCCCATTCAGCAGCCTTGTACGTCTTTCGCATGCTTCCAAAGCGAATGATATACATGCATCCAAATAGCAAACTGATCAAAGCGCATATCAACGAGAAAAGCGCTGCGTATCGGGTAATAGGGTCAGCTGCAGCCGCTTCGATTTGCAGGATTGTCAAAATAGCGCTACGACCCCAATTGAAGTCAGCACGGGGTTGCTATAGGAGACAAAATAAACGAGAGAAATATAGAAAACAACGCACGAGAGGAGCAGAACCGAAATGATGTTGAACGTCTTCCACTCTCTCATCACCGAATCGATGAACCCCTCCCACGTCGCCTTGAGCCTCTCATACTGGGGTGGCAGGTTCGAATTCTTCGACTCAAACGCCTGCACGTCAAATTCGCCACCCCCGCCGCCACTCCGAGCGCGCGACGCCGTCTCGAGCGCCATTTTCTTCAGCTCCGGGAGAGTCAGGTCCGCCTCCTCGAAGATCCTCGCCACGCGCGAAAAGTACAGCGACGGCAGGCGCAGCAGCAGGAGCAAATATACCTGGCTTGGCAGCGTGAGGGCCAGGAAGTTGGCGACCTTTTCGAGAGAGTCGGAGGAGTCGGAGGCGCTGGGAGTGACGAAGACGACGTGTGGGGAGGTTTCGCCTCCAACCCACGTCGGGGGGACCTGTGGCTTAATCTTTCGCCCAAAAGGCCAGCGGAGGGCGGCACCCACGCGCGACCAGAACGACGCACGCTGCGGTGCATAGGGCGTGTATGGAGGGTAATATGGGTATGGCCCACCGTAGATCGGGCTGTAGGGCGAGTACGGGGGCGAGGAAGGACGGTAGGGCCTGTACGGCGACGCTGGCGGACTGTACTCATGTCCTGGCGGTAAGACTGGCTGAGGTGCAGGACTACCCTCGGGACGCACCGGCACTACAGGAGGCAAGATTGGGTGTGGTGGAGGACTATCCTCGGGACGCACTGGCACTACAGGAGGCGGCGACGGGGTTGGCTGGGGCAGGATTACGACAGGGGGAGTCACAGGCCGCTGAGGAGGCAGCACTGGCGGCTCATCGGAATGCTGACTGTCCGTACTCGGGCGGCCAACTGACACTGGCACCGGACCTGGAGATATCGGAGGCGGCTGCACGACAGGTGCAGTCCCGTCATGTCGCGCCGGTGGCTGAGGGATCGTCGGCACTGGCGTTTGTCCTTGCCCGTATGTGGGCGGAAGGTTCCACGGGCTCTGGTGAGGTGCCGGAGTCGGGTGGTACGGAGGCGACGTGCCAACAACAGGAGGTGAAGTGCCCCACTGGCCCGAGCTCGGATGGGGCGTCGTCTGATAGTGAGATGGAGGATATGGTGATGGACCTATGGGAGTCGGTACAGTGTGCGGCCGCTGCGCACCTCCAGAGTAATACGGCGAAGTATGACTCGACGTGGGCGGCCTGTGTGAGCTACCTGTGCCTGGGTAAGGAGCAGATCCCCACGTCGAGGTAGGCTGAGTAGCCTCGACTGTGCCCGGCATTGGGATATCGTCGAACGTGAGGCTGCTCGATGGCTTATCCGCCTTGCTCTGGCTGTGCGAGTGCGGCCGGAATGGGTCGCTTGCTACAAACGCGTCGGTCTTCTTGCGTGCTGGGGCTTGCGTGCCGTACCACCCAGCAGGTTGAGACTGAGTTATGTCCCCAGGCGGGATGCGGGGCGCGTTCGGCGCGTAACCGTGTCCGGCGGGGCTTGAGTACGAAGCTGGAGCGGGCGTTGACATGACGGGGGTTTGTGTGGCTACCGGCTGCGGTCCATTGACATACCATCCAGCAGCAGGTTGAGACTGGGATAAGTCTGCAGGCGGGATGAGAGGCGCATTCGGGGGGTAGCCCGGTCCGACGGGCGTTGACACGATGGGGGGTTGTTGAGCTTGAAAGCCGATGGGTGTAGATGAAGGAGGCTGCGAGTTTGGAGTGCGATAGGCGCCGGAGGTGTGGACTGGCTGAGGGGCGCTGCTGCCGGGATAGGTGTAAGGGTTTATCGGAGGAGTTACCCCGTACGAGGGCGACGCATGAACGGGCGTCGTTGCAGGACGAGACCGGCTTCCAGGGACCTCTTGTTGCGATACGGAGTACCTCCGCGAGGGGAGCGGCATGGTCGAAGAACCCCAAGCTGGTACCGAAGATTCCTGGGGGGGCGGGGGCATAGCGAAAGGCATGTGAAACGGCGATACGTGGAATGGCCCAGGAACGTATATTGGGCCGTCGTTAGAGGGCTCCAGGTTGGATGTTGGTCCTGCCGCGTTGTTCACTGGGATAGTGGGAGTAGTCGTCCATGAAGATTGCGACCCAGGCACATTTTGGTCTGGATGACGAACAGGCGCGAGGGGACGCGAACCTTCCTGAGGGTTGATGGAGGAAGATGTCGACATTTGGCGGACGGGTGCTCTTGCAACAGGCTGGTCCTTCGATGAGCCTTGGACGAAGCTGGGAAGCGGCGCTGACCGCTGTCCGACTGCAGCAGGCTCTTCGCGTCCCGATTGCGCTGATATCGTATCCTTGTAGGGATCGTACAACTCCTCCGTCTGCTGCTTCTCCTCGACCGCGCGTCCCATCTCCCTTGTAGCCGCTTCAGTTGTAGATGTCTGGCTGGTTCCCGACATAACGATAACTCTGTGTGATAATCAGAACGATGAGAAAATGAAGAGGGCAGAAGCACGCACCTTTAGAGACAAGGACCTAAAGATGGTGGTGGTTGGGGAAAGAGTTATGGTGTGCGGTGTCAGGCACCCTGAAAGTTCAACATGATACATGATTTGCTGATTGAGCGCTAAAATCGGCGCCGACGTCGTTCTTGGCATCCGGATGCTGATGGCAGGCACGTATGGTGTATGGTGTGTATTAAGATAACAACATCTGCTGAGAGATTCCAACGGCATATACGCACTACGAGGCATATACTTACACGAGATTCAACACGGGTATTGCATAGAACTTGTGTGTCGTTCGTTGGAGACTTGGATGTATTCGTCTGTTTAATTGTTCCGAATGTTCGTCTGTTGACCTCGTATACCGGTCTAACGCTTTCCGGGCACCTTACTCATTGGTGGCGCTTGAGCAAATGTGGAATTGCAAGCCAGGTATACGATATTCGTCCAGCGCTGGCACCTTGAATGCTGCGGCGCCCTCGCGCGGAGGCGCTATGCGGCATGCCGCAATTTCTATGAGCAACTTTTGGCACCTGGTTCTTGCTCTCTTTATCGATTAACGCATTTTCAGGGGTGAATATTTGAATAGGCATTATATGTTGGAAGAGAAGGAAGAGGAAATGACTTCTCCGCGCCGAACGAAAGTCCCGGACATAACTATATAGTTCTTAGTCATTTTTTCCCACCATTTCGGCATCAGGCGAATGTACTTAGGTCGGTGAAGGTAACCCCAGATGCACGGCCTCGACATCAACTCCACCTCACCATCATGCAGTTACATTTCATCATGTACGATCGGCCCATCCTTCGAATCTCATTCCATCATAAGTATAGGTCATACTATGACCTATAAAACAGGAACCGACCATAACTTGTAGTCATTGCCTTGTCAAGTTCCCCTCTCCTCGACACGAGTGGACTTAAAAGTATCAGTCGTCTTGCTTGGTGAATATGACCATAATCCCAACCGCCGCTCTGGTATATCTACTCGCGGCAAGCTTGGTTGTTCTTGGTCAAGACCTAGGTGTTCCTTCGTCTTGGAGGGTGCGTATTCTCTCGATGTCTTCCGCGCTCCAACGGTTCAAGCTCGCTGAACAACGGCCTTCACAGAAACCTAGCACAGATCGCCCACTCAGTGAGCGTGTTGCGCTATCTCAAAAGGCAATAAACGCCATCCTTCCCAAACACAACTCGGGGAACGGGGAATTCAATGGTTCGTAATCGGGTCGACTAAAACTCGAAAATGTTTACTTAATATCTCGTTGAAGGAATCGGGTTCTGGCAGTCGGGGAACGTCTACTCGGCCATGGTTAATCACGATCGATTTGCGAAGAAGACGACCAACCGCGCTGTGGTTCTGAATAACTTGAACAAGGTGTTTGGCCTATACTCGAACTACGATCGATACGGGTAAGTTGTGCTTGCCTTCTCTGACCGCAACAGTCCGCTAATATTGCCTAGGGTGAGTCAATTCTGTGATGACAAGAGCCTTCAGCGTCGGCTGAGCTTCCCGTGATTCCAGTACAACGATGATGCTCTGTAAGCTTTTCGTACAAACTGACGTCAACTACTATCTAACCCATCGTCTCGTGCAGGTGGTGGGCTACATCGGCAGTGTACGCCTACAGGGTCTACGGAAACACAACAATGCTCTCCCATGCAGTTGCGACGTGGAACAGCGTGAATCGATTGTGCGTGCGATACCTTTGCTCAAACATGTCTACCATACTCACTCTTCCCTCTCTTCTCTTTGGGCATGCGCTCACAAATAGCGTCATAACCCCTGCAAATGCAGCAGCAGGCAAGCACCCCAGGAAGAATTTTGCGATCCGAAGCACGTGCGACGGAAGTCAGTCCACCTCCCACATGCGTTTTCATTCTATTTCTGACTTCAAAATGCCGTTTTCCTTGTCACATTCCTCCTTCCTCGCCACCTGCTCCCGGATCCTCGGCACATGGTTGTGCAGAAACGATGGCGGGTGGTGTGTTTTGGGTGAGTGCTTTCGGGCGTCAACATTCCAAGCTCCACGGGCGGTTCATTGACCAAGCATTCTTGATTCCTTCTAGCGTCCAACGGCAGATGACACGAACGTGAACTCGGTCACGACGGGGTACGTTGGCCTGGTTTCCGCTCTCCTTGATGCTCATGCCAACACTTCGTGAATCTCCTTTCTACAGCCTCTTCATAACGTAGGCCTTCCACATGACAAAGTGCACTCCAGACTTACAACTCCGCGCGACTGTACAGCCTCTCTACCTACCTCTTCGGAGCCACCAAAGATGAGAAGTACCGCACAGCCGCCATCCGGAGCGCGCGCTGGATGGAGGCGCTCAACATCAATGCGAAGAACATCGTTCTCGACACTGTGCATGCGAACGACTGCTCTCGATCGCCTGCAAATTGGATATTCACGTATAATAGCGGGAAATATGTCGAGGGATTGAGCGTGTTGTCGGACATCACCGGGGATAGCCATTGGCGTAATCTGTGAGTGACCCTTCGAAGTTGTCGGTCGCTGGAACACTCGTGCTCAATTATTTCTGGGTAGAATGGTTAAAATTGTAGCTGCGTCTGTCAAATCTGCTCCCTGGCAGGGTACGAATGGAATCATAACAGAGGGATCGAGTCGCAACAGCAATAACGACGGAGTAGGGTTCAAAGGCTCGTCATTTCCCTCCCTTTCACAAAAGCTTGTGTCTCGAAATCTAAATGAAATTTAGCCATCTTCATTCGCGGTCTCGCCGAAGTATACACGAGGAGCTCGTCGAACAAGGACCTCCGCACTCTGTTGCATAGCTACATCGACGTTCAGGTAAAACTATCAATTCAATTTATTCAGCACTGGCTAATACTTGAGTACGTTTTAGTTCAACGCCCTGCTCGATCTAGCGGCCAACGGGAGCACCTACTCTTCTGCATGGCGCGGTCCACCGCAGGCATTCACGACCTGGGGTCAACTCGCGGCACTCGACGTGTTCGCGAGTGCAATTGTTGCAAATTAGATGTCAGTTGCTGACCGATGAAAACCTACCAATTGCCGAAAGGAACCAGTTGTCCAATGACTAGAGAAGACATTTAACTAATTACGTGCTTTTATTTATATGTACTGGTGCTGAATTCATTTTGATCTGCAAGACGTCTGAACATTCCGAGCTTTTTTGGAGGTGAAGATATTTACATTCTGAACCAGTGGATCATGTAGATCCTCAAGTGAACCTCGCGCCTTTCAGAGGCCTGTTTCGAGTTCCAGCAAAAGACCAAGAGTCGCATACTTTTAGGGTATAGCGAATATTAAAAAAGATCATTTCAAACTACTCTAGACAGGAAGCATGTCAAAAACGGACCTTGGGACAACAGAATCCCCCTTTCACCTCAATACAAAGGATAGGGGCATCGGCGACGATTCAATATATACCTCTATAATGAAGCAGATCCCTCGACTTCGTGTACGCCTGTTTGCACTTCTGCTCGTGCCCTATTTCCCGTTCGCTCCTCTCTCAGACCTTTTTTATTGTTCTACCCTAAGTCATTCACCCGTGTCTCATCTCGGTCGGTCTGCCCCATGACCCCATGAAAGCCTCTTGATTCTTCTCTTCCCCACTCACAGTTACGCCAATTTTTATCATACTCGAGTTCATATCTTTCGCTTGCTCAGGTCATTAAACTCATTCGGAACGCTTTCAACTTTGTGGACCTATCCCACCAGCATCCGTCTGTTCTCCTTTCCCCTGAATGTATTATGCTCACTACAGCTTCCACATGGGTCACAGCTTGCCTTTCCTTTGCCCGCCGAATACATAAACCTTTAAAGGACATCATCATACTTTTATTGCAAGCTACGTGTAGGAACGGCAAGGTTGTAGAGCACAGACAAGAATCCATTCAGCCGAGTCGTTATCAGACTCTGGTGGAAGAAGCTTCTGAGCAGACGGCGAAACACCCTGCTTGCTCTCCTGCCGCACTGAGCTGAATATTGAGTCTAAAAAATAGAAAGTCTGTCCCCTGTCTCTTCTCCTTGCATGTAAGCGCTCGCTCAGAAGCGCCTGCTCGGACGCACTGTTCGTGTCTATCGCGTCAAGTTTGCTCTTCCACATGAGCCACAGCCTTGCCTTTCCAAGTCCCATTAGCCCCAGATTTTAGTGTCTTGAGATGGCACCCTTTCAAAAATGTCGTCTTTCCATCGTATGATGCAGGTTCCGCATATTCTCGAGCTGCTAGTCTCTGTGTCAAGTCCACGAGTTTGGTTCATTTTTGTGCCGAATTTCAGACAAAATCATTCTTTTGAGAAATTGTTCAGTGACGGGTTTTGTTTATGGCCGAAGCGAAGCGAGGCAAAGATCTTGTTCAACGTTCAACGTTTACCGGAACGCAAATCAATGTCACGCGTCATGGTTCCCATTTCCCAACACGGTTAACCACCACAGGAAGTGCTCGTCCGAGAACGTCTGTGCGACCTTGTGTTCGGCGGACAGGCTTGAAAACAGGTAAAAGTTATCATAGAGTGTCCGCGTTTACGATTTTCTAATTTCTATGGTTTCTAGCGTCTGTACTCTGTAGAGAAGCCTAGAGTATATCGGTCGAGACCTTAGCCTTCTCAGTTCTGCAGCTTCTGATTCAACCTTGTCAACGCATTAAGGAACAAACACACTTCCGACCAACTTCAAGTCCCACAAGTAGACGCCCACTGGAATGCACCCCTTAAGCTTAAGCTTAAGGCCTAAGGGCTTATTGCTGTGCGTTCGGCCTCCGTCTAAGCAACCCCCAAAGGCGAGCCTACCTGAAGGTAAACAATCTCTACGTGGAAAAGGTCAGTATGGAATATAAGTCCTTGTGCTATCCTTCCTAATGTCTAGCTAGTGTGTGTCCTGTATCTCTCTATTCTTTAGCAACATCATCGTCAGCGAATTTCAACATAGTTGAACAAGCCGGGCTCGTGGCTCAGTTGATGAAGAATGTTTCTCCTTACAACGTCTAATTAGACGCACGGCTTCAGTAGAGCACCTACTCAGTAAGTAAACGAGATTTCCCCGCTCCTGCGAAACTCACCTCCTCCATTGTTCTTTGTTAGATGAATGAATAATCATAGCCGTCCAATGGAGAAAACTCGCTGTTGAGTCTTGCCTCATCGACGCCTTGGCATGCAGTCGTAGTTCTTGGCATTCCCATTGCACGCCTCCATCTCTTCCTTCTTCGCGGCATGGCAGCTGTTACGGAGGTGGAATTTCCTGGCATAGCTAGGCAGAAGATGACTACTGTTGTGAGTGCATATAAGGCCCTCACATTTCGTAGGATTCGCTCTCTAATCACTCTCTCATTTCAGAATCTTCCAAGATGAAGCTCCTATCCTCCATTGCGCTTGTCCTCTCGACAGCAGTTCTGTCGTGTACTGCGGCCGCTATTACTCGCCAAGAGGTCGAGCAGAATTCTGCAGCGGGCCTGCACCTCATCGATCTTGCCCCAGATGTTGAACCAGTTTGGAAGACCGAAGAGGAGGTGGAGGCTCTCATTGCCCAGGACGTCCGATTTGTATGTGGCCTTCACTAGCCATGTGCAGACGCTAGCCTTCATTTATCTTTCACTTTCAGTTCGACATAACCGATGTCTACGACCCCGATGCCGCAGGGACTGCCGCGATCGCCGAAAGCAGTCTTTTGGCTACTTGTAAGCCGTCTCCAACATCCATCATAGTTACGAGAAGAATGCATAACGCCACTTTCATTCAGACACAGCACCGTCGCGGCAGGCGCAAGTGCAGCCCATCCTCGCCAATGTATCTTTGTCGACGATGGAGGATTACCTGACCACCTTGACTGACTTCAACAACCGCTACTACACCTCCACGACCGGCCTGGAAGCCTCGCTGTGGATCCGCGACACCGTCGCCGCCATCATCAGCGAGAATCTTGGGAGTGGGGCGACCGTTGAGCTCTTCAACCACACCTGGCTGCAGCCCTCTATTGTCGCTAAGATCCCTGGAACAGCCTCCCAGTCGCCAGTGACCATCATCGGCGGACACATGGATTCGATCAACTCGCGCAATGCTTCTACTGGACGGGCGCCAGGTGCTGATGACAATGGCAGTGGCAGTTCAAATATACTAGAGGCCTTCCGTGTGTTGGTGGCTGCAGGCTTCAGGCCGAGCACCCCGGTTGAGTTCCATTGGTATGTTTTTATTTTCTCGGTCAAGATCTGGAGGCTTGATGTCGATGTAGGTATGCCGCTGAAGAGGTTGGTCTCCGTGGCTCGCAGGCCATCGCCACCAGCTACAAAAATGTGGGTGTGGAGGTCAAGGCTATGCTCCAGCTAGACATGACCGCCTAGTATGTGTTCGCTCCCTGCCGTGTTTGATGTTCCATCTTCACAGTACCCTTCAGCGTCAGGCCTGGAACGGACCCAGTTGTAGCCTTGGTTCCTGTGTGTTACAGTTCTATGAACGGTTCCACAAAGCGAATTTAAGCTTATTCTGTTCGTAGGATTTCACCGACAGTGGTTTGACGACCTTCATCGGACAAGTCGTGGATGAGTACACAAGCTTGTCCTGGGTCATCAACGATCCTGTAAGCTTCTCTCCGATATTCCGTCTAACTCCTCTTATACTCCTATTAGTGCGGCTACGCTTGCTCTGACCACGCCTCGTGGAATATCCAAGGATACCCTGCGGCTTTTCCATTCGAAGGACTGTTCAGCAACGGTAACCCCAACAGCCACACCGAGTTCGACACCGCCAGCGTTCCTGGCTTCTCGCTGACTCACTCGCTCGAGTACGCCAAGCTGGCCGCTGCATATGCCTACGAGCTCTCTGCTTAGCCGTGCATTCTAATTAAGCATTCTTTAAACTCAAACCCGAGAAAAGAACCATTGCTACAATGATTTTAAGTGTTAAAAGGACTAAATATGATTGCGAAACTTTAGTCGAGGTCAAATACGAGAACCTCGGCAGTACGGTCGCCACCATTCTCCACCTCGCACCCTGATCAACGAAGATGTAATACGCCCTATTGCCTTCGTGCAACACAACTTCCTCATGACTACCTTTCGCCTTAATCTTGACACTATCGCCGTTAACCTTGCCTTCATTATACCCACTCGTCTGCACGACCTTCCCTTACGGTCATGTACGGAATGATCCTCGTAAATCAATAAAGAACCACATTCGCTCGTCTGCACGACGTGGATGTGACTTTTATTTCCTTCCAGCGGTCTACTCAATCCCTTTCCCTGGCCGAGAAGTGTCGTGTAAAGTGTGAGAGGGCTTTGCACTGGGGCCAGTCCTTTACTCTCCCTCTGAGCGAGGACGCCTTCAGCCCCAACTGCTGCGGCAATGCGCACCCACTTGTCAATCTTCTCGGCGTCAGGAAAGAGTCGCGTGAAGTACTGCGGCTGGAGGTGGGAAGTGCGGGGCAAAACCCAAATCTGGAGGATGTGGACCTATTTAGCTCCTTGTGCCTTCTCGTAGTGCGAGATGCCTGTGCCGGAAGTCAGTTGGGCGTCTCCACGCTTGGTGTTTCCCATTGAGTCCTTGCTGAATTGATGTTAGTCCCAATTAAATAAAGTGGAACTGAGAGACTTATTGTTCAAGCTCTCCCGAGACGATGTACGAGAATATCTCGAATTCGTGGTGCGAATGCATTCCGAAACCCGCGCATGGGGCGACGCGATCCTCGTTGACGACGTGGAGGCCGCTAAACTGGTTGTGTTGTCTATATTGGTACCTGGGTAGAGTAACAAGTACGATTCTCGGTCATTTTTACAGGGATATGACATGGTTGGTTCACATGGTGAAGGAGAATGTGCGGAAGGTCTTTAGCCAACCATGGTCGGCGTGACGGATGGGGAACGAAGTTTATGGAAATCATGGCGCTTTCTATCTCCGAGCTAGTAGATACTCTGGCGGATTGGGTGATAACGGTGGATCTGAGCTGCTGACTGCGAAGTATGACGGTAATGGATTGAGTTGAAACAAACACAGGCTGGGGAATGGGACCCAAGTCGAACTCGCGCCGTATATACCTCTCCAGCATGTTAATGAGAACTGGTTACGGGATTGGGGTAACATGACTGGACCGTGATCGTGGTCGGTCGGCCGAGGTCATCTTCCTAGACGCCCCAATTCCTTAAAAGGGAATTCCCGACCCACGAGCGCTTGTCATCTTGGAGTCACGACAGCTGACGTGATAAAGATGACTCGGATATGTGGCGTCAGCGAACTGGCCCATCCTCGAGAAGGAAAGCTGACAGTTGCAACGGGTCGAGTCATACTACCTTCTCGAAAACGCTGGAATCTGATTGAGGGATCTGCTGATCTGGCCAGCTGGGTGGTGTCAGCATTGTTCAGACGCCTCGTTCTTTGTTGGCACGAGCAAGTTCCAGAACTCGGAAGAGATTGCATCCGTCAAAGATTCTAATGATCAGAATTTAAAAGGAAAAGAATATCTGAGAAACTCCAGCCACGAAGACACAAAGTGGACGGGGAGAATATTATTACTGTAAATAGACACCTATAGTCGGACAATGTAGCCTACTCCTGACTCAAGTTGGTGCTGGTGACCACTTGCTTTCGAGAGAAGAAGTAAATGTAGTCCATGAAAATTAAGAAACAATACCTGGAAAAAAAATGGTACTTGCCGTAACCCGTCGATTCTCTATACCTCCAGAAGACTATCATCGGCTCTGATGTAAAATCTTCTTCGGACGACAGTTGACTTGAAAGACCTCCCGCTGCAGCACGGAGCTTCAATATTCAATCTTCACATAAGAACGGTTCGGCATCTGTTGCAAACTAAACAAACCTCCATCATTATCATGTTCGTAACCGTCCGTTTCCACTAATTATTCAAGACCCCCCAGTGTGTCATTGCCGTACTCTGATTGGACTTTGGCCCTCTGAAGGCGTTTGGATAGACGACGATGACTGTCGTCATTGCCAAGCAGATTGTCACCTTTATCGCGTCAGCATTACAAGTCATGCCAAGCCCTGCCTCTCGTGGGAGCTCGTGGGTCGGGAAACCCCTATTCAGGAAAAACGCGTTGTTCAACATCGCCGTAGCTGACTGCACACGTATTTAACAGGACGATCACGATGGCACCTCTGTCATGCTGCCCAAAACCCGCCTCTTGTTTCACATCGCCCTCCTGCCGCTGTATATAAGCCTCGCATTCTACCTAGGTTTCGTTCCCCAACCTGTTTCAGACAAACTGTCTTCCCTGCTCCGACTCGCAAAAGCCAACCTCCGCACGCAGCATCTTAGGACAGTCATCACTCGAGGCCTTTCCACCGCTACGGATATCAACGACACCATGTCAGCATTGAAGTTCGTCCCTCGTCGAAGTGAAGAGCGAGGTCATGCAGACCACGATTGGCTCAAGACATTTCACACCTTCTCCTTCGCCATGTACGTTCTTGCTCTTGCTTCTCGATCACCAGGTTACTGATACCACGCTACAGGTACCAAGACCGCGAGCACGAGCAGTTTGGCTGTCTTCGTGTCATCAACGAAGATCGTGTCGCGCCTCGTACTGGGTTTGGCACACATTCACATCGCGAATTCGAGATCTTTTCGTATGTCGTCGCAGGAGAGCTCGAACAGTGCGTATATACCCTTTCTTCTACCTTCGACCCTACCTAATATCCACACAGCAAGGATTCGATGGGCAACACCGAGGTCCTCAAACGAGGTGACATCCAACTAACGTCCGCTGGTACGGGGATCTCCCACTCCGAAAAGGCGTACGGCAGCAAGGAAGTCCACTTCCTCCAAATCTGGTCCCTACCCCACACGTCCCGCCTCCAACCCAAATACTTCACGCGACACTTCTCCGACGCCGAGAAGACGGACAAGTGGGCTCAGGTCGTCGCACCCGTCGGTGCCAACGGCGTCCTCCCAGAACGAGAGGGGGCTGGACCTGCCCCTGTGCAAAGCCAGCTCTCTCTGTACGCGACCTTGCTTGGGCAGGGAAAGAGCTTGAGCCGGCCGCTTGAGAGGAAGAAAGGGTATGTCCACGTCATTCAGAGCAGTGGATACAAAGAGGGCAAGGCGGAGGGTGCTACTGTCAAGATCAGCTCGAAGGAAGGTGGAGAACTGGTGTTGCGCGAGGGCGACGGCGCGTATATCTTCGTTGGACAGAGTGGCAGCGTGCTCGACGTCGCGAACGAGGGAGATCGCACCGCTGAAGTCCTGGTGTTCGATTTGGACTGAAGGCCTTCCTATTTCTCCCTGTCGATGTGAACACCGCCGTCGTTGTGATACCAATAGAGCTGATTTCATTTTCCTGTAAATAACCTGTAGCCGTAAGAATATGTTTCCCATTTTCCGCAATCTAGTATGTCTTGAAGGCAAACCGGAAATACTCTTCGACTCGCGTGCTCCGAAGTATTTAACGATGCAGCTATTTCCGCTTCTCATCTATGCCACCATTTTCAAGTTCCTCGATCTGCTCATTCGTCTGCTCGACTGTTACGCATCTGTCAGAGTCGCTCCGCCACCACCACCACCAGCAACTCTCGCTGAAGAAGGTTGACCGTCACGCATAGGAGATCTTCAGACATTGTATCGTAAATGGGGTATCCATATGACAGAAATAAGGCTAAGACGGTGGACAGCGAATTTCTGAGCAATACTCACACTTCAGTCCATAGCTATGAACCAACCCGGTTCCTCGCTGAACCCTTGCGCAGCGAACGCCTTCTTCAACTCCTCCACTTTGTTGGGCGGAGGGAGGAACTTGTCTTCACGACGCGTGCATTTAACGAGCGCGACCACCGTCTTCTCCCCAGTGCGTGCGCCTTTAGAATATGCTTGTTTGGTGCTCGTTGTAGGTGAATACCAGATCTCGTTGCACTTTGCGTCAAGCTCCGAGAGGATTCTGATGACATGGTCACCCAAGAGGCTCATGTATTCTTCACTATCAATATTGGGTGGTGCAGTTCTCTTGAAGTCAGCGAGCATGCGCTTGCGATCGACAGGGAACCCCCAAAGGGTGGCGTTGGGGTAACGTTCTAGACGGCGGCGTATTAGCCGAGAAGGAGGATATTTCTCTGTTGTAGCTGTGCTTTGTGAGTATAGCACGAAATGTTGATAATGAGAACGGCTACGTACCACTCGGGAGGTCGCAGAACGAGACGTCTACGGGTTCGACGGTAGCTTCTCGGTGTGAGCCACAGACCCTACAAGAGTCATTCCCTGTTACATGTAGCAGTATGAATGTTATCGACAATATGTGTTCAACGACGTACCAGGTTCATGAAAGTACTTAGTAGGCGACTGCACGAAGTCCCTCAATGATGTGAGGCAGTCAATGCGGTCGATTCGTCAGGACTCAGGGCGTCAACCTTCCGGTCTACTTTGGCGTCGTAATTTTCAACTTTCTGGTTAGTCGTAGTATTCAAACGTTTACAGTCAAAATGGACCCCTCAAGGGTTCCCACGCTCCAAGGTTGCCCTTTACCATCACCCGGTCGCAGGTACGTTTTCCTATCTCCTGCTATTTCCAGCACGCTACATACATCCTACAGATGCATTAAAATGTTACGACGACAATACGGCATTGCTGCGCCGTCCTCGGTAACCCCTGTGCATCACCCTGAAGACGTCCAGCCGAACGAGAAGAACGTTCAAGGTCGGCGCAACCTGCCACCCACGCTCGTTAACACCAGTTCGAGCGGCACTGCTGGTCCAGCAAGTCGAGGGGGACATCGAGGAGGTGGGGCACCTATGGCTCGAGGTGCAATGACACAAGTTGCCCGTCGAGGAAATGGTTCGTGGAGAGGGAATCCATCGAATCGAGGAGGGCAACCCACTAACCAACGGCCAACATTTCCAATTGCACACTGGTCTATTTTGGAGGCATACAACCCTTCAAGCCAGACATCGAGACGGTCAGAGAGCGACGTCGATATCTCGATGTCCTCCGGCTCGCAGTCGTCGCTCTCGTCCAGCAGTGTATCTTCCAACAGGCAACAGCAGATGAGGCAGGCACCTCGACTTTCTGACGGTCCAAAGACTGTGTTTACCCCCCATCCTAACTCTAATATCCAACGCAATGCAAGTGTTGAGGAGGTAGAATCTTCGACTACGGCGCACGGGCCACAGCAGTTGCGCAACAACAGCCCATTAGGACGTACGTCCACACGACACCCCCAGTATCCAATCGCACATTCGTCCGTTCCCGAAACTACAGTTCGAGTGTCGTTGATTCAAGGTTCTGTTTTGGAAATTCCGTCCACGACTCTAGGTCCCAGCGTCAAGCTAGTTTCACCTGCCCTTTTGCCGCACGCCACACCACCCCCACCTTATTCTCCTCCAGCAGCATCGCAGACGAAGGATCTCCATTGTTGGATGGAGCGATCGCGTTCTCCAACGCCGAAGCTACCCTCTGTACCGCTCAAACGCAGGAAAATCGACAACGAAGAGCCAGGGACACGTTGGCCGTCCATGCAGTCACCACCACCGGGCTCTATGCCCCCACCATCTTCTATACCACCGCCCTCTCGACCTCCTCTACCCACGCGACTGACAAGACCTCTATCCCAACCAGTCATCAAAGTTGAATCGACACGTATACCCGTCAAATCCGAGTCTCTGTCTCCAGAGCCAGAGCCTTTGGCGTCCAGACCAGAGCTTGTAACAGGATCGTGCACAAGGTTCCTGTTGCCCGAAGAGTGTTTGAAGACGAACCCGGCATACAAGGAGAACCGACAGCGATTCGTAAAAGAGAAAGCTCAAGAAATCAGGAGGCTTGGGCTACAAAGGACGAAGATTATGCTGAGAGATGATGGTCTCGTCATTGAGTGGTACGTTCTTCTACTTGGTAATTTCATGGTTTTAACATATTTGACAGGATGAGCCCTGTGCCTGTATGGTCCGACACTTACCTTCCTGAAGATGTTGAAGTAGTCGACGGCCCAGCTCCATCTCCGAGTCCCAGTCCAGCAAAACGTAGACGAACACAAGAAACTCCCGAGTCTGAACTCTCTTTCTCCCAACCCCAACCCACCCCACTACCATTGACCCCACCGGTCAAAAAGAAGCTTGTTAGTACGCAAGGCCCTGCGTCATCTGTCTCCGGCTCGCATGCGCGGTCGAGGTCTGGTTCGTGCAGTAAACCACCTTCCTCGTCTGCTCCGCCAGCCGCCTCATCCTCGAGGCATGTCTCTTCTTCCTCAAAACCTGCCCCTCCATCTAAATCTACCTCTAAGAAGACCCCCACTCCCGCTCCCGCCTCCTCTTCGTCTCAGCCACCCGCAACGACCAGGACCGCATCGTCTGCTCTTTCATCCACGTCAGCCCCAGCGTCGACCGTACCATCGACCGTACCATTAAATGCTAGTGGGCATAGGAGGATGAAAGCGAGAAAGGGAGCTCCAGTTAGACACTGGGCGGATGGGATACCGAAGGAGGAAGTTGATCGATTTATCGGGGTGAAGGTCGTGCAGGACGAGGACGAGGATGAGGATGAAATTCAGGTGGTAGCGGTCAATTTGAAGGGCAAGGGGAGCCAAGTTTCGAAGAGCCCCAGTGTTACGAAGGCAGGCTGGCATACACAATCCCAACCGCTGTCGCCACCTCTATTTCAACCTCTATCTCAGCCTCTATTTCATTCACTCTCCCAACCGCTATCTCGACGATCATCTCAACCACAACCCCAATCGTTGTCTCAACCGCTTCCTCAATCGAAGGCGATCCCGGGGCCAAAACCCAAGGGCCCACCGCCACCACTCCCAACGCGGATGAGCCTGCCGGTCGTGAAGTCTCCAGTTTCAGAGTCCTCCACAGCGTTGACTGCTACGAGCGCAATGCCAATCCAGAAACGAGAGACGTCTACCGCAGCGCCGGTACTGGTGCCCATTCCGTCTCGACTGGCCGGCAACTCCGCAAAGCCCATTTCTGCTGATCGTGATCCGGTGCCGAACTTTGGCTACCGTGTTATTAAGCCGACCCATCCAACCGTTATTGCAAAGGTGGAGGATAACGTTGTTAGCACGCCTGATGTGGTGCCCGTAAAAATGGAAGATTCCTCACACCTGGGCATAGATATGCCGTCACCCCAGATGGAGAGATCAGCCCTGCATGTTTCGTCTGCCGTTGGTGATATTTGTGCTCATGGTATGACGGCAATATAATTGTATCCATCTTCGAATAGTGAAGCTCACTCTTGTTAGTAGTAGATACGGATTCCAAAACCGAGCTCGTCGCGAGTGTGCTGCGGTCAGAGACTGCTGGAAATGAGCATCTTGATCAAGACGTAGGGCTGGTCGTACAGGACGAAAAATACGACGATGCTTGGTCAAGCGATGACGAAGAGGAGCCAGCTTCGGAGACGGAGCTCTGGGCCGTTGAGTACTTGCAGAGGTGCGAACTTCGCACCCGTTCATCTCCCTTCGTTCATGTCGGACTTCTTGTGTATCTGCTTCGCAGGTATCTACAGCTGTTCGACTACAATAGACTGGGACTCGGCATGGCCTACGCAAAGGATGCGATGTTCTCGTGCCGGGTCCACCACCTCCACAGACCATCATATTCCATGGCTGGCCTCTTCGCGCCCGAACCCAATCTGTCTACCATACGTGAGTCGGCACCTCGCTATTTTAATTTTCATATAATATCTCTGACCGCATCACAGACAGACCGTATCCAAATGCCTTGACAGTGACACAAGGCCGCTTGCAGATCATGGATCGACTGCTAACAATGGGTCCCTACGTCTTCTGTCCACGCGGCCAGGGGCGTACTGCTGTCTACGATGTCGTCTCGCATGACGGCCACCATGTCCTGGTGAAGATGCATGGCGAGGTGGCCAGCCCCAACGCAGAGGACCCGAATATGGATCATGTGCTCACTCTAGACCAGAGCTTCGTCCTGAGAAGGAAGTCGGCGGAGGATGACGGTGATGAGATAGACGTTGAACTCGAATATCAAGCAGGCGACAAGATGATGGGCGCTGCGGGGTACGTCTGCTTTCTTCTGCTTCTGCGCGTATGTTCTCCCGGACGAATTCTGATTGAATTTGTCTTCTGTTCTCTTCCTCCTTTTTATAACCCTCTTTTTTTGTGGGCGTTTAGTCCTTTGAAGCGAGAAAAACCATGCGCTTGGCCTCTCGTAGCTGTATCACATCAGATGACCGTACGCGAAGGCGCCCTTCTGCCCTTCGAGAACCTTCGCGAGATCACGCCGTGGGTAAAGGATGTTTTGGAGGAGTCGTCTCCGTGATCCTTTGTCCATGGGCTGTTTGTCAGCCTGAAGGTGTGTAGAAGACCTTAGGACTGCTTCATGGGCAAGAGGAGGGGGTAGAGGGGAACGGGAGAAGCTTCTTGGCACCAGGACTAACTTTGATGGTGGATGGGATGTGTCTGTCGCATGTTTTGGGTGTGTAACTTGAAAACTCTCATTTGACGTGTAAGGGTACTCATCGATATAGATCTCCGGGTTGTAATTTTTTGGTGTATTCATTTTGTACAGGGTTTATGAAAGGGGGTCCTTCCCGCGAGTCGAACTTCTAGTGCGATTTCCCTGCATACATAATGGTAGAACTTCGCCTTCAGCTCCTCGACATTGAGTTCAGGTTCGAGGTTGAAATGTTGACCCTCCTTGTCACCAGGGTTGCTCATTTTCGAGGGCAAGATTTTTTCTTTCACCATGAATTTTCCTTCTTCTCAATATTCTCTCAGTCAGCAATACATACAAGAAACGCCAAATCGTTTTGTATGCCTGTGTCAAGCTGCAAATTCCTCGCGTCCCTGGATCCAAGTGCTCGAAGCCTCGACGAGCATTCTTGCAATGATATCATCAAAGCTTGTCGGAAAGGGCCTTTCAGGTTCTGGCATATACAAGAATGCTATCGTCCAACCATTGTGCCCGACACTAGGAGCTCTTGTGATCCTACGGTGAATATCTGTACTGATGCGGTATTCCTGGCTTCCAAGCCAGTGCAACGCGACGCGCGGATCGATGGCGTACTATCAATAAGTACTGATCAATCAATGTCAATATTTCAATCTTCTTCCACTATACAGTTGAAGCACTTCTTTCTCGTCCGGCGTCTGCCAGTGTCTGTCAGCGAGACGATTACTTCCCTTCGGTATGAATTCAGGCCTATTCACGGGAACACCGAAGTTCGGTCTCGGGCGCCAAGTCCTCCTTTGAAATTCCAATAAATCGTCGAATAAATAACATTCGCCAATTTCAATTACAGCATACCAGTCTAGAGGAAGATTCTGGTCGTCGCGTCATCAAGTACACATATCTGTAGAGGTATTAAAAACGGGGTATGTTGAATGGTGGGTACACATAGTGCGGGTGTTCGCTTGGGGGAGTTGTCAACAAACGCCCTTGGATGGTGGATGATAGCAAAAATAAGTAAGATGCATCAATGGGATGGTACATGCGTCCTCCGGCAGATCAGGAGGATTGGCACACTGGCGCCTTTTCGATGGGCGTGTGCTGCTAATTCGAATTTGACCGGAGCTCCTTCATGTCAGAGTCTCGCGCCTCAAACGCCGTTGAGTGGGCATACGCCGAAGGCCTGAGCTCTGTCTCCAGCCCAACATAGTCATACGCGAATTCGCCCATGTCGCACTCGTCAATCCCAATAATCTCCACGTCCTCGGGTACACGGAGGCGGAGACCAGGAATGAAGTGCATGATCCAGAGAATGATCGTCTGTAAGGAGGAAAATCAGGCGTCAGCGGCTTAGCGCATTCCGGAAGTAAAAATAGAGAAAAGTTTACTCACAGTCATGGCGAATGAATACCCGAGGCCAGACACGGAGTCGGCGATGTGCCACGCCAGCTGGATATAGTGGTGGTCGAGCCAGCCGCCATCAATTTCGGTGAAGCCGTCGAACCCAGCGACGCTGGCTTGGGCGAAGAGAGCGGTTAGGATGTTCCCGACGATACCTCCAACAGCATGTGATGCGAAGATCTGTATAAATATTTGTAGGAGTCAGATAATGGATGAATGGGAAACGAGTAAAGAGCAAGACTGACATCGAGCGAGTCGTCATAACCCAAGAAGAATTTAAGTTGTGTCGCAAAGTTACATAGTGTGCCAGCCATGAAGCCAAACAAGACCGCCGCGGCTATCCCAAGCAAAAAGATAAGAGCAGCATGTGAGTTCAAATTCAACGCGTCCAATAGATATCCCAAAGGTAGAATTAAGTCAATGCAATACTCACGGGAGCCAACGAATCCAGATCCAGGCGTAATAGCCACAAGACCAGCGATAGCGCCAGAGCAGAAGCCGACTGCCGACCACTTCCTCTCAATGCGATAGTCCTAGTGGGGATACGCATAGGTTAGTTAATGGAGCATAGAAAGCTGGGGAGAAGAGATACGAGAAAATCGGAGAGCATGGGAATGTTTATTGTCGTTTTAAGAATCTGGGGATTGACTTACCCAGATCATCCAGGTGAGGCCGCCGACGCTTGCAGCGAGGTTGGTCACGATGCACGCTTGGGCAGCGCGCAGGTTGGCGGCGAGGGCAGAGCCTCCGTTGAAGCCTTCGAACATCTTTATCAGCCATCGTCTTCTCTTCAGAAGCTGAAAAGCTTACCAAACCACCCAAACCAAAGGAAAATAGTACCCAGCACCACATACGTAGTATTATGCGGCTTGTACGCGAGCGACTCGGTGCCGTACCCACGCCTCTTGCCCAAATAGACGGAGATAGGCGAGGGCGGCGGTACCCGAGGAAATGTGGACGGGCGTGCCTCCAGCAAAGTCGAGCCCTCCGAGTTTGAAGACCCAGCCGTTGGAGTTCCACGTCCAGCACGCGATGGGGTCGTAAACGAGTGTGGACCAGGCGAAAACGAAGAAAAGGAGTGGACCGAGGTGGGCACGTTCGGCGAAGCCGCCCATGGCGATCATAGGCCTGAGGTATGGAAGGGGGAGGTTAGTGACCTTCTAGAGCCTCGGGGTGGAAGTGGGGAGAGGCGAGAAGAGAAGAGAACTGTTACTTACGTGATAGCAGCGAACATGAGTTGGTAAACACAGAAAACGATAGAGGGAATACGAGAGCTGCCGATGGATGGTTCTTCAAGGACACCCCTGAGGCCGAAATATTCTGAGAGAACAATGAGTGGAAATCCTCAGTAATGAAAAGGTAACGACACGTACTAAGATTGCCAATGAAGGCGCTTCCGGTGTCGCTAAAGGCTAGGGAGAAGCCCCAGAAGAACCACTAGACGCACAGACCACATTCAGTTTTCAATTCAGTCTGCGTGTTTCGTACAGTACTCACTTGGAATGAAACCACAGCTACAGTCATCATACTCAGGTAGATCATTGATAGGGCATTTTTCCGCCTTATCGCGGGGTGATGCATGGTTAGCGTTCAGTAACACTCTGCAGCGGCGCTGGAGACTCACCTGAGCAATCCAGAATAGAAGAACCCCAGTCCTGGAATCATAATCCAGACCAGCGCCGTGCACGCCAACACCCAGGCGATATCGCCAGGGTTGTAGACCACATTCGCAGGCGGGTCCGCATTGGCGTCGAACCAGGTAATCGACCCAGCTGCCAGCACACGCCCCGCATCAGCTCCCACCCTCTCAAAGTTCTCCGGTGACAGGAAGGAGGGACGCACCGTCGTCGTAAGTGATGTTGACCATGGAAGGGCGTCAAAGACGAGGGGAACAAACAGCAGAAAGGTTATCGCCAAATTCCTCCTGATTCACTTATATATTCCGGGCCCGTCCCTGATGCAGATGGGGTGTCGTGGGCTACGGCGCAAGGGGGGTAGATGCTAGATGCTAAGGTTAGATCTTACCTGCGTGATGTGAAGATGATATCCGAATTGAGCAGCTTCAAGAAATGATACCGATGCATACCTCTGGCTCGGCGAGCTGTATCGGGGCAGGTCTATAATTACTTCCACCAGCAATAGAGATAAGAAGCCTGGAGCCCAAAACACCTGGCTGCTGTGGGGGAAAGGGGGGTCTCACGAGCTGGCATAGAAGTCGGACACAAGCCAGAGTTTTCCGCTGGCAGAATGATGCAGAATTCGAATACTATTTGGCAGGTGGTAAGAAACGGAGGGCCGGGTGGGATGCCCGCCGAGGCACGAGAAGGCTTCTGCTGTCTTCACCGAACGTGCTCGGCGTGTTTACCTTCAGAATTCCTGCTAACGATGGGGTGAGGGTGTAAATGAACTTGATCGGCTTACGGCTGGCAAGTTTACTGACCTCGATCGAGCCGTACAAAGGTCGGAAGACATGCGGCTCCATCATGAAACGAGAGATAAGGCTCATAGAGCCCTTGACTGTTAGACAGACAGTCCAGGACTTGTCGTGTAGAAACCCTCTTGCTTTCTCCGAAGTTTGGAGGAAATTTCAAGGCTTTTCGTGCATGCGTTCAAGCTGGAAAGGGAGAAGGGTTGAATTTGAAATTCGCTTGGCAGACCACGTTGGCGCACGAGGAGTTGCTTTATTTGGACATACGGATGCTCAATGGGTTTCTTGACTTGGCCCTACCAGGTATCACATCGATCGGGTGGCAGTCGTCGTTCATTCACTTTGACTTCAGGGATGATTGAAGGGTGGCCGATGCTCTTAGTTTGCGGATAGTCACCCCCATCGACCCCCACTGATCATCATGGTGTGTACGATCTAGTTGACGTTAGACGTATGTGGATGCTTGCATCAACTCGGAGGTGATCCAAGGACACTCGCCTTCAGTTATGAAAATCAGTGGGCGGTCCTTTTCAGGCGCCTAGATTGTGCAATGTCCAGAAATATCGGAAAGGTGTCCAGGATCCTGTCGTAATGGAAGTTGTGTCGCTTCTCAGGCTTGCCGTCTCGTCTGTCTGATATGTCCGTGCCGACATACCTAGAGACCTAGAGAACTGTGATCTTTCTGATCTACTTGCCCACAAGACAGAACATTGTGCCTCGAGTCGTTCGGAAATAGTCATAGAGCTCGACGGCGATCAGCCTTTCCCTCAGGAGATCATCCAAGAAGAAAGTATTTCGAGTTGCTCGACGCATACAGTGGAATAGTACTAGTTTTATGGCCCGAAATAAGCCTCGGGGGGTCATCCAGAAAGAATTTATCTCGAATTCTTAAAAAACTTGCAGCATTCGATAGTGATCAGCACCGGCAACTCATGCTTGGACGCTGAAAATCCATTGAAAAACTGGCGGTAGATAATTTACCAGTGAAGTTATTACTTGGCCCCCGGTCGAAGCGCTTGGAACCCTCGGGCGTCATGCGCCTAGAATTGAGAATGAGCGCCAGGAGGAAGGTTCGGGAAAAATGTGATCTACTACCCCCGGAAGGTTCCGAGCCGGCGACTGAAACGCCGGGACGAACCGGTCCAGGGTATTCTTCCTCCAGTACAGCCAACTAGCTCCAAAATCGTCCTTTTTTCCCTTTCAGTCCCACTCAAACAACCGCTTGGGGAGCCATAGGACGCGAAAGAAAATAAGCGCCAATCTTCCACCTCCTAATCTGAATTGGAAAGCAGCTGTTCGCCGAGCAACTCTGGGAAGGAAACGCGTGGAGGGGATACGTTTTGAATTCCTCTTTTTCAATCAGATTCCGTCCTACTATCTTCGTGAAAACTGCGCTCAGGGTCCCCTCCCGAAGAGTCTCCCAGAACTGGACGAAAAAGCCCACAACCAGGGTCCCCGCGCATCGGCTTGTCGACGAGAAGCCAGTTGCTTATGGACCCCCGCCAATCTGGGCTTATCGTAAGTGCGCTCTTCTAAGGCTGATGCGCCTTTTGTGGTGGTCGTTAATGGAGGACGTTTACGATTGGCAGATAAAAGTCCTCAGTCCATGTGATACCTGGCTTTCGATTTATATCGCAACTATCAGCAGTTCGCCCAGGCCCCGGTCCCATTTCAGACTTATCGCGGGCCGTTACGGTTGTCGTGCTCAGTTTTCCGACTTGGCGGGTGCGTTGCTCTAGACTCGGGACTGCTCAAGACGTTCGACAACATAACCTCCTTTGGACTGTTGGGCACCTGCTGTTTGCGAAGCGCCGTTCTGACCGCTCTAGCATGTCGATGGCTGTTCATCACTTTGGGGCCCTTGTAGTAAGTTGACAATTTACCTGACAGGCATAAGCGACCAGGTTGAGGGGGCGAAGCACACGATCGTGAATGTTCGGTTGACGGCCAACCCAACATCTGATGCCAGGGGCTATCGGAGCAAGTACTATCTTTTCCCGTGAAGTCATTCCGCCCATCCATATGGGCCTATACCTTAATCTATTCCTAGACCAGTATTTTTCAGCCACTTACCGTTTCTCCAGGATCGGGGATCTCATATCATGTTTGGCTTCCCGAGGACAAGGTTAAATCGACAACAGTCCCCATCTTGCTTGCTCTTCGCCACTGTCTTCTCCCCCACGAGCTCAACGTCGACCTGAGACACCTCTTCATCGCCAGGGGCCCATCCTTTCACCGTCGGCTCGTAGCGACATGTCGTCCCGCGCAGCCTCAGCGCGAAAGCGCATCGCCAACGCACAAGAGCTGAAGGAGAAAAAGGAAAAGAAGGAAAGGGAAAAGGAAAGGGAAAAGGAAAAGCGGCCGCCCTCCTCGAAAGGCTTCTTCTCGAGGTCGAAGAAGTCCAGCCGAGCCGGAGTTGATCAATCATATCCCTCCCCGCCGGTTGCGAATGTCCCTCTCCCCCAGATCCCCCCCAACCGTGCGTCGCCCGCCCCACGACCAGCAGACCTCCCATCGGAGTACCAGCAACGGCCTACCAATGGTACACGTCTACACGGTTCCCAATACACCCCTCCGAGCGTCCTACTCCAGACCGTGTCCCCTCCGCAACGATCGGCACATCCAGCGCAGCACCGATACCCCTCCCCGCCTCATGAAGAGCATTATTCGGGGCACGTCGTCCACCTCAACCCACCACCGGTGTCGACGATGCGGGTTGAAAGCCTTTCCGGGACGGGAGAAGCGTTTATCGAGGCGTCTTATCAGCCTCCGCCACCACCACGCGTCAATGTTCAGCGCGCCTCGCCAAGCCTAAGCGGCAAATCACCCGTATCTCCCGCCACAACCGTGACGTCGCCGCTGCCGTTCGAGACCATCGTATCCTTCCCGCCGCCTCCGAGTTATCCGCCGCCTGTGCCCGTGTCGATTCACTCTTCTCCTGCAAGTCACTTCGCGTTCCCTTCCCCCTCCAATTCGCCAAGAAACTCTCCTCAGTACCACTCCTCTTTACTCCTGCAGAGCGCATCACGCGAACAGTCGCCAACGCCCTCTGAGCTTCCCACATACTCAAATTCCGGGTCTCCGCACATCTCGCCACAACTGAACCGACCGCCCCTTCAACTTTCGATCCAGAATTCACCACTGTCGGCTGCAGCGCAATATCAGCAGTTGAACAATGTTTCCATGTACCCTACGCCTCCCGCATCCACCGTCCCGCCGCGCCACACCCCTTCACCTTTGCAAGTGTCCTCGATCGAACACCTGCCACCTGCGATCCTGAATGACAGCGAGCGTCGACCCTGGGCGCGTAATTTCAGCGGGAACAGGGGTACCCCCACGGGGTCGGCCTCGTCCTCGCCTCGGATACCATTCCAGCAGCTGCGCACCGACTCTCCGCGTCTACGGCCTCCGCCTTCCATCGCGTCAAGGTCGTCCGGGCCGTCAGGTCGACGATCGCCTGTGTCAGAGTTGGAGACGCCCCCTCCGCCCACCGCGAACTTCGTCTTCCCCGGCTCGCGCGCTACTGGGCGACCCAAGGTATCCTCGAAGACCGGCACGCCCCAGATCAAGCTCAAGGTGCGCGGCAAGTCGAAGCGAAGAGGGAGCTTGGACGACGACAGCAAGTCCGCATCGACATCCTCGTCCGGGCCAAGGCCGCCGACACCCGACATGCCGTCCATCCCGAGCGTGCTGAGCAGCCCGCTCCCGTCGTCGTTGGCGTCGCCCGTCTCGAACTCGAGCGGCAGCAGCAATGGTTATGACGGAAGTCGGGGTGGAGTGCGCCCAGCCCAGAGCCAGACGTTCTCGGAGACGGCGTCGGCGTTCAGCGACGACTCGGCGGACCTGAGTTTGAGACGCGCCAAGTCGTCGACGTCGTCCAATCCAGATGGGACGCCAGCGCCGTTCGTGTTCCCGTCGTCGCGTTCGCGTGCGGCGCCAAATAAGCCGGCGTCGTTCAAGATGAAGTCGCTCGCAGGGCGACGGTCGCGGAAGTCCTCTAACGCGTCGGGCGATGCCGACTCGGTGGATGAAAGGAAGCGCTTCATGGGGATTTTGCTGAAGAAGAAAAAGAAGCAACTGAAGGAAATCGACCCATCGACGCCCAGCGCTGACTCGGGGTTCTCGAGCGGGGATAACGATTCGCCGTCTCACAGTGGGACGGGCTCGGTCTTGGATACAAGTGAGGGCAGTACGAGGTATGAAGAGAACCAGGAGGTGCTGCACGCACAAAGTCGGGAACGCGCACGACGCATCAAGTCGCGTATTGGCAGCTATCCATTAGATCCTTACGACTCTGTCCTGCTTGACAAGTATGTTATATTTCTTCGCCTTCTCAACCATCTCGCATTAACAGTTCTTCCTTACAGCGACCGCCACACTGGAGAACTGCTCACACGTCTGAACCCCATGGGCTCGCCGACGTTCCACAATTATGGCAACAGCCCCCCGACGTCTGTTCTCGATCTCGGATGTGGACAAGGGTGAGATATAACTCGCACTATCTCCTCCCTTGCTTAATCTCATCTGTCTGTCAGACATTGGGTTATCGACGCTGCCATCGCGTGGCGTGGGTATGGCACGAAGGTCACCGGTTACGATATGGTCGACATTTCCAAGGGTCTCCTGCCATGGGCCATCGAGCAGGGCGTGACGGACAGCATTCGGTTCGTCCGCGGTAACTTGTGAGTATTGACATCCCAAAATTACACTCGTAGATGGAACATGTTGCTCATTATGATTTTGTCCTTGACTTTGACTTTGACGTCGGCTTGGAACGTTCACAGCCTCAAACAGCGCCTTCCATTCAGTGACAACTCTTTCGACCTCGTCCGGATGTCCTGTCTCGCCCTGTCCATCACCTCGGATTCGTGGATCTTCGTCCTGCAAGAGGTCTGCCGCGTCCTGATGATCGGCGGACGTCTCGAGCTGATCGACGACCTCATCTTCTTCCCGTACGGCAAATCATTCTCTGCGATTGATAATATGCCATCTACGACGTCGCCTGTCGAGTCCGTTGCCCCACGATTAGACATCACCATCCCCTCATCTGCGTTCACGACATTCAGCATCTACGATGGCGACACGACGAACCCTGGTCTGGGATTCATCGAGGAACCACCTGACCAAGATGAGTTCTATGAGCTGTACGGGGTGGAGGAGGAAGGAGAGGATGACACAGCGACGATTAACGGGGACAACATCCGTCCGCACGCTGAACAATCCTCTGGGCCGCGGGCGACGCCCCGCCCGAATGCGCCTACGCCATCAGACTCAGTGCTGAGCAAGCGCTCATGGGAACGTGCGCACGCGACGTCCAAGGACCTCGAGGCGCTATTCGACCACATGCTCATGCATAAGTTCGGTATCCAGAAGGACCCGAACGACTTCATTGTTGGGCTGATGAAGGAGGTGTTCGGTCACGCGCGAGAGGTGAAGACGATGCATCTGACGCTCGCGCCGCCGGATAACAGCGGAGATGACGAGGACGCTGCGAGATCGAATGGCCATGAAAGGTCAGGAACGCCTCGTAGCGGCCATCGCTTCGGCACATCCACGGTATCCCGCCGCCTGTCGATGGGCTTGGCTCAAGCTGGTGGACTTGTTCTGTGGCCGTCGACGTTCATCCCGATGGACCACTTCGAGATTGAGATCCATGCCTCGAAGCACCTGCGTATGCTTCTCTCGTGCAAGAACCTCTTGTTGGAGCATGCGATCGAGGCGACCGATGATGAGGAGATCGACGAGGAGTCTGTTATGGAGGCGTTGTGGGAGTACGAAAGGTATTTCGTCCCTTCCTTTTGTTCGAATCTATTATACTAAGGGCCAGCTTTAGTTTCCTTCGTCACCGCTTCAATCCTCCACCTCCCAGCCCTCCCCCAAGCGAGCCCACCGACCCGATACTAGTCGACGACACCGCCAGCATTCGCGGATCCATCGCCGAGTCCGTCTGCTCTGACAATCAAGAGGCGATGTGGGAGATCCAATCGTACGTACCTCATCAAATGCCCTTCCTTTTCCTGAACTCAATAATTGACGTATTCACTTTATCTTTTGATAGGGAGTTCCGACAGCGCTTCGCGTGGTCCCTGGAACGTTCGGCCTCGCGGGACCGACCGTCTACGCCAAGTACGCCCAAGGCACAGGACGATACGAATATCCCCATCGCGGCTCGTGGGGGCGGTGGCGCGCCCTCGTCATCCGCACCCGCGGCTGGTTCAGGACCTGGGTCGGGGTCTGGTTCTAGGACAGCGACGCCTTCGAACGCGAACTCGACGGCCCAGCAGGCTCCTGCACATGGACGTACGCACAGCGCGGTGATAATGTCTCCTGCGTCCTCGACGCCTGTTTATTCACGCGAAGAGCTCACCCATGTGCGGACCTTCCGCATTTACGAGGCGATCAAGATCGACGACTCAATCTTTGGGAGCGCTATGTAGAACTGCTTTTTTCCTTCGTTCACTCTTTTTGTCATGTATTAGATTTGTTCCAAGTTGTGATCTCCATGTACTCCTCCACTCTTTCGTTCGCTTTTCTGCTTTCTTATCTGCTAGCGCGTCTCCTGCGCCTCATACTTACCGAGTTTGCTTTCGGATGTTCGGATTCGGATTCATTTGCTCTTTGGACTTGGCCTTAGTACAATTCCCCATTCGTCGCTCATTTATCGTTATCTTTAAGGAGGAAACCATAGGAAAACATCTGTACGAACACTGTTCAAGAGCCTTTTGGGCGCAATTCTATCGTTACTGGTTCAGAAAGAGATCCTCCTTGGTCTATGAAATTTCGATGTCGATCGCTTAGGAGTGAACAGAGTGATCGCCAATCCCTTCCTTTTTTGGAAATTGGCCTGCCAAAAACGTTTGCCCCCCGTTCGCAAGTCGTGGGGCTCAGCTCATGCGACCTTTTCCCAAAGGCATTGGCGTTAGACAGGATATATAAGCCCCACACATCTCTTAAAAGGACTTCCTCCCGAACGCCTACCACCTCTATTTCATTTTTCCCTCTTTATCCTCAGGCGTCGCCACGTTTCTTTCGTGGCACCCCACGCCTGCCATCCTTCTCTGGACCCGCCTCGTAATTTCGGCTCTACTCGCCCCTCATTCCTCCTTGGCTCGAACAACATCGAGGAGAGCATCTCCGGCCCTCGTCTGAGTCACTTCCTGGGGACGTTTGACAGTCGTGGGATGGGGGTCAGGAGAGTGGGGCAGCCCTAGGGCTTGCCCCCGTTTTTCAGTAGAGAGGGTCACAAAAACCCGCACATCTCGCAGGTTTTTTATATATAATTGTCACGTTTCTGAAGTGGGTTTCTCCTGCGCTCTGTTCCTAGGTACTTTCAGATTATTCCGTCTCAGGTAAAGTATGCACCCATGGCAGCGTGTCAATAGTAGGTTGTATTCGAACCAATCATACATCGTGCGCCGTTCGAGAGGTACAGGAGCTCATGCACCATAGATTTACGTATAGCCAGGAAAAATCAAGCTTACCTGACTGCTGAGCGCTGAGCGCTGATGTAGATGGCCCATGGGTTGAGGTGACTCCTTGTGGTATTTTGATGTCGGATGTCCATGCACGTAGCCGCGGCTTGGCGCAGCACTATCTGGAACGGGAATTACGATTCTGTTCACACCCAAGCCGCTTTGTTGAACGTTATCTTTCAAGACCTACCCGCGAGGCGATGGTAATAGGCAGAGCATTCTCCTTCGAGCAAGATCGCCCTGACGCAGACAGTTGAATACCGGGATGAGGTTATCGAGCGTGTACCTTCAAGGGTCGCTCTTGCGTGCACAAGCTGTGAGATAAGGAACAAGATATGTCACTTCAACGTGGGCGCCACAATGAACGGAGGCAATGGAACTGCTGCGTCATGAGTACGTGAACGAACAAGTCTCCATCCCCATGGAACATCTACTCGTTGAGGAAAGATGGAAGGCACTAGGTTGAGGTGTTGGGAAAGCGTTATCAAGGTTTAATTTAAATTCTCAGACCTGTGAGAGTCGATTCATTCACTTTGGACTAATCCTCAACGAGAAGGGAGGGTGATTGCACCGCTAAAATAAATTATACTTTTACATGACTATGTACATTTTGGTGTTTACATTCTCCCGTCTTATCTTATCAAGTCCAGTAGAGTATGCACACGACAAGTTACTCAACTTCGCACGTCTCCACCCACACAAGGCCACCACCGGGCTCCGAGGGATCCATAATGCACGAATAATGTGTGCACTCGTTCCTAATCGGATACTTTCTCAGCCACTCCTTCACCTCCTCCACTGTCGCCTTCTCCTCGGCCTTGTTTTTCGCTTCATACATCTTCAACACGCACGATTTCCGCTCTATACTATCCTCCATCAAATCCTTTGCTCCTCCAAGCTCAGGCCCAGCCTCCTTCTCCAAGAACTTACGCCAGTGCTCCGGCTTCCACGCCTCCATCGACAGATCGTGGTTCGTCACCGCCAGAAACTCGTCTGACGTCCGCGTTCCCGCCGACTTCAGGTCCTTCTCGACGACGAGCACCGCCGAGGGCGTGCAGAAGGTGAGATAGGCAGATGAGGCTTTTGTTTTGCGGAAGCGGCGCGCGAGGGCGTCGAGGGACGGCGGTGGACCGGGAGAGAGCAGGATTTGGCGCAGGTGGGAGGCGATGGAGGGTTGCCGTCCCAACAGGAGGGAGAGGTGGTGAATTCGGTTAAGGAGCGTGGAGGATTGGGAGTGCACGCGGGCACGGTAATTCATGGATATTGAAAGGCCTTCTCTGTAGTTGCTTGAGCGCTGGCGTGCGTGGAAAAAGCGGTCAACGCACCTTACCCCGGTAAGAATACCGACAAAGCCAGCATATGTTACTGCCCTACGCGCATTTCAACATAAAAAAGAACCGGATGGACGAAAGACTGACTCACCTAGCGATAACCTTCCCACCGAGTACATACTCCACCCTCACAACCAGGTCCCTCAACGCATCCATCCCCCAATCCAAATTCCTAAAATGAACCATCTTTCCCGCCTTCACCCCTCCTCCTTTCCCGTCATCCACGTCAACCCTCACGCCCCCACTCACACACCCCGAGAACAAGTCCAAGAACGTATTATACGCCACGACCAAATGCAACGGCACGCTCGTCTCCTTCGCGATGCCCCTAATCTCCCTCGTCTCCTCCTCGCTCCATACCTTCCGCAGGATACGGCGCGCGATGTAGCCGAACAAGCGCGGAAAAGGCATGTATGCGAGGACGGCATGGTAGATGCCCGTGAGCTCGTGCAGCTCGTGCTTGAAGTCGGCGCAGAGCTGGGTGTAGCGCTCCTCGGGCGGTAGGGAGAGGTTGATGGTGTAGAGGGGTGGTGGGTCGCCGATCCGGAAGCGGAGGCGCTCGGGAGAGGAGGTATCTGAATCATGGCTACCGTCTGAGCTGGAGGTGAAGGTGGTCGAGGAGTCGGGTTGTAGGCGGGGCATTATGGATGCCTACTGCAGGATTTGGAGCATTAGAGCCGGGCGCTGCAACGAGGGCGGGAGAAGAGAGCATGTCAGCTTGATGTAGTTCATTTCAACCTTGGGGCAGTGCGAAGTTCCTCGTTTCGGTAATCCGTAGCGTGCCGTTGCGGCACGGTCCCCGACTCGAGTCTCTTCTCTGCACAGGAACTATATAAGTACGTCGGCAAGTGTCACCTCGTATAGTGTTTTTGACGAGCCTGTTTAAATCATCAAGGGGTCGGTTCAAGTATAAATAGCAGAAGTAACAATAGCAGATTTGTCCTTCTTCGTGGGTTAAACTGGGTTTAGGAGGAATTTGGACGAGTCATATAACAATCAATCATGTAATTTGTGACTAGATTATTGGCAATCGTAGTACGAAGTGGGGAAAGAAACCTACAAAAAGAGAAGTACAGTGGCTGGTAGCATCGTAGAGAGGGGTCCAGAGGTAAACACGAGGATTAAGTATCCCTATGACTCAGAAGATGGCGCGAAGGCCGAGCCACCAGGGTCTCGTGCGTATCGAAAGGAGGTCGAAAGAAACTCCTACCCACGACGCATTCCCGCTCTATGAGGAGCTCGACAGTGTAGAAATTTCGTGTGTGATGACCACACACCTTGCAGCCTGGTGGGCCGCGTTGTGGCATGCATGGCCGGAAAGTGGTTGGGCATATATAAGCCGACTAAATTAACAGGACAACGAGAAGACGGATACCTGCAAAGCCACGCTATAAGGCTGAGAATAGATTCAGGACGGCAGCCCTGATTCAGAACCTCCACACGAACCCATGTCAGTAGGAGACTGCCGCTTGCGTATCTCGCACACCTTCGTCAGCGTCGAGCTCCATGGTGCGAACGCTTGCTCCGATTTCGCCAGTGCCTTCCGCGCCTCATCACGAATGTATGTAGCTTCTTAGAGCACAGAGGGGAGCGTACTAGGCCATGGTGCTGAGGACAAATGGGTGACAAAACCATCTAGGGCATGAACGAGTCGCAAAACAATGACAAGCCCGTCACGCAATCGGCGCGGGCCGCATGATGCGCCACATTTCCAAATATATCAGCAATGTTCTCAATACGAAGAAATATGGGATTTATAGTACACAAGTATAAGAGAAGGGCTGCCATCCGTGACTACTTCGACAACCTGAGCTATCAACAACGAATGGCAGACGGAGACGCAGAGTGGAAAGAGAACGATATAAGAGTCATACACGGCGCTATTGAAATCGGTCAACGGCGACGTCGCTGATAGAGAAATAGACATGCACAGACCTGTTCATTATCAAGTATGTGATTGGTCTTTGTGCAGGATAGCTAGTATTGACCCTCTGCGTAGTGGGTATCCTCCCTGTAGACGTGATGGGTGGTGATGTGGTTGCCGTTTGCGTCTTGGAAGACGACGGTGAGGTGGCCGGTGTTGTTGTCGCCGCTACGTCCGCCTTCTCCGTGCCAAGGGGTCGGCCTATAAACATCGACTCGTTTGTCATTAGGTAATCCAGAACCATCGGAAGGTGGTGCTTACCTGACTTCTGCAACCTCAGCGCCTCGAGCTTCGAGGTTAAACAATTCATAATGGCGACGGATGCGTTGTTCGGCGAAGGCTCTGTCAGCGGGGCTCTTTTTCCAGATTGACATTACAATCCGATTGAGAGCGTTGAGGACGGCGGTCGGTTTCATGATGGATGGTAGAGTTGAGAACGGTGTTGGAACTTGGTTGGGGAATTAGTGAACAAATCCAATGGACTTTATATGCACGAGGAGACGAATAGCTACCAGAAGAAAGCGCAAGACGTACAATTTAGGAATATATCCCATTCGATTTGCATCTAACAGAAGTCTTTCAGAAGTCCGGATGAGGAATGACCTCGGAATGGAGGACCGACAAGCAACAGCAACAGCATATGCCGTGCTGTGCTGCGCAAGCTTGCTGTGCGACCTCGTCCTTTCGTCCTATTAAGTCTAGAGGCCTGTTTCATTCGGTGCCGTTGCTATCACTGCTAGAGTAGCAGTGGGCGGAAGACTGAACGAAGCTGAAGGGGCGGGGGACAGTGCCGGAAGCCAGGTGAAGACTCGAGACGTGCCTTTGCTGTGTCGGAACCTCGGAAGGCGACTGGTGCGCTTCATGGAAAACACGAGGTCCATGACAAGCATTTGTCGAACCTGGTGAGGTTTGAAATCTTCACAAACACCGAGATTCGGGCAGCAGAAGACGGGTGGAGATGAACACGAGGCCTTGTGGTCCCAAGTTCTGAGCGGACCTTGAAACAACTACCTTCACAATCGAAAGTAGCGCCCAAGAATCGCCCATCAGATCCCCGCACCAAAATTGGTAAAATGGAAAGCGATCGCCGTTAACCGGGCTTTTATCACGTCCATTCAACCTCCGAACGAAGGGTAGGGGTTTTTCGAGTCATCGTCTAGGTAGATACAATCTAGGTTTGTCTCACGGGTTATTCGAAAGGCAGGACCTGAAACCAAGACGCTTTTCGGACACGCACTTCTAAGAGTTGGTATTCATATTGTGAGGTGCGCCACTAGTGGCAGTGCACCTGTCTCTGGTCCTGCACGAGGGGGAGGCTTCATGGCGTGAAAATAGAATCTGTTACTTCACAGCTGGAAGTAGCCGTTGAACGACGATGGTCCAAATTCTGCGTATCTTTTAGATCTGTCAGACTTTAGAAAGTGCCGCACAATCCTCACAGATATTTTCCACTCTGAAATTGGACTAGCTTTCCCATGGAATACTAGTCAGTTAGAGTCCAGTTCGTTCTCATTTACTGACTAATAATGTCCTCATTGTATTAACTCCTTGGCGCTAGAAAGGATCCGACCTCGAATTCAACAGGCACACCCATTTCGTCGACTTGCCACAACAGCCTCCGGCGCCATTCGACCGTCGGACCGAAATACTCGCACATTCACGATGACTCCGTCGATCCTTGTGGCCCACTCGCCCCTGATTTCTCCAGCGCCCACAACTCACGGCATCATTGGTGATCCAATGTCCAAATCAATTTTGTCAGCATGGTGTTCTCATGGTACCTCGGGCGCATACCGCTGATTCTCCGTTGTCCAACTCAAACGGTCCATCCGAGCGCTGAGCGCTGAGTACTTGATGCCGCACGACTGGCTACAACCCCTGTCATCGTACTCAAGTCATGATCCAATCCATTCGCCGATATATCTGGCCTCGTTTCTTCTTCGTCCTGTGCCGAAACCATTTTGCTCATAGTTGGAGACCATTGTGCGCCCTGTAACTTGAAGGGAACGCGTTAAATTTCACGGTGGACAGCTGATGATGGGAGGACCGGGTTTCTAACCCTGGCGAGAAAGCACACCGCCCAGCCGCTGAGACAACCTACTGGCGCTGAAGACCGACCATGTTTAACCCGCCGCGACCCCCATGTGGTTTTAGTATGTCCTACCTGCGTTGGCATGAGGCCGTGTGGGTCGAGGATGAGTCCTCTGACAGTGGTTGGAGCTACACAGCGGTGAGCGGTGAGCCTCTGAGGTATTCATCATGGCCTTATGGAGGAAAGAAGGGAGGATTGAATTACTGGGGAGGTCCGAAGAATGGCCTGGCCGTAGGTACACAGAGATACCAGCTACAACCACTCTACAGTAGTAATAGACATCGCACCGCGATACAGGCACGATATGACCTGGTTCCCGAGTTTAAGCTGATAAGCAGGGTTTCTCGGCAAAGGGCCCAACGGCGCAAGCGCAAGACCAGCGTAGTTGATGTCCGTCGACACTTTCAAATCGGATTTATACACGGGAATAGAATAAATAATTACATTTCACTGAATGGTTAACACAAGTCTACTACTTAGGCAACATCCTCGAGCCACGAATGCTTGAGCAATTGACTTGCTGACCACCGCTCTTCCGGGTCAATGGTTAATGCTCGCAACAAAAAGTCGGCCAGGAGGGGAAGTTCTTCAGGTGGGTGATTGGCTCTGCGAAGCAGGTCCTGAATTGTTATGCCGTAGAGGTCCCCGCCACGTAACAGGCGGCCTGAAGGATTGAGTGAATATATAAGACAAGAGTGAAGGTTCGAGAAAGGGCTAACCGTCGCGATCGAAATAACGGTTGGAGTTCTCTCCTTTGTCCAACAGCTCGCGTGGAAACTGTCCCAGGAGGCCTACAATTTGGGCAATATGAGTTTGAGATCTGCTCATGCCGGTTCTCTGAGTATCCCAGTGAGGGTCAAACAGTTGAGCTCCTCGAGCAAATTGGTACATCTGGAGGATTCGTCAGTCTCGGTCAGCACAAAAGAGTAGGAAACCCACCAAGGCACCGAAATTCCATATGTCGGTCTTCGTATCCCAGGGCGCTTTAATGATCACCTCTGGAGAACGCAGAGCCTCGGGCTGAATGAGCTTCGCAAAGTGATCGGAGACGCTATTAGCTGGAAGATCACCTAAGAGATGTATCCAGTAAACGAGGGAGAGTCGAAGCATACCTTCCCCGAAATCAGCGAGCTTGAATGTCGCAGACGCCAGCTCAGGTATAGTGACTTGAATGCTTGTCTCCTCTATTCCGGAGGGAGCGCCACTCATGAGGATGTTATCCCCTTTGATATCTAGAAAAGAGGATGGTAGCATAAAACAACGAGATAGGGATGAGATATACCAGTATGAATGAGGTGGCATTCTTCGTGCAAGTAGCAAAGGGCTCGAAGGACGTGCACAGAGATACGTTTGACCAGGAACAGTGGCATAGGGCTTCTGAATCCGTGATATATCTCGACAGCGTTGACAGACATTGGTTCTAGGACTAGACAGACATGAGTCCCATTAGGACCTTGGTGAATGAAATCGTCAAGGAGGTGGCGTATATGATGATAGCCCAGAGAGCGAGGATTCTTTTACGCAGAGATAACAACATAGCGCGCTCATCGTAGCCAGCCTTCTCATTGGTTAAATCTGCTACCAAGATTTTCATGGTCGCTAGACGCTCATCTCTACGAAGACGGCTTGTGAAAACCGAAGCGCACTCGAGGATGAGGGACGTACCTCATATCTTGAACTAGCCATACAGTCGAGTACTGACCCCACCCAAGCTTGTGTAGAATGCGATAGCGTTGATTATAGATTTCACCAGGACGGACGGGATGGTATCCACCAGGTTGATACCGACCTTGAGGTTCTAGTTGCGGTTGCCTGGTGACAAGAACGAACGCTGGAGGGGATACCTGAGCGCCGAGACGACGAGAAACGCTATTCTTAATGGCAGACAGAAATCGAGACATGATGACAAGGAGGAGGTTGGGAAGAACGGCAAGAACGACTTGGGGGGATGTCGGAACAATGACGCGCTCATTGTTATAAGCCCAGAGTGACACGTGGCGCGTGACAACTGATGGAGTGATGGGGGACGGGTGATGCCGTGAGTTGTGGGCGCTGGAGAAATCAGGGGCGAGTGGGCGACAAGGATCGACGGAGTCATCGTGAATGTGCGAGTATTTCGGTCCGACGGTCGAATGGCGCCGGAGGCTGTTGTGGCAAGTCGACGAAATGGGTGTGCCTGTTGAATTCGAGGTCGGATCCTTTCTAGCGCCAAGGAGTTAATACAATGAGGACATTATTAGTCAGTAAATGAGAACGAACTGGACTCTAACTGACTAGTATTCCATGGGAAAGCTAGTCCAATTTCAGAGTGGAAAATATCTGTGAGGATTGTGCGGCACTTTCTAAAGTCTGACAGATCTAAAAGATACGCAGAATTTGGACCATCGTCGTTCAACGGCTACTTCCAGCTGTGAAGTAACAGATTCTATTTTCACGCCATGAAGCCTCCCCCTCGTGCAGGACCAGAGACAGGTGCACTGCCACTAGTGGCGCACCTCACAATATGAATACCAACTCTTAGAAGTGCGTGTCCGAAAAGCGTCTTGGTTTCAGGTCCTGCCTTTCGAATAACCCGTGAGACAAACCTAGATTGTATCTACCTAGACGATGACTCGAAAAACCCCTACCCTTCGTTCGGAGGTTGAATGGACGTGATAAAAGCCCGGTTAACGGCGATCGCTTTCCATTTTACCAATTTTGGTGCGGGGATCTGATGGGCGATTCTTGGGCGCTACTTTCGATTGTGAAGGTAGTTGTTTCAAGGTCCGCTCAGAACTTGGGACCACAAGGCCTCGTGTTCATCTCCACCCGTCTTCTGCTGCCCGAATCTCGGTGTTTGTGAAGATTTCAAACCTCACCAGGTTCGACAAATGCTTGTCATGGACCTCGTGTTTTCCATGAAGCGCACCAGTCGCCTTCCGAGGTTCCGACACAGCAAAGGCACGTCTCGAGTCTTCACCTGGCTTCCGGCACTGTCCCCCGCCCCTTCAGCTTCGTTCAGTCTTCCGCCCACTGCTACTCTAGCAGTGATAGCAACGGCACCGAATGAAACAGGCCTCTAGACTTAATAGGACGAAAGGACGAGGTCGCACAGCAAGCTTGCGCAGCACAGCACGGCATATGCTGTTGCTGTTGCTTGTCGGTCCTCCATTCCGAGGTCATTCCTCATCCGGACTTCTGAAAGACTTCTGTTAGATGCAAATCGAATGGGATATATTCCTAAATTGTACGTCTTGCGCTTTCTTCTGGTAGCTATTCGTCTCCTCGTGCATATAAAGTCCATTGGATTTGTTCACTAATTCCCCAACCAAGTTCCAACACCGTTCTCAACTCTACCATCCATCATGAAACCGACCGCCGTCCTCAACGCTCTCAATCGGATTGTAATGTCAATCTGGAAAAAGAGCCCCGCTGACAGAGCCTTCGCCGAACAACGCATCCGTCGCCATTATGAATTGTTTAACCTCGAAGCTCGAGGCGCTGAGGTTGCAGAAGTCAGGTAAGCACCACCTTCCGATGGTTCTGGATTACCTAATGACAAACGAGTCGATGTTTATAGGCCGACCCCTTGGCACGGAGAAGGCGGACGTAGCGGCGACAACAACACCGGCCACCTCACCGTCGTCTTCCAAGACGCAAACGGCAACCACATCACCACCCATCACGTCTACAGGGAGGATACCCACTACGCAGAGGGTCAATACTAGCTATCCTGCACAAAGACCAATCACATACTTGATAATGAACAGGTCTGTGCATGTCTATTTCTCTATCAGCGACGTCGCCGTTGACCGATTTCAATAGCGCCGTGTATGACTCTTATATCGTTCTCTTTCCACTCTGCGTCTCCGTCTGCCATTCGTTGTTGATAGCTCAGGTTGTCGAAGTAGTCACGGATGGCAGCCATTCTCTTATACTTGTGTACTATAAATCCCATATTTCTTCGTATTGAGAACATTGCTGATATATTTGGAAATGTGGCGCATCGTGCGACCCGCGCCGGTTGAGTGACAGGCAGTGACACGGGTACGAGGCCCTTTGTCACTTCATGAAGGTCGTGCCGCAATATATCCTGGCTGACGTTGTACTTCGTTCCACTCATTAGATTACGCCTGCGTGATGCCTCTGCGGGCACTGGTGATATGCAACCTGTCTGCCTACAAAACCTCCAAGGGCCGGTGTGGCAAATCCACATCACCTATCTTTTGTGATATATGCCACGAAGTCTTCAGCTCTAAGATCAAGCAGAATACCTGATTCTTGGGGAAACGGGCGTGGGCCAAGCATAATATTATTACACAACTGTAATTTGACGAAGAATTCATGGCACTTAAGCATCCTTAAGTGCCATGAGTAGTGTTGATGATACAAGATATAAATGCAATCCCTTACTAACTCCGGACCAAAAACATTGAACGCCAACTCAAACCAAGCGAGGAGGGCTTCTGCGCTGTTCCGCCATCCGCTGCTCGAGCATCTTTTGGTCCTGCTCGCGTCGGGCGCGGTGTTCAGCGAGTTTCTGCACGTACGTACAAGCCACCGTCAGCTCCACTGAAAACCTCGGCCGCTATGTGCTACTCACCACTTTCAGGGCCTCTGCAGTGCTCAACACAGATTCAAGCGTCGCCTCTGTAAGGTCTGCCATCTGCGAAAACGGAAAGAAAGGTGGGCTTAGACTCGAGAGGATTAATCCACGGAGAGTACTCACGGTATCAGCGGCCTGCTTCGACATCTTGTTGAACTGTTCTCTATCCTCATCTCGTTGCCAGCGCGCATGCCACGAATGGCGTGCCTCCTCCCATCTGTCCCATGGAGAGACTTGAGATGACGGTGTCGCTTGGACGGGTGCTGTCGGAGGTGCAGATGCAGTAGTCTCGACGTGGTACTCCGCCTGCATAGGCGGGGGCGATGGCGGTGCATGGACAGCAGGGCGTCCGGACTGCCAATTCCAGTGTCCAAAGCCGCGCGACTCGCCGTTGGCGTCACGGTTCTTCGCCTTGATCCACCAGGTGGCGACGCCCGCTCCGATGAAGAACCAGATGAGGCGGCTGGGACCACGTCGGAAGCCGAGGCCATGCGAGTACATGTGGTGGTAGGATGGTGTACCGTAATGGCCGTAGGGGTACATGATTAAGTTAGAGGATATTAGAGAAGGGTCGGTGGTCGTAAGCAGTGATTTGGTGATGAGGTTCTGGGAAGGGAGAGCGTGGACGAGGCAGTATTTATCCTAGCCCACATACTGCATACGCACTATGTTCCGCCATGAAAATTTATGAACGGAATGACGAGGTTCGTCGGCTGCTCCAAGCTGCGCCTAACTCTGCCGACTAGACGCGCAGCTTGCGGGCCGTTCCACTAGGGGGTGGCTGTGCGACTGGAAGATTAAGTAATATTCATATCATGTGATGACTAAATTCTCACGCAGCTCCGGCCAATCGCAAATTTGCGCTCGGCGAAAGGACCGCATGCCTGCCAAGCTGACCATACCAGTCTCAAGTATATAAGGAGGCGCAAATGTCTCACCCCCTCTTTCTTTCCTTCCCCCACCACCCCACGTCGTCCCTCCTCCTCCCTGCCTTCGTGTCCTACCACGGTTTTCGCTGCTGTCCTGAGGGGTTTCGATACCCGTTCTACGGCGAGATGGCTTGTGCGTCGCCCTCTTCAGGCCCTTCGACGTAGTCCCATACTGTTCTATGCGCTGTACGTCTCCTCGTCCTTAACTTATTTTCGCCCTGGCGCTCTTTCATCTTTCTCCTACCGCATACGATGTCGCACCTCGACGCGTCAAGTTCACCTTTGCCACCTCACCGTCGGGCTTCCGTCTATCCGAAGCATCGTCATCATCGTGACTAACGCTCGCCCGACGCACTGGTACCACCCACGGCCGCCGTTCCTCACCGTCTTCGTCTTGATCCCCGTCGCTACTCAACCATGTCCCCCATCTTCTGCCAAGTCGACTACGGGTTCTAGAACGCAGAGGAATGTTCTGATACCCTCTATCTGTGCGCTATATGCGCAAATTCTCGCTGGTCTAGGGGTGAAAATCGTCTTTTGCCCTCCCTTATCTTGCCTTTCGGGTCGCTCGACCGTCTACTCGCATACGCGGTGCCTAACGCTTATCTCAGAGAATTGGAAAGACCCTCATGGGTACCACTCTACTGGCTGTCATCGTCATGGGACTTAAATTTCCTGGCTTCTTTCTCCATTTCTCTCTATTTCGGTCCGACCATCGCCCGTTACCAAGCTTCTGCCAAGCGAATGCATGTGGAGCTTTCATCCAATACGAACTCCTGGATTGCGCTCGCGAAATGCGTCTTGCATCTCTGGAGTGCTTCGCTGTCGATTTTTTGGGCTATTTTCTCGAATTTTCTGGCCATTTTTGAGGTACCATAGGTCCTTGTGGGCGCTTATTTCTCACCATGTACGTATCAACAATAATACACTCTTTTTCTCTTCTCTTTCCTCTCTACGCTGGCGCCTTCCACATTTGTGATTACTCCCACACCCCCATTCCCTTCTCCCCTGATTCACCGCGAGGAAAACCCGATCTCTCTCCTGCCCAGCCGGCTCGAAGGCTTCCATCCCCTTCCCACCAAATGAATCCTCGCCAAATCTCTGAAATGAGGGTCCCCATGACATTTCGGCGTAAAATCACTGGTCCTGCCGTCTTTTTCTCTTCGGATGTGGGATGTGGGATGCGGACGGATGGGATTTGGGTCGGAAATTTTGGAGGGCTCGGGCATATTTAAACGGACGTAGCCGTACATCTTCCTGTCCTCAGAGTGTAAGCTCTTCTTCCTTCCAGTTCGCCTAAAGGACACACCCCGAACTACGAAGATCGTCAACTTCACCTCACCACCATGGCGTCCAACTTACCGCTATCCGCGATGCTCCTCCCCCGCGCCCACGACCACGGCGACATGACCGACGACCAAATCGCCGAGACGATGCGCGATCCATACGACGAGCAACCTAAGTACGCTAGGGGCGTCATCTACGCCGTCTGCGCTACTATCTTTCTCTTCGGGCTCGCCCGCGCTGTGCTCGCACTCCGCTCTAGAAAGCCCTCGGTGGGCGGCAAGGGCGGTGTGTATGCAAGGACGGTGGCGGCAGCACGTTACTTCGCGACGAGGCAGCACCGCGTGCCGTTCGTGCGTGCGGTACTGCAGGTGCCGTCGCTGGGCGTTGGGCTGCTCATGGTGGCTTTCTTTACGTTTGTGTTTAGTAGGTGTTTCCTTGAGGTTGGGTTTGGTGAGAGTACTGACGAGATTGTATGTAGCGTGGACGTGGTCTGTTAGGCCTTATTACTGCTCGCAGTGGAATGTTTGCGGCTCGCCGTTGGCGATGCGGACTGGGCTTATGGCTCGTACGTCCCCCTTGCTCTCATCTCGTTGGTAGGGCGCTCATCGCTCATCTCTTTTAGTGGGCTGCTTCCCCTTCATCATGGCCTTCACTTCAAAGTGGAACTTTGTCACGCTTATCACCGGGCACTCGCACGAGAAACTGCAGGTGTACCACCAGTACATGTCGCATGTCTTCATGATTCTGTCTCTGATGTGCGTTTTCTCCTTCCACGCCTCTTGTTCAATCGAACTTAGGATACGCTTTTATCGTGATGTTTAGCCACTCGTTCCCTTGGGTGATCCAGGGCATGCGCGAGGTCAAACCCGGCTTCGAGCCGCTCACACAGCTCGAATGGAGCTGGCACGTTGCGAAGAAGTACGTCTCCCGCTCCCTCTCCCCCTCTCCTACCGCATCCTAACATCCCTCTCCCCCAACAGAGTCTACTACTGGTCCGGCGCCGCCCTCCTCATTATCCTCGTCTGGCTCTGCTGCGCCTCCTTCCCCGTCTTCCGCCGCGCGCATTACGAGTGGTTCAAGTACCTGCATGTCATCTCCGCGCTCCTCTTCCTCGGCTTCTTTTTCGTTCACTGTAACCGCCTCCTGGGCTCCTGGGACTACCTCTGGGCGACCACGGCCATCTACGGTGCGAGCGTCGCTGCGCGGTTTGGGTGGATGGGCTGGGTGAATGCGAGGACAAGACCGACAGCAAGGTGTGAGGTCCTGGATGGGGAGATGGTGAGGTTGACGGTGAGGCTGAGGGCACAGGAGAGGTGGAGGCCTGGCCAGCATTATTTCTTCCATTTTTTGAAGGTGATGCCGTGGCAATCGTGAGTAACTTTCGTCAGTTTCTATGTTCAGCGGCGCTGAATGATTTTCTAGACACCCATTCACAATCGCCTCTATCCCATCTGAGTCGACTTCTGGCGAGCAAGAAATGGTCGTCCTCGTGCGCTCCGCGAAGGGCATCACGAAGCGTCTCCTCAAGCACGTCTCCTCTACCTCCTCTTCATCTGAAGTTTCGCTCCCGCTCTTCCTCGATGGCCCATATGGCGGTATCCGTACGGACCTTGCACAGTTCGAGCACGTCGTTCTCGTCGCAGGTGGGACAGGCGTGACCTTCGTCCTACCAGTGCTGCAGGATCTCGTTAGGCGGATGCGAAAGGCAGAGGAGGGAAAGAAAGGTGAACAAGCGCAACAGAATGATGTGGTGTGCAAAAGCGTGCTGGTGGTCTGGAGCGTTCGAGAGAAAGGTATTAATCCATTCGCCTCCTCTCCTTCGTGATAAAGAAGTTGACCATCTTTCCTCCTTGGTAGAATGTATATCCTGGGTGCTCCCCGACCTTCAAAAAGTCATCGCCGACGCACCTCCCTCGTCTGTCTCGATAAAAATCCACGTCACCCGCGGTGGCCCAGGTACCAAGGACATCGAGTCGTCCTCCGCCTCTTCTTCCCAAGACATCGACGAGAAGCAGTCGGTGGACGATGAGAAGAAAGAAGCCGCGGCGCTTTCGTACCCCTGGTTTGGTCGCCCGAATCTCAAGGCCGAGGTTGAAGAGGCCGCGAAGCAGGTGAAGACCTTGGGTATCGCCGGTAAGTCTCGAAATCCCCCCCTCGGTCTCCTGCCGTGTGCTGATATTGGACCACGCGAATTTAGCCTGTGGTCCTGATTCACTCGTCCACGACGTCAGGAACGCTGTTGCGTCCATCGAGAAGGGGATCGCCCTGGGTAAGGAAACGGGGTGCACGGAGGTGTATTTGCATACGGAGGAGTATGATTGGTAGAACGCTACGACGACTATGATGATGGCGATGGCAGTGCGCGATTGTGACTACAATGTAAAGTAATATATAGTACGCTCAACATGACAGAAATTTCAACCTCGAAAGTAACAAGCGTCGAAAGTTTGAAATCGCCCAGTGTCGGTACAAGAGTTCCCACTCCCAAGAACACATTGATCCGTGAAATAGGCTCGCTCTCTCATGTGCCGCCGGCTCTTCGTCTTGGTTGACTTGCTGTCCGAGTAATAAGCCCTGTCTTCCTTCGAAGTTCCGCCGAGATAGATCCCCTGTAATAGACGAGGCTCTCTTCATGTGCTCGTCCGCTGACATTATGAAAAAACGGATGTTTTGTAGCGTCGGAATAGGTCATGTTCTTCATGAGGTGTCGGAAGGAGGACCATATGACTTGAGACGAGGACGCGACCAAGAAATATCTCCGCCAATATACCGTATGAAAAGCACGACGTGAATTATTGCTTTGAGAGAAAGAGAACTGTCACTACTATAGAGCATGGAATGGCGACACAAGCCAGTAGACGCTCTTGCATTACTAGGTCGGAATCCAGTGCGTAATCGCATTAAGGGGACAGAAACTGATGTTAGGGTGAGTAGCGAGGTATGCGCTCAGACGGTTCTCTACTGTATCATAGAGCTCCTTTGTCCCTTGAGGTTCATAGGAAGGGCTGCCAGAAACAGTTGAGTCCAGGTTAAACACCAGTGGTTTTCCACTGGAGACCAGGACAACTTTGTCGCACAATTCCTCTCAATCTTCGTCGAGACACCCTTGATACGGCTTCTTTCCGAAAAATTCCAGCTCAAGCGAGAATACTTTCAAGCTGTTCGAGCGTGGAAGGGAGCTCAAGGTGCTGCCTAGGTCCTTCAGAACTGTATGCTTCTTGGCCTTGCAATTGATAACTGCAAATACCTCAAACACGTGTAGATTTGCCATTGCCTCGAGGTTGAGGATGGCTGAGAGAGGAAATTGTCGTTTTTCTATGAAATTGGATGTTAGCAATCTGAGAGACTTCGACGACGATAAGACGCACCGTCTGGCATGTCAGAGAAACCTAAGACAGTAAGGAAAAGTTGCTCCAATGTGTTAGACGTCATGTCAAGGATGCGCTGAACAAGAGCCATCGTCTTGCGCTCGTGAGGAGAGACGTGGAGAATTCGTAAATTTGACCAATCGACGACAGCAAAAGCTGGACTTTTTATCTGCATAAAACGATTGAGGAGTTGGTCCGAGTTTCGAGCCCACAAGTGCTCTATCTTTGGTGGATAGTTGTTAGGGCGAGTATTCGTTTGCTTTTGGTCGAACTCGATACTCTCGAGGTTGACCACTTTCAGTTTGGAGCAGACAAGAAAGATGTCTAATGGGACATTAGCCCAACCGTCGAGGTGGATAGTTGTCAGGGATTGGGATAGGGAGAATTGCTCGAGACCTGCAGCGAACCGTCCTGGTTGGGCGTTTGCCTCATCGCGTTTCTCGATACGTATGGTGTGTGGAGGAGTAGGAGAGACTTGAAATAGCTCCAACATGTTGGTGAAATTGCGTTCGCCGAATAATTGAGGATCCGATGCTTTGATGTCGATGACTCGTACAAGCTTCGCCAAAGAAGGATTGGAACTAAGGATTTTCCATTTCTGCCCGATCTGCTTCCTGAGCTTCTTCTTGGGGCCGAAATCGTCATCCAGAGCCAACTCGGTGAAGAGATGAACATGGCATCTGTATGTGAACGCGCGGTCGGCGAGGGCAAGGTTGGAAAGTATTATCCACCATTCGGGCAGTTTAGCACATAGATCCACGATGCGGTCGCGGAGCTCTGTAGAGAGACAAGAGAGTGGCGGGTAAAGCATCGCGTACCTTTCTTGTAGTACACTGGAGCTTGCGCGACAATAGGTGAAGAGAGTTGAGATTCGAGAGGCCTTCACAATGTCGAAAATCGATGCAGGCGAACGCGTGGCCTTGTGGGTCCGACAAAGTCGGAACATTCCGGAAAATAAGCAGACCACCTTAACCGCTCGAGGGACTGTCACTGTCCCTGAAATTCTTTCGCCATAAATGTGTGTAGGGCGAGAGAAAGTCAGCAAGCACTACGGTCGCTCTTTGGTCGCTCTCATGATGTATGAAGGTTGGTGAACATCAAAACACAAATTAAGATCAGTGCAAACTCACATGATTTGATGCAGATATTTTTCCGTTTCTCGACTCGATGCATCTCTTCACATTAGCCCAGTGCGCCACACTTCCAAAAAGCACCACAGGAGCTGATCATTGTTAGCGTGGGAAAGAAACCGGAAGAAGCCGGAATGTCCAGTCTTCGATCCTCCTACAGAAGTTAACGTTCATCCTCCTCCCACCATCAAAGTTCTCGTTCTTACTTCAACGTAGCTGGCTCTACAATTCGAGCAGATAGCGCATACCCTTATGATTCAGGCAAACTAACAGCACCTGTCATCCTTAAATCATCCCTTAAGTGGATTTCAGGAAGACTGTCGATCAGGTATGGACTCCTCCATGATCGGACCAAAACGAGAGGCGCTCACTTCATCGCCGAGCAGCCTTTATTAGCAGTTGGCTAAATTTGCTAAAGCCTGTACAGCAAAGCTTAGCATTCGACCTTTCTTCCCTTTCATAGGCCAAGACACGAGACTGAGAAACTGGTAAAATACTCAGAGCTAACCAGGGACTTCAGCACTGGAAATTTAGCCAGCATTCTGGGTTCTCAGTCTTATCTCTGCTTCTATCATAGCAGCGCATCTATTCCGAGCTCTCGACAGCTCGATCGAACATAAAGATATCTGTCGAATCACCACTCAATTCTATGTTACGGCAAGGCCTTATCTTTGATCGAAGGCTTGAAGTCCAACACGTCTAGCTTCGAGGATTACGGGGGGAAGCGCTCTTGTTCCCGTCCCTCAGAATTTTAGTCTCCCGTTTCTCACAGCCTGCCAAACAGCCGCCTCGCGTGGATCATGCTGTTGACAGCAGAAACTGTTGGCTCCAGCTTCGTCCTCTGACGGACCCCTTTCTTCGAGCTGTCGCATTTCCTGTTTGTTATTTCTATTGCTAGCACTGCCCACTGTACCGGAGGGTAAGTATCTGAATCAATCTTCTCTGCAATGCAGGAGAAGATGCGATGACTTCCGTATTCCAGGCAGTGGCTTTTCGTGCCGTGATAGAGGCTGAATCGGCACCCTCGGCCATCTTAGAGCGCTTTCTGAGTACACCCAGGATTGCGTATATAAGTGAACATAGTCAAGGCTTCTACGATAGCCCTCTGCCTACGATGGTTAACATCACATACGATACTGGTGCGTTCTCTCGCCCTCCCGTACCTAGTGAGGGAGACTAATGCTGAATTGCACTGGTGACAGCTGGGTCAATCGTCTGGTTCAATGCTGCCGCAGATCCGCCCGTTGAGGTCGTCTACAACCCAGGCGATATCGCCTGGGTACTGACTTCGACGGCGCTGGTCTGGCTGATGATTCCGGGTGTCGGGTTCTTCTACTCCGGGTTGTTGAGGTGAGGAGAAATCTCTTGTGTTTCTCACCGGCGCTTACAACGAAAGGCTAACCACTACCTCACACGCCCAGGCGAAAGAACGCTCTTTCCTTGATCTATATGGGCATGATTACTCTGGCTACGGTTGCCTTGCAAGTGAGTTCCTCATACCCTTCCTATCATACACCGACCGAACCCTATGCCACCAGTGGTTCTTCTGGGGTTTCTCTTTGGCCTTCAGTGACACAGCCAGTCCTTTCATAGGAGATCTTCGTATGTTTTTACGGCTGGAATTATACGTCCTTTTCTTGACGTCAGCACTCTCTTAGAACACTTTGGGCTCAAGGGCATTCTAGAGAAACCGTCCATCGGCAGCCACCGTGTGCCGGCGCTCGTCTTCTGCGTCTATCAGCTAATGTTCGCTGCTTTCACGTACGCCCCTCTTCCCATCCATCATAGACCTACTTCACTTACATTGATATTATCCAGGCCCATGCTCGCAGTCGGTGCCTTCGCCGAGCGTTCCCACCTTGGTCCATTGCTCGCCTTCGTTTTCGCATGGTCCACGCTTGTATACGACCCCATCGCATGCTGGACCTGGAACCAAAACGGCTGGGCAAAAAAGCTTGGAGGGCTTGACTTTGCTGGAGGAACGCCTGTTCACATCTCCTCAGGGACCGCCGCGCTCGCTATCTCTATCTACCTCGGGAAAAGGAAGGGGTATGGCACGGAGTCACTCGCGTTCAAGCCACACAATGCGACGTATGTTATACTTGGCACGATCTTCCTCTGCTTTGGGTGGTTTGGTGCGTTCGCAGCTTTTCAGAAATGTTTCGTTTGTTCGGAATTTGACCAGCCGTCGCATACAGGCTTCAACGGCGGCTCCGCCCTCGCCGCGAACTTGCGTGCTGCACAGGCCTGCGTCGTCACAAGCATAGCAGGAAGCGCCGGTGGCTTGACTTGGATGCTTTGGGTGTGTCCTCTCCCTCGTTCCTTCTTGTTTCATGTTCAACTTGTCGGTTTTCCTACTAGGACTATCGCATCGAGAAGAAGTGGTCAGCAGTTGGTTTCTGCTCAGGTGTTATCGCTGCCCTGGCTGCTATCACGCCTGGATCTGGATTCGTCGGTGCTCGTGAGTATTTCATTTGAATTCCGCGCAGACAGTAGGCTGGGGTTGACACGACTCTGTTTTCCACAGCCGCTGCGGTCCTATTCGGCGTCATGGCGGGAACAATCTGCAATTTTGCAACGCTGCTCAAGTACTTCGTTGGCTACGACGACTCGCTCGACGTCAGTCCTCCTTCTCTAGCCCAAATTTCAAATCCGCTGAATCGTACCCAATTTGCTACCGAACAGATCTTTGCGTCGCACGCTGTAGCCGGCACCATAGGAAACATCCTCACGGCTATTTTCGCGCAGAAAAGTGTTGCTGGATTTGACGGATTCACAGAAATTAAGGGCGGCTGGTTGGATGGCCACTTCGTCCAGCTCGCGTGGCATATCGCAGACTCAGCTTCTGGACTTGGGTATTCGTTCGCCATGACTGTGAGGAGTTATTTATTCTATTCCTTTGTGACCCAAATGAATGATCCCTCCTCTGGCAGACAATCATCCTCTGGGTTATGCACTACATTCCTGGTCTCCGCCTCCGAGTGCCTGAGGAGACGGAAATCGTAGGAATCGACGAACGCGAGATGGGAGAGTTCGCATACGACTACGTTGCACTCCGGAGGGAGCTCAAGCCTACGGCCTATTCGAATATGACGACGACTACGACTAAGGCTACGCCTACGGTGGTACAAAGAAATGCCCAATGAGATTCGAAACAATTCATGGAGGTTGGAGAAGACAGTCTTTCAGGTTGGAAGAAATGGTTGGGTTGGGCTCTAGCACGCTATATATGCCGGCATTTTTAAGGGAAATTTTTAGGATTGGAGTACATTTTTGAAGAGTTACTTGTTGACGACCTTGAATGAAGTTATGCGAATGTTCTCACTCTTCCGTGCCCAAAAATGTGTAAGCGGTACATAGCCCTATTTGGGGAGGATTCTATTTTTGGGCCTCACTTCAAGGCTCGCTAGTCCATGTATCAACGTTATCTCAGGATTGGAGAAAGAAATGAATAGAAAAAAAAGTACTGCCGAAGCTGTCGAATAGCACTAGGAGGCGTTGAACAGCGCCCTCTTGTCCGCCCGCCTTAGCACGTCGACAATCTCATCCAACGAGTCTCGCCTCTCGTTGACCAAGCCCGTCGCGTTAGTTGTAGACGTCGAAGAAAAATATGGAACCACAGTGTCGTTGCAAATAGCACCTTTCGCTGGCAAGGTGCCATTCTGGAAGTACGCCCGGACGTGGCCAATGACACATAATGAAGTCCAGGCGAAAGAGGTGTGCTAAAGGCCGAATTAGATGGTCAGAGGTGTGTGAGAGAGATTTGATGACATACCCCAGGGATATCGTACGTGAGAACGGCGGATCCAGGGAACGCTCGCGACGCTTTCTTTGCCCTAGGTTTTGCGGAGAGGGGTGCTAAGTCAGATTTTACTCCATACGTTTCCGAATTGGATGACGCACATAGAGAGAGAGGTCACCGGGTCTGCAGTGTTCCCGATGATCAGCAGCGGGAAGCTCGTGTTGCCAGAGAGTAGTCCTTCAGTAGGGCGTCAGTTGTCGAGAAAGTGGTGTACCGAGAGGAGCCCACCTTTGAAGCTGTTCGGATGGATTTTCCAGCCTCTGAAGTATCGAGTTAGAACCGAGCTGGAGGGAAAAAAGGGGGGGGAAGAACATACGAGCACAAAAGCCTGATCGAGGATATGAGGCTCGAGAAGGTCGACAGGCGACTAATAGTCTCAGCATATTTCGCCACTTGGGCTGCAGAATCCGTTACTGCATTCCCGTCAGAGCACATAACCGATGCGAAGACTTCATCCGAATTGAGCCTCGGGAGCTGGTATAGCACGCTCGCATCCCCATCCTCGAGAGCTTTCAGCCCTCTCGCGAGAGGGGCGAAAGACTCTGAGGGTGTATACAGAGCGGTAAGGATGGTGTTCTTAAGTGTGACGAAGTCAACGACGCCATATTTCTGCAAGGAAGCGGAGTAGGCAGGGGCTGGCTGGCGAAGGACACGCTCGTAGAGCTTGTTGAGGCGTCGTTTGATGGCTGCAGCTGTGGGTGAGTGGAATGCGCAAGCCTGCGGCCCGGCGGCGGCGCAAGCATCGAAGAAGGCTTGAAGGGCCTTGTCGGCATCAACGACATGATTGCGCCCATCCACTGATAGACGGTGTAAAGGTCAGACCCATGATGTTCGCGAATACCCACTTACCAGAGTAGTAACGTTGCAGGTCGAGAACACCTACCACGAGGCGTAAGTTAAGGTGTTCTCGGAATACATGTCTTGAAGTACTTACCATCGATGATCAAGCGTTCGACTTTGTCCTATTGCCACAGGTATCCGTGATTTAGAATGAGGATTAATCAACTTCGAGCCAGCGTACCGGGAATAGAGCAGCAAACGTTGCCCCGAGAACGCTTCCATACCTGGACAACGTCGGTTAATCAACAAATTCCATTCCCGAAGCATATTTACACTCACGAGATGCCCCAATACTGCAGTTTTTCTCTGCCATGAGCTTCAACAATCCTAAGCATATCTCTTGCTACGTTGTCCGTCGTCATATGGCTGATAACGTTGGCACTGCGATCCCTGGCGAGGCTCCCCAAGACTTGAATCTTCGCCCAGCGCTCCGTGAGGGTCGAGCTAGAGGTCGTTTCCGTGTTCAGGGAGTGGGCCCCTAAATCGAAAGATGCTCTTTCCACGTCCGAGGTGAAGATAGAAATGGATGGGGTTGAGTGGCCGATGCCTGTGCCAAATACCGATGAATACGTTAAATGCCGTGAATAAGAAGTGTAAACGCACCCCGAGGATCGAAGCTGACCAAATCGAACGCCTGGCCAAAGACTCCCTGGATGGCGGACCCGAGAGCGAGTCCTGCGTTGACACCACTTGAGCCAGGTCCTCCTGGGTTGAACAGGATTGGGCCGCGGTACGCGGGTGAGCCCGAGAGGCCCAAGGGAGATGCGATGCGAATTAGGGCAATAGCAGCAGAACCTGCGCTCGGATTCGAATAATCCAAAGGAACCTATTTAAAGGAAAGCCAACAGCGGATTAGGAACACAGAAACACCAGAGACTCGAGACGTACGTTGAGCCGAGTACATTGGGTCAACTGGGAGTAGCAGCTGATCCAATTCAAACTGTTGCTCGGTGTGATCTACAATAGAGGGTAGTGCTTAAAACAGCGATTCTTCTGCCGTTAAACAGAACACACAGAGTTCCAGTCGAAGGACGTCTGTGCCCTTGCCGAAGGGAGATCCATGAGCGAGAAGGCGAGGATGCCTGCGCTCAAAGTTGCGCGTAGGAAAGACAAGGGCGACATCGTGCAGTGAAGCCGAATACGTGTGCTCCGATGAGTAGGGGACTTAGGGACGTCGTCTCGTAATTCCTCCTCTTCTTCTTAAGTACCCTTCGGGTAGCTGATTGAACGCCCTCAACGAAAATAGAAGGGACGCTGGATCATGTTACGTCGCTGTAAGAGTCTGAAGGCATAGTGCCCTAGTCCGCATCAGTGATATCATGGATTCGAAAAATGAAGTACTGACGATCAACAGAAACACCCTATACCCACAGCATCGTTAGACTTGCGGTGATCGTTGCCTCTCGCAAAGAGCCTGTAAAGATCGAAGTAGCGGAAGCGATGTTATCCGCGAAGTTCTTGGACTCTTTTGCCCACTTTCACCTTGTACAGGGTTGTGTGGCGCATTTCTACTGCGGAGGAGTTGCTTGACTTCCGCATAGTAATATGAACAAAACCTCAGAGAGTTCATCCCTGTTCATCCCCTTCCTTGATGTGAATGCCGGCATAAATAGACGCGCTATGCACGGATCTGTCAGTGTCAGAACGCGCATCGAGTGATTCGGAAAATCACTTACCTTCTTGCGCAAGACAACCTTGGTATACCCCCCGCAGACAACTGCCTTCAATCAAATCTATGTAATAAGATGATGACAACCTTTTCCGAAAGAGCTGTAAGAAGCTCCGCAGGACATCGAAGTGAAAATGCCAAGAGGAGGCTCATCACTCGGATCTAGCCTTCGGGTTTCATTAGCTCGAGGCAAGCATAATTCTAGCGCTAGAGTTGTGACCGAACGAGAAAAGCACCAAAGTCCAACCCGGACCGGCTTCGCAGCGTGGGAGAATGTATCTATGGAAACGTGACATGCCGTGATGCCGCGCCCCAGCTTACGCTCGCGGAGTTACGGCAGAGTCGCGGTAGCACAAAATAAAGACGTCTTCGAAGCCGTAGACGTCCTCGGCAGGTCTTCCAATTTGTCAACCTGCATAGTCTCAAAACCAGCCGTCTTGACGAAGTAATCCCTCAAAAAAATTGCGCACCTGTAGCTTCGAGTCTACAACCCGCACTCCTCAGACTTATCCTTCATGCGCTCTGCTCAACGTTCTCGGTCACCAGATCTATAAAATAACTGAAATCTTGATAAACATAGGTAGGAACGACAACAGCCCGGGATCGCCACCCCTGAAAATGGCCAAAGGACCTATAACGCTTGCGTTCATTCGCCGATCCTGGTACAAAGCACTGATTGCTTGGTCCGTGATCGCGCGATCGACGAGCCCACTCTTCTGCCAGATTCAACTTCTGCAGTTGTTCGTCTTGTGTGAAAAGGGGATAGGCGTTGGTGAATGAAATTAATAGTGAAAAACAATGCCGGAACTGTCGAGGAGACTAGAAGGCGTTGAACAGTGCCCTTTTGTCCGCCCTCCTCAGCACTTCCACAATCTCATCCAACGAGTCTCGCTTCTCACTGACCAAACCTGTCGCGTTCGTTGTAGACGTCGAAGGAAAATACGGAACCACAGCGTCACTGCAAATAGCACCCTTCTCAGGCAAGGTGCCATTCTGGAAATACGACCGGACATGGCCGATGACACATAGTGAAGTCCAGGCAAAAGAGGAGTGCTAAAAGACCAGTCAGATGGCCTACGGTGGGAGAGAAACTTGATGAGATACCCCAGGTATATCGTATGTAAGGACGACGGATCCAGGGAACGCTTGAGATGCCTTTTTTGCCCTGAAATTGGCGAAGAGGAGTGAGAGTCACGTTTCACTTTCCATTTTTTTGAATTGGATGACTCACATAGAGAGAGGTGTCACCGGGTCTGCCGTGTTCCCAATGACTAGCAGCGGGAAGCTCGTGTTACCAGAGAGTGGTCCTCCAACAGGGCGTCAGGTTTCGAGGAAATGATACACCAAGAGGAGCCCACCTTTGAAGCTATTCGGATGGATTTTCCAGCCTCTGTAGTATCGAGTTAGAATTGAGCTGCCGCGTGGTGAAATAGGGCAAAGAACCTACGAGCACAAAAGCCTGATCGAGGACATGAAGCTCGAGAATGTCGATAGGCGACTGATGGTCTTTGCATATTCCGCGATTTGCGCCGCAGAATCCGTTACTGCGTTCCCATCCGAACAGGCGACCGATGCGTAGACCTCATCCGAGCTGACCATCGGAAGCTGATACAGGACGCTCGCGTCCCCATCCTCGAGCGCTTTCAGCCCTCTCGCGAGAGGAGCGAAGGACACTGAGGGTGCATACAGCGAAGTAAGGATAACGTTCTTCAGCGTGAGGAGGTCGACGACGCCATATTTCTGCAACGAGGCTGAATAGGCTGGGGCTGGCTGGCGAAGGACACGCTTATAGAGATTTTCAAGGCGTCGTTCGATAGCTGCAGCTGTGGGTGAGTGGAATGCGCAAGCCTGCGGCCCGGCGGCGGCGCAAGCATCGAAGAAGGCTTGAAGGGCCTTGTCGGCGTCAACTACAAGATTGCGCCCATCCACTGATCGCCAGAGTGAAGGTCAGCCCCATGATGTTCGCGAACCCACTCACAAGAGTAGTAGCGTTGTAAATCAGGAACGCCTGCAAGAACAGTGTAAGCGAAAGTGCTCTCGGAATACATATCTTCAAGTAGTACGCACCATCAATGATCAAGCGTTCGACTTTGTCCTATTGTCACCAGTATCCGTGATTTAGAATAAGGGTTCTCATCAACTTCGAGTTAGCGTACCGGGAATAGAGCAGCAAACGTTGCCCCGAGAACGCTTCCATAGCTAGACAACGTCAGTTAATTGAAAAATTCCATTCCTAAGCGAATTTTCACTCACGAGACACCCCAATATTGCAGTTTTTCTCTGCCATGAGCTTCAACAATCCTAAGCATATCCCTTGCTACGTTGTCCGTCGACATATGGCTGATAACATTAGCACTGCGATCCCTGGCGAGGCTCCCCAGGACTTGAGTCTTCGCCCAGCGCTCCGGTAGGGTCGAGCTAGAGGTCACTTCCGTGTTGAGGGTTCCGGCCGACATATCGAACTCCGCCCTTTCCAGGTCAGAGGTGAAGACAGAGATGGCGGGGGTTGAACGACCGATTCCTGCATATAATCCGGGCTAGGATTCAAATACCATGGACGAGACGAAAAGCGAACAAACCTCGAGGATCGAAGCTGACAAAATCGAACTCTTGGCCGAGTACGCCCTGGATTTCGCCTCCGAGAGCGAGCACAGTATCGATACCACTCGCACCTGGCCCTCCAGGGTTGAACAGGACCGGGCCGCGATATCCGGGTGCGCCGGAGAGGCCCAAGGAAGATGGGACGCGAATGAGGGCGATTGCGGCAGAACCTGCGCTTGGATCTGAGTAGTCGAGGGGCACCTAGAGAACGCGATTAATGAATTAGGTAGAGCGATGCGTCAGAGAGCAGAGACGTACGCTAAGGCGAGTGCACTGCGTATTTTCAGAGTAGCAGCTGACCCAGTTCAGGCTGGTGGACGGTGTGGTCTACAGCACTTAGAACAGTGAACCTTGCTCCATTAAACAAGACATACAGAGTTCCAGTCGAAGTCCGTCTGAGCCCTTGCAGAAGGGAAACGCACGAGCGAGAGGGCGAGGATGGTTCTCAAATTGGCGCGTAAGAAAGATAAGCGCGACATTGTACAAAGGAACTAAATTTCATGCGCTCCGATGAGTGGGGAACTTGGAGACATTGTCTCCTAATTCCTTCTCTCTTTAAGTCCCCTTCGCGGCATTTTCGGTTGGCTACGAACGCCTTCAACGGGAATAGAAGGGACGCCGGATCATGTCGCGCCGGTATGTACAGGAGCCTATGACTCTTGAGCATGGAAGTCACATCGGATCAGTGATATCAGCCTGGCGTAGCACGAAAACCGACGGCCAAGAGACGCACTCGATGCCCACAGCTCCTGAAGCATCGTTAGACTTGAAATGATCGTTGCCTCTTGGAGCTGGCCTATGGAAATCGAGGTACTGGAAGCGGAGTCATCCGTGAAGCTCTCGGTTTCACCTCGTATGGGGTTGCATGGCGAGTTTCTGGCGTATGTAGAGAAGATTCGTACCAATTGAAATTAGTTGCGTTACGTGTCTGGAGTGGACTAGCCGATAGATGCCTTCTCCTCGCCTTACGGAGCTAGCAAGCTGGCATAAAAGACACGTAACTCCTAGATATAGCCTTCGGATTTCATCAGTTCGACTTACGTCCGAGGGCAAGTGCCGTTTATAAGGAGAACTCTCGAAGGTTCATGAGCAAAGCTGAGGACGGGTCCATCATGAATGTAAATCTTAGTTGAATAATGCGTACATGGTGGAAGCCCGGAGCTACAGCACAGAAAAGAGGGCCACTTTGCGCAGGAGAAAGATGATCGCACGCTATCGTTTAGCCTGTTCAGCGACAATCAAGCCTCGGATCTCTCCAGCAAATGCCTCCTGTGAGGAGTGTACCAATAAGAGACAGGACAGGCAAAAAGAGGAAGCAACTTACATCGCTCCTATATATATGCTGCAGGTGTGAGACTTGCCGCCACGCCCATCCAAAATCCGCAAGCATCTTCTCCTGCTTCGCGTTCTCGGAGACCAGGAACCGCGCCACGCGATACCTTATATCGATCGGCTTGCTGAAGAAGTCGTCCTTGGTAAGAGGGAACATGGCATCGCGTCGGCGACGCGCTATTTCTTCCTCTTTCTCAAGTTCGACACGTCGTTTTTCGAGAGCAACGAGCTGAGTGAGGTAGGCGTAACGCATCTGTTCGAAATCGCTAGCCCATTCCTTCTCTTGGAAGGACTCTGCCGTCCCCCCGTGATACAGGTCCTATGAACATTGTTGGTATCTGCACTGCGGAAAACAAGAGTTGGACGTACTTGAAGCTGGGCTTCATCTTCTGGATCAGGCAGTGGTTCGTCCTCCCTCGAGAAATGCTTGTCCATCGCCTCTTGCATGTAGTCCTGCACTTGTAGCGCGTAGAGTCGTTCCAAATCATCTTCGTGCTGTGCTCTTAAAGCTGCCAGCTGTTCGTTCACAGTGGTGAGGTCGTCAGGTTTCTCGACTGCAGCCTTCATTGTCTCGAAGCTGTAAGAGCAGGCATTAACAAAGCCTTTATAAACGATGAAAATCACGTACTCCGGAACCTCACGTTTCTTGTGCTCGAGTACGAACAGTGCCCTCCGATGCCTCTCCACCGCGTCAGCCAGGTTTGCCTCATTGATTTGTTCTGGATCTGTGGGACCCTCCAAAAAGCCATTGTGACCATAATAGAACGGCTTTGCTCGTCGTACGAGTCGTGGATCGTCCATGGTAGGGCGAAAGAGAAGAGTATCACATTGGACGTCAACGCGATTGTGGTTTGGGTTCAAGATGTGCAAATAATGTCGGGCATCCATCACGCATCGGCTCTTTTCCACAACCGCCATCATCTTATAGAACGATATTCTAGTGCAAGCACCCCAGTTGCGAGCACTTATCTAGAGGCCTACTAACGAGGGGTAAATATCATGTCGCCCCTGCCTTTTGTGCCTACGGAATCCATGTTGACCCCGATTTCTAGGCTGTCTTGCCGCAAACTCTTCGGACTCGACAGCTTCGGGTTGTCCTGGTCCAGTATAAAGCAATCGCAAGAGGCTCTAATCCCGGACCTGAATGTCTTTGAAGCGCGAGAATGACTTTCCAGCGACCTCGATAGGCCGAAGCTCTGGCGCACGCCTGCAACAAGCTGCGGCTGCTCATGAAGCTCATCCACTGCTATCACCGACACCCTCGGAGCAGAGCCTTCCATCGGGTACAACAGCGAACGGTGCTCCTCGATATGTGCCATACACACCGCGGCAACGTGTCACCCCAACAGCGGCCACGACGGGCACCACCGTACATCCACCATCTCCCCAACAGCACCAGGGCGATGCAACGAGCAAACTCCAGTTAATGCACCTCAAGGCGGCTGCCCAGGCCATTGGACTTGATAGCGGCACATTGGGATGGGTGATGCTTGAGAAGCTGGTGGTTGACGTGGAGAACAGTGAGGAATGGACGGAGGTTTGGACTGTTATTACCTCGGGCAAGGTATGTCGAATTTTCTCGGTTATGTCTTTCTAATTCTTTGTAGGCAACACTTCTTCTCCCATTAGAATCCACTTCCTACGAGAAGATTACTCCCGATTTCATGAAAGATCACATCATACTCTGCGATAGCCCGTCTCGCAAGGATACACCCATCGTAACTCTATCCGGTCTGCGTGGTACGCTTGACGAGTGTGTTGTCTTCTTTCTGCAGGACAATTCCTCAACCTGACCTCTCGTTAGCGAGACTCTGACTTTCCGTTCCACGATCAACCCTACCTGCAAGCTCTTCCAAGATCTACTCACTCCGTCAACACGTACGACAGCCCTCTCACATCTACCACCCCTTCCAACGTCCACGAAATATCCTAAATTCCAATTGCCATCTTATTCCTCCAACCTTCATGTTCCACCCCGAGCGGCAGCCTCCAAACCTCCTCTCCCACCTCGACCAAACAACAGACCTGCTCCTCCGACTCGAATCGGCAACCCCTTCGCGTCGCTCTTCGGCGGCAGTGCACGAAGTCCCAACCCACCTGTGCCCCCTTCTCCGACCTCCTCTCTTCTCAGCTTCGAGTCTGACACCAGCACGTCCTTCGAAGTGCCTGGGTTCGCGATTGATCGACGGATCGTGCGCAAAGACCTCGCGAAGGAGCTCAACAAAGCCCTCAAAGCCGAGATCAAGGCCTCTCTGTCTGTGTCTTCCTGTCCTAGTTGGCTTGTTGAGCGCGTGCACGACGCAGCGGCTCCGTGGTTCCCATTCATCAAGACGACAGCGCCGTCAAGGCGGAAGCTGGGCCAAGAGAAAGAGGGTAATGGTAATGGGAACGCATATATCGTGAATCCTTTCGAGGAGAACCCGCAGGACTGTGCAGAGCATCTCCAGGATATCTATCTTGCCTTGGAGCAGGATCTGAGAATGAGTTTACCAAAGAAGAGGGAAAAGGAAGCGGAGTCGGACATGGAGGTTGAGAAGGAGAGGGAGAAGAGAGAGTCGGAGAGGATGGAGACCGAGATATGGGTTCGCGAGGTCATGGAGGTGGTGGAGCGAACAATTACTTCACTATTTTATGATCGGTCAGTCCTTTCTGTCTCGGGTCTTGACAACGTCGCTAAAATACGTGCAGCTTGTTCATGCAGTCAACTACGGATGACGCGTCGCACGATGAGGCACTATCGAGTCGAATAGCAGCGCTGAACATGCTGGATCTTGGACTCGGGCATCTTGGAATTGATGTTGGAGAAGTCGACGAATCGGATCTGGATGCTGTCGTAAAGGCATGTGGCGATGGTGCGTGTTTTGAGCAACCTTATACTGCCAGGTGCTCATGAAATCTTTCGTAGTCCTGACTAAGTTGGAAACACTTCGGTACCCAGCGGAAAAGGCAGCAAGTCTGGTAGAGGCACACAAGATCGTGGTCGGTACGTCTGCCTCACGTTTTCTGTGTTTTCTCAACCCCCAACTTTTTTTTTGTAGACGGTCTATCCAAGCTGCCACCCGTACACCTCATATCCGAAAACAACGTCAATGTAGATGAAGAAGACCTTCCGACTGCTAAGCCACAATCAAGTTCCTCTGACGAAGGTCAATCGAGCGTGGCTTACGCCGAACAGCCTATTGCCCAGACCGCATTACCAGCCTCTAGCCTAGGTTTGGAATCCACCGACCCACCTCTACCTTCGCTACCTTCCGACTCGCCGCTAGCAGCACCCGCATCGTCTGGGAGTGATCTCAAAAGCTCGACTTCCGGTGCCAGGACCAAGACCGTCCCTCCTCCTCTACCCCTCGATAGTCCTTCTGCATCTGCATCTCCTGCAGCCTCCGGTCCGGTCCCTTCTCGTCCTTCTGAGAAACGCAGTGATGCGCAGAAGGACCCTACGCCTGTCTCCGGCGACGTCCTGCTGCCCATGATCATCTTCTCGGTGGTCAAGGCCAACCCACCACGGCTTGTGTCTAACTTGCTTTTCACCCAACGGTTCAGGAACCAATCAGTGGGTGGCGAGGAGAGCTACTGCCTAATCAACATGATGGCTGTCGCCGAGTTCCTCGAGAATGTGGACATGGCTGGTCTAGGTCTAGGAGATAGCGACAAAGTCATGAGCACTGCCGATCTGACTCCGATCCCGCTCACAAGAAGTCCAATCACCGCCGAGACGCCGCTCCTTCCAGCAGACGCTGCGCACGGCGGCCTCCGTGGGCGTGTCGAGCAGCAAGTCGACGCAATTGCGGACTCTGCGAACAAGGTCATCAGTGGCGTCGTCGATTCATCGTTCGGCATACTCAGGTCCTTCATGCCCGGCACCACCGCGAACCCGATCCCGCTCTCGCCGGGAAGCGGGCGCACGACCCCCGGCACACCAGGATCCGCCCCGAAACAGGGCTTCGGCTTGTTGAGGAGAGAGAGCGGCTTCTCAATCGCGAGCCTTGCGGCGTCATTGCCATCCCTGTCGCACGATCGAGGGCTGCAAGCACTATTGGCGGCGAAGAGGCCGGGCAGCAGCTGGTGTCTGTCTCGCGTCCTTCTTCGGTAAGGTCTCGAGCGTCCTTGAAGATCCGAGTTGGTGGTGACGACGATGAGGAAGAAAGCCAGGACGACTCGGACGACGATGGTGGTGGCAGTGTCAGTGGGACGACGGACGACGAGGAGAGCGAGCAAGGCGAAGAAGGGAGGGAAGATGGCGAAGATTCCGGCCGTGCGGACGTTAGGAGCATACGCAGCTTTGAGAGCATGCTCAGTGCGAGCAGGAAGAGCAAGAGTGCCAATACGAAACCGAGGAAGACACTGTCAGATCGATTGGCTTCGGTTTCTGCCCTCGCCGGCTTCAAGGTCCGTCCTTTGCGTTTGCTGGTGAATTAAACTATGTCTGACGCTTTTTGTCTTTAGCAGGGAACCTCTCCACCCAATTCACGCAGATCTTCGATGCTTCAGCCACATCCCTCAGGCGGCGTTCGTCCAGGCAGTCCATCAACGTCAAGACCAACCTCGCCAGTGCAACACCATCCTTCTTTAAGACTAGCTCCTCCCAAGCAACGTTTCATAGAGTGCACCCCGGATGATCTGCGTCTTTCTGAAATTGGCGAGCTTTTAAGAGATTATCGGAGGTTGGTTGAAGGCATTCGCGCTGTGAATGGTTTCGATGAGTAGATTTCATCCTATTTTTCTTTGGTATTTCTGGGATTTCCATACTATACAATCTCACTTAACTTTTCTCCTGCCTCGTCCCGTTCCTTCAGCATTCTCATTCCTTCAAGACGAGTCGGTCCAACCCTACCAAGACAAAGATCACTGATAAGATAACACTAATCCTGGAAGTCTAAAAGGAGCCCCTGTCACGTCATTGAGCTCGGAGCTTGATGGCGTTATGGAATCGCTCCGTCAGCATTGCTCTTAAGACTGCGCATCTTTCCTTCATTCCACGACATCCAAGACCCATCTTCCCCCTCAACCACCCCAGAGGCTTCGCGAACTCAGCGAAATCTCAACACAAACCAATGTCGACCCAGAAGTGCGCCTTTTGAATGCATACAAAGGAAGATAATGCTGATGGTGTGCAGTTACATCGTCGTATTCAAGGATGGCGTCACCTCCGACCAGATTTCTGAATACGTGAAGAACCTTGGCGAGAACGGTGAGTATCTTGGCTTCGATCCCGACCGCACGATCGACAACGTGATCTGCAGGAGGCACGGTGAAGATTCGCTATGATCAGGACGGAGGCATCCTCAATGTCAGTACAGCAAGCTTGAAACGTCCCACCTATCTGACATTCCCATGAGCAGGGTTTTGCTGGAAGCATTCCTGATTCGTATTTCTCGAACTTCCAAAGCTTGACTGGGGACGTCATCGCATACATCGGTGAGCCCTACTGATTCAGATGGTCGTCGCTGGTATTAGGCTACTGACACGCCTTGGACTTATCATAGAACCCGATGGTGTCGTTACCACCCAGTGAACTCCCCCTCCGATTCGAATATTTCGGCCAATTGCTGTACTTGTATCCTAATTTTCCGGTACGATAAGCCTCGAATATCAAACATGTACACAGAAACCACACTTTTGGCCTGCGGGAGTGCCAGTATGAACATCAATACGGAAGCGAAATGGAAAATGGCCGCAATCCTCGTGCCGATTTTTGTGACATCACAACTCTCTTACTGTCAACTTAGCTCTTTTTGAACAGTCATCGAGCAGGAGACGGGTATAGATTCCCCAGAACTTTGACGCGACATACTGTGTGTGTGGGACGCAACTAGCTGAAGTCCGCCATTGCAACGACTGAGGGCCACTACGAAGACGTCGCATCCACCAGTGCCTCGACATGTCGAACTCATTCGAAATAGTTCAAAATTACCGCCATCTGAGGAAATGGTGGTCGAGGCTATATGTCCAAGAACGAAGGAGCGAGAGATGATCAGCGATTACTGCCAGCTCCAGCTTCGCCATATACTCCCGATCGAAGATTTCTTTGCTCTGTTTAATCGGGTGAGGCGAGATAGTTGGTTCCCATAGGTTCTCATGTTCCGGATGTTGAGTCATGTCCACTGCATTTTCTAGAGCAATCCAAAGCTTCTGGCAAGTAATGGGCGCTTAATGCTTTAACTGTCACTCAACCGGCCCGAGGCCATCCTGCTTCATCTCCTGATCAGGACCCTTTAGCTGAAGGCCCCAACGATGACACACGCCTGAGTCTTCAACTAAGGAAAAACCTAGAGAGCATTCCACTTGACCGATCTATCTTTTCACCACGATGCCACTTGATTTATTACTTTTTCCCAAAAATACAACACACATGACTTAAAATTAAGCAGCGAGCTCGTAAGCGTACGCAGCAGCCATTTTCGCGTACTCCAGCGAGTGGGCAAGCGAAAAGCCAGCAACGCTGGCGGTGTCGGTGGCAGTGTGGATGTTGGGGTTGATGTTGGAGAACAGGCCTTCGAAGGGGAGGGCGGCGGGGTAGCCTAGACGGTTCCAGGAAGCGTGGTCGGAGCAAGCGTAGCCGCACTAGTAGGAAAGGGGTTAGAGAAGATAGAAGTGAGAAGGGTGAAAACGACGCACGGGAGCGTTGATAACCCAGCCGCGGTTGGTGTACGCGTCGACGATTTGGCCAAGGAAAGTGGTCAGGCCGCTGTCAGTGAAGTCCTACAACCAAAATCTTTTAGATTCGGCCTAGTTCACAAAGGACAGTACATACCGGCATGAAAGCAATGACGGGGGTCGTTCCGGGCCTGACGCTGAAAGGGTGCCATTAGTATGGAACGTAAAATCCGAGAGAAAACACATACTAAGCGGTCATGTCGAGCTGGAGCATAGCCTTGACTTGTACACCCGAGTTGCTGTAGCTGGTGGCGATGGCCTGCGAGCCACGGAGACCGGCTTCCTCAGCAGCGTACCTACAAACGCGTGAGTTCTTATATTCCTCCACCCGAGCCGCGAAAACGAGACGTACCAGTGGAACTCAACAGGCGTGCTCGGCCTGAAACCAGCGGTGACCAAAACACGGAACGCCTCCATGATGTTCACGGAGCCGCTGCCGTCGTCGTCGGCGCCAGGTGCGCGTCCAGCAGCGGCGCTGCGCGAGTTGACAGAGTCCATATGTCCGCCGATGATAGTCACGGGCGACTGGGAGACCGTACCGGGGATCCTGGCGATGATGGAGGGCTGCAGCCACGAGTGACTGAAGAGCGAGACGGTCGCACCGCTGGCGGGGTTCGCGTTGATGATGGCCTGGATGGTGTCCCGGATCCAGACGGAGGCTTGCTGCCCGGTTGTCGAGGTGTAGTACCGGTTGTTGAAGTTAGTCAGGGTGGTCAGGTAGCCTGTCATCGTCGAGAGGGATACGTTGGCAACGATGGGCCGAACTTGCGCCTGCCGCGAGGGTGGGGCGTCTATGCGACGAGGGTGGAGTTCAGCATTCTTCTTGTAACAATGCAGGGTACTGGAGGCGACTCACAGGTTGCCAGAAGGCTGTTGGTTTCTTCGGCCTCAGCAGAGTCGCCTGCAAACTTGACCTTGGCCTTGGTCGCAGCAGCGGCCACCCGCTCGGGGTCGTAGACTTCGGTGACATCGAACTACCAGCTTCTTGTGAAAGCCTGTAATCACATACGAACAACGCAAGGCACTTACGAAGCGAACATCCTGGGCGATGAGGGCCTCAACCTCTTCCTCAGTCTTCCACACAGGCTCAACATCAGGAGCGAGATCGATAAGGTGGAAACCAGCTGCCGACAGCTGCTCGATCTCTTGACGCGTAATCGCAGCCGCGACGCCAGAAAGAAGAGACGACGAGAGGACAAGTGCGACGGAGGACAGGAACTTCATCTTGGAGAGCTCCGGATTCTGGGTCGAAAGGGGAGAGTAATCAGAAAACAACCCGCGAAGCAAGCTAGCTTTATATGCACTTAGGTTAATATCCTCCTTCGCTTCCGGCCAGGCTTAGCGACTCCCTGCAACGCTAAGTTAAGCAACGCCTTCATCGCGACATCATCTGTTGTCTCGTGGCGAGGTTACCTGGTGCTATTCCACCGTCTGCAGGTGCCCTCCCAGCCACACTGCACCTGGGTGAGGCCATGCGAGCAGATTTCACCTTCCATGGGAGCCACGATGCCGCGAGGAGACAGGAAAAGCGCGATAAGATGGAGAGGCGTGCACACTGGAATACCAAGAACAACAACCACATGTCGAGGTGTCCGTAAGTCAAGAGCGAGTTTTTTCCATGGCCGTTTACAAGTCAATTCGCGTAACGAAGAAGAACAGAAGATGTTCACGAGGACTTGACTTGCATTAGTGTGGCGATAACGGCTGGAATAGGTGATACGCCCGAGGCATACTTTGAATGGCTCGAAGTTTCGAGCTCGAGCTCTTCGGTGTAAATTTGATTGATATTTTGAATTTGGTGACTCGAACCACTGACAAGCCTACAAATGGTCAGCTTCTGGTCGTCCACAAGGATATAACGCACCAAGATCATCAATAGTTTCTTCTCCGCCTTGTGCAGCATTCGGGCGGGTGTAGGAACGATACAAAAAAGCAGAAGCGTGTGGTTTCTGATCTTGGCGGCATGAGACTTCTTCACGTGGCTCTCTCTACCAACTTGAACCCGAAGTCTGAGCGAATCTTCCACACATCAAGGGCCTCGGAAGGGCTTCATTTCCATGCAGCCGGCGTCATGAGGACCTGACTTTGACTGATTATTATGACTGACCTAAGTATAGACGGAGGCCGTTAACTCCAGACTGTGAGAAGGATAACATACGATACATAAAGAAGGCGATAATATTGCTACATGGTGTTTGCGACGTCTTCAACTACCTACGCGGGGTCCAAGATGAGCACGGCCGTCGCCTCTCTTTCATCCCTGAAACGTGTCCATAGATCGTCCGTCAACGTCGGAGGAAAAGGAAAAAGGTAAATGTCTTCGGTGAAGAGCAGTTGGCGGCGTTGTTTGCAGGAGAGGCGAGGGACTTGTCAATGGGCGCAAGGAGGTTCAGGACCCGTTGAGCGACCTCGCCCGCCCGCTCTGTGTCGCTGCGCGCCATGCATCCTGCCGACTCTGAAGTCCTTTGAGCAATTTATACAGGACCTTGCGCAGGGCTGGCATGAAAGACTCGAGAACTTCGGGCGCAGGTTCTTCGGACAAGCAACGCTCTAGAACGTCTCGCAGGTCGCTTGGGATATTATGGATCTCACTGGCGTTTTATCATTGCATTGTCAGCGTTGAAACACAGCACACAGAATGAAGGTTCGACGCACCTCAAGTCGATCTGGTGATAGGCAAACGCATTGATAGTGGCATTGAACTCGTGCCCAATCTGCACGTAGACGTCGCTAACGTCTCCCTCTGACGCCTTTTCCGCACCCCAGAGCCGCAGCACCTCTTGTAGCCGTTTCGTTGATGAGAGAAGGTTGTGCACTGCGGTTGTCACGTCCCCTGGGGTTGCCTGGGGTTTCGATCGATTCCGTTATGAGCCGACCAGGTGACACTGAAATCGGTGGACGCTCACTGTTTGGTGCCAATTCTTGTCATGTGTAGACGGGCCAGGATGTGACGATCCTTCGCCAGAGTAGGATGCCGAGGAGTGGTAGGTGGCCATAGCGTCAAAGTGGTCAAAGGAGGTGGGCACTGCGAGGGTAACGGGCGGTACAATGGGCGGCTTGATTAGGTTTACGTTAGAGCGTGCAACGGAGCTATCGGTGTACACGCACATTACGAGAGTCCAGGCGGTGGATGAGCGTAGTCCGGGAAGCAGGGAGGGCAACGGGGTAAAGGTGCGTTGCGGACGGCTGAGGTCATGGCTGGCTAAAACGGAATCAGTTCAACGTCGAGGCCGGGCGGCGGGCCTGTTGCCAAAGCCACGCGGCCGACAAAGTCTTGGCAGCCGCATACAATTAGCTCAGTTCCTCGGCGTGCTCAGAGGATGTAGAGGAGGTGAGTTGGAACTCGGAATTGGGTGTTTCAGACTATTTCCCTGTAACAGCTCAGGATGGGAGGTGGAAAAGATGAAACGCGAATATTTACTTCAAGCGTCTCATCAAGGTGACGGGATCATAGAAGCTAAAAAATGACATTTCCTTTGGACCACAGAGTAACACAGCGTTGCCTCAAGTTCAGGTCCTCGAGCCCCTTCACTCTGGATCATAATTGCATGGAAGTATTTATACGCCTTTGTCTCCTAATTTTCAAAGATGAAGGGACGAGAGGCTAGGGCGACCTTCTTACCTACCATTCCCAGAGTCACAAAACAACGGCGTTTTAAACCCCACCCTCGACAAAGCCCTGGAAAGCTTCAATATTCGAGCGCGGGGTTTCGTAGCATTTCATTCGTAAGTATTCAAGGGTCAGGGACACATATTCTGCGAGGTGTTTCCGACCAGATTATTCCTCGTTCGCGGCGAATTCTCCAGAGTGCGCATTATTTTCCCTCGCATCCCAGGCGAGAAGAGGCCCGTAGTGGGGGTAATTTCCAAGTATGGTGATAAGGACCGTGGCGCTCGCGTGGTGCTTCACATGGTTCGTGATCGGACACCTGACAAACGACGATCGAAAAGGAAGTCGACGGTCCTTTTAGGTAATAAGTGAGAGTGTGGCGCATCGCTTTACTGATGAATGCCCTCTTTCTGACACCGCCTTTTGGGCCATCCAATAATTGCGCTACCTTCCGCCCGACTACCTCGCTCTTTGCTAACCTTCCCATTAGAATATGTGACCCGTGAAAAGTGGGCTTCCCCTTCGTCGAAATAATTCAAGGATTATAACAGGCAGCCCGGCGAAGAAATTTGCTTACCGTCGAAGGTAAGGTGCAGATTGTTAGAGAAAGATCCACACATGAACTCTGATGCGCCACCCATGACGCAACAGACTCGGATGTTTCAGCAGCCCAGCGTTCTAGAAGTTCGAAAATATCAGAGGGCAAATTGCCATCACCGCCCGTAGGCTTCAGTCCGTCAGGAAATTAGCTTAAACGCACTTGGCTTCATTCTACTCCGCTCATGTACGCCCGAGGACCAGGGGTTGTGGACAGGGCCTGTGGGTACAACCATCATTCACTACTAATTTGCTTTAGACCGCCCATAATCAATTCATGAGCGTCACGTCTATAGGACCTCCTGGGCTTCCCAGATGCAGCGGGTATTTCGCCGCTGAGCAGTGCCAATCTCTTGATACAGCCAAGGCCACTAGTCTGCCGTCTTAGCACGGCGGCAAGAAGATTCAAAAGTTCACGAAATTTGCGTTGGTGCAGATTACACGCACCTGGGACAGATTGCTGGAGAGAATATTTAATCTTATTTCTTCGCGACGATGGACTTGAGATTCTGACTCCAAGCGTCTCCGAGAAAGAGTCCACGGACGATATGAATTTGGCACCTTGAGGTAATTGTCCAGTCGCCCTCGGGGGAGGCCGCAAACGGTAAGGTGCCTTCGAGGAGCCGCTGTGCGGCGATATTATCGGGCATTTCCTGGGAGTGACTAGATAAGTGAGTGGTGGGCTCGGCAGGAAATTTACAAGGCACCTCTGGTTGCGTTGGTTGTGACATCGCCTCCATCGTGAATGGTCCACAGTTCCATGATATCCTTCAAATCCTTGTCTTGGAACCAGGAGTTGTGGACAGCTTGTGGGTCCAATCACGGGTACAGTGGGCTTTAGCCTAGTTCGAAGTCGCTAGCGATTAGTGATCGTGACTAGCAACCAGTCCATCGGTACGTACTACGGCTTCTTTTGATGTTTCTCCACGCTAGACGTCGTAGACATACGGCCTTGTGCGAGAGGGTCATGGTGAATAGACGAGAGGTGATCGATGCTGGCTCAGATGACTTGCCCATGCATCCCATAAGCCCTTGGTTTGAAGGCAATAAATAGACCTCGCATATCCATTTTGTAATATTTCGCGACTAGGTCATTAACATTGACGGAAAATTGATCGAACGTTGAACCTAAATGATTTCCAAAGTATCCAAAGTACGCTTGCTACTACTATCGTTCATGTCCGTCAAATTTAAGCTAGAAAGACTGTTGACATAAGTCCTACGATATGAATGACTCATTTACCGAAGAACCAGGACGTTGTTACTGCTTGGTCCCACGTAAGTGAACTCACAAAATGGAATTTAACGTTCCTGTACGGAGAGAGGCACTGTTCCATCCGTTCTTCAAGGGTCGCATACAGAACATTGTCTCCCGGAAACCGGTCAGCGAGCTTGTGGGCGTTTATGAAGGCCACAACCTGGAAGCTCAAAGGCCGGCCGCCAGAGACTCGGGCTACCTGTGCACAGAGAGCCTCCCAATCTTCGTCGAGGCATCCTTTGAATGGCCCTCGCCCATAAATCGAAACGCGTAAGAAGAAACGTCGGAGTTGATTCGGGGAAGGAAAGGAGCTCAAGACCGAGCTTATGTCATCGAGCACCGTATGCTGTTTGCCGCGGCAGTTTATACCTGCACAAACATGGAGGATGCGCAGACTTGACATTGATTCGAGGTTCACAAGCGTCTTGAGAGGGAGTTGTCGCTTTCCTATGAAATATTTTGTCAAGGGGCTTGATATTTATCAAAAACGCTCAACATACCCTTCGGGATGTTGGATACACTAGGAGTGGTGAGATAAAGCTCTTCGAGTGTATTGGAGGTCAACTTTAAGATGCGTTGAATACATGACATGTCACTTCGCTCTTGTGGACTAGTTTCGAGAATCTTGCACTGGGACCAATCGACGATGGGCACAGTGGAGGGCCCTACCTTGACGAGTCGCTTAACTAGATGGTACGAGTTGTAATAGTCGAAGCGCTCGATCTTGGGAGGAGGGAAGCCCTTAGTGAGCATACTAGCCTTCTGCCTCTCTCCCATTTCGATATTGCGAACATTGAGGTCCTTCAGATTGGAACAAATCATAATAATGTCCAATGGAAGGCCTTTCCAACCCGTGAGATGGAGCGTCGTCAAGGTTTGGGAGAAGGAAGACTGCAGCAATCCTGCCGCAAAGTGTGTCGGGCAGTCGTCCTGCGTTTCAACTTCGAGAGTGTGGGGGGAGGCGCAAGAGTTCTTCATAAGATCCAAAATGTTCACGAAGGTCAGGTCATCGAATAGCTGGGGATCGGCGAGTCGGATTATAATAATGCGGATATGCTTCGCAAGCCACGGGCTAGCTTTGAGGATTTTCCACTTCTTCTTGATCTTTTTCTTCAGTTTGGTTTCGGTACAATCATCGTAATCAAGGGAAATCTTGCGGAAGATCTGCATTTGGCACCTCGCGGTGAACGCACGATCCGTGAGCGACAGATGAACAAGGTCCTCGTCCCACTCGGGGAGAACAAGGTGATCCACGATAGAGTCCAAGATCTCTTGGGCGAGGAGGGAGAATGGCGGGGTGAGCATGGCGCGAAAGCGTTCGGTAAGTGGAAAGAAAGAGTGCAACGCGACTTTGAGTAGGTTGTGGGTGAACGGCTCTGAGTTTGAAATTTGAATTTGAACTTTGAAACGTGGAAATTTGTAAACGATCCGAGTCGGAGCGCTGAGCCCCCACACTTAAGAGCACTTCGCATACTCGGCAGGCCAGAGTTGCCCCACACATCCAAATATTGAACACATTGTGTGTGCACTATACCTAGAGCGTCGAAAGATAAGGGAATTCCAACCTTACAGTGGATATCCTCATCAAATATTTGGGCGCCGTCATTGGGCAGCCCACATCGTACGTGCCTCATGATGGCCTCGGGTCTGCTCAATCGCAAATGGTAGGCAGTTACTAACCAAACCTCAACGGGTCTGTATGTGGATTTTCACTGGGTGAAGTATAAAGGTCCTGTTTGAGGGGTAATTTCCAGTACGGCTGGTCCGTTAATCACCTCAAGGATTCTCCTTTACATTTCCTCTTTACCATGCGCTGGTCACTTCTTCTGCTTACCTCTCTCGTTTTGCAATCAATCCTATGTGTGGGTCTTGTCATCCCGGCCGCACCACCAGGAGAAGGTCTTGCACGTCGGGCAGTAACGAGGTCGCAGACGCGAGCTCAACTTGCCCAAGCTGCCCCACCGCTCCCCAAGAAGCCTGTGGTGAAGCAGGAGATTCTCCGAGGTCCCACAAAGGCACGGTCACCTCGAACTCGTATTCTCAACGCCAAGCACTCCAGTAAGAAAGCCAGGAAAACTGCTGCCCAAAACGGGTTCCACTACGCCGGACGGGGAAACAGCGTCGTCAAACAGCGCCTTCCCGCATCGTCAAGCAAAGAGTTTTCGAAGACAATGAAGAAGAAAGATGCTGGTACGGTAACATGCCCGTTTCCATTACAAACCGTAGCTAAAACAAGTTTTAAGACCATATTTTGGAACACCAAGTCCTCGTCGCTGCCCTTGAGGCGCAGAGACACGAGCTCCAGGACCTTAAGCCGTCGACCAGGAAAGGCATAGAGAACATCCTCAACTCTCACAAGAATCTTGTTCTCGTCGACAAGTCAATCAATAGATCGGTATTTCTCTTTTCTATTCCGAAGGGTAGAGCGCGATGCTAACCAAAAGACAAAATGTACCAGAAGGGGCAAGTGTTTCGGCACGCGCTCAAGATTAATGGGAAGTCCGTTCTGAGTAAGAAGGCGGACCGTGATGGGTATATTGCCACTACTCTTCATCTAGCCAAGAACACCGCTAAAAACCTAGACAAGGAGTTGACAAAGGTACGATGAGCTCAAGCTTCAGAAACTTCTCATATTAATTGCTCCTTAGGGCGGATACCGCCCAAATGTATATAAAACCCTAACGGGTGCTATCAAGAAGGCAGGAATAGCTAGTACCCGGACCCGGGCGCGCGCTCCCTCAGCCTCTCCCTAGAGTAAAAACCTCCATTTGTTAACGCTTGACACTAGTAGTCTACCGGAATCCTTTATTCGCGAATTTATAAGCTCCTGGGAGGACTCTCGTTTGATACTATCCAAATAATCCATCTGATTTCTCATTTCCTCCGCATAGCACGGGCAGAAATTGCCTGCGCGAGCAATACAAATGTACTGGAGCAAAGCTCCCTTGTTCATGTACTTCTGATTCTCAGCCCTGGACAACGAGGCGCACTATTTTTCTAAGTGCGGATTGACATGGGCGCCTATTTGTCAAGGGATCGGCCCGGAGGCCCGGAGGCGTTGATTCCCGATACTGACCAACCCACATCCATTCCGCCAAAACAGCCTGAGGGATGACTGCAACAATCCTGCTGCAAAGCGTTTCAGGCGATCGTCCCCGTCTCAGCTTCGAGAGTGTAGGGGAGGTGCAAGAGTGTTTCCTGAGATTCGAGATCTCCACGAAGGTCGTTAAGTTATCGATCGAGCAGCTGGGGATTGGCGAGTTGTTGGCCTCTCGTCGGATGATAACGATGAGGATATGCCTCGCAAGTGATGGTCTGGCTTTGAGGACTTCCCATTTCTTCTCAATATTTTCCTTCAATTCGTTTTCGGTACAATCATCGTCATCAAGGAAGATCTTGCAGAAGATCTGCATTTGGCACCTCGCGGTGAATGCACGATCCGCGAGCGACAGAGAACAAGGTCTTCATCCCACTCGGGGAGGACAAGGTGATCCACGATATTGTCCAAGATCTCTTGGGGGAGGAGGGAGAGTGGCTGGGTGAGCATGGCCAAAGTGGTCGGCAACTGGGAAGAAAAGAGTGCGACACGACTTTGAACTTTGAAGCATGGAAAATTTGCCAGCGGTCCGAGTCGGAGCGCCCAGGACCCACAAGACTCAGAGCACAAGTTTGATCATTGCGTAACGTTCAAGTTTCTACTTACCATTTCTTCCTTCGACTAATAATCTATGCAAACACCGTCACAGTTTCTGTCATGCCCTTCCGTGGCTGTAATTGTGAGCCTCCTGTCCAACTTCAACGTTTCAACGTATTGATGCGCCTACGACTCGGCGTGGCCGCCTCCAACAGACACGAGACATAATGGCTAGCGCTGAACTCTCGGTATGTATATGTGGTCTTTCCGTGTCCCAAGCACAGAGAACCCGCGGTACCAGGGGTCATCCATCGTAAGGACCCTGTGCTATTTGGCAACGGCATCAAGTGAGGCTCCCTCGGCGCGTTATTTGACAATTATTTCGTAGCGCCACACCTGAGGGAAACGACATTCCGACCTAACGAGAGCAGTCATCCCACCCCGGTGCACTGGGCGGACACACTGACCGCCAATGACCAGATCCTTAGACTGTGGCCCAAGAATAGCCTGAGTCAACTTGACATGGTTTGACAGCTCGGTCTGGCTCAACTGGGGTATACTTCTTTTTTTGGGGAGAGCCTTGACGAAATATTGAGTCCTAGAAATCTTACCTGCCGTTCTCGGCGTTGGCCGAATATAAACACTGTAATGTCACCGTACGGAAGCTACACTACGACAGTTATGCTGAACCCTCCCCTCTCACTCCTTTCTGTTCAACTCCTTGACAGTATCGTCGACTGCACTGCAAAGCTTAGCGCATGGTGGAAACAGGTCGCCAACCTCGCCCTCGCTGATCGCGCCTTCGCCGCCAGGTGTCGAACTCACCTTTTCAAAGAGCTAATCATGCTGGACTCAAGACAGACCGACGAAGAGTGGGGTGTGACTATAGAGAGGAAATGGAGGGTTCTCGACAACAAGCCCCTGAAAGGATGCTGATGAGTATGGGGTCGGATCGTGCGAGGGAAATGTCTTGTAGCCTCTCGTTAGGGACCGTAATGCTAATGTGCGTCGTTGCCTCTGTCGTCGTACAAGAGTGAGCTGGAGAACAAAGAGACAAGTGGCTACGCGTAAGTACCGTGTCCTTATCTAATCTAATCACAGAGTGGGACCGTAATCGCATCGTAGCCTACCTCTCTCTCCTACACCCCCTTTGAGTCGCCATATCCTATACGTCGAGATCGGCATCTGCATTCCTGACCGCGCCCAAGTTCTCGTCGATGACAGATTCAGAAAGATATCAAAAATTCTGAACGATTTTCCAAATAGCGGACGACACCTCCGGTTTGGGATGGTGGCAGGCCAACGAGACCTCCCCGACCCTAGGGGGTTCATTGAAAGCATAAGTTTTCTCGCGCCTACATTGACGAAGATCCAGCTTGTTGGTTGGGCTAACCTCCCCGTTGAAATTTTCCTGGGGTGTCCCAGTTTGAAGGTCATCACTTTACAGGACGTCGCCCCTGCCAAATCTGCGGTAGTGACACCGGGCAACTATGGTTCGCCTCCCAAGATCGAGTGTCTCGAGTACAACGTATCGCACATGTTCATCGAGGCACTTCTTCGACCTCCCGATTTGATGTCAGGTCCAATTTTCGACTGGACGAGTCTTCGGGTTCTTAAAGTAAGCCCGCATGAACACAACGACATGGTGCACGTCCAGCCTATCTTGAACGTAACATCCGAGACGCTTGAAAAACTTCTCTTCCTCTTTCTTTCAATCAGTAAGCCAGCTTTATTACCTATTGTTCCAGGAAACGCACTAAGATCCGTCCAAAATTGCAGACAAGAAGCAGCACCCTCTGAAGAACCTCGTGAATCTCGAAGCGACGAAGAAGCTGCGTGCTATTAGTATCCGGATGATCATCAATTGCAAGACGAAGAATGCCTCAGTACTGCACGATTTGCGCCACGTTTTGGGCACCATACCCCAGAATAACGTCGTCAAAATCACTGCGCTCGAGCTGATGGTTTACGGGAAGCAACCGTTCAAGGTTTGCCTGACCAGGATTGGGATGGTCTTTGCAGGGAAGTCGTTCGTATTTCAGCAAGCAAGCCGCTCGACTTCCACCTCTACACTTGCGCCGAACCAGATTCCTTCGATGAGGCACCTGGATCTGCTCGCTTGTATCAACGCCTTGAGGAAAGGATTCTTTCGACTTTTTCCGACCAACTTCATATCGCATTCCACTCGCTGAACAATATCTCCTTGTGGCAGCCCCTTTAATTCACGTAAGACAGGTTAGTTTGATTGTCCTTACCAGCGCTATCATTTGTCGTTCACTACTCTTACAGTCGAAACCTCCGTCAAGCATAGGCCTCCTCGTCTCAGATAAAAATATAGGATGAATGTATCACCAAGCTCATATATTATTTTTGCAAGTCCCGCAAATATACTAGTGTTAACCGTGCCACTATCGCTTCGTGACAGTGTGTGTGGCACTGTGTGCAAAAAGAAGTGAGCGCTGTGGGCGACGGTCAACGGGGGAGTTGGCTCGAAACACTCACGATCTGCCAGACTGTCGACTGTCGTAATCTTGATCAACAGCCGTATCCCGAGGAGGTTTCAGTGAGGTGCAGTGAGCTACGAGTCGTCGACGAGGCTTCCGGATGCAGCAAGCATACCACCGGCGAATGACACCGATCTTTCGGTATGGCGCAGGGTTGCTGGTCTGTTGTACGGTTGAATCGGATAGGCAGATACGGTGGGCGTCTCTACTCCACTCATCACCCCCTGCGGCCTAGTTAACTCGATTCGCTTAATTATTTATCTGAGGGACTGCCAAGAAATGGCATTGTCTTATACACTATGAGCACACAGTACCATATTCTCGTACGACGACTCGTAGGTGTTCCACATTTTAATGGCGTTGAAGCATTAATACATGTTTTCCGTACGTGTTCTCCAAGGGCTGTCAGCGGGTGATGTTGTTGAGCGGACTGAAATTGACGTTGGGAAAATTCTTGAGAGAAGCTCGAATACGTCCTTCAATTCTCTCGTAAAGGGCACCCTCCCCCGCTGCTTTCTGTGTGAGGCTCTTGTACTCCACACCGATGAATAGTGAAAAGGAGAACGGTTTATTCGCAGAGATGCGAACGATCTCCTCACAAAGACCTTCCCAATCTTCATCGAGACATAGTTTGAATGGTCGAGCCCCAACCACGCAGACATCAAGGGAGAAGGTCTTCATCTGGTTGTTTGAGGGAAGGGTTGCTAGAATGGTGCTCAAATCTCTGAGGACGTCGTGGTGCTTGGCCCTGCAGTTGATGATCGTGTACACTGTGAAGGCTTCGAGGTTCTTCGTTGCTTTGAGGTCGATAAACTCCTCGAGCGGTAGTGGGCGGCCGCCTTAATAATATATATCAGTAACCAAGTAGAATGATATCCTTTACGGATTCGGACGCTGCGTTCAAGATCGCCTGGAAATGTGACATATTATTGCGATCGTATGGCACAGTCTTGAGAGTGCGTAGGTAGGTCCATGTCACCAACGCGGAACTGCGCACGTCGGGCGTTCCAAGAATTTTTTTCATGAGTTCTTCTGAGTCGTCGTACTCGAACCGTTCTAGCTTCAGTGGATCGCTGCGATCGTCGAGAGAAGTTCTTGCCACTTGTGGCGCCGGAACGATATGGTGTGTCCTGAGGTCCTTTAAGTTGGAGCACAGGAAGAAGATATTGATAGGAAAGTTTGTCCAATTCTCGATGTAGAGCGTCGTCAAGGTTTGCCCGAGACCTGACTGCATTAGTTTTGTTCCGAGGTGCTTTGCGCCTGGAAGGTCCTTCTGTCCAATCGTCTTGAGGCGTAGTGTGTGGAATTGATTCGTGGACTGGGTGATAAGACCCATAATTTTCATGAAGTTAACGTCTGTGAAGATCGCGCCGTACTTCGGATCTCCACTGTTGAAAGTGATGATGCGCACGAGGCGCGCCAAGGACGGATTGCGTCGAGAATATTCCATTTCTTTTCAACGATAGACTTGAACGTCTCGTCCCAATCGTCTTTGAGAAAGAGTTCGTGGAATATGTGAATATGGCAGCTTGCGGTGAAGGCTCTGTCGGCGCGAGCGAGGTTGCGAATGGTAAGATGCTTGTGCTCGTTAATGAGCTGTGCGCAATGATCTGCGACGTTGTCGAGTACTTCCTGTGATAGATGATAGAGCGTGGGATTCAACATGTCCTTTGGCTGAATTGGTTGTTTGGAATACGAGAAGCGAGGGGATGAATGGCGGAGGCGATGGGATGAACCCACTTTGGTCTTTGTGGGCGAACGGGAGTTGATCATGACGCTGAGAAAGTTGGACTATAAGTTGTAGGTAACGAGAAAGTCAGAGAGGGTCCTCAGGCCGCAGGTTGTGGAAGGTACGCGACCTTTGCTCAAGCCCGGAAATAAGGGATCACAATGACGATTTCGAAAGGTAACGTCCCCGAGGACAGATACCTACGCAATTCATGACCAGAGATCACGAAAGATGTCTAGTGAGGAACGGTATATGCGGACATCGCGATCTGGTTCTGGTTAAGTGACCGACTTGGCTTGAAATGTGATCCAGAGGTTCGACCAGCCACAACCTGCGAGCGCCCAGTAGCATTGACCTCACCGTCTCAAGGGCGAGTGGGCCTTGACTCTGGGCCTACAATAAATTGCAATGATAGCACGGTTGAATTCAGTCTCAGGATGTTGCTTCCTTTCAGCCCGTTCATAATTTTAATTGTCCATAGTTTCATGGTAATCTGTCTGAAGGACGGTGCTGTGGGTCGCTTGTGTGTCCCATCATCAGGACTTACTTGACACTGGGCGATGATGACGATGCGGTGTATGGCCGGCCCGGAAGCCTTGGGCATCAAACTCCGCATTTTCCCACTGTCCACTCCGACATATGGCTGGAGGGAATGGCCCTGTAACGCACGCATGGTCGTCTGTGTCGGAAGGCGCCATTCACACCGATAGGCAGTCTGCGCACTTACGAAAATGGCTCATTGTAGGCCGTGGTGGAGACGAGGATGCCCGCCCAAGATCCTGGGTCCGGGAAACGGGTGAGTACATTATCGTTTCTCTTTTGCGAGGAACTTTTACAGGAATTCCTCACATCAGATCTGGGTCAAATTATCCTCGCCAGCGACGTCGCGAAACACTGATCCCGGCCTCCCTGCAGGTATCACGCCCTCTGTGTGTTCGAAATCCTATGTTCGTGATCTTTTGCCCATAGAAGGGTCACATCCACACCAGCAGGAAAGGGCACAAAAACTCGGGCGCTGCAGAACTGAAATAAGCTGCTCGTCTCTGCCACACGAAGTCCGCGTTCTAGTACTCTCGAACCTGCCCAGATAACGACAAAGATCAGAAACTGGCAAGTTGCCGGTCAGCGCCCATGCCCACACAATCTAAACGTGCAAACTGTGTGCAAATCTATTTGCCTCGGTGTATCGGCCTCTGTTCTTTTAAACGGCTGCTTCAAGACGACGAGAGTCAACCAGAATACCAACATGGCTCCTATCAAAGCCTCTCCAGCTCAGCTACCCGCTGCCCAAGACGAGACGAAAAAGCGAAGGCGCTTCTACTGGAAGCGTCCTGCCAGTCCCGTCAGGCCACCGCCACCTCCGAAGGAACACACCGGGCTCTTGGTGACTGCCGAGCTAGAAGAGGCCATGCAGGAGTGCCAGGCGAAAGTTGAGCGCATCGCCAGTGACTGCAGAGCCAATAACAGGAAATTCAGGTTCGCGTCTCTTTCCATTGCGGCGTTACCCACTTTCTCACTTTTTCATCCACAGAGACATCGAATTTGATCTCGAGAACGACCGTCTCCGCACCGTATACGGTCTTATTGATGAAGATACCACCGTCCTCCAGGGGTCGATGACGACCGTCCGCCGCGTTCGCGAGCTTTACGACGAGCCACAGTTCTTCAAAGGCGGCGTAGACTCCAGTGATATCGAACAAGGCAGCTTGGGTGACTGCTGGTTCCTGTCAGCGCTGTCTAATGTCGCCACTTCTCCTGAGTTGATCAAGAAATGCTGCGTCGCTCGGGACGAGGAAGTTGGCGTCTACGGCTTCATCTTCTTCCGCGATGGGCGCTGGGTCAATGTTGTCATTGACGAGTGGGTATTCATTTCCGTAATGTTTCGCTATTTTTCTAAACGTGTCGAGCAGCCAACTCTTCTGCAAGATGCCCAAGTTTGAGGAACTCAGTTCCGGCGAGCGAGCACTCTACCACAATGACAAGAACCTTTACAATAAGAGTGCTAAAACTACTGGCAAGAACCTCATGTATGCAAAGTCAGCCGAAGCAGGCGAGACATGGGTGCCCCTCATTGAAAAAGCCTATGCCAAACTGCATGGAAGCTTCCAAGCATTAGAAGGAGGCCTAGTTTCCGAGGCGATCGAGGACCTTACCGGGTAGGTGACCAAGGAGTCCATCGTTTTCTCGTTTGAAATCTGACGTTACCACTTTCCAGCGGTGTTTCCACCATCCTTCAGATGAACGTGCGTCTACAATTACCTGCCAGCTGTATCTCTGCTCACGATCCTTACAGGACATCCTCGACCACGAGCGCTTCTGGAACGAAGAATTGATTCACGCCAACGACCGTTCTCGCCTGTTCGCCGTCAGCTTCAACGCCCTCGACGAGTCCCGCCTCCAGGCGAATGAAGAGTCGCCGACGATAATGGGTCTCATGAGCGGCCATGCGTACTCCGTCTTGCGCGTCCAAGAGTGCCGTGGCAGGAGGTTCGTGGTCGTCCGTAACCCATGGGGCAGTTCTGAGTGGACCGGACCCTGGTCGGATGGCTCCAAGGAGTGGAATGGCGAGTGGTTGGATGCCCTCAAGGAACTCGGCCATGTTTTCGGCGACGACGGACAGTTCGTTATGGAATGTGGGTCTTTCAACTTCCTCTACACTTTATTGTATTGACGTTACGACTCCTAGATTCGGATTTCTTGGACGTGTGGGAGACTGTCGAACGAACCCAGTTATTCGACGCTAGTTGGGCTATGGCCGCTCAGTGGCTTCGTCTTTCGCCCCGCCCGAACGTCTATCCGTGGACATACGGTGACATCTTCTGTAAGCACTCTTCCTACCTTTCCAGACGCGACTCTGATGTTCATGTCCCATCCAGTCAAGTTCACCCTTGCCGAACCGTCTCCGACGATCATCGTCCTCTCCGAGCTGGACAATCGCTATTTCAAGAAGATATCTGGAACCTCGGCCTGGCGCTTGGACTTCGTCGTCTATAAGCGCGGCGATCCTGAGCTCAGAGGCGAGTCGTACAGCGGAATCCCGTTCACCCGCAGCATCTCCTGCGAACTTGACCTGGAAGAAGGAGAGTACATTGTCTTCGTGAGTTTGTCTTGTAAATTCTACCTTCACCCAGCCCGATGACAGGCTTCCCACAGCCGAGACTCGACAGAGAAGACACCGCACCGCAGGTGAGACGTGCAAGCTCTTAGATTTCCCGTATAGCGCTGATGTGAGCATATTCAAGGGATATTTCGAGGCGAAGGCCGACTTTTGGGACGGACGCACCCTCGCCCGAGTTTTGACCGAGAGGGCGAAGGCGAGATCGATTGCAGCGAGTACGTGTCATTCGATATTCCCAACACCTATTCTCTGACAATTTTTTTCTCCTTTAGACTATCGCCCCGAGTATGATCTTACCCCAGTCCGAGCGATCCTAGGAGCTGACGCTTCTCCATCCAGAATACCACTGTTCGTGGAGAAAGACCTCAACGACCTCCTCGCGGAAGACATGGAAAGACTGCAAATCAAGGAATCAGCACCCAGTCCCTTGCCAGTGGCAGACGACGCCCAGGAGGCGAATCCAGGGGGCAGCCCCGTCGAGTCCTTGTTCCAGAGATACATGCAATTGAACCAGATCAGCTTGGAGGATGAGGACGAGATCAGTCCCGTTTGGGGCTTACGCGTTTACGCGAAGAAGGAAGCGTCTGTCGTCGTTGATGGATGGGTCGATGGGGAAGATTCGGACGATGATGAGAAGGAGGAGGAGGAGGAGGCTGAGGAATGAGTTATACCGTTGAAGCCCCAGGCTACACCATCCCTACTGCCCTTTGCATTTAAATCGAACTTCGAGCCTCTGCTTCGCTGGTTTATTTTAACTCGACAGCATAACCGTGTAAAACGAATAAAATCGTGTTGGTGATCGAATAACCTTTGATATCAGGGCTCTCACGTTCGTCGCCCAATCGTCGTCCAACGCAAATTTCACTCGGTGAGGGTCGTTTCGGCGGAATAGTGTGCCATCTTAAGTCCATAGGCCGCCACGCGTCGAAGAAGTCGAATTAGGGGCGTTGCATTCGACCGGCTTCACCCGGGCCGGAAATAAGCGCCCACTGCAGGACGTACTTCGCAGGGCACTTCCTCCTTCCACCTACGCGCTTTATGTAAAACACGTACAGTTTCTAGACTCAGAAACAAAATTTCTTCCACAAGCCTCAAGTTATCAAGATTTCCGTCCTTAGACAACTGCAAATCGATCCACCTCGATCTAGATGTACAAATACAACGGCTCCATGCGGTGGCAAGAAGCCGAAGGTATCCATATGCAAACACCAATTTGACCTCATCGAGCCACCACCCCACTGCGGGAATAGCGAGTCAAACGGTTTGTGCCACCGGGCCGACGGATCCTGACTTCGGAATGACTGCGTACGTAAAATTATTTCGTCCGTCCACATATGCATCCACAATCAATTATCAAGCACCCTTCCTAACAACAATCTATTTTTTACCCACAAGCCTGAATCAAGGCGGACAGGAAGGATAGAAGACGTGTTCTTGCAACATCTTTGCTCTGTGAGAAACTAGTCAACTTTGATCCCCTCCTAGTCGATTCCGCTCAAGTATGTTTAGATGACACTTGGAATAATGCTGCAAGCGCCACTCTTCCAGCTCTCACAAGAGGTCCTAGACAAGATTGTGGATCACTGCGTCCAGCTCCCTGAGTGGACAACGTATCTCGTCGCGCTCGCTCTCGTGGATCGTGTCTTTACAGCCCGATGCGCTATGCACATCTTCAAGGAGCTACCTCTGCACGACAGCTGGGAGTCAAAGAAAAAGTTCAAGAGGAAGATCGAGCGGAAGTTCAGTATCCTCAAGTCCAATCCATCCTTAGCCCGCCTAGTCCGTGTTGTAGATATCAAAATTACCCAGCCTCAAAACGCCGACATATTCAGCAATTCCACCTTCTCGAAGATCGTGCAACTTCTCCAGCAGTACACCGAATTGTCCCACGGAATGCGATTTCAGCTAATCGGAGAGGCGATATCCACCTCAGATCCGAAGCAATTTACACGAGGGTTGATCCACTCTTCGATCTGCCAGACATTGACGACACTCTCCCTGTGCCACCTGGAGATCAACGTGAACATGTTCCACGTCTGTCCAAGATTGACCGACATTACTCTTTTGGATGTCACGGCGGGAGACGAGGTCCAGACCCCGTCCAGCGCTGCAACGGACGGCGTGGGCGAACCACTCGTGATCGAGCGCCTCAATTATCGCACCTCGTCCGAAGCAGTCAACCAATTAGTCGAAGCCTCCAGAACTCCATTGACTCCTATCATCAATTTGTCGAAGCTTCGTATCCTCAAGACTTCCCCTCATGAACGAAAGGACATGAACTGTGTTCCGCTGCTCTTCGGCACGGCCTCAACAACATTGGAGGAACTTTATCTCACGGCGTTCAGCACTTCGAATATCCCAAAAGGTAAGCTGTTGCTTATTTTGCGGATGAGAACTGATAAATTTATTTAAACCAGAGTCCCGCCAGTTTCCCTTAAGTAACCTTGTGAATCTCCAGTCAGCGACGAAGCTGCGTATCTTCGAGATCTTCGCCATCATCAACTGCAAATCGAAGAGCCATACCACGTTGCATGATCTGCAAGCCATATTACGTACGATACCCTCTTCCAATAACCTTCAAAGATTCTACCTCGACGTCTCAATATACGGCAAGCAGCCGTTCCAGGGGTGCCTCGACGAAGACTGGGAGGGTCTTTGCGCGGAACTCGTGCGAGTGGCTGCTGGGAAGCTCCTGAAGTTCGGCTTTTTCGCTGTTGTTGGGCTCAAGAACTTCAATGACACGCGAAAGGGTCACGGCGCCCTCTACAAATGCATTGAGGAAAGGATGAGCAGCTCTTTCGTCGACCACCCAAACATCGCCTTTGATCCCTTGAACATCATTACACAAGGTCACGATGATCCTGAATAACGATGCGATCCATACTGGTAGAGTAGTTCTTCTTTCAACGATACAAAAATGAGCTAATTTACTGTGAAGAGGGTCGTGTCCCGACGCAAAGAGAGAACGGGGGGGAGGGCTCGTAGTTGCGCTTATTGGAATAGTGTCACATTTTGCGCCGCTCACTTATGCTTGCTACGCTAGTTATGAACATTCTATGAGATCCTCCGATGAGGACGAGACCTTGACGCTGGGGAAGACACTGTGTATCAAACACAGTGATATGAAACGACTTGAAAGGACAGCTAGGCGACGCCGGGATAACCAAGAGCGCGCGAATCACGGTGGTGGGCTCTAGGTAGGCTCACATTGCTTGAGTGTGTCAGTTAGCTCACGCCCACAAGCTATTTGCCATTGAGACATGACCACGTAAATGCTTAGTATGCCAGGTTCACCTTTCGATGTGGGGACCGGCGATTGATCTACGATATATCTTACCCATATCACCAAGGTTTCACACACGGAATATTATTATTTTATGTGTGTCCATGAGGGGCGCTGAGCTTCCAGCATGGCACAGCGAGGCACAGAGAAAGCGCCAATCGCTCGGACGCCCGGGCCCTTGTTGCTCCATCCCCTAGGTCATACTTAGTCAGCGCTCCGGATACATTGGACGCTGTCTGAATTATCCACAAGAAGTCATCTCCTTATCACCGCTTCGCGTCTCCTTATCACCGCTTCGCGTCTCCTTATCACCGCTTCGCGCCAAGAATTCATGAGGAAAACGGGGCTTATTTTTGTTCTACAAGGTCAATTTGGAAGGGCTCGCGGGACAGTCGGCCCGTCCTCATTACATAACCTTTCTGTGATGTTTCGAAAGCTCTCCCATTTCCCATCCATCTCCTAACCGTCCCTTCCATCTATTCGCTTCGGTTTGGCTATACTCGGAATGCACATATCACACAGAAGCCCCATCCAAGAAAGCAGTCATGAAGAAAACGAGGACATTTGCGACGCATAGCTTTGGTGGAAAGGAACGGTCGATTTGAACTGCATGGTGGTGCCGCGTGCGTTTTTTTTGTCGATTTTGCCCTCATCGAAGCTGATAAGTTGTTCGCAGGCTCTCTACTTTTTGGTCTCTAACTTCATGGATTCATCGACGAATTCCGCTCGCCTCTTCCAAGTTCATTTCTCAGCATCTTCAGGAACAACTTAGAGCAGCGAGCTTTGACGTGCTTATCAAGAAAGCCCCGATCCTCGTTATCTGCACAGAGCCCCAGTTCGACGGGGCGCTCCCCACTCGCCTGCCTAGGTATCGTGAGAAGCAGGGGATCAGGACCCACTGAGCATCATTGGTGGCGAAGGGCGACGTTGACGTACTTCCTACGCTGCGGCGGTTGCGAGTGACAGGAGGACACATAGTAGACCTTTTCGCGGTGCCGTGAGCTCGTATACTATCTCTTCCTTCTAGAGGATCCCGGCTGTCTTTTCATTTCATACCGACACCCTCCTTTCTCATGTTGCCTGTCAGTGTCTACTCGCGTTCTGTTTCTTTGATGCCGGTCCACACGTTCTTCACGTTTCTCTCATCCTGAAAACGAGTTATTCATGCCGCCGAGCTCGGGATTAACTTCGGTCCCTCGAGCGAGCCCTGTTTCTAAGCAAGAACCGGAAACAAGCTCCTGGTACGGTAGGTCTCTAATTTTTCTCTCTTGAATGGATTTATGACCGAGTCTGTCCTTCCAGCAGACGCGTCTCCTCGGCACCGTCAGTAATGATGTCGAAGAAGATCATCCGGCATACACACACAGTGCCGCTGCTCGTATGAAGGCGATTGTAGGAATTAAAGCCAGGTTTTTCCCTCTGACATTATTGAACATGCAATCGTTCTTCACGAACCTGCTCGTCGTCAGTCATGCATGATACTGGAAGAGGATTAGAGAGTTGGTGGGTGAGGGATGGAGGCGAGAGGTTTGCTGTTGGTTGTCAGTCATTTTGGAGGAGCGGCAGAGTCAGTGAAAGAACGGCGGAAGGTTGGTGGTGGCGGGAGGCGTCAATGGGTTGAATGTAGTGCAATCCGGTGCAGGGAAGGAACCGAAGTCAAGTTCGTGAGTGACACCACCAGCCCATAGCTTTCTCGACTTCATTTTCCTTGTCAATAACAGGTCGTCCTGTTCCGAATCTATTATTATCCTTCGTTACGCCAGGGGCTGTGTTCCTTGTTCTCTACACGTGCAGTGCCTCTCGCTGTCCGTGCAAGACGGCTGTGCGACTAGGCCTTGGGACTCTTCACCCTCTACTACTGGCCCCCCACCCTTTCTGAAGGTTCCTGGAAGGTCCCAACGAGTCCGAGAGATATGCTGCCCAATAGCCGCAACGTCCTCGTCCACAACAGCAACCTGAGCGTCAACTATTATGGTCAAACAGGTTCGCAACCACGTTTAACCATTCGCATCTTTTTCTGAGGATACCCTTGTCTCCAGGACTCGACAAGCTCCATTCTAGGATAGCTGAGGGTGCCATGCACAACTCCGGCGAGCGATTCGACCCTCCAAGATGTTATCCTGGGACCCGAGAAACGATTCTGAAGCGGCTGTTCGATTGGTTCCTTGACAATGACCGAGACGGCTTTATGAGCTGGCTCTTCGGCCCGGCCGGTGCTGGCAAGTCAGCTGTTATGCAAGAGATTGCAGAGCGCCTCTACGAGAGGGGGTTACTCATTGCGAGTTTCTTCTTCTCGCGGACGTCTGCCCTCCGAAACGATGAAAAGTGCCTCGTGCCCACGATTACGTATCAACTGGCCATAGCAATCCCTTCCGCAAGGCCATACATCGAGGAAGCAATCGAGTCTAACCCTGTGGTGCTCTCTAGTTCGCTAGAGACGCAGCTTCAGAAGCTTGTTATAGAGCCGCTGAATCGTGTTATCGTAGCGCATCAAGGAAAACCTTGTCCCATGCCGACAGCTATCCTCATTGATGGCCTGGACGAATGCACCAGTGGCACCGTTCAGCAGCGCATTCTTACTTGTTTATCGACTATCCGGGCCAAATGCCAATTTCCGCTCTTATTCCTTGTGGCCAGTCGCCCAGAACCACACATTGTGACGACCATAACATCAGACCCTTTCCAATTCGGCCTCACTCGGACAGTGTTGGAGACAAATTCTCGGGCGGAGGCAGATATACGACTGTTCCTTATAGGCAAATTCAAAGACATCAAGCGAACTCACACTTTTCGAGCTTATATTCCTCATAAATGGCCCTCAACAGACATTATCGAGACCCTGGTACGGAAATCTTCAGGCCAATTTGTCTTCGCTTCCACTATAACGCGATATATATCCCACCCTGATTTCCATCCGCACAGACGTCTGGACGTTGTCCTCAAAATCACCCCTCGATTACCATCTCAAGATTCTCCTTTCTCGGAGCTTGATGCCCTCTATTCCCATCTTTTTTCTTCGTTGCATTCCGAGACGCAGGAGACGGCGCTGCAAATCCTCGGTCTCCTAATATTTCCATATAAAGATGCCGCAAAGGTATGGACCACTCAAGAGGTCGAAGAATTCCTGGACCTCGAACACGACTCCGCCGTTCAGGCACTCAGCAGGCTCGCCTCGGTGGTTAGCGTGAGTCATCGTATGAAGAACATTCGGATTCTGCACGCTTCGCTGGCAGACTTTTTACTCGACAAGGATCGCTCTGGCAGATTTCATATCGATCTACCCACCATGAGCAACTATTTTGCGCGGATGTGCCTGTTCTCGTTTCAGTTTGGTACATGTTAGTGGTTTCTGTCCGCGTTCTTCATAGTATCTCATTTCACGTGACTTTTACAGATACGTTTAAGCACGCTGTCCATAGCCTCGGGGAATATTGCACCAATGCGATGGATACTGAAGACCTTCGACTAGCGTTTGGGAAGTTCGATTTTGCGGCTATATCAGAACGCAGTCCAGAAGTCGAATATTTCCTCGACAACGACTTCGTCCTCCATGTCGTAGACTCATATCTGGAAGGATCACAAAAACTGAAGGCAAGTCTCTTCATCGAAACCCATATTCCTTATCACTGCTTACGATTTCTTGACACCCTGTCTGCAGGATTGTGGTATATTGGCCGCCAAATGTCGAAGAATAGTAGAGGACTTCATCGGCGATCAAATTACTCTATACCGCACAAACGATCAACTCCTCTTCAGGTTACTGCTTGTATATGCTGCTGATCCAGATTGCCGAGTATTTCAGGAGCTGCAAGAATATATTGGAGGTCCCGATGTCGGCTACGACCGCCTCAATTTCGTCGATCAGCTTCTTTCCCCCTTCGAACCTTATGACTCTCGCTCCGGTGGCCATCCTTGCCTTTCCTTGTCACTCCGTAGCGGATCGAAATTCTGGGGAACCCGCAGATTCGTCCCATTTGTGGAGCGCTTCCTCACCAGTGACGACTTTACACAAGCAGCCGCCCATATCGCGTTTTACGTCGCATCCGTCCAGTAAGTGCCTTGCTATCTCTGTAGTTTTCCATTGATGAACGTTGGTCAATTTGTAGAGAAACGTGGTCGAATGCCACTGAGCCAGATCACCACCGTTTGGGCGACAAACTTTGTATGTGGCGCAGGAAACACCATGGCTGTTCGGGCTCGGCCTGCCCGTGCAAAGCTGCTAGCTCCGCCGCGGAAGACGAAGACGAGCACGCGAGAGTTTGCGACATCTTGATCTTGAAGCATCAAGCGTACGAATATGCTCTCCGCATCCTCCCTTTTCTCCTTCGAAGGGCTACACCCAACGAACATTTGACGAGTCTCCTAATATCTTCAAGGGTTGTTATCCCTGAGATATGGACGTGGAAGAGTGAACAATCCCTGTGAGTTCGACACTCGCCGCCTTTGGATGTGTGTTGACTCTTCGAAGAATCACGTCCGCAGCGTTCCCGGAATCTTATCAGGAATTTATTTCGAACAAGGGTCTCTATGACCCTCTGCAGGAGCACCTGGCAAAGCTGTCATCTTGCGTCGAGGAATCCGTTGCAGATTATCTTAAGGTAACGAGATATGATGTCTTTACCTGAGCCCTCTGATCTATCATTTTATTTCCAGCGTGCTCAGACGATAAAGGCACAACTCAAGGATGGCCAGAAACCTCAACCACGGTTTACAACGCACAAACCCGGTGCCAACTCATTGGTTCTCCACCCCCAGTCGGCGAAACATCTTCGCTTTTTCACTCTTGCGACAATGATAGGTGTCTTGGCCCTCTTTTTGCTGAAGTAGTAAACTTGCGGCGGCAGCCGCTGCATTCATCAAGAATTTTTACGATAATATGGGAGGAAAAACGCAAGAAAACCGACGGACGCGAGTGCCACGACCGGAAATCGCGCTCCGTAATCCAATTATCCAGAGGCAGAATCGGTTCAGAATGACCATTCGAGTCCCTGGATGACATTTTGGAGGGTCGTATCGCTCGTTGGAGTCGTGTATGGCGTCCTTCGCTATCGATGCATGTAGCTTATCGAAAGCTAGCCCGGAAAAGTCAAGAAAACCAACCCTCTTTCATCTCGAGATCGACACACCCGTTTGCTCCTGCGTCCGATAGCTGACCGAGGTAAGGTTGCTATTATTCCCTAAGATGCTGCTGTTTGCGAACATAACGCCAGCGGTCCAAGTAGATGGAAATAGTGGATCTTGATGGTGGTAAAAACCCAACAATCCCCGCAAGTTGTGAAAAGCATTGCCGAGAACGACCCTGTTGGGCGCAACCCCTTGTGTCACCAAACATGAGTTATAGACGCGAGCAAGGACAAGTCCTTGAGTGCTTGAGGTAAACTTTTGCGGGATTAGCACCTCTGAGGAGAAAGAAGACCGGAACCAACTTCGTATTCAAATTGAGCGAAGGCTCACCGAGCCGCTTCTTCAGATGCCGTTACGTAACCTAACACCTTTTCGTGCACAATCACCGCAGACCTATGCACATATCGAACTCCCGTTCGTCCCAAGTTCGTCCGACCAAGTTTTACTTCGAGAGTGCTGGGTTAAACCTCACCTCACCTCAATTTGATTCATCTGGGCCGAGCAGCGTCTGCGTCGTTACCTCGACCTCTCCGAGTTTCTTCTATATCGTCCATGAATATTTCACATCGACGTTCGCTCTTTTATTATTCCCCTTTCAATCCTAGTCAAACACGGCCTGACGCTGAGTTTGCAGATATCGCCAACTATGGATAGCAATGCAGGAAATTCATCAACGACAGTGACCCGTTAACGCTCCCCTGGGATCTTACGCTCGCCACGTTGAGCGAGGGTTGGTTACAGAAGAATGTCCCAGAACTACCACATTATCGACATTAACAACCACCCAACCTTTGTCCTCGCCTGCAATCCTATCAACAATCCTGTTCATGAACGTCAACCCCTTTCGTTCGTGGTCTGAGGGCAGTGGAGAGGCTCAAGAGGGCGATGAGCAAGAAAAGTGGCTGATGGTCTTCATAAGGGCCAGGACCACCTATGGTACGTCTTCGAACCTCCTCAACGAGATAATAAGCGCGCTGATGACACCGAATTCAGGTGGAAGAAGTGGCCAACCCGGGCCGAAGTGAATGCCCAGCATGAGCTCCTGGTCTATGTATGCCGCTCAGGCGACGGAGTCCTATTTGACGAGCGGACATGGATTTTGTCTTGATCGCAAACTCTGGTTAGATCAGCTCTGTGAAGATGAAGTTGTTGAATTGACGGATAGGAGATGTCGGTTCTTCCTCGGATACTGCTTTGAAGCCGCCATTGTTGAGACGAACCCAGGATTCTCGGGTGCCGTCCGTCCCGACTGGGTCCTGACGGTGCTCATTGGCAAGCGTCGCAAGCCCTAGCGGGTACGGAAACAGTGCTTTGCTATCGACGCCCCCTGGTTAGGCACGTTCTCTTCGACCTCGCCTCCAAATCTACCCACAATTCTTTTCATGGACATCAATCCCTTCGTTCCTCTGCACTTCTCACTTCGTGCTCAGTTCAAACCACGAATATTTGGATGCCGAGATTTTTGTGCTCGGTTTAACTATTTGTTCTATCGTGATCTATACTGACTATGGCTCGCGCTTGCAGGACTCCCCGCCTCGCAGACGCTTTTGCAGTTCTTCTGTGTGATTGGACCCCCGGGGTAGCAATCTACTCAATCCGCCATCCTTAGAACCCCTTCGACCTTCGTGAACTGTTGCGTTATCTCTGAACCTGCCCTCCACTTTTGCATAGAGGACCCCGACATCTGTCAAGAGTCCCACCGGCCTGGTATCGCGGTATGTCGTCCCACCCATCTTGTTTTCTTCGCTGAAGTCTCGTCTAATTCATCTCCTCTTTCATAGTTTCTGACATCGATCTCGAGAGAGCCCTCAGAGAGTTCTGTTACAGTATCCAAACAAATGCCCTTGACTTTCATTGAGTTGATAGATGACATGACATTGAAGATTAAGTTGTCTTAGAGTCTTTACTACGCACTTTGCGATGGGGTAGTAGCTCCTCTTCCCGTGAAGAATGGTATCTGATATACTCCTGTGTTGCTCGGAGTGTATATCAACCCGACGCACGTGAAGGTTGTGGGCGCCGTCATGTCAGAACGTGGGATTGGGTGAGTCGACATCTTTCCTAGATCTATTCTCCTCATCTTCAACCAGAATCTGGAGCACGATGTTCATTAATAGCAGCGGTGTCGTAGTGACCCACAGTAACCTCACTTCAGTGAACTATCATTCACAAGGGCGATCGGGTGCGTGATCAACTACTTTCGTACCTCCATACCGTTGTCTGTAATTTTCCTCGTCAAGCCTTTGAAAAGCTTCATGCTTCCATTGCGGAAGGCGCCATGCACGACTCCAGCGAACGATACGACCCTCCGAAATGTCACCCGGGCACACGACAGACCGTCCTCAAGAAGCTGCTTGACTGGGTCCTGGACCATCAAGACACATTCATCCACTGGCTCTATGGACCTGCTGGCGCCGGAAAGTCCGCCATCATGCAAACGCTCGCCCTCCAGCTGCGCGAAAAGGGTCTCCTCATTGCCACGTTTTTCTTCTCCCGGACAATCGCTGCTCAGAGCAACGAGAAGCGGCTCGTTGCCACTATCGCGTATCAACTTGCAATAGCAATCCCCTCAACGAGGCCACACATCGAGAAGGCGATTGAGCTGGACCCAGCCGTTCTCTTAAAATCACTAGAAACCCAATTCCAACAACTCGTTATCACTCCCCTTAACCACGTTGTAGACGCCGTTCGCGAGGGCCGACTATTACCACCTGAACCGACTGTCATTCTGATCGATGGCCTGAATGAGTGTAATGATCGATAGCACTGTGCAGCACTACATCCTGGAATGCCTCGCGGCGATCCCAGAAAGATGCAACTTTCCACTCGGCTTTGTTGTCGCTAGCCGTGGTGAACTGCCTCTCATTGGAGCATTTAGCACCCTGTTCATTTTACCTTCCATTCCGCAGCCATTCCCTTGGACGACCCCTTTCCCTTCGCTCGATGACCATAGTGTCCTAGATGGGACAATCCTGGATCTTCCACGTATCGTGGATTGTCTCACCCGAACGGACTTAGAGGATACAGTGCTCGAGGCAATAGGCGATATTCAAAAATTCCTCCAGGCGATATTCAAGGAAATCCGTGATCACCACCCTTTAAGAGCACATATCCCCATTTTCTGGCCTTCTTCGGACGTTATTGACACTCTGGTTAGGAAATCGTCCGGGCAGTTCATTTTTGCCTCCACAGTTGCCAGATATATATCCCACCCGCAGTCACATCCTCACAGACGCCTTGAAACTGTCCTTAGTTTATCACCTCTTCGTCCGAACGAGCCATCTCCGTTTGTTGAATTGGATGCACTGTATACCCATATCTTCCAGGTGCTGCAACCTGACGTTCAAGAGCTTGCCTTGCAAATTCTCGGCCTTCTCCTCTTCCACAATGGCAGTGGCCGACCATTCACGCAGAACATTAACGAAATCGAAGATTTCTTACGCCTTCGAGAAGGCACAGTTATAGAGGTCCTCAGTGGGCTCGTTGCAGTGATTAAAACGGATGGTCGTGGTGGGATCCGTTTTCTGCATGCGGGTATGGAGGATTTTCTCCTCAGCAAAGGACGCTCCGGGAAGTTCCACATCAGCCGACCCAAGCTCGGGGAATTTTACGCTAGGATGTGCTTACAATACTTCGCCAACGGAAAATGTTAGTTTCTCTCCATATTTTTCTTGATTCGAAAGGCTCATTACCTTTTGCCCTAGCGTCGAAAATCTACGAGAGGAGCATCCACTTCCTATCAGCCTACTGTCGCCATGCAATGGCAACTTCCACTCTTCAGAGAGACTTCTTGGCATTGGATGTCGATGCTATTGGAAGGCGTAGCTCGGATCTGGCCCGTCACGAACACACGCGACATATATTCCTTCGAAAAGACATTCTCCTTTTTATTTTACAGACATATCAGTACTGCTCAGCTATGCTCAAGGTACGTCAATTGCAGGTGATGATACCCGGAGCCTAATTATAAGCTAGGTTGAGAACAGCGTGGATTTTATAGCGAAATGTCGGGCTGTAATGGAAACCTTTATGAGCAACCAACTGGCAGTTTATCGCTCCAGAAATCCGCTAATGCTGCGACTCCTTCTTGCTTATGTTGCAGAGGGTAAGGACTCTAGGCTCATCGACCAGTCTCTCATGCCGGGGACAAGCTATAGTGGTGAAACGGACTTTAAATATCCACTCCGAAGTATGGCCGATCAGCTCTTCGCACCATTCCACCCATTCGCCTCTAAACAAGTTAGCGACACGGACACTACATCCCTCTTCCTTTCCATTCGCTTCTCCGAGTATTGGAAGAAAAATCCTCCCATTAATTATATCAGAATCGCTGAGAAATACCTCACAAGCGATGACTTCTCGCATGTGGCTTGCCATACGCTGGCTTATATTACCTCTACCCAGTGAGCTTCAGGCTGTTTTGGAATCATCCTCCTCCTGACCCGAGAGTCTCACAGCGTCACCTGGTTTCTTGCGACAACACAGGATCATCAGCGACTCAAAGACAATTTATGCGATGGTCGTTGTCCTGTTGGGGCGCATTGTACCTGCATTACCCCACCCGATGGAGACGTCGGAGACCCTTGCGAGAGATTCCATTACTGTCATGTCCTGCAACTCAAGCACCAGGCTTATGAATATGCTTTGAGGCTTCTCCCCCTCTTTCTTGAAAGAGCCGGCAAGGATGCCCGCTTGATCGCGTGTTTAGAGCGCACGAGGATCACTATTCCGCACATCTGGACTTGGAAAAGCCTGTGGTCAAAGATGTAAGTGTCATTTTATATATAATTTATCTCTTATCACCCGCCCTCTCGTAGACTACCGTCACCGGAGTACGACAACGGAAAATGTGTCGTGGACTTCCCTTCCTCGAGGGAAGATTTTATGTCGCAACCAGAAACATACGACGGTTTAAACACTCACCTACAATCCCTAAAGATAAATGCTGAGAAGGCGATTGAGTCTTATCTCAAGGTAGACTCTCATTTCTTGGATGGTGACCAACGCTCAACGTCAACCGTCCTCTCTAGCGATCACGGCCTCTACATCCAATTTTCTATTTTTACAAGTCACCCAGTGGGCCTTTGATTTCCTTGGCCCTTGCGACATGTATCGGAACTCTCGCTGTCGCACTTCCATGTTATCGCAGACTAAGGATATAATTTACAGCGCGTCTCAACTGTGAGTGCATGCCTCTGGAACAGATGCTATAGTCTTCTGCTTACATACATGGATCAATAAATCAATGAATAGGACACAGAACTTAAGTACAGAAACACCTCCGTCCTTCCTACCAATTATTCTACAATGGCTCCCACTGCGAAATGCTATTGAGCGGCAAGAAGTTGATTTGGGGATGATCGGCGAGAGCATGTCGTATCTTCTCGTCGATCTTTTCGTAGAGCCGCGCTGATCCAGGCTTTACAGAGTCAAATCCATCCACGTAGACGCTAGTGAAAAATGAGAACTTCAGAGCTTTGCCCGCTGAAATACGAATGAGCTGCTGGCACAGCCTGTCCCAATCCTGGTCCAGGCACACTTTGAAAGGTTGTTTCCCGATGATGCCAACTTCTAATATGACGGTATGGATGGCGTTGGAAAGTGGAATCGTGTTCAAGACGGTGCACAGATCACTTAGGATCGTGGTTTTCTTTGTTTTGCAGTCGATGAGCGGAAACATTCCAATCTTGCGAAGCTTCTTCACTGATTTCAAATCGACGAGTTTTTGAAGGGGCATCTGCTTCCCGTCTTGTATTCAACTTCCGTGTGAATAAGAGTGATCACGAGGAGGATAGTATGAGAGCACGCACAGATGGAGAAATTCGTGAGATACAGCTCCTCCAGAGTCTCTGACGCCATGTCCAGGATGGGTTGAAAGCACTTCATGTCTTCGGGCTCGTGTGGGCTGGCTTTCAGAATCCTGAGGTTGGACAAGTCGACGAGACGGCCGCTTTCGGGTGATGAGAGCAATTTGATGACTTCATGGCCTTCACGGTATTCCAGTCGTTCGAGCTTCCCCATTTCTGCCGCGCTATCACGTTGAGAACTTCCTGGGTCATCAGCAGGGGTGACCTCTTCGAGGATTAAATTCCTCAAGTTTGAACAGACGCGAAATACCTCGAGAGGTATATTCGACCATCCACGAAGATGAAGTACCGTTAGACTTGAGGATAGGGACGACAAAGATTTTACGAGTCCTTCAGGATCGACGAGGTTCTCTCGACCTGCGGCCCACTCAAATCGGACTTTCCGCTCTATTGGAGTCTCTCCTAGAATCTTGAACACCTCCATAAGACTGTCTGAGCTGAGCAACGAAGTGCGTTCGTTCGTGCATACGCTGATGTTGATGGTCTGGACCAGCCGCACCAAGGACGGGTCGTTGTCCAATACCCTCCATTTCTTCTTAACAATTTTCTCGAAGTCTTCATCTGACTGGCATGCGTCGCGAATTGTGAGCTCTTTGAAGGTGTGGGTGCGACATCTGGCTGTGAATGCACGATCTGCGAGCGCCAGATTGGCAATGTGGATCCACCAGGCAGTGAGTTTGGCGCAGTGGTCGACAATATTGTCCCAGAGCTGGGGAGAGAGGCGAGAGAATGGCGGGTCGAGCATATGGACGACCTAGGTCTTGACTGTTGCGGACGAAGTTGACGACCCACAGCGCTCGTCCAAACATAGGATATCTAGCTCGGGTTTGAAGTGAAGGGTGGGAACATCTATCTTTGTGTCAATCAATCAACCTGTCTTCCGGGCAGCGGCGTGCGCAAGGGGTTTCCGGCGCGAAGGGTTGGTGCACGGTGAGGGGGCGAGGAGGTGCAACGCGGCGGGTGTCTCGTGAGCAAACCAAATGCCCAAGCAAAGGGCCGCGCTAGGGGTTGGAATCGCGGGTGCCAGCGGCGACGGCGGGCGGCAAGGGCGAGGGTGCAAGTTGTCGACGACGGCAGGGGCAGCGACAATGGTTTGACGGTGGTAGGGGCCAGCAGCGATGGCGGGGGTGCGAGGTGTTGACAAAGGTGGGGGGGCGAAAGACGTCAAAATGACTCACGCGTCACTTCCCGCGTGCTCCCGCTCCCTCACAACTATGTCCGCCAAACGGCAGAAGACATCTGGCTTGTCTGGTGTAGAACTGTTCCTCACGGTGAAGAATCTCGAAACTTTGGTGGCGAAATCGCGAAAGGAAGTGGAGTTGAACAACGAGGGGAGGGAACGCGCTCTGAGCGGCGCAGGGATAGAGATTCCAGACGAGGACGAAATTGAACTTCAAGAGCTTGAGAACTTTCTCTCGTTCTTGAAGGCGAAGCTTGATAGGCCACAGGTCCGTCTGAAAGACACGTTTTGGCTTCTGATAACTGACTGGTGGACACAGAGTTATTCGTTCTCTAGTATGCCCCCTGAACACTTAAGGAAGACCAACGTAGTCAATGGCGGCTTCATCAACTTGACGACTGACGCAGTATCTCGTGGGTGTAAAAAAGCTTCTGTTGGAGCTGATGGAGTCTGGTCTCCAGACCAGCTCTATCGACACATCTGCTTCTTAGAGCGTTTCGTACCACGAAAGGTCAATTCTACTTGCGTGGGGATCACTCACCAGGTGTCTTTCCTGATTCCCTTGTAGAACAAAGCGGCAGCCCGTCTATGGATCAATGCTTTCTTTTACCGCGCGGCTTTCATGCTGCCGGAGGAGTCGATGGTCCTGAGTGTTGAACAAGCTGTGCCAGCTGTCACCATCTCGGACCTGAGTACCCACACACTCTCCGAGGATATCGACGGGACGGCCGTAAGGGCAGATGCAGCCACAGCCAGTACGTCGTCTTTGTGAGGTTACCTGCATGCTTATCCTCACGCTTTTCAGAACGGTTCTTGAAGCAACCTGCGCTGCAAGATCTCAAGAATGACGATTCTGCATTGTTCGTTTCTGAAGCTAAAGGTCCTGATCAGAACCTGGAAAACCACGTGCCCCAGGCCATCGGAGAGATGTATGGGTGTGCGAGGTCCTCAAGGTGGGTTTACTCTCCATCTCATTTGCTTCCGCTTTGAACACCATCACATAGTAAAACTACGATTCGCGGCGCCGTAACTAATGGACGTGTTTGGATATTCTTGATCCTCACCCTCAACAAAGACGGAGGCGGCAGTTACCTCCAATCTCAGGAGATTACTATTATGTCTCTCTCTCAAGTCTCGAAGGACTCAGTTTCCGTCGTCTCTGCGATTATTGCTCATTGGGTGAGTCGCGTTGGTATCTTCAGGAGCCTCACCTGAACTTTTCTGCGGCGTAGATCATGCACAGCCACAAGGAGTTAGACCGTGACGATTACTTTACCGTTGAACAGTAGTTTCACTCCCTCCTGTATCGTGAAAACTGGATGTCTTTCTGCAAGCCTTTCATCCGGAGAATATCACATTTTGTCCTCTCTTGGCACATAAGCCGACGGCGTTGGTCAGCGAAAATATGCCTTCCGTTCAAGAGGAAGGTCTGAATAGACGAAGATCTATCGAGAGGGTCTACCCCCTCTGAAGCAGAACGCGCACGAATTAATTATGCACATAGGGGCGCTGGGTCGCCGTGGTCGACGACTGGCCGAGACTTCATTGGCTACACAACCTCCAGGACCAATTTCTCTTTTCTCCGTTGAGCTCTGCAACAAAGGGGTATCCGTGAGATGTTGAAAGTCCGACGGCATGGCCTCGGCACACGATAAAGTCGAGGTGCTCGGAATGAAGAAAGCTTGGAAGATTTTAACACGTAAGTTCATATCACTTTCAAAATATAGCGCTGATATCGTGGCCTTTCAATGTTTAGAATGTTGTGGAGAAGAGTGCAGAATGACATAAATTTACAAGGAGAGCACGGCGAGCCGCATGGAGAGGTGTATCAAGGCGCCTGTCATCGAACGTGTGTTTATTCTGCCCAACGAGCGTCTGCAGTAGGCCCGCCTAAAATTAACATCAGACGTAGCATTACTCCTCAAGGCCTCAGTATTTAAGCCATCGTGAGGGTGAAGTGTTCAGTATCTCAGCTCCCAGGCTCCAGCCCAGACCGCGCCCCAAGAAAAAAGCGACCACACACCACCATGTCCTCTACCTCCCGGTCAGCCTCGTCCTCGAATATCGACGGTAAGCTCACCTAGAAAAATATAAGATGTGTGTTGCTAACGTTGCTTGGAGTAGCCTCAACGAAGACCTTCCTCGTAGTTACCATGCATCAGCAAATCCTGATCACACTACACCAGGTTACGCAGCACTCCGTAGCACTGTAGCACTGTAGTGGACATCCTTTTGTTCCTAGCGCCCTGCTTGGGCTACGTATCACACTCTGAATGCTACGGAATGCTACGGAGCACTCAGTACCATTGCACGGCGAGTCCATACTTTTGTCGTGCCCCCGTATAGAAACTGAAATAGGACATTTTCGTTGCTCAGAATAAATTAATGTTGGAATTGACTGTTATCCCAAATCCCACTTGACACCTTAATCGAAGAGTATATGCATTATGTAGAGCCGGGTTAATACAATTTGAACCCAATAAGGTACCATACTTATCTGCGATCTACAAGCCGCCTCACCGAGTCATCCTGATCACGGTGGACGCGGTGTGGACATGACGCTCTCATATATTCGTGCTTCCTGACAACCTAGAGACCACCCAATGCCAGGCGAGAATCAAGAATCGTCGACTCACCTGGTCAAAAGCAGTGGATTTGGGAATGAAGTTGAAGTCGAATGCTATTCATGGACGCAAAATTTTCGAGTCAGGGTGATAAGCTAGTGAAAAAAGAGCTTGAAGGAAACGCACATGAGTACCCCCTCCATGCGATTGAATGATTGGAAGGCTCCAAAGGTTTGATTTTAATCACTTCGCGGCCTGGGCAGCTCCATGCTGCAGCTCATTGAGCAATGAATGGAAGGAAAGACCGTAAGAAGGGGGGTTACACGCTCATGTCCGCACCCACCGATTTAGCTTCCACTGCCTGGAGCCCAACGTCGAACTTGTTTGCACCGTCGTCCTGTGAGGGCTTGGTGAGGGCCAGTCGAATGACGATGGGATAGTAACACAGACGCCGTACGCATGGTGTTGTTGCCACGAATAGGGAAGCGGTAGGAGCAGACGGTAGCGAGAGATGGTCATGGATGTGAGTTGAAGTTCAAGGCGTGGGACAGCAACTTCGAGGCTGATACCTTCTCGGGAAGTTCAACACAGGCGTGACCAGTTTAGGGGAGGTCTCGCAAACTCAGACGAAGAGAACGAGCAGATGGGACTTCTATGACTTAGATTTCGAGATAAGATCACATTACGTGAAGGAAGCGGACAAACTTCTTGGCCTCGCGTTTGCTACGGGATGCTATGGACCCACGCAGCATCCGCTACACGTCGCTCCAGAGCATTCTGCCATGGGTTGATAGCAATCCCATACTACAGGTTGCTACATCTTTTCAATTAGATAGTATAAGGCCCAGGACATATGCTATACCGCGCTATGACTGGAAAACAAGATTTGCTGATGTGTTCGAGGGGCCGAACTCCCATGTTGATAACTTCGTTTCTGGTTGGTCATTATTATTTGTTCGCAGAGAAAATAGGTATAACTCAGTGTCTTCAGCCCTCAGAGCGCTTGTCCACTCCCAAGGAAGTGGCCACACGAACAGCACTTTCGCCAACAGCATTGCTGGCAAACGCGATATCACCAGCGAGCGAGATCGCAGAAACCACTGAATGCATCAGGTTCAACAATCCCGAGTTCCAAGCATCGTGCCAATGGTACTCTACGGAGCTGCTGTTATGTAAATAAATATGCTTCGCCCAGACAGCTGCCCTGCGTTAAACACGTCTTGTTCCTAAGAAAAGAAGCGGCCTCGATGAGTGACTATTTCACTTGGCTGTACATTTCCTGTTGCTTCCCATCTGTACCAGAAGGTGCTTTTGCGGTCGTAAATTGGGTGCCACAAACTGCTCAGATTGTCTACGACCCGTCAAACATGCGTAGCATCTGACGATGAATCGCAAAATAAAGGGGGTATGAAGCTGTGACGGCCTTAGTGCGATGCAACCTACTAAATTTCAATTTAGGAGCCCCCAACCCCAACGAAATCGTGCACGGTGGGTTCGTGAAAGCATGAGGCAGATCATTCTTCTTCCTCATCGCCTCCCTCCTCATCACCGTTACCTCCTTCCTTTTCCTCGTCTTCCCACTCTCTCTCCGTCTCTGGCCCATCCGACTTGATCCAGCCATCCACCACGACCTCAGCGTGTTTCTTCGTATATACCCTCAATCCAACGAAAGGCCTATGTTCGTCCTCATCCTCGCCGGTGATCTCATTCGGGCCATCTGAAGCGCCTGGGGGACCGACCATGATAGGGCCATCCGGGCCTATCATCATCCCGCCTGGCCCTGGGGACGATCCTTGTGGGCCTTCGTTGTCGGAGTCCGAGCCGTCCTTGGATTCCTTGTCCGAATGTTCGTCGCTGGAGTCGTCGCCGCCAGCTTTCTCCTGAGCGGGAAGAGACGCCGATGTTTTCTTGCCCTTTCGTCCCTTGCCTGGCTTTGACTTGGTCGGTGGCGGTGCATCCTCTGTCTTCGTTCCGGTCTTCTTCGCCTTGGCTTCAACTTTCTCGAGCTTAAGGTCGGCCATCGTTTCCGTCAATGATTTTTCAGAGTTGAGGTTGGCAATATCCTCTTCTACGAGGGCAATGATATCCTTGGGAACGAAGATCTGGCTCTTCCTACATCCCAGAAGGTCAAAGGAGAGGTGTAAAGGAGGTTCTCATCCAACTTACCCTGGATCATAGTCTAACAACATGCGATTGAGATTTAGAAGTTTGACCGATGAAAAGCTAGAGGCGTACTAGCAGCAATAGAACGGCCTTTGGTACGTTCGGTCAAGACCTTTGCGAGCTTGCGATCGTTCCATATCTTCGTCCCTGATTCGAAGAAGCCCTGAAGAATATATGAGATCCTCAGTACTGCCGTCGAAGAATCAACTCACGGGAGGCAATGTTCCCATTCGGTCAATCCGAGGCTAAATACAACTACGTTAGCGAGATACTTTCTGCAAGAGAAGGTGCGAGATGGTCACATAGACGATATATTCGCCGGCCTCCAACTCGAGCTCGCAGGAGACGCTTCGTTCGTACGGCAAGCCGCAGTAGGAAACTCCACGTTGCTCACTCTCGCCCCGCTTGTAGATGACAAAGTCGAGGTTCCATCGAGAAGTTCCGTCGATGAAGTTGAAGTATCGTGTGTCCAATTGGGAGAGCACGACGATGACCGGAGACGCCTCGGCAAGGGTGAAGGTGACTGAACACGGAAGTCGTAAGAATTTGTAGCAGGGTGTCAAAGCCGGACGTAAGAATACGCACAGAAGACATCACCGTAAACGAGCGGGTAGACAGCTGGGCGAGGAGCAAGGCGGAGCCACTTGGAGGACATAATCCAGCTCGAGTCGAACAACCGAGTGCGCTCAATCTTCTGCCATGTCTCAAGGAAATCCGAGTCTTCCAAAGAGATGTCAACGCGGAAAATAGCGGTGGCAACATCCCAAACTCACATTCCATGACGAACTGACCATCATTCCCAAAGACGTGGTCAAGCTCCTTCAACACCTCCAACCACTCTCCCTGCCACTCCTTCGACCCATCCGACCACGGGCCCGTCCACTCCGAATTGCCCCACGGGTTGCGCACGACGACGAAGCGCTTGCCACGACACTCCTTTGCACGCAACACGGAGTACGCGTGTGCACCCATGAGGCCGAGCACGGTGGGGATGGGGTCGCCATTCTCGAGCCGGGAAGAGTCGAGGTCCTGGAAGGAACAGCCAAAGAGACGCGTCTGGTCGCCCGCGTGCACGAGCTCTTCCTCCCAGAATCGGTCCGTGTCAAGGATGTCCTTTGGAATAGGGCTTGGGCTGAATGGACGAGGGTGATGTGGGCGATGGACTCACACTGATCTTAATGATAGTCGATACGCCTCTGTCACAGATTGACAGTGAGTGATGCGATAGAAGTGAAGGAAGTGAAGCGGATACCCTGTGAGGTCCTCGATGGCTTCTGACATCCGACCTCCGTCGAGAGACGCAAAGTCTCCGTGCAGCTTCGCGTACGCTTTTTCAATCAAGGGCACCCATGTTTCCCCTGGGGTTGCTGATCTTGCATTCAAGAGGTTCTTCCCGGAAGCGCGTGCATTGCGATTGTAGAGGGTCTTGTCGCCGTGGTATAGGTTCCTCTCCGCCATACTGAGTTCTTCGAATTTGGGCAAAGAGCAGAAGAGCTGGCTGGAGACAGGATTAACCAGAAACTGACACGATGAGAGAGATCTTACTCGTCGATAATGACGTTGACCCAACGGTTGTCGCGGAAGAAGATGAAGCCATACACCCCAACTTTCTCATCTCGGGCGACACAACACTTCTCCAACAGGGAGGGAACAGTCGAGGTGGTCGACAGCGCCGATAAGAACCAACAATCGCCCAAATTTCCCTGGACGATGTCGCTCGAGTCAGCACCGTCGATAAAGAACCGCGGGTTGTCGAAAATGTCGGTGACACGCCGTGCGGCAGGCGGTGTCTTACTCTCCGTGCGCGCCAGGCCGTACATCGCCTGGTCAGCATCGTTCTCCAGATCAAACTCGACATCGCTGCACCGACGTGAATGGCAATCAACAGCGACACATCGAGCGGGCGCACCGGAACTTCCTGTTCTTCGCCCTGCAGTCCTTCGCGATCATCTCGACTTTCGCCTTGCACTCCTCCATCGCATGTTCGAGTTCGGCTGTAACAAACAGCCCAACTTGTTCCTTGGGTATCGAGGCAGTCGCAGGCGTCGGGGGCGGTTTGGCTTGCGCTGGTGCCTTGGGTTGCTCCTTGTTCTGCGCTTTCTTTCGTGCCATGTTTTGAGGGTGTTAATTGGAGGTGTCAGGTAGGTTGTCGTGCTTTTATCTATCGGGATGGGCGATCGATGACAATTGAAATGTGAACATTTCAGACACGACCTTGGCCTCCTGATGCTGTTCGCGATGGACATTTTCGACTCCAATTTCGCAGGTTCCTGCACCCTAAAAGGCGAAATCGATCAACGTCTGGGCCAATGGGCGCTCTTCGAAGCCCTGTTCCTGACGGCTGTGTCCGGAAACGACGCATTGCGGAGAAGTGAATCCTTAGCCATCCTTAGCCGCCCTTCAGGCGTTCCTCGCATGCTCTGTCGCTCTTTCTCTTCGCTCGCACTGCACAGTCTCTTCGACATTCATCTTTAAAAAGATCGAGGAACATCAGAAGACTGTTTAAACAGACAAGGTTCTTCAGTGTGGACTCACCAGCTGCTTTCTTGCTCATTGATTTGTCAGAGACTCTTCATAACATATCGCTTCGTTATTTTCTGTTCGCAGAACCCAAGATGACAAAATAAAATACTCTCGGAGTCGACACAAGAGAGTTGAGGCCTTGAGGCCTGAGGACGCCAAACGTCGATTCCCACACATCAAGGACTCGGGAAAGACGGACCGGGATTCAAACTCAGCTTCCAACTCGTCCAATCTATAGTTTCGTGTCTTCCCCAAGCCTTCCGCGCCATTGCTCTGGAGTCGTCACCAAAGGGGAAAAGGCAAACAAATCCAGATTCAGCACCCATAGTCGAGGGGTCCGGAGGGAAATTAAGAGAAGACACAAGCGACATGCAACCGGCTGGCGCTGGCTGGCGACATTGTCATTTGTATTTGCATGCTGACACGAGCGGTTTGAACATGCCACGCAAACTCAAGTGATGAGAGCCAGGTCCTTTATGAGATGAGTAAGTTGGGCGCAGAAAAGGTTCCTCCTGTCACCCCTGGCTAAAGCTTCGTCAGCTACTGACAGCGAATTACCATAAATGGGCATCTTTCACAAATCTGGCTGACGCGAATAAGCGGTTTCTCGTCATCGACAAGTGAAGGTACTATCGTGTCGCCTGGACGGGTGGCAGCCATAAAATCCTAAATCCAGTACTGGCGCACCCAACACCCCACTTTCGTTGCCATGCCCCAGAACATTGTCATCGTCGGTGGCGGTAACGCCGGCATCTCCATCTTCAACGCCCTCTCAGAAAAACTCACCGCGTCCGAGGCCAAAATCATCCTCGTAACCCCGCGTGCGCACTTCACCTCACTCCCTGCGGCTCTCAGGATGGTCGTCACCTCTGAGGGCGACCTCGAAAACAGCGTCTTGATGCCCTTCCCTCCGACGTTCAACCAAGGGAATCGAAAGGTCGTCCTGGCTAAGGTTGTATCTATTCAGGACGACAAGGCAGCGGGGCGCTACGTAACACTGGACAACGGCGATAACATCGAATTTTCTGTCCTCGTTCTTGCCCCTGGAAGCAAGTGGGAAGGGCCGATTGACTTCCCCGAGAATCGCGATGGACAATTGGAATGGATTAGGAACTGGCGGAACGACTTCGCGAAGGCGAAAAGCATTGTACTCGTTGGCGGCGGAGCTGTTGGAATTGGTACGTACTTTTGTTTCACAATCCACGGTTCTTTCTGATAAACGATTTGTAGAACTAGCTGGAGAGCTCAAAGACACATTCCCGGTAAGTTCCTTCTTACACTTGTGAAGGCCAAGCGCTAACGAAATATAGAATACGGCGGTTACGATAGTCCACGGACAACCCTTCCTGCTGAACCCGACATATCCAGAGAGCTTCCGGAAGAGCTTTGGGAAACGCGTTACCAAGCGCGGTACCAGACTGGTCCTGAACGACTACCTCGACGACTTCATGCCTAAAGGGGGCAAGGTCATTACCCGAAAGGGAACTGCCATCCCGGCCGACCTCGTCGTACGTAGATGAACCATTGTTCCCAGTTTCATCGTCAGCTCATGTATTGCGAGAACAGGTGCCCACACGAGGACCTAAGCCCAATACCGAGTTCATCGAGAGTCTGGGACCTGACGCGCTCAACAGCGCCGGCTATGTCAAAGTCAGACAGACACTACAACTCGCCAGCCACCCGCGGATCTTCGCAGCTGGCGATGTGATAGACGTCGCAGAAGAAAAACAGGCCGCGAAGACTGCCGCGCATGCTGCCGTCGTCGTCGCAAACGTGGTCTCGATCATCCGCGGCACCGACGACACGAAGCCGCTGGTCCCATACAAAGGATCAATGGAGCTTATCCTTATCACGAACGGAAAGGTGTGCTCATTTCTGCGAATTGTGATCGTGGCTTTACTGATTTTATTTTCGAAGAATGGTGGCGCTGGATACTTCGATGTCCTCTGGGGTATCACTGTTGGAGATTTCTTCGCGAGTGCGATGAAGTCGAAGACTCTGATGATCGACATGATGAAGAAGAGTTTGAAGCTCTGAGGGACAGCACTTAGAATATTCTTATTGAGCTCTCCTTCTACCCGAGGTCGCCGTGCGTTTGGTACTGTATTCTAGACTACTTATAGATGCTTAACTGACATTCAGTATATATACCCACTTCGAATGTTCGGAAACTATAGTGCCGCTTATCTGATAAGATTGACATATCAATCTCTCATCTAGCCACAGCATGCTCTCCTTCAGTTCCAGTACTTCCACACCCCTGACACGATGAACGACCTGATACGCCTCATCTTGGGACTTGGACAGAGCCCAAATCCGACCTCCTACAACCCTCCAACAACTTTGGCCCCTCCGTGACTGTCAACAATCTCGCAGGCTATGGAGACATCCTTCGCCGCAGTCAACTAACGCCTTCCTCGTCGCGCCGGCGAGCTACGTATACGTATCCTCGGAAGGCTCGATACCCGTCGGCTGATAGCCCGAAGACCTGGACCCGGGAATCGCCTGACAGAGCCCTCTAAGTATAAAGTCTTTTAGGTCAACTGTTCGACCAAGCTCAGCGAAATTGGCTCTCCCTCTTATTTGATAATCTCCCTGGAGCGCCATGCCTCAGAATTTCGTCATTGTCGGTGGTGGGCCTGCCGGCGTCCACCTCTTCAACGAACTGGGCAGCAAACTCAGCGCTTCCGAAGCATTGCTCATCATGGTCACGCCACGGCCGTACTTCACATGGCTGCCTGCGTGTCCCCGTATGCTCGTCACCGCGGAGGGCGAGCTAGAGAAGAGGGTGCTCATGCCGTTCCCCGACAATTTCAATGAAGGGAATAGGAAGGTCGTCCTCGCGAAGGTGGTTTCTATCAAAGACGACGACGAGAAGGCTCAGCGGTTTGTCACCTTGGACAACGGGGAGATCATCGAGTTCTCTGTACTCATTCTGGCTCCGGGGAGCAAGTGGGATGGCCCACTAGGATTCCCGGAGACCGAAGAAGGGGACTTGGAGTTCATCAAGGATTGGCGGAAAGAATTCTCGGAAGCAAAGGAAATTGCCCTGATTGGTGGCGGAGCAGTAGGAGTTGGTGCGTACTTCATATATATCGTCGTTATTCGCTCTGTCCTCACGAGTCGTAATCCGTCCAGAGTTTGCCGGAGAATTAGTGGACGAGTGGCCGGTAAGTCGCCTGCAGGTTTTTCTGCTATTGCCTGTGCTGAAGGGACACAGACTAAAACCGTGACGCTAGTGCACGGCCATCCTCTGCTATTAACGAAGACCTATCCAGACAAATTTAGACAGGATGTTGTCGATCGCATGGCGAAACGAGGTGTCAAACTCGTCCTGGGAGATTATGTCGACGACATTGTGCCCAAAGACGGTAAAATTACTACTCGAAAAGGAACTGAAATTGCTGTAGATCTTGTGGTACTCGCGGCTTTCTTCTTTCTAGCCTGCCCTGCTGATAACTCCTCGATCCAGATATCAACTCGAGGCGGCAGACCCAATACCGACTTCATCGAAACTAGCCTTGGATCCGAGGCCCTCGACGAAGGTGGCTATATCAAGGTTCGTGATACTTTGCAGCTCATCGACCACCCGTGGATCTTTGCCGCTGGTAACGCCATCGACTACCCTGAGGGAAAGCAAGCCTACAAGGTCGCTCGTCACGCTCCTGTCATTGTGAAGAACGCTTTGACTCTCCTCCGTGGCGGCGGCGATGATTCGACGTTTGCACGATACCATGGCACAATTGAGGCTATCGCTATTTCCATGGGCAAGGTAGGTCCCTTTCCGAGAGCTGAGTGCTTTCTATTCGAAGCCTTTCTTTTAGGACGGTGGTGCTTGCTACTATGACATTCTTTGGGGCATCATCCTTGGCGACACCTTCGCTAGGCTGTCGAAGTCAAAAGGGTTGATGATCAACGGGGTAAAGAGGAAGCTCAGGCTCTAGCCCATTCGCTACGTTACATATTTATAATTACCCTCTAGCGCGCATTTCCTTCTTGCTCATCTAGCATCCTTCTGTAATTGTAATTCTGCCCTGATATGTAGCACTTCTCACTTCTCATTTCTCTTCTCGACTTGGTAACCGGAACAAAGGCACCCTCCAAATCCATAAATTATAAAATGAGATAAGATTGGATTCACTCTATCTGTGAACCTCATCGAACCCGAACTCTCGCTTGCAAATTCGATTGACCTTCGGATCGCATGTTGTCCTAGGCAAGGCGATTGTTTCGAACGGTGACATGGACTTCGAAGTTCTTGGGCGCTTCTTCACTACTCTCTGTCGTCCAGACTGGCGCCGATCCTTGCCAGTATACCCCAGCTAGATATCTTCGGTTTCATTCAGTACTTACTAATACACATCCTATAAAGTATATTTCGAGCAATTTTACCAAAATTTAACGTTTATCTTCAACTAGGTTTGGGCAGAAGATATCTGGAAGATGTCTCGCGAGCTGGGATGAATGATCACGAAACCGGGCTGCCGCTTATCTGATAAGATTGACACATCACCAAATCGAGATGGCATATTTCAGTTAAAAACTTCTTCCCACTGTACCCACTGTATACCCCAGCATGTTGGCAGATGTGTCGCATCGAGGTCTCTGCACCTTTGACAGCCCAAAGCCGGTTACTGAAGTACTGAAGTTCAACGTTCAATGTTCATCAGCTCTGTAATGCGCTGGGTATTCGATAGTTGTAAGTAGTCTCGCCCACAGGAGCTTCCTGAGCACTTATTCGCCGCAGTCGACTGCACCACTTTGTAGCCGATTGACGTCAGGCGCCGGCCAACAACGTATGCACGCTCGGAAGATTCGCGACCTGTCGGTTGATCGTCCGACTCCGAAAATTGAGAGCAGAGATCCGCGCATCGGCAATGGCTTGACGGCCATTATAAGGGTCTGTTCGGTCACTGGAACGCGGAATTTACCTCTTGCTCTTATCTGAAAATCCCTCTCCAGCGGCATGCCCCAGAATATCGTCATCGTTGGCGGCGGTCCCGCAGGTGTCATTCTCTTCAACGAGCTCGGGAGTAGACTCAGCGCGTCCGAAGCATCGATCATTATGGTGACGCCCCGGCCGTACTTCACCTGGCTGCCAGCGTGTCCCCGGATGCTCGTCACTGCGGAGGGGGAGCTCGAGAACAGAGTTCTCATGCCATTTCCGGACAATTTCAATCAAGGAAACCGGAAGGTCGTCCTTGCGAAGGTGGTTTCCATCCAGGTCGACGATGAAAAGCCTCGCCGGTCGGTAACTCTGGACAATGACGAGACTATCGAGTTTTCAGTTCTTTTTCTGGCACCTGGGAGTAAGTGGGACGGCCCACTAGCGTTCCCAGAGAGCCAAGAAGAGGACTTGGAGTTCATCCAGAAATGGCGGAAGGAGTTCGCGGACGCAAAGGAAATCGTCTTGATAGGTGGAGGGGCAGTCGGGGTTGGTACGTCAACTATATTTCTTCTCGTGGGTTTCCGGCCTCACACTTATCTAGAGCTTGCTGGAGAACTAGTCGACGAGTGGCCGACTAAACCGGTGACGGTGGTGCATAGCCACTCGCTATTGTTGACCGCTACGTATCCAGACAAGTTTAGGCAGGATGTGGTCGATCGGATAACTAAGCGCGGCGTCAAACTCGTCCTGGGTGACTATGTCGACGACATCGTACCAAAAGATGGCAAGATTACAACGCGTAAAGGAATCGATATTGCAGCTGATCTCGTTGTGCGTACAGCTATTCTCTTCATCGCAACCCGTTATCCTGACTGCATTTCATGCCAGGTATCTACTCGAGGCGGCAGACCCAACACCAAATTTATTGAAACCCTTGGATCCGACGTCCTCAACGACAGCGGCTATATCAAGGTGCACGAAACTCTACAACTCGTCGACCACCCTCGCATCTTTGCCGCTGGAAATGCAATCGACTTCCCCGAGGGAAAGCAGGCCTATAAGGCCGCTCGTCACGCTCTCATTGTCGCCAAAAACATCCTGGCTCTTGTCCGTGACGGCAACGATGATCCAACGACATGGGCGCGGTACAGAGGTGGGCCGAACTCCATCACGGTCTCTATTGGAAAGGTGCGTTCCGTTCGATGCATCGAAGACTTGACATCTGAATGTTGAATCTATTGTAGGATGGAGGTGCCTGCTACTTTGGTGTCCTATGGGGTATCATGCTCGGCGATTACTTCGCGACTTTGAAGAAGTCTAAAGGGCTCATGATCGACATGGTGAAGAGGAAGCTGAAGCTCTAGCCTTCCTCCTGGATATATGTTATTCTACTTGGTTAATACCCTACTCATTCCACTCACTCTAGTCCATCCCGGGTTTATCCTGCGTCCTTAATTTATCTTAGATTTTATTGGATTTCTTTCGCCGAGATTTGACCGGCGTGAAGACTTCAATTCTTCACGTCATGAGATAAGATTAGATGCGCTCTATCAGCAGTGATGCCAAGCTCTCACTTCCTGGCCTTCTATTTCAAACCACCTTCCAAGTTCAAAATGCCTACAATAGCCTACAATGCGCCCGTTGCACCTGGGGCCTGAAGTCTGACACGATAGGACTCACTTGTTCCTGTGCGCAGTACTAGTCCTAGTTCCGGCGCTTATTCCTCTCTAGCTATCTCGCTATACTTCAACTCTTTTTTCTCGGACTTGCCTAGCGACGAATGGCTTCTTTGTTCTCTCCCAGAGGCGACCCTTCTGCTCTAGTTGGAATTACACTTTCAACACTGGGATTTCTCGTTTTCGTTTCGCGTGTTTTGCTGAAGACGCGCTCAACCCAAGCCACTCAAGCCACTAGCGCCGTCGGCACGGAGCCAGAAGCGAAAGAAGAGGCTTCCAACGACAAACAGCCTGACATTCCTCTGGCTGGAGAAACATCTAGTAAACATCCGGAGACAGACGCGGAGATTTCGACATCCACTTCGGAAGACGAAGAACCTACCGCGCCAACATCACTAACTGAGCCCGACACGAGTTCCGCGTTCGATGAAACAAAACAGGACTCTAGCGCGCTATCCTCAGTTCCCAAAGACCAAGTTGGCCTTTTGGTGACAACAGAACTTGAGCAGGCTGTGAAGGAATGCAAGCAGAAGGTGGAGAGGATCGCGAGGGAATGCCGGGCCGCGAACAGAAAGTTCAGGTAAGAACGCTACCACCTCTCTTGCGACCCCTCTGAGCTCATCACGCTCACAGGGACATCGAATTCGACCTGGAGAACGATACCCTTTTCACCCACGATGGCCTCTGGAGTTCCGAGTTGCAAATACCACCGGGTGTGCGTCGTGTTTCGGAGATCTTCGAAAACCCGCAGTTCTTCGTGGACGGAGCGAGTTCGAGTGACATTGTGCAGGGAAAGTTGGGCGATTGTTGGTTCCTGTCCGCTTTGTCGACTGTGGCAACGTCCCCGGGGGTGATCGAGAAATGTTGTGTTGCAGTATATATCCTTTTTCTGAAGAGAGAATTCTGTTCAATGCTCACTGATATTCTGATGTTCAGAGAGACGAAGATGTCGGTGTTTATGGTTTCGTTTTCTTTCGAGATAGTTACTGGGTCAACGTCGTCATCGATGAGTGCGTTCTCCTTTTTTTGCCGCAAGAATGGTTGTTGAACAATGATTGTAGTCAACTATTCTGGTCCCTTCCGAAGTTCGAAGAACTCAGCGTGCAAGAACAAGAGCTCTACCACGACGATAAAGAGATGTACAAAAAGATGGCACGTAATGCGAACAAAGGATTACCGTTTGCCAAATCTGCCACACCCGGAGAGACGTGGGTGCCGCTCATAGAGAAAGCGTACGCGAAGCTGCATGGAGATTACCATTCTCTTCATGGAGGGAGAGAGTCGGAGGCCGTTGAGGATCTTACTGGGTAGGTATTCTCACTTTATTCTGCATACCAACATATATATTGGTGGTCACAGAGGTGTTTCTATCATGTTGAAGACAGCTGTAAGAACACTTTCCGCATTTCTATGCAACCGCCAACCCATTCTGAATTCAATTTTACATAGGACATCCTCGATACCGACCGCTTCTGGCAAGAAGAGCTTGTCCACGCCAACACCACCGCACGGCTCTTCAGCGTCTCCTTCGCCACTCTCGACACCTCTCGCTTGACCGACCCGGAAGACTTCAGCGAACGTAACCAGACTGTGCTCGGGCTGTACGGCGGACACGCATATGCGGTATTGCGCGTGAAGGAATGCAAGGGGAAGCGGTTCATCGTCCTCCGGAACCCGTGGGGCTGGGCCGAGTGGACGGGCGCGTGGTCGGATGGGTCGAAGGAGTGGCAGGGCGAGTGGTTGGAGGTGCTGAAGGAGCTAGACCATGCACTTGGAGACGATGGGGAGTTTGTTATGGAATGTAGGCTCTCTTTTTATTTGAGTTGTAAAAGGCCGGCGCTAATTTTGATCCAGATTCTGATTTCTTGAAGACTTGGTCGTTGATCCAAAGAACGATAATCTTTAACTCGAGCTGGGTGATGTCCTCTCACTGGCTGCGACTGGCTCCTCGACCGGATCTTCATCCGTGGACATTTGGTGATGTGTTTTGTAAGGCTTCCCGCCTCATTTGATCAACTCTCATCCTGACATTCTTTTCTCTTTACTCGTAGTCAATTTCACACTCCCAATCGCGTCTGAAGCGATGATCGTCCTCTCTCAGCTCGACGGTCGTTTCTTCCGAGGCGTCAGTGAAATGTCACTCTGGAGTCTCGATTTTGTGGTCTGCAAGCGTGGCAAGAAGGATATCAGGGGCGAGTCGTACGCGGGAACCCTGTATCAGAGGAGTGTCTCTTGTGAACTTGACCTCGATGCTGGGGAATATGTCGTCTTTGTGAGTGGATTGTGTTACGTATCATACTGAACGAAAACTCATTCACGCCGAATACTCGGCAGCCGCGAGTGGACAGGCATCGAGTTTCCCATACCGTAAAATTTCTAGACATGAATATATGCTGCTTGGGGAATGATCTAATTCCTTCTATAGGACTACTTCGACGATAGGGTGAAGCTATGGGATAAACGGAAACTTGCGAGGGTGTTGACCGAAAGAACAAAATCAAGATCTATCGCCTCTAGTAAGTCTACGGACGTTGCGACTTCCGGTCGCGGTTGATGAGCCGGACTGCTCCCTGACCCCGGTAAATCCCTTTTTTCGACCTTCATCATCACATTCTCGTCGTCCCCTCGATCCCCGACACCTTTCCCATCGAGCCATATGATTCCTCGACACACCCGGAGATCCTCAGTCAGCAAAAGCATCCGTCCCGTGACTGGCACCGCCTCTTTCCCTCTCTTTCCCGTTTCACCGAGACGCTCGGCGCGCCACCCTTTCCTTGTTAGGTAGCCTTTTCCCCCATCAACGCAGTTGCCGCCTCGCCGCCTCTCCCCTATTCCATTCCTGTTTCATTCTTATCTGAAAATTTCTGTTTTTCTTTCTTCCTTCACCCACGGCTCGGATATCTTCCTTGCCGGGCTCTTCTTTCTTCATAGATATAATCCATGTCTACACACTCACACAATATAGAGAATTTAGTTCGTTTTTCCGTCTCTCACCTCCCTCGTTCCTCGCTCTCTCACTCGTATTCCGGAGGCACCGTTGCCTCATTCGTCCCGTTCCCACGCTTAGCGCCCGCATTCGCCATCCGTCTTCGAGTCGCGCGCGCCCACTGGTTAGAGCCGCACAACCACGGAACTGTCCTCGCACCTCAGAGCCACTCATTGCGGTGTTTTGGGTGTGTGTTTGTCATTCATTATTCGCACGATCACCCCACCGTAGGCACATCACGGTACATTGAATTCTCTCATAGACTATGATACCAACTCTCAGGAAATTTTTATCCCCAAACATCTGCCCGCCGCTATCCATGAAGACTTTCCTCACAGCGAAAGCGAAAGCGACAGCCACGAGCAAGAGCAAGAGTCAAAGGGTTCAAAAAAAGATCCAAATGGACCTGGAACGTTTGCAATGACGACCACAACGACGACTACCACAACTACTAGTACTATCGTTGTGGTTGAGAAAAAGAAAGCATCAGGATCCACTAAAGAGCGCCCGTCCTCCGAGAAGACCGGCACTTTGACAAGTCAGCTTCCCTCGGCCACCCCAATGCCGAGGTCATCGAGGGACGACGAGCCAACTTCAGATTGGCCATCGACGAACGCGGAATACGAGTACATGAATGGGTATTACCTCTACCTCGATGAGGCAGGCAACCCTGTCAGCGAACCAGTGCCCACATTGCTCGCCCGGCCAGTCGCGAAGGAAGATCGGCCTGGCGCTGTAGATGGCTTGGGCACTGGGAAGAAAGTGAATGAAGTGACGGGAGAAGATGAAAATGAGCATCCTTTATTCTTAGGGTTGAGGGTGTACACAAAAAAGGAGGCTGTGGTTCTGGTCAGGGGGCGCTTGAAGGACTGAACACAACGAGGAGCTTGAGGCGGTGTTGTAGGCCGCCTATGGGACTGGGCCTGTGGCATTGAGACATTTGGCAGGATCTCTGGGTACGAGCCCTTCGTCATACAGATACCAGTATTGGTGTACTCGGAGAGAGTGTCGAATTATTTGCACCAAGGTTCTAAGATTGATCGTTATTGGATTATGATGAAGGATGATGGCGAGAGCACTATGAAAACAGATTCAGAATTCCGACAAAATATTAGCCCCCTTTGAGCCACCAAGAAGTATCACTCTAGAAAGTCGATCCCTCAGGCGGTTGTGGCAGCTTTCGGTTATTGAACGATGCCATCTCCCTGTAAAGGATGAGATCAGGTTGTACGACGCAATGGTGGACAAGAAACACACTTTCTAATCTCGACGAGAATGGTTTCAATACTGAAATTCCTGTTCCAACTTGCAAGGACAGGCAGCTTGGTGGGGTCGACATTTCCGTTCGTCTGGTTGACAAAAGGGAGGTTCACGCGCGAGATGAACTGTACTTCTGGCCGCGTATCGGGATAGGAGGATCCGCACGTTATCTTGAGGCTGTAGATGCGATTCTCGTGCACGGTCTGATCACGGCGAGATGGCAGAGATTACAGAGGCGATTTGAGCGTTGTGTGCAGGATGGCAGACTACTTGAAGAGGCTTACATGCCCTGGCCCGATGATAGTGCCATTCCAGTTGCTCATCAGGATATCGTCGCCGTCCTCTAATCCATACGAGCACGAGCCATCGCCGATGCCCTTCTCGCCCTTCTCGAGCTCCTCAAGCAGACGGAAATTTCGTGGTACTGGCAGAAGAACGATTTAGGATTAGTCTGCGAACACAAGTTTGAATGATGGTCGTTACCTTTGGCCATTATAATGTGCGAATGATATGGCAGGAAACAAGGGGCGTCGGGATTTGGCCAGGAACGTGATCATCCAGTCACAGCCACCAGCAAACGACTGAACTGGCCCTTGCCGCACACCTACACTGCATCTTTCTCCTTCTCCACCATCATCGACGACGACAGCGGGGACTTTGACCATGTTCGGAGGAGGCACCTCAACTGAGTACGAGGATATCGTCAGTGAGTAACCCATGCATCTTTCCATGACGGGCGCAACTCATTTAGTGCTGCGCAGACAAAACGACAGATGAGAACCTCACGAGTGAGAACTGGGAGCTCATACTGAACCTATGCGACAAGGTTCAGGACGATGGTCAGGCTGGGTACGCACTTGTTGCCTTACTTGGGCTATTTGTTGGATATCTCACTCTGAATGTTTTTCAGAGCACATTCAGTCATTGCCGCAGTATTGAAGCGCCTGGCACATCGCAATCCCAATGTCCAACTCTATGCCCTCTCCCTAACGGAGTCCCTCAGCAAGAACGTTGGCATCGAAGTTAATCGAGAATTGGCCTCGAGGGCCTTCACTCAGGGCCTGGAGAAGTTAATTACCGACCGGGTGCGTAATCGTCTTGCTGGATCTCCAGATCTTTCCCTCATATCCCCTAGAACACACACGATAAAGTCAAACGACGAGCCTTGTCATTGATAGCTACATGGACTGCAGAATTCGAGAGCGACAGCACTTTAGGCATCATGGAGGATTGCTACAACAATCTGAAGGCCAAAAGTGAGTGTAGTACCCAACGAACTTCAGACGCTGTCTAACAAGTAATTAGACTACAAGTTTGAACAACCGCAAGAAGCACCACCTCCAACCGTCGATGATGAAATTCGGCGAAAGGAAGAAGAGGAGCTCCAGCGTGTCCTTGAAATGTCGATGCAGGATAAGGGTGGGCGTCCGCAATGGACGCAATATAGTCTTGCCTCTGGCACTGCTGCAGGCTCTTCCTCTGGTGCAGGTAGTTCTTCAGGTCCAAGTAGCTCAGGGGTAGGACGCTCGTCTACAACAGCAGGGTCGACGAGCTCGCCGTCGCAAGGGTACACGCAGCCTAAGTATTCCGGCGGGTATGTGCCCGCTCGCACACCCTCTCCGGCTACCATAGCTGCGCAGCAACGTCATCAGCAACGGCTGTACGAGGAGTCATTGGCGAAAGCCCAAGCGCAGCAGCAGCAGCAGCACAGCGCGTCCATTTCTTCGACTGATAGGACTCCTACCCCGACTGTTAACGCTCCAACTGCTGCACATTCCAGTACATCTACAACTACGATGCCCGCCTCTACTGCAACGATTGTCACTCGCGTACGGGCTCTACATTCGTTCCAACCCACTGAGCCGGGCGAGCTCGCTTTTGAACAAGGCGATATTATCAAGGTTGTAGATCGTGGTTACAAAGATTGGTGGAGGGGTCAGCTAAAGGGTAGAACTGGAATATTCCCGGTAAATTATGTGGTAAGTTATAATTCTTTTCTTGCCTCGTCGATGATAACAACCTGCCGATTTAGGAACCCATGCCCGAGCCAACCGCTGCTGAACTGGCAAAAGAGGCTGAACAAGAGGCCGCAGTCTTTGCTCAAGCTGTCAATGTCGAGAAGTTGCTGAATATGCTGAGAGCTCTCGATCCGGCAAAAGATAACCTCGCCGATAATGAAGAGATTCAGGAACTCTATCGGTCCAGTATGGCCCTCCGACCCAAGATCGTGAAGCTTATTGATAAATACAGTCAGAAGCGGGGTGAGACGCCCGGAGTCCGTCCTTCGATCGTTGGCTGATGTTGCGTTCGTTGCAGCTGACTTGGTGTTGATGAACGAGACCTTCGTTCGTGCGAGGAGCATTTTCGATCGGATGATGGAGGAGAGTTTGGCTAGGCATACTGGAGGTACGTTTCGCTTGCTGCTTTTTCCGGTTCTTGTCTGATTCAACCTTTTTTCAGTTTATGACCAGGTTCCATATCGCCAATCGCAATTTCCTCCACCCCAGCCTCACATCCGTCCCGGCTCTGGTGCAGGACGTCGCTCCGACTATGGTCCCGCTCCAGGACCCATGGGCCCTCAGCCGTACGGATGGAACCAAGGACCCGCTGGCTACGAGCAGCCGCCCCAGACACAACCACAAGCTGGACCTTATCCCGGATATCCGGGCCCGTATCCCGTCGGAACGTCGCCTCAAGGAGGTCCGGAGTCTATGTATGCGCCTAGCAGCCCTGGCGCCGCCCAGCAGACGACGCCTGGAGGATATGGCGCCGTCCCAGGACAAGGTCCTCAACAGCAGCAACCCGTTGCTGCAGGATACGGAGTTCTTCCACAGGGCGGCTACGCCGGTCATCAGCCAGGGGCACCATACTCACAACAGGGCCCGACGCCTTATCCTGCTCAACAACAGCAGCAGCCTCAGCCTCATCAGCCACATACCCAGCCCGTTCAGCAGCAGCAGCAGCAGCAGATCCCAGGGCAACAACCGATCCAGCAGCAGCCTATTCAACAGCAGCAGCCAGCTCAACACCCCCCTCTTCAACAGCAGCCATCGTTCCAGGCACAGATTCCTATTCAACCACTCCAACCCCAGCACCAACCAGTTCAGCAGCAGCAGCCTCATCAACAGGTTCAGCCTCAGCAGCAATATGAGCAGCAGCAGCCCGTTCAAGCTCAGCCTCAGCCTGAACCCGTCCTGAATCAAGCCCCGACTGGACCCGCCGCCAGCGTGTTCTCTCCTCAGCCCCAACCTCAGGTTCAGCCCCAACCTCTGCAACAGCAACCACACGCCCAAGCTCAGGTTCAGCCTCAACCTCAGCAACAGGAAGCTCAACCCCAGTCACAGGCCCCAGTTCAGACGCAAGCTCAGCCGCAAGTTCAACCCCAACCACAGGCGCAATCGCCGCCTCAGCAACCCATCTCAGGCCCGCCTCCCTATCCTTACGACCCGTCGTACACATATGCGGATCCGAACGTGCAAGCCTGGGCCCAGTATTATGCTCAGGGCGGAAAGGAGCTTGCTGGCTCGGTATACTTTATCTCAATTCCTGGCGTTACGGATGGTGCGGCTGCCCCTGCTCCCACTGAGGCGGCAGCGGGTGCCGGTCAACAGCAACAGCAGAACGGGATTCCTCAGCAGCAACAACTTGATCAAGGCAGTTTGAGCCGGCAAACCTCGTTCCAACCCCAGCTCGTTCAGCAACAACATCAAGGATTGGGCCAATCTCTTGGACGGACCCAATCCTACCAGGCTCAATCACAAGCGCAACCTCATCCTCAACCCAATGCAAGTGAACCTCGCTACGGTAGCCCCGCCATCTCTGGTTCTCCCGGAGGGCAACCTCAGCCTCATCAGCAACCCCACCACCAGAACATGCCACGCTACCAACTGCACGATGGACCCTCTCCTTCTTCCCAGCCTCAGCCACAAGACCAAGCAGGTCCAGGACCCTCCTCTGCTGCTCAATACGCTTCGTATCCGCAAGGTCAGGCAGCTTCTCAAGGTTCCAGTCCCACTGCGGCATCCTTCGGCGGCGCCGGCCCGACTAGTGGTCCACGCCCAACTGCGGCAGCGAACTTCGGTCCCGCTCCTGGGACAAGCCCCACGCCAGCCGCCGCCGTGCCTTCGTGGGTGTTGCCGAAGAAGACTCCTGCGACGGGCGCTTGAATGAGGGTGTAAGTATGCGTAGAAGTGTGTTGAGGAGGTGTTCATGGACAGACCAAGGTTAATTTTTTAGCACGACTACTTTCATTATGCAACGGTTAGCTTTATGCGCGATGCTTCAGATCACAGTCGTAATATTGATGAATGGATCTTAATCTCTCAAGAACATGTAGACCGTTTTCATTGTGCCATTTGGAACAGAAAAAAGACGACAAAGGATTGTAGAGGCCCTAGGATTTAGAAAGGCGGCGTAGATTTGAGAACTCGAAAAGGGAAAGATCGTTTGAACGGAAGAGGACCTCCTCGGAAAGATTAGAACGAAATGAACGGTACGATTTTGAATAAAGACAGTGATTCGATGAAAAGCATAATTTCACCTCCACCTGGCCTAGCGTTATGCCTTGGTAAAGAGTTGACTGACCTGAGAGAACAACGTCTTCCTCGGGTTTCTCTCTGGCTCAATGTCCGCGTTCCTATGAACAGTGGGTTTCTTGTTGGCTCTCCTGCATCTCCATATCCTTGCTCCACAGCATCTCCCAACCTGCCGCGACCTGACCGTGCTTGTCCTCGAGACCGGTTTTGATCCACGCCCTTCGACCTGAATTGGCTCCTCCTTCTCGTTCGACGCGGTAAAAGCGTCCGGAAGAGACTTTATGCCGTAAATGAGTATATCGACGGCCGCAGCGTAGTCGTAGTCGATGCAGATGGCGTCCTCGAAGATCGTACTGGGGTGGCGACGGATGTAAGACTTGTACTTCTGTTCCTTGATGTCCGAAGACATCTTCTCCGATTTCCCAAAGGACGGAACTGGGCTCGCACTGCGCGACGAACGAGGCGAACGAGGCGAACGTGGTGACGACGCAGACATGGTGTACTGCGCCAGTGGGTGCATTCTCCTTCGGCCCGGATGCTGCCTCTGCTTGCCCGCCATACTACTGTTGGCAGGTGTTGAGCCTCCGACGACGGTCCCAGAGGTCTCTGAGAACGCACTTAGTCGCGCGCTCGCTCCAGCAACAAGTGTACTCGTGGGCGAACGCGGTGGAGTTCCTCGCGTAAATGAAGAAGCACTAGACCCAGTTCCGTTAAACCTCGTCGCCGACGGTGGAACCAGCAATGACGTTGGAGATACTGGCGTAATGGGCCTCGACACTTCCTCAGAAGGTATCGTTGGAATCGAACCAGAACCACCATCATCGATGGTCCGCAGACTCTGACTCTCAGCGTCGTACCCCACCCACCCGGCGAAAGTGTTCGTGCTCTCTCGGCTGGCTTTCGGAACGTGCACAGTGGCGACACTGCGTGTTGATCGTCGATCCCAGCTGTCCGGCGCAGTCGCTTCACGCTGCGCGGCACGCTCCTCGCTACCCTTTCCTTCGTCACATCCCCTCCGGAGGTCAAGTGGGTGGGCGATTCCTTCATCTCCACTATTCGGCTGGGTGAGCATCGGCGCGTCTCGTAGTACGTCTTGTGCACCACTGAGTTGGCTGTAAAACGAGAGGGAGGTGTCTTCCGAGGCTTGTTTTGGGCGATGGTGAGTTACTGGGGGTCCGGGAGAAGCGAAGACAGAGACCTGCGGGCTCGGGAAAGAGGTATCCGCAAGCGAGAGGAACTCTTCTTCGTCGATCCGCGTCGAGACTGAGGAAGATGCTTTGGAACGAGTGGTGCCCTTCCATGAGGGTGCTGCGTACAGGTGTGACGGGTCGTAAGAGGGTGCTGGTGTTGGCGGAACGGGCATGGGTTCGTTGCTAGAACTTGATGCCTCTTGCTCGGCATTGTGAACGCGCCTGTTGAGCCATAGTGACCTATTCTTGAGATCACTCGATAGAGCGACGTTCTGTTTCGACGTCGAGGGAGAACTAGAAGCTCTCGGGCGTTCCGGAGTAGATAACGAACGTATGTCTTTTTCAACCCATGGCGGTGGTCGTTCGGGAGCAGTCGATGGGCGCCGTGGTTGGGCTGGAGAATTTTCAGCAAATGTACGCTTCTTCTTCAACCTTGAGGGTCTCCGCTCAAGGGCCGACGCTAAGGAAGTCAATGAGTATGATGACTAGAAGGTGAAAACTGAAGTGCGACAGACCAGGCGACTCCGGCAAGCCATTTCGAACGGATGATAACTTTCGTGCAGAACTAGGTTCCTGTGGCCTCGGAGAAAGATAATAAGAATATGGCGTGTCAGAGGCACGCGACAGTGGGCCTTCAGGCCTACGGCTGACTCGTGGGTTAGAAGGTAACCTCGAGTCCAAAGCCGCTTCGTGCTCTATGCGCGGTACGCGGCCTTTAACCTGTCGTCCTCGATCAGCTGGGAGGCACTGCATAGCATGCGGAGACTTACCATGGTGGAGCTGGGGTCGATGAGGTGGATTTCGCTCTGGAGGTCCGACTATGCTTATCTGCGAGTTGAATCGGAGACAGAAGGCGAAAGAAAAAGTGTGTCCGCGAGTGGTCACCAGGGAAGACTGGTCATGGAGGGAGGGAGTATCCTCGTCTTCAACGTGGTGTCAGTTGTATATGAGCCATGTTACGCCATATAAGTCTCGGGTTCCTCTGCTATCGCTCGGCTTGATCGAGTAGGTATCGCTGATAAAGACGGCCTTTCTTTGCCTAATTATACGCACGGTTTTCAGGACCCAAGGGTGGGGCATCGTCGGTAGACATCTGCGATGCGTTGAGATGGTGTTCCGGCACTTGAGCGTGAAAGTGCTCCATTTGTTTACGGTATCACCGCTTGACCTGTCAAACGTTCTTGAGGCCCTGAATACATCAACTTCGAATGTCAAGAACCATCTGAACAAGAGCAAAACGTACCGTGCTCTCAGTTCAATTAGATGAATGCAGGTGCCGAGCTTGTCTTAATTTGTGTTTTTCGGCTCTTATGGGGCGAAGAAGCGTATTTTTTCCGGTGGGTCTTGTGCTCGAAATAGCCCCGAAGGCAATCTAGAAATTTCGGTGGCAGAGAAGTCACATCTGGACGATGATAAGTGGGATACGATGATCAGCTACAACTAGCCTTTAGCCTTAGTGAATCGATAGATAGTACGTACGTACTTTACGACATAAGAGATCGTCCATTGGCGCTAAGCCCATTGCTTAAACAAAAGGCGTTTTGTGATCCAGCGGCGGCGATTGACTTGCTTTGTGCATACTAGAGGAAATTTTCTTCCTGAAGGAAATGTTCAAGAGCTGTGCTTAGACCGCTATGCCCGGGAGCATTTGCATCTTGAATGGTTGGTGGTTGGTGGAAGAGGCGAAGTTCGAAGTCTGAGAATGTTGGCCGGCCCGGGATCGGGGGATTCCGTAGGGTATGATCACGTGCTGATCCTATTTTCCAGACAACGACACACGCTCACTGAGCATCGGTTCAACGACGACTAGCAAGGAAGTCTAGCGCAGGGCTTGCTTCCCTAGAGCCATAGGTATGGTCACGGATGTTTCAAGTCCTAAAAAAACAAGCCTGACTTTGTAAATGAGTTTCTAGAGACCTCCCGGTATTGACACCCCATACGCGTCGGCAAAAGCAGCTTTTACTATGTCTTTGCTTACTGCTGTTTCTCGGGCGGGACCCTCAACCCAGAGAGTGCTTTTGTCGCGAGTCGCTCTACCCCAAGCACCAGCGACCATCGATACTCCGAGGTTCAAAGCGGCGAAGGCGAAACCAACAGCGATTGCAGTAGGACGTTCGTGTTTCTGTTGGACGGCTGAGGACATGGAGCCTGACGATTTTGGGCGGTTGTAGAACCGGGCTACAAAAAGAACAAGGAGAAGAAGATAAAGAAGAGGAAACCGTTCCCAGTACGTCTCATATGTGCGCTATTCCCAATCCGAAATTTGAAACAACAACTTCCGTGACCCATTTGTTTTACAGCTATTCAAGTCGCTTTCTTTATCACAATTGAAGAATCCCGTCTTCCAATCTCCGACTCCCGCTCTCCAATTGGAGCCATTTACACCGGTTCGTGATTGTTTCCCTCACTCCATAATATGCTCTCAACCGTCTGCAGACTACTGCAATGAAGCAGAACGCTGTTGGCGTGCCATTGGAATTCTCGCCTCCCGAAAACGACCCTCTACGTATTTTCGGCCTGCCAAGAAACCTGCTGGTAGAAGTGTGTTATATATTCCTTTTGTTAGCTCCTGTTCCTTAATGCTTGTTCGTCGTAGTTCCGCCTCCTCAACAAGCCATGTTCGGTTGTTCGGCAAGTAACGAAGGATACATTGCGCAAGCTCAATGACGCGAGAGGCCATTCGAGTGCCAGCCACCGTTACGTTCTAAGTATGCTCGTGTGTCGTCGTTTTCCTACTGGTTCATTAATATCTGTTCTCAGCTGGCCCTTCTGGATGTGGAAAGAGCTTCCTAATGCTCCAGGCCATCGAGCACTGTATGCAGAAGGATTGGGTAGTCATCTACATCCCCCGAGGTCCGTTTATCTTGCATCTTCATCACCGTCCTTACTTAACCATAGTCAAGGCGTGACCCTCGTCAACTCGACAACTGCCTACACGTACGACATTCGAACACAAACATACGTCCAGCCTGCCTTTGCCTTCCAGACCCTCCAGCGCATGCTGACCGTCAATGAGAAGGCGCTTGCCAAGATTTCGTTGGTGGAAGATATCGTACTTGAGAAGCGGGTCATCCCGAAAGGCAAGAGCTTGAAGGATGTTATCGAAGTTGCGATAGAGGAGAGGAAGAGGAGCCTTGCACCATCACCTGCGATTCTAGAGGGGGTGATGAAGTCGCTAGAGGCGCAGACTGAGTACGTTTATGATCTTGTTCGTTTCTCTAGTCCTTATTGCTGACGGTACCGTGCTACGTTGCAGCTTCCCTGTCCTCCTGGCCGTCGATGAGTTCCAAGCTCTCTATGGCAAGACAGCCTACCGCGACCCCCACTTCTCGCACATCCACTCCTACCACTTGTCGATGCCACGTCTCATCATGGAATACGCCTGCGGCAAGCGCCAATTTGTGCGTATCTTCGCCTTCCCATTTTTTATTGTCCATTCTGATTACCTAATCATCCACTCAGAACAATGGCGTCGTCCTAGGCGCCATCTCTGCCTCGCAGAGTACGAACCCGCTTCCCTTGGAGCTCCGTGACGCGCTAGATCTCTCTTCCCTCGACAAGCGCCCCGTCTCCGTGTATGATAAGCGTGACAGGGTGCTTGCGGGCTACGCGGAGGGCCTGCAGAAGCTTGAGGTGCCGGCGAAGCTGACGCTCGAGGAGGCGGTTGGCGTGTTCGAGGTGTGGAAGGGCCAGGGAGTGTTTGGATCGAGTAAGTGCTTTCTTGGCATTCTGGATGATAGGCGCTTATCGATGCTCCCGTAGAGAGGACGTTCTACGACGAGCAACTGCTTGGGAAGTATACCGAGTCCGGAGGGAATCCTAGGGATTTTGTGTGGAAAGGTCTGCTTGCGACCTTAGATGTGTAGACTTCGGTTGGAAGCGTCCGTTTGCTTTCTGGCCAATTTTAATTCTAATGGCTGTCCTCACTCCGAGTGCACGAAGACCTTTACAAGTTCTTTCAAGACTATGCAGACCGATTCGACGCCTCTCGATCCTCGACTGGAGTTTGCGCAATGAGGATTGGCTAAGGCCATGGTGTCATACAGGGCGAATACTGATCGTGCGGCCCAGTATGACGATATACTGACCCAGGTCCGTCTTCTGCTTCTCTGGGCCAGCTGCCCTTTTAATCGTTCTATCTTCCTTATCCAAAGCTCCGATAGTGCTCTTGACTCTCAGAGGCGCTGGTCCTGAGTCGCGAACGACCTGCAGGCAAGTGTTGATAACATTGATTACGTCGTAGACGGGCGCTAAACGGGCGTTTTCCTTCATCCAGATATCGTTATCGATGAAACGTTGTAAGATTCTTGTGAACCTTGTGCGGCCCAATGTCCAAATGGTGTCTTGCAACTGCCGCGAGGTCAGCCCCATGATTGGACACGATGCTGCAGAACCCTTGAGTAAGCTTGGCAGAAAATAGATGCTACGGCGTGTTGATTCAATTGAAGTGTCATTGGCACATACGTTGCCTTACCAAGGTTCCTTGGCCGTCGCAGGACCGCCCTATAGTCAATTAACGAGGGGACACCGGCGAACTCTATGGCCCGTGTCATGGTTCATAAGGAAACAGAACGAACAGAGGGTCCTGGTCCTTTGTCATACCTACCCTTTAACCAGCGGACATCTGGAGGTGTCTTGGACCCGATAATGGCTACACTATCACTCGTCGTAGCGGAGGCGGGAACATTCGCGAACGTTAGATGTCCTGGCACGTCGCGTGTTCGAGGAAGACCTTTCGGTATCGCTGACACACTGATGAACAGCATACATAGCCGGGATCCACAAAGACAAGATGAATGAGCTGTCGCTCCAACAAGGCAGCCTCATCTCTGTCCAGTAAGTGTAGGAGCTCCTTGGTACGATCCTTGCATTGCCTCACAGCCCTTCTCAGACGAATTCAAAAAGGCCGCACGCGCACGACGGTCCTCCTGGCCGGCCCCGTAGCAGATGGTTCAAGGGAGCAAATCGAGTTGAATGAACTTGCGCAGCAAAATCTTGGGGTAGAAGTCGGTGAGACTGTCGTGGTGAAACACTGCCCGTCACGTCAGCTGGGAAATTTGCTTTATGCGATACCCGTCGAGGACTATCAGATCGGAAGCAAGGCGATGGGGGAACAAGTGCGATCATATTTCAAGGAAGGTACGTATATGATGCACCTGTTGCGGGCACTGCTTATTTGTCGTACAGTTGCTGAAATTTATCTACCTTTCCATGAGGGGGATATGTTCGTTGTTGACGATATGCGATTCAAAGTCGCCAGGACGATCCCTTCCAGATTTTGCACCGTCACGGAAGAGACAAAAATTGAATTCGGTACGGCTGTAATCCGGACTCGAGGTCCTCTTTTCAACGTCCCCGTATTGTAGGAATTGGTTACTGGGCTGTTGGTGGTTACAAGGAACAAATTAAAGAGCTTCGCGAATTCGTGGAGCCCCCACTTGCCAATCCTCAATTCTTCGAGGACGGCCTCAATCCTTGCTACAGATTTGTGCTACTCGTCGGCCCACACGGGATCGGCAAACGAACCCTTGCTCATGCTATCGCCTGCGAGAACGGCGTGAGCTTCATACCAATTAGGGGCCTTGATTGCTCCGGGAACAAGTTGAGACAATGCTTCACGAACGCTAGAAATATGGCACCGGCTATCATTTTCATTGACGACCTTGAGTATATAGGTGTAAGTAGGTGTAAACTTGCGTTCCATCTCATCGCCTTCATTCACCACTTTCAGGCATACCTTCGAGATTTACTCGTTCTCGTTGATGAGCTCAAGGATGCCCCAAATATTAATGTTGTCGTCATCGCCACTACCAGCCAACGAGACAAAATTCCACCGCAAATTCTACGCGATACTAAAGTGACAGAGTTCGGGAAGCCTGACGCACGAAGCCGCTCGGATATTCTAAGCATCTATGCACGGAGAATGGTCCATAGCCTCAGCCCTGATTTTCGTCACGAAGAGGAAAGTACGTCTCCTTGTAATTCCGTTAAGAGCAACCGAATAACATCCGATTTATTAGATTGTGCAGAAAACCGACGGCTGCGTCGGTGCAGACATTGCTGCACTTTGTGGAAGAGCGATTCTGGAAAGTTATAAGAGAGGACAAAAAGCTGGTAGTGCAGCACCACGTCCAGACTCTCTATTCGTCACTATGGACGATTTCTCCTTAGCTCTTCATACTCTCCATCCTCATGAAGACGATCGGTCCCAGACAGCCGCAACCACTTCTCAGGAGATATATGAGCAACCGCAGGCCCATAAATCATGGTTTCAGGTGCGCTGTCACAGATTATCCTAAACTTGTAGTGCTTAAACAGATCTATGCCTCGCGCAGCTATTGACGTGTTCACTCTTCAGTATCGAGCAAGAAAAGAGAGTCGTTTCCACTGTCGAAACAGAGAAAAACGACCCCGATTGGCATGGTACTAGTCTTGCCGCTAGCACTTTGGTCCTCAGCATGGTGAAGGATGCGGCTTCTTGTGTGCCAGTTCCATGCCTACAAATAGCCGCAGCCACTTGCCTGAAGATTGTTGAGATCATAGAGGTTTGTGCGGGTACTTGTCAATATCATTCTTTTGACGTCTGTGCAGACGATGGAGGATAACAAATTTCGACTCAATGCCCTGGCGGATCACTCAACGAATGTCCTTGCATTGATCTGGAATGCTTATCAAAGAGATGGAGGTGATTATGCTATCTGGCCAGAGGACAAGTTAATAGGGATCAAGAAACTTGTGGAGTGAATAGTCACTTTACTCTCAGTTCCCCTCACTCACGCGTCGATCGCAGGATCATGAACAGGATTCTAACTTTCGTCAAGAATCAGAATATTAGGAACTGGTTTTTCAGGTTTTTGTCGTATAAAAGTGACGCCGAAATGGTTCAGATTTTTAGTGGGGAGTTGGACAACGCATTTCGTGAATTCAACGTAAGTATATATAGTGTTTCTGCATTTGTGGACGCGTCTTAACTTGCGGCTAAGGTTTCTCATCAGTTCCGGATAGAGTCAATGTTGGAGAAAATAGTTGAGAGCTACAGAGAGGTTTTCGTGCTCAAAGAGATCCGAGAGGAGATGAGTCGGCACTCTCTCTGACCCCGGAAAACACGCAGGAAGAACCTTTTCTCGACTTCGTCAACGTGTTCCTGTGCTCCCCTCGCTCGCGGACGCCCTTTACAAACCATCTCATACTTCCCCAAGCGACCAGGGCACTCTATGTCAGTAAACTCAGCCGTCCGGTGTCCAACGCAGCCCTTTCCCCTTGCTCCGAGGTGCTTGTCACGCCACTGTTTCCTTATTGGGAAGTGCTTTCCTCCTGTCAGTGCCGTTGTTGCATTGACGCCTCTCCCCCTATTCCTCCCTTTTTCGTTCTTACTTAGAAAATTCCTCTCTTTCTCTTATAATGTGCAAGTTTCAATTTCTTTGAAGATATAAAAACTATATCATTTCATTCATGAAAAACAGGGAATCTCGCTTGTTCTGGCTCGCTCGTCCTCGTTCTTGGCCTCTTTCGATTCTACCTCGGAGACGCTATTTATTCACTGCTCGATATTTTTCTCATCTTGGCGTCCGCCCTTCTTAACCGTGTCACACATCCCGAGTACTGCACGCTGCACAACACTAGATCCCGTCCCCATAGCTCAGAGCCATTGATTGAGGTGATTTTGGTGGGTCATCTCCTATCTTGTCTATCCACAAGATCACCCCCCGTAGGTGCATCGGAGACCATGTTTTGCACAAATGGTAATAGCACGTGTCTTCGCAGCAATGACTTCGGGGATCTATTCGGCATGAATTGAGAATGACTGCCCGGGAATTCTAAGTCCAGGGAGCCCAAGTCAGCACGTTAAGGTAATTACTCTACAGCGAGGCTCGTATGCATGAGTCCTGTAGCGTTAGACTCCAGGAAACTTTTCCTCCGTAAATTTATTGCGAATCCCGTTCGCTCAACCTTTCAGCTCAGAATCCAATGTAGCCAGCAGCACCAACCTTTCAGGCACCAGAGAATGTAGGCTTCACGTCGGAATGTAGGCCACATAAAGGGAGTAAATTTGGACGGAATATCATAACATCATATACGTGTATCGGGTTATGTACAACTTTGCAAGGACCTATTCATTTTCCCCCTGTACCTGTCTTCCCTTTGGGCTCGAAGGCCTTCTGATTGCGTTGAAGAATCTTGGGCTCATCCTCCTTCTTGGTACTTGCTTGCGTAACGAGACTGTAAAGCTCTAATTCCGAGTTATGAGTACTTTCATGATGCCAGCACAAGGTGAGGGAAGAATAAAACTTACTCTGGATGAGATCGTTGACTCCAACATCGGCAGCTTGAGCCGTTGGAACGACGACTAGAAGAATCCCATTCGATTCAACGCCCTTCGGTGCGCCTTCGGTATTCTGAGTCGCCGACTCGGCTTTTGATGGCAGTCAGCATAGCACGTCGCTTTGAGGGCTTGGACAAACGCACCGGTGGAAGGAGTGACTGAGGAACTGCGTTTATGAGTTGCACCTGGACCGGTCATGACTTGAAAGAATGTCTCGGGAGGTAGGGGGGTGGCGGGATGTGTGAAAATGCTGGTTTGCGAGTTGTACTTATACCTCGCGAACAAGCTATTCTTCCCTTCTAGGTTCATAGTCCGGAGTCATAATTTATGCTCATTGAGACCGACGATCCAGAGTTAGGAACATTATACTTACAGATTGGGATATTTGACTGGATGGCCGATGCGAAGGTTCTATGACATTTGCATTGCCCAGGGTCCCAAACTTCGAAGTACGCATCATTCGGCTTTTGGCCGCAGGCGGTGAGCCCCGGATAAGCAGGGGGAGGTGTCATTGATTTGTTTGAATATCCTGGTCGCTAGGAAGAGGACCCCACTTTCAGGCTCCACACATATGATTGGCGGTGCCAGAGACTCATGACAGCCGGCGCTCAACGGCGACGCCTCAAAGCTGGCGATGCCAGAAGGGGAACATCCCGAGCATATGTCTGAAACAAGAGTTTTCAAGTTCACGCGCAAACAGATAGACTTAAGTTCGGGGGATGCAGTGCGCTTCTGCAAAAGAAACTCGGTGGACGGGCAATGGACAAGTAGAATTTTGGCCCTCGACGCATAGTATTCGGCAGCTACTGCGAAGCCGTTTTCTGATCCGCCAGAATTGATAGGCATGATGGTTAGACGCCACAGTTACTGCGGCTCTGATTCCGTTTAGCGCTCATCTTTATACACGTCACTCATTCGTTCTCATGTCAGGATGCACTTGAGAAAAAATGTCACACCTTGGGCAATGCACAGCCATCCTCTCCATCTATGCCTAGTGTGTCCGGAAGTACCAATTGATTATTCACCAAGGGAGCTGCCATTCCATTCTCTCAGGCACTGCGGCGTCCATGCAGCCCTATATCGAAACTCTCACCATCGGCGCTTCCGTGGGACCTGCAAAATCAAATAAGCGCCTATACAAGAGATCGGCATTATATCTGGGACACAGAAGCGCCAAGTTTCGCGATAGATATGATCGGAGTCAAGAGCATACCACCCTGTCGAGCACCTCCGGATGACCTCGCTGTGTATCCCTCACACCGCATGGGCGTCGGATATTGTACGGTTAAGCTCTACGCTCGCATCTTTGTTCCCCGGGTTGAGGGAACTCAGGGAAGTGGTTGCTCCTCATAGTGAGGAATGGCATTAGAGCTTAGGACAGAGAAGTCATCTCGTAGATCCCTTTATCATTCAATGATATATGGAAATAATACCACTTGTTATGGTGGTCCCGGGTAATAGGGCGCAGCACGATCAATTTCGAGGTCCAAAGCAGAAGTCTACCTTATGGTTTCCGCCCGTTCGTTACTCAAAGGGAGCTATGTCGTCCCGCCCACATTTGTCAATTGATTAAGACATACACCAACACGGGTAGTCAAAATGTAGTACGCTGTATCTTAAGCGTTGTGCTTTATGGAGGCGCTACGTAATTCATCGAAATTTGCCACGCTTTCTTCACATGGCTTCTTTTCAGGGTGTCTCATTGCCGGTAAGAGCCAAAGGCATGTTGCTTTTCCTTGGACTCTCGTAGACCCAGAATTGAACCATCCTCATCGCCTCATGATCAGTCGCGGCGGGAAGAGAGTCACTCCCCGACGCTAACCTGGGCTAGATGGCTCCATTTGACACTAAGATGGCGACGTCCCGCCTCAAAGGGCCTCCTGAGCCCGTGGCGCCTTATGACAAACTTCTCGGTGTCTCGCACTAAGTGCCGTATAGCTTTGAACCCTATAGGATATTTGATAGAGATTGATCATGGCCCACGGCGCGATGACTCATCAGCAAATCGTGATTTTGAGGGTCAAAACGGCCTCAATTTCGGCGGTATAGCGTGTTATGGCGCGTTACGTAGTGCTACGTAACACACCATAGCACTGTAATGCATGTCCTTAACTATTGGGATACCCCCCCCAATTATGGAGTGCTATGTACCCTCGTATAGCACGCATAACAAAATCAGGAATTGCTGATGCTCGGACAGATGAGAAGCACTCCCCTTCCCATGGGGATTCTAATTTGGCGAGAGTTCACCTGTACTTATCCAAAGTACTAGCCCTATGTCTACCCAACCCAACGGGACCAGAGCAGAAAGCTTGAATTCTGACAGACAGATACTAGGCTGAGCCACTTACTTCCAAATCTGTCGAACTTCACTCCAGCTGCATTATTGGTAAGCTACGCTCATTGGCTGTGAGTTGAGCGTGGGCGCTTAAGTATTCATTCAATCTGGCACCTCCCGCGGGGGGGTGCGAAAGGTAGAATTTATATAATTTCACGAGCTAAGCCCTCGCTTCTGCGGAATATCCATACACGTCATTCCCAGAACTGTGGTGTGATCAACGACCTGACTGAATATGCTCCTGCTTGCCAGTCCCACTCATACGTTGCTGTCGCAGTTCCTCACTAACGGCCGTTGATCTTACTAACTCGAGATAATTTGCACAGAAGGACTCAGGATCTGGTGATAGCCTAATTAATAATGGGTCCCGAAGGCTGGCGCTTGACTGGTAAGTTCACGTAGGAAAGAAGTGTCCAAGTAGCCAGGGTAACAAAAAGGGCCCCTGTCGTGCCTGTTCTCCACTCTTGCGTCAAATAAGATCTGCCCAAAATTTTCCCCTTTCCAGCGGCATGATCGCTTTTCGTTTTGAAATTCAACAAAGTCAATGAGTTTCTACTCAGTTGAGGGCATGAGAGGGCGACGGATCGCCGGGCCGTTCTGGTCTTTATTTGGTGCTGAGGGTGCCGGAAGGCGCCGGCAAGTAAGATCCCGCCGAGCGGTCATGGAGGTTGCCGTTCGTTGACTTGCCTCTCATTCCCAATGTTGGGACTTACCCGGGTACTCTCTAGCCAGCACCAGCGACTCCTGCAACATCCTCACGACTCATGGAGTTTTCTTGACCGGCTTGGTGGAAAACGCGATGCAGGAGTGCAAATTTGCAATGCGAAGAAGTTCCGGCGGCGGTGAGCCCATAATACGAAGCAATGTCGAGTTTCGTCGAGAGAACGATCCCGACTGGACTCTGGTGCGCACGGAGACCCAGAATCCGCCCGCTGCACGTCGCATCTTCCACCGCTTTGCCAACAGGACCGACTCGAGCGACAGAAATTTAGGCGATTGCCGCTTCTATCGACCATCTCGAGTCCGTGTCGCGTGTCGCGGGAAGCGCTTTGTCGTCGTTCGTAACCCGTGGGGCCAGTCGGAGTGGACCGGGCCATGGTCAGATGGCTTGACGGAGTGGCAGGGAGAGCTGTTGGAGGTGTTGAAGGAGCTTGACCATGTCTTTGAAGCGACGGACAGTTCGTCGTGGGATGTGAGTTCCCCTGCAAGGATTTATGCGAGTTCCACTCATAAGCCTTTTGAATGAAGACTCGGACTTCCTCGAAACATGGCGGAAGATCGAGCACACTCGGTTGCTTGATTCTAACCGGATCATGCCCTCGAAGTGGCTCCTATCCTTCGATTTACGGCGACGTCTTCTGTGTATTCCTTCTGGCTTTCGCATCCTCCGATAATTAAGGATGACTTCCGTGCACCCTTACCGAGATTTCTCCGCCTGTCTCTGGCTGTCTCTGGCTGTCTCTGGTCATGGGCACATCGAGATAGAATCTCGACTTCGTTATCTAAGCGGGGAAAACGGAAGCAGCGAACCATCCCATCGCATGCTGTTAAAATACGACTCAGGTAGGTTGTTTAACGGTGCTCATCATACGTTTGTTTGACCTCTTGGCTATAGGAAAAGCCAAATCTTCGTCCTCAAGGACATCAATGCTATCGTCGAGGAAGACATCGCCAGCCGCAACTCTGAAAAGCCATCGACCGAAGCGATGGAAGGGCTTAGGCTCGAGAAAGCGGAAACTAAGGCGAAGACCAAAATGAAGAAGGAAGCACCGCCACCAACTAAGGAGAAGACGGCAAGGGGATCAAAAGGCTAGAAGGCAGCCTACCTCTCTTCTCTCTCAGGAGAAAGCTGGCGGCGACGACTCCCATGAGGAAGAGGGATTTGGCCAAGCATCTGGTGTCTCAGTTGGGATTTCGTTAATTTTGGACGTTCGAAGCGGCATACAATAAGTGATTGATTAGGACTATTAGCAAGTATTCGGGCAAAATACGTCTACTGCAGCTCGCTGCAATCCAAAGTACGACCACCCTCTTGCAAACTCGGAATCTCAATCTTCGTGGTTTGCCCTGTCGCGGCGGGCAGCAAGGCCTTTGGTCTTGGAGGTGTGGGAGGATCCCTGACCCCCTCCCTGACCCCCTCCTTGCGATTGTACGAGGGCTTGAAGAGCTAATTATGCCCACTTAGTTGGTTTCTATTACTAAAGTGCATAAGTGTCTTACCGGCGACAAGGTCATCGACTTTGGAATTCGGACCTTGGAACACAGTGACGAGAAGGAAGGTCTTCGTCATGCCTATTTGGAAGATACGTTAGTGCGCTGTACGATGTACGAAATTTTTCGTTTCGAGGCGAGCCCACCATCTGCATCCATGGACGAGGTTGCATCGAAAGGAGGGGGCATGATGGTATGTGGGACTTGTTGGTTTGGCCGGAGATCGAGATGCTGGGCACTTTAACTTCAATACGATTCTTATCCAGCCCCCCAGGGTCTCCTGACCCCCTTTCGCAACTGATCGGCAAGGAGGAGCGGAAAGGAGTGGACCAGGAGAAGAGAACAATAAATACTGAGGATCGCTGCTGCTTCCCAGTATGGTCTCAGGCACGCCCGTTGTAGGCGCCCGTAGAGGAGAAGCAACATTGGGCCCATGACGGGCATTATGACACTGCCCGATAGAATTAGATCAAGATCGATGACTCCGTGCTGCCTGCATGCGAATGCAGAGGTCTTCCTTCTGTCCCTGCATATATTTACTGCTCTGACATGTCAGATTCTATACGGCATTCAAGGGCGGCACATATGTTTAAACTCTCGCAATCTATCTTCTTTTCGAACAGTCTCAGGACATTCTTCCCATCGCTCGTCATGGACGTGCGGAGTGCGTAGTCGATTGGTCTCATTCAGGGTCTGATCTCCCTGAACATTCCGGGGATCACGCCGAAAATGGATGGGAGGCGGGACAGGTATGACACGAGGCACATTGCAGACCCCAGGAAGCCCGTCAGCCCGGCGAGTTCTGGTTGGCGCCGTGCGTGAATTGCCAAGGCCCGAGGCTGCATCGCCGTTACTACTGTAGGCTAGATATGTACACTGAAAATAAGAGCTTCTTGCTGGCTCTTGCCTGCATACATCAGTGGCACCATGGCTGAAGTTGTGTCCCTCTACACAAGGGCCAAGCGCGTGATTCAAAGTTGTGGAATGGTAGTATGATACAAGGCGCGAAGCGCTATGAAATGTGGGCGCTTAACGAGGACTAGTGTAGAGAAGTGACAAAGGGATCGGGTGATGAGGCAATGGCACCCACGCACGTGTATATCGCTTTAGTACCGTTGAATAAAATTTAGTTTGCGTACCATGCCCTGCAACATGAACTGGACGGAATACCACGAGGTTCCCGTGCATCCTCACTCTTTTCAGATCAAGGTTTGCATGTCCTACGCTACTAGTAGCTGAGAAAAAATATACTACTTCATGGGTGAAACCGACGCACAGGAAGACGGCAATTTATTTCAAAAAAAGCTTCGATATACACGATCAAATGGCGGTCAGTGTTGCCGGCACACCTCCCCCTCTGAAATATCTTTCAGACGAAATTTCCCTCTTTATGATCCACAAATCCACTATGGTGCCTATAGCACATTTATAAATGTAGTATCTGCATAGCTTCTGTGATCTTTCTAATCTCAGTTAGGAAGACAAATCGCTCTCGAAGAGCTGCGTGACGATTCGCACAGCCACTAAACAAGCGCTCGTCATCGCATTTGGACTCAAGCGCACCACACTGTTGAGCGCTGCATCATTTTTCCCTGTTACTACGTTTATTACAGACATTCCTATCGGTCTAGTACAATTTGCCGGAAAGTTGGTTGGAGTGGGAAGCTGTACGACACAAATTAGATGAAATCTCGAGGGAGATTAGAGAGATTCTCATGCTCACCGCTTGTGGCCTGCGGCCCGTGTCGCCGGCAACTGCGCTGGTGTCCTCACACGGCGATTACACATTGAATATCCGATCCCGGGGTGTTTTGGGTCCTCCCGACGCCCATCTCTTCTGGTGTTGATGCGCTAAGGCGGGAGCGCACTATGGGCTGTATTTGTCCATTTCGGGTTATCCTGCCAGCTGTCAGTCATCGGGATCAGACCCTGAATGAGACCAATCGACTCATCACTGGGACGTGCGTGAGCGCTAAACGAAACGTATCCTCCATCTGATCATGACTTTACCTCGTTTAATTAAGGCCCGTTGTGGCATCAGCGGTAGCGTCGGTGTTCCAAAAGAGGTTACTCCGATTGACCGACGCCACACTACCTCCGCCTCTTGCCGTGACAAAGGATTTGGGAACCATGTAACAGATTCCATTGGGCATTTTTTTAAAACAAAAACAAGGAGTAATATTTTACTTATTTATCACTGGATATTAGCCTCTTTTCCGTTGAGAACCAAGCCTTTTGCTCCTTACGGGGGCAGACAATTCACACTGCGCACCGGAAGAATGGTACGAGATAAGAATATGACAGAGATTCCATAGGACAGGTCCTGGTCCTTGTCCATACGGAGGATGGCGTCAATGCATCTGTATATTTCTCATGTTTACGCCACAACTTGTAGCCATCAGTCCTGGTTAAATTTCATCTGAAGCCCACTATTCAAGCATGACATGAAGCACAGCTGGGATTCCCTACTGGTAGGCAGGAGCCCAATACAGGCCAAAGTCCATCATGCGGCAACACGAATTTCGAGAGACATTGGAGCTGATTCCGGCACCGTGAAAAAGAAGCTCAAGAAGTCCCTTGCCTCGGTACACTGCAATGTCTTCCATGACGATAATGTTCCCAGATATTTGGCTGTGCGGAGCAAGGAATGGGCGCCTATTTCTCATCCCGCGAGACGACCTACTACCACCTGCATCACCAATGGAAGTACAATTAATTTTGTCCCTTGTGTCCCGACTCCCGTCTAATTCGGCCGCGTTATACTTGGAGTCATCGATTTTTGAAACCTAGTCAACGCTGTGCACAGAAAGTTATATCAAGATCATGTCACAGGTAGCAGTACGGCGTTCCATTCGCCTCAATAACTTTCCGATTAGTACGGTGGCCAGGAGCCGCGTAGTGTAGAATGCGTTAACTCCCTCAGGTTTAGCGCTAACAAAAGGCGCTCATTCTTCCAATCACTGATGACGCCACCGACGTGAGCACACAGAATCCACACCGCCATCCCATTGCTTCGTTTTACCCCGGTTCTGTCTTGTGCCCTATGGCCCAGCTGAGGTGGTACCTGCTCTCATTTTGGGGAGGCTAAAAGACATAGGAATGGGGTTACAGGGTATGTAAGAACCGTGATCGATATTTCGCCAATTCGCTCACTCGAGACGATATTCTTTATTAAATTTCTTTTCAAGTTTCATGCCACTTCACTGAGCATCAAGCCCGGCTAGGGAAGCTTGGGACGTTAGATCTTACGACCAATGAGGGAATTATCGGGCAGGCCCAGGAAAAAGCGAAAGCCAAGGGTGGTTGCGTGAATAAAAAATACAATAAAATTGTGCACCTAGCCTTACCACGAGAACCACGGAAAAACGGGACTAGTACTCTCAGTCCATCATTCCAATTGGAAGAGAACTGCAACACTCGATAGGCTATTTCGTTGCCGGGGAGCAAGAATCGGCGCTTGGATGTCGTTAGCGTCGACACCTCACATTCCCGGCTCTGATGGGATTGTCAACAAATGCTGATCAAGGTTAATATGGGGCAGCTTACCGGCATAGAACTTATAGGAGGAGACAAGGCAGGAAGGAACGAGAACGAACATTCTCCCTGGAATCGGAGGCTGATGGCTGTCGCGGACGAATCGAGTGGCCTCACATGGCCTCATTTGTGCATCGGCAAATTGTCTGCATGGATTGAACGGGCGGCATGTGTTAATATAGAGGGGTGAAGCAACGAAGTGGAGAGCATACCTTGGCGCCACCCTGGAGGATAAGGAAATGGGGCAAATGGACACGAAGAGCTGATATTGACAGTGAGTCACGAGTGGAAATTCGAACGGAAGGACAAGGTGTGAAGAAGAGAAAGAAATGAGGATGACGTTCCGAGGAAGAACATACCGAAGTTGCTTCCTGCTCTGATTCTCATTAGCGATCGCCCTTGCTAACGACAGCAATGTTGAGTCTCCCTGCAGTAGAATAAAAGGTCAAGTGCATAGTTGAACACTGCTCAAGTTGGCGTGAAAAGACTATCACTCTGGAATAAACATCGGTTTCAAACGTTCAAACGTTCAGCTGCCAGGTTCTAGCCTAGAAAGACACTGGACTTTGAGGCTGGGCACAAATATTTTGAGAGCGCGTATCCACACAGCATACAGCCGACCGGGATCCAGAAGCTGGTGAGGGGTTCACAGTTCGTCGAAATCGAGTCAGACTCTTCGCGATTGTTGGTCGTCGAGAGCGAGAGCTTCTATTTGGCAACGCTTTTAATTCCAAACAATGCACCTGGTTCCAGGTTTTCGGAGGTGACCTCGATTGCTACGCTCAACACTGGTCCTCTGGACGGCATCCCTCTCAAATAGACATCGCGGAGAAATGCCTTCCAATATTCTGACGGTCACCTGAAGAGAGAGCTAGAGCATGTCAATTTGCGCCCTCCAAGTTTCGGGTATGTGGCGCGACAGGTTGACAGCGATTATGTGCGAATAGAAAAGGTATGCAAGGAATCAGGACCCCCCCCTTCCCCTCTCTTTCTTCCTTTCCTCCTCGATGTTTAATGACGCGCCCTGCGATTTTTCCAATCAGCCCATCTCGCCATGCACCAGCGTAGCATGCCTCACGGATTCCCTAGAGCTCCCTCTCGTTGTTCACCAAGTTACTGTATATGCTGGAAAACCCCGTACGTCAACCCCCCTCTACATCCTCCTGCTCCTGACGATTCGTAAACAGAACAATTCGCAGCGATTCATGTGGACGACATGCAACGATTGTCGGTCGCGCGTTTCGAGCTTGTAGTGCTTGAGCAAGTGTCTCCGTTTCCAACCGAGATTCGCTTGTAATCACCTTCCGACGAATTAGGGGGAAGAAAGGAAGCAAGACGGCGCTTGTCTGCGTCCCTCTCGAAACCGGCGAAACCGGTCGGATTGAATTGCACGAAAGCGCTCGTAGCAATTTGAGAGTCAAACTTGGAGATCGTGTCTCAGTCCGACGGGCGACTTCCGATGAACACGGGAGGTTAATCGTTGTAATTTCTCTTGAAAGCCACTATTCCGGCGTCAGTAATAGGACGGAAGAGCTCCTGCGAACATACTTTGCGGAAGGTAAGTGTCTATCGTCATTCTAACTGCACTTAACCAAATGTATTTAGCTTCTCGGCGCCTTTTACCCTTCCACGAGGGTGACGTCTTCGTGGTTCAGGACACCTTGCGGTTCAAGGTCCTACAGACAGACCCGCCGGGCTTCTGTACTGCGACGGAGGACACCAGAATCGAGCTTGGTACCAGCCATTCTCGCGTCCCTTATACCCGCTAACGCCGAATATGACCAGGATTGGGATACCGTGATATTGGAGGCTGCACAGAGCAAATAGAACAGATCCGGAATTGGGTGGAAGTCCCACTCTTGCGCCCGGAAGCTTTCGCGGCGATCGGAGTAAGGCCACCACGCGGTGTTCTCTTAGTTGGGTCACCAGGCACCGGGAAGACCCGGATCGCCCGCGCAGTTGCGAACCACGCCGGCGCCTATTTCATCGCTATACGGCCTTCCGACGTGATGAGTAACATCATTGGCGAGAGCGAGGAAAGGCTTAGGTCTGCCTTCGACAAAGCCAAACGCCTCAAGGGACGGCGGGTTATCATATTCATCCATGACGTCGAATCGATTGCACCGAAGCGGAATAAGGTGAATTACTTGTCCATATCTACGTAAATATAATTGGCTCACATCCTTGAAGGCAAGCAATTGCGATGTCCGTCTGGCTGCTCAGCTTTTCACTCTCATGGATGATATAATGAATTATTCGAACATCATCGTGTTGGCCACTACCAATCGGCCGGATTTAATTGACCCTGCTCTGAGACGCTTTGGACGCTTTGACCGTGAAATCATGTTCACGGTTCCGGACACACTCGGTCGCCTTGAAATTTTAGGTATCCATACACGCGCCGTCAGACTCGCTGATGATGTCGACCTTGAAACAGTAAGTTCGGACGGTCAAACGATATTCAAATAAGTGCCGGCTTACTGACGCTGGTTACTAGATAGCCACCGAAACTCACGGTCATGTTGGCATGGATCTAGCTTCGCTTTGCTCAGAGGCCGCTACGCGCCAGATCCACAGGAAGTTCATCCTGGACAACCCAAATAGCGAGGAGGACGCTGTCGATTCCTTACGAGTGTGCATGGATGACTTTCGATTTGCCCTTTCAACCAGCCGCCCCTTTTCTTTGCGAAACAATCCTGTCATGGAGATACCGCATGTCAGGTGGAAAGACATCGGTGGCCTGGAAAATGCTATACAGGAGCTGCGGGAGATGGTTCTGTTTCCTATCAGGCATGCAGACAAATTTGAACGATTTGGTATGTCGCCATCCACCGGCATCTTGTTGTATGGTCCGCCAGGAACTGGTAAAACCCTCCTCGCGAAGGCTGTGGCCTGCGAATGCGGTTTAAACTTCCTTTCCGTCAAGGTAAGCGGTTCAATTTAATGGTCCATGGAATCGCTACTCAATTTACAATCAGGGCCCAGAGCTGCTTTCTATGCGATTTGGTGAATCCGAAGCGAACGTCCGTAAACTGTTCGACCAAGCTCGCGCGGCGGCGCCTTGCATAGTATTCTTCGACGAGCTTGAGACTCTCACCAAGCCTCATGGTTCACACATGGGTGATAGCGGAGCCAGTGGTCGTGTGTTGAATCAATTGCTCGTGGAGATGGACGGAATTAACGTGAGGAAGGACGTGTTCGTTATCGCGGCCACAAATAGACCAGACCAGGTCGATCCTGCCCTCCTTTGTCACGGGCGTTTTGATAGACTCATCCACATTGCCCTACCTGACGAAACAGCACGCCTTTCCATTCCGAAGGCGATATTACGGGCGCCACCTGGACCCACTCTGACCGGATTCCCAGCGGAGACGGATCTCAAGTGGCTTGCCCAGAAGACACCCGGATTCTCAGGTGCGGATTTAATGGGAGTTTGTCGCCGTTCGCTGGAATTGTATCTACGGTCACTTGGCGAAGGGAAGGGAATGAAATGCCAACGGCAGGCCACCGTTCACAGCAAAGATTCATGCTTGATCACCAGGTTTGTATGCACCTCTTCTCCAATTCAGTTCCCTCAATCCGCGCTTTTTAGGGAGCACCTCAAGGAAGCCCTAAGGCAAACACGCCCCTCAGTTTCTGAAGAAACAGCTTATCGTTATGAGGTTCTTTCCGCGGTGCGTACTCCAGTTCATGATCGGGATTCTGGCCACTGAAACGCGAGGCAGCAATCGGAAAATACAAATGTATCAATACCCAAGCCACGTTCTTCGCCTTCTATGTACAAAACTACTCCCGTTTACTGGATTTGGGTCCATTTATCTGCAATATTGGGATATCTTTTCGCTCAAATCGGGAGAGTCGTGGACTACCCCCATAGACGTGCCCTTCTCGTTGCCAACAGTGAGTCAAAATGTTGGGTGTTTTCAAAGCTGAGTTCCATCCTTCACGAAAAGGGAGCAATGGCATTTAGTAGAAACAGAACGTTTTCAAAGTAAATCCAGGTTGAGTGTGGCGAATATTCCTCTCAGAAGATAGCCTGGCCTGTTTTTGTAGCTCCTTGTCTAAATTCATTTATTGCGTTGATCATCCTTACGATTGCAGGATATGCCGCCCCAGAACCAGACGACCTCTGAAGATTAATCTCCTCGTATCGGGGGTGTGCATTCATTTCCTGACCCAGCCTATCATATCGATTGAACGCACCGGCTTCTCCCTGGCTTATCGATGTGGATTCAGCTGCGGGTTCCGGATTGAATGCCCATTGCCCAGAAGATGGTGAGAACGGTGTCCAACAGAACCCTCGCCGGCGACTTTATGCAAACTCCTTGAGGCGACCCTTCTCAACCCTCCTCCTTTACTTTCAATGAATACGCAAAATCGCGGCAAGTATGCACAGCTGCTCACCGTCGTGGGGAGGCGGACAGCGTTCGAGGCGTCACCGAGTAAATTACAATAACGATGCTTTTGATCGAACGAACTAATGCTGGAAACAGTGCAACTCGCCGTTGTGCACCCGGACACCACGGAGACGATGGGCATACAACAATTTCAAACTATCTTGATCAAGTATGTTCATTGTTTTGTGCGCTGGCATTCGTCCAACATTTCCGTGGACCCCAAATTTCTAGGGCAGAGAACGGACGAAGCACTGCGCTGATGTGCTTCTCGGATGGGGATTGTCCAAGGGGGAAGATAGAAATACACGAAGACGCTCGCGCAAATTTAGGAGTGAATTGGAGCGACAGGGTCGACGTACGGGGTACCATCCATGGCCAGGACTTGATCGCGAAATCGATCTATGTAGAAGCCCCTCACAGTAGCTGCAGCAACGCCGAGGTGGTACATGTCTTGAAGGAATACTTTGACGATGGTGAGCGTGTTCATCTCCGCGGTGCTCACTGGTGTTCTTACATGAAGAGTTCGCAGCCGCTCGCAGACAGCTCCCTTTGCACGAGGGTGACGTATTTGTCGCTAAAAAAATGCGGTTTGGAGTCGCCAAAATGGGCCCACTGGCATTTGGTAGCGTAGGGAAATCTACCAAAGTTGAACTTGGTATGTGGAACCTTTGGTCGAGATGATATCTTAATGTCTCCTACTTTACGTCAGTCACTCGAGTCGTCAATCATTGGGAAACACGCCCAAATCCACCTGCAACCACTCGCAAAGGTGGTACTAGTGAACAGCCATACCCAAGTATCACTTTCCAGGCAGAAACAGTCAGCGAAAGCAACATCAATCTCAGTGTCACTCACTACCACCGCACATTGGTAATTATGAGCCCCAGGCTGGAGGACGTGGGTAAATACCCTCTATGTGGACCTCAGATCGATCACATTTCGCAAATGGCGCAGGTAGCGCAGGATACGGTTCCGAACGCATATATGCGCTCCCCCCAGCCAGTGCCATATACTCTGTGTACCTAAAATGATGACTTTATCATAAGTCGGATTTATGTGATTCCGATAGTTCAAGGCCGACTGTCTTCAACTGAAGTACACACCCCCGAGACCTCAGTTCAACTCGAAAATCTGGGACTCTGTCAGCTCCACATAACATACCTCATTATCTCTTAGGCACCTAAATAGTTGAAGAAGAATTCTTTCTCTCAGTGTCGGCCGTGATCCTCCTCCCAACTACGGATTAAAGAGTTGACTGAGGTCAACTCTTAAATCCGCGACAATCTGGAAATTGCTCGACTCACAGGAGTTCCACCGCACAATGGTGGACTGCTGGCAGGGCCGTATGTTATTACCGTGAAAATCCAATGGGTAAGTTTAACATCTCTGGCCTCTAAAATGTATCCCTTTTGGAGTACCGTCGGTACTCCATTTAGGGCTCTCGTTACCTTATAAGGTATCACATTCTTAGGTGGCAGAAAATCTCTGAATCGGAAACAACGGCGATCATTAGGGCGGCCAATCGGTAACATGACCTGCTGTATCCTGCACACCCATAAACACCCATAGTACCATCCCAGAATGAATGGTCTCAGCCTACTCGACGGCTGAAGCGCCACCCACTCCTATGTGACTCTTGACGGGATCGTCGTGTGTTCTAAGTCTTGTCGGACACTAGTATTCAAATAATAAGAATTCTATGCGCGACATATTTCACCCACAGCCTATCGAGGAGAGCAATTTCAAACAACAGGTTATCGACGCGGAGACTCGTGGAGATGACCCTGGCGAACGCGTCGACGCGTCGGGGACTAATCGTCACGTGTGCGAAGCATGCCGCTGTGCCGAGTGATGGTTGACCTCGTCATTTCCAAACCCCGAACTTCCTGCAGAGGTGGGGCAAAGCCGATCGGCCTCGAGTAAACTTCAAGCACATTTTCCAATGAATTTCAAATACCAACCGCCCTACAGAGAACGGGCTATTCAGCAACATGTAAGACCGTGTCCTGTTAACTATTTCGTCGCCGTCTGGAAGGAAGGCATACCATGAGAATCGCTTCGTTAAGCCCTCTGTTCCCGCTACATCATTGCTCCACCTGGGGCCATGCTGTAATCACAAGTTAGAGGGTAATTAATCCTGTGTATGCAACTGCTAAAAATTAGCCACAAATCATGTAAAGCCTTTATCCAAGACTGCGTAATTTGAAAACATAAGTACTTCATGCACCTCTTAGACCTGGGAGACTTAAGCGCTCGTTCCAGCAAGGCCCAACAGCGTCTTCATCCATAAAGGCTGTTGACCATCGTAATGTCATTACTTAGATTGCCTTGTGGCACTTGAAGGATGCATGGATTGTGCAATAGTGGCGCCAGCGTGAGAAGGCTAGAGGGTTTAGGTGGGCATTGCTCTGTGGATATATGGAATATAATGACAGTACTGCCCGCACAATATTTTTCTCCAAAGGCTGCCCTATTTGACGGAATGTAGACGAATTACTAGTCTTTCATCAACCACGATAGTCGCTCACAATATCTGCGCATCGGTATCGTAACGGGCTTCCTCTCTTGATAGGTGATAGCCGTACCATTACAACAGGAGCCGATATAGTCTTGTTACACAGCAGATCGATTGACGTTGTGCAGCTAGGCGTGGATACATTCGGCATACCGTCAGCTCAGTGATTGGTGGAAACGGCCTGACACCGTACCTGTGAGGCGCCTGATGTAAGGTGATTGGGTAGACTAACCTAGTCGGAATTGTGGCAAAAATGGCAGTGTAATCTGTATCTGTGGGATCCCGGGCGCATAACTCAAAGGGGCTCAAAGGTGAAGGGGCGCCAACTGGGGAACTTCAGCCGCATGGACAGGCAGACTGAAGTCAGTTCCCGAGTATTTGCTATCCATCCTGGACTTAGGCTCAGCGCATCCAAATTGTTGAAGTCCCCTTTCGGACGCCCGTCAATTCACACAGACATAAAAGGTCCAGGGTGTAGACTTGGGCCTTACTGGAACAAATCACCCACTTCTGCAACAGCAACGACTACTGCTCGAATCGCCGTCAATATGCCTGGTAATGCCAGTAGACCTTCAACCAATTGTGACCTTTCTGATTTTCTGGTGCAAGGTCAACATACATACTCTCTTATCGTCCAAGTTCCTCTCGACGACGCCGCTAACCAGGTCCAATTAATCGTTGACGGTAGGTGACTGGCATGTACTCAGCGTGAGCACAATGGCCTGACCCTGAGGCGGCTGTCAATAAGGCTCTTGCCGAAGCAAGTGGTCGTCAAGAGCAGCTCAACGGATTACATTCAGTGGCAGTAGTGCATCCAGGGTCTCCCAAAACAAACGGAGAAAATCTGGCCGTGGACTTCAGCAAGCGTGAAGCGATGAATACTCCCATTGGAATTCAACTGCCGGCGCAGAACACAGCGCCCCCCAGCGACGACGGGAACGAGTAGGTACAATGGCAGACCAGTACGCGATAATTTCGGGATACCCGACTCTGTCTTCTAGCTCCGTTGTACCTTGAAACTGTAGTATGGGCCTCGTATTTCTTCCCCTTTTCCTAATGCTGTTTTTATATTTTAAAAATTTCAGAAACCCCAATGTCATGACTTTGATTTGAAACGATCCTTCTAAGGCGAGCGGGCTCCGCCATCGGATCCCCCAGTCTGCCTTAACCCTTGAGACGCGACTGCAATATATTTACAACAAGATATTTCCGCTGATTTTTGCTCCCTTAAGCTTCTTTCCAGAGTCCACTTTGAGGGGGGAATTGCTCAACTGATAGCTATGATGCAGAGTCACGACATGAACCCGCCATAATCGACAGACGGAAGGATGATGGAGATAGAGAACGTGAAATGTTGGGTAAGCGAACGGGCTCGAGTAATTTTACAGATGGCACGAATTAGATGGCTCGGACTTCAGACTCGACGGCGCGTCAAGCGTAATAAGCGCTCGCGCGGCAGTTTCCATATTTTCCACTCGCCGTGCCGCTCTCTCGGCTCTGATATACTAAAGCGGGCAAGGGATTCGATTAACGCAACGACCTGGCTCCGGAATCCAACCGGGTCGGGACGGATAGTGTGGACGCTGGGCAAAACACCACTCGTCTCAGGAAACTGAGGCTTACTCTCCGATGTATGAGTTTCCGTGCCCGACAATCGCAGATGACAACGCTGCGCATTGCCTATATGACAGAGCAAGTGAAGGTGCAAGGGTGGGATGACGAATGGAAAAGGGAAAAGATGAAAGGGACACCAGTGAAAAAGAAGAGAAAGCGCACTTGTACTCTCGATTCGTCTCGGACCAGGCTCTGCGGCGTGCTTGCCCTGATGCAAGCAGTTCGTGAAGGTGGAAGTGATGAAACCGACAATGCTCAAACCAAATGAAGACAGTGCGGTGACTCATGGCGGCGCACATTCGCGACGGGGAGAGGTGGGACGGCAATGTTGTTGTAGTCAGAAGGAATCGCTCTCGCAAACTCAAGCGGCAGTCCACAGAATTGTTGAATGGATGCGCGGTTATTGCAATACATTTCGTGGTCTATTGTGAGAGAGACAGTGGACGCTGATACGTTGGTACGAGGGAGTCGGAGGGACAGTCGAGCGGGCGATTGCAAAGTAAGGGTGGGAATTTTCCACTCTGGCTATCCGCATTCCCACGATCAGAAAATATTCTCTCAGTTCGGTTCTCGCAGGTTGCGACTGCTAGTATGGCTCAATTCGCGTCCGCTGCCGTCGCTTTCCGCCGGGAGTCCCCAGTTTTTTCGAATGTTTCGGGTTAAAATGTTAAATGCAGCCTCCCTGATGGATTGGTGAGAACTTGTCAATGATAGTGCTGTGTGAACGGGTAAAACACATTCAATTAGATATGTGGCGGCTGGGAGCTGCATTAATTACGATCTCGGTCTTTCCATGAGTGTGGATCTGCGCATTGACTAAGATCTTACCCGAATCCTGGATTATCTTCACGGGTTCCCCCTTCGCGGGAGGTGTCAGATTAAATAAGCGCCCGTCCAACAGAGGCGAGATGAACGATGATGACGACACGAAGTTGGCCGATGACAAGGATCCGCGTGAATGCAAAAGGAGGGGTCACATAACCTTTTAATAGCGCTCATGCATTCTAGTGTTCTGGCCTGAACAAATTCGTTGGTTGGGACGCATACATATGCCTGTACCCAGCGCTCAGCTTGTGGATGCCGATTGGCGACAGCTCATGCCATATCTGCGGACATTTCTACCTTCGTGGAATGTGGAAAACTTGCACAGCAGCTGCCATTCTCGTTTGGAGAAGAGGTGACAGGCCGCTCGTGGTATTCGGCATCTTACTTTGAAGTGACACTTACCTGGGAACGTGGAGCTTCCAATTCATTCAGATCACGACATACAAGCTGATTTTTCTTCATCATGTCATTGACAGGCCCTTAGCAGTCAGCGTTTGTGGCGGGAGAATGAGTGATATAGCAAAATCTATATCCCTTTCTATTCTCAGTCTGTTGTACCCCGTCGCGCGTCAGAACGTTGATGCGAGCAGAACGCAGGGCAACGTAAAGTTTGACCTGTAGATCCTGTGAGAGTGGGCCCGCCATCAGAGATACGAACGGACAGACGCAGTTACCTCACATCGTTCGAATATGTTAGCTTACTATCTCAAACCAAATCAAGTCTGATATCTGAGGAGAGGCGTTCACACCGCTGACTGTCGATCATATGATGTAGAATTATATGTTAATTTGGAAGACAATGGTTGCAAGATCCTCCGAACCACCCACTACGAACGGTGCGCACATGTCTTCTGGATAGGGCGTCGCAGCGGGCTCGCGACGGACGGTTCAGAGTTTCATCCCTCACCATCGGAGCTGACTACCTCTCTGAGACTTGTTCATACTGAGCTAATGCAGGGGACACGGGACAAGCATCACCCCTCGTCCCACACCGGACGGGCATGACACGGGGCGAGTGCTGCAACCGCTTATGGAACAGCATAACAAATTTCGTAGCATCTCCCTTTCAGGTTTCCAAATGGGCAATCTGTACAGAGGCCTATATGCAAATTTCAAGACCGACGTCGTGGATGGGATCTCGTGGAGAACGGTCGTCATGATCAGTGGCATTCGAGGGTGATATACGAAGCACAGCCTAACACCGACTCTCAGTGCGCTATCCACATCCGCCTCCCATCACTGCCAATCCCATTCCACCGCGCAATCGCCCGGGCGCTGATATCCAGAATTGGCGAGCAGTTTGCGTCCGTGATCAGCGGACATGCGCCACACCACGTGGAACCTAGCGCGCTTGAAATGTCCCTCGATCTCAAGACCACTACAGCCAACGTTCAAGGAGGGCGGCATGCAAGTATACCTCGCGATTCACGGTGATGTAACAGGCCACAATGGCTATCGGAAGAGAGAAACCCCTGAACGCGGCGCTTTCACCAAGAGGAGGTGACTAGCCTGGACGTAAATTGCTATGGGTAGAAGGTGGGACAGCCCGTACAGGTGCGAAGAGGCCAAGCGATAGGATGATAGCATCCGTCTGTTGTCGACACCCATGAGATAGACCTATAATGATTTGTTGCAGTCAGATCAAATTGTTGGCGGGCACGAAGGCAAGGAATGAAAACGAGAGAACGGATAAAGGCAGGGGCAGGAATGATTACGTTGAAAACGAAAGACGCACCGTCTCGTTACCCGTCACCCGCACCGCGAAACGGACAATCTGCCTTGGAGCCTCTCGAGTGACAGTTTACAATCAAACTCGAGGAAGAAGTTCCTGAGGGGCATCTTCCCAATAAATCCGGAACGAGGTACACGACCTGTGAAGGAAATTCCAAGTCAGACTGACCGAGATCATATGGGAACAACGAGAACAATGCCCCCAAAGACGGTAGAGGCGCACAGTCGCCGCATACAGGAAGTTAGAGAGAATGTATGCCGCAATGACTCCAGAGTTGACTGATGGGAGATGAAGTGATCACTACGACAAGCAGGCTTGCCGTGCGAATAGAGTGCAGGAGAGTTGACTCACCGTGGAATGGGATATAATGCTAGCTTTATGCAGACCTTGATGGTCCGGCTCGAGGAAGGCCACAGTGAACTGGTATCCGCACTCCTCTGCACCCTTCTATGCTCGATACCACCGTTTCAAGGTCATAAGAAGAAGCTGAAGCTGAGGTAGCCAGCAGGAATCGAGTTCAATCTTTCTCCTCTCCTCCCGGCTGGTACGCAAAGTTCGGGTCTCCTGTTTGACGGATATATGCGTCCGATTTGGTGGCTTAGGCACGCTATATGCGTTGAGGTGCTGTCATGAAGCGAGACGCGAGAGTAACGCAGACTCTCGAGAATGTCCAGCGCCATGGTAGAGGAACAGCAATCTGTGAAAGACAAGGTCAGCGAGCTTTCCATATGGGCAAAAAAGTGGAAAGAAGCGACAGATCAACAGATCATTGGGTGGAAGGAAACCAAGGAACGCGAACGTTCACGAAAGGACGGAAATAAAGCGCATATATGACGCCGTGCATACTAATTTGAGGTGCCTAGCGAGCTCCCTCCCCCCGTGGTCTGCCGACTCTCTATTGCCCTTCCAGAGACGGAGACGACAATCAGAGGCGGTTCGGTTACAACGCCGCGGCTACTAGTACCAGGATGGCGTTTCGGAGGATCGAAGCGCTCTCCCGACTCGTCGTGCATGGCGTCGCACGCGATTGTTGCATAGAGCCTCTCGAAGGCTAGAAAATTTTCTGTCAGAAAGCTGACTGAACAAGAAGCTAGCCCAGCATACCTGATTCTCCTCGATGATCGACGAATACGCTTCCCGTGGCGATGATGTCGCTGCTGTTGTCGGACATATCCCAGCTACATTGACACACTCCGCAGATCTAAACGTCGGTGGTCAGACGCTGAACAGAGGCAAAAAGAGGTGAATAAGACTCACCAGAAAATAGTGGAAGGGGGGCAGAACCTGAGGCTGCGGGAGAACGCTTAACTCGTTTCCTGGCCAATTTTCACAGCCTCAGTCTGCATGGCCTCCTGTTAGGTTGAGGCTTAAAGCTCAGGAAATACAGCATCCAAGCTTAAGCGGATTATTGTTATTCACCCACATGATCCCTCTGAACGTCTTGGAGGACGGGTAGCTGGGAGATGGTGGATTGAGATCAAATTGATGCCTGGAACATAGTTGAGTAGGGGAGCGACCGGGCCGGAGCTTTCCCACGAGCGAACCTGCTACATATGCCCTACCGCAGTACCGAATTTATATCAGCTAGCACTGTCAAAGCCACTCAACATCCACCATACGATTTATCTCCGACGCCCTCCAAGTAATGGCCATTTATAACAACAGCAAGCAATTAAAAGTACAACATGGCCCCAGGTCCAAAAATATACAGCTTTTTGAAGCGCAGTCTCGCCTTCACCGGGACCTCAATTGGGACACCTGAGATTACATCTCTCCTCCACCCCGACTTTCATCGATTCAGATCCTCAATGTCCTCTTTCTTCGAGAATGCCAGTAACGTCACGATAAAGGGTACTTCGTTCAGCGTCGTGAACGGCGGAATGCAAGTGTTCGACAACAGCAGGCATAGCGCGAACGTCAACTCTTTCAATACAACTAACGACACAACAGTGGACTCATATAATGACAACTCTCGACGTTATCGTAAGTTGTGCGTTCGAATTTGCGTCATAGAGCTCATATGCGAGACAGGTGGAACCAGTCGCCCTGCGTCGCCGCGCCCACCACCTTCGCCTTACGATCGCCCACGATCCGCGGGAGCAAGCTATGGTGTGTCCTGATACATCTTTACTACTTCATTGCATTACACACCTCTAACTAGGACGGCCTCGTCACTTGACTCCTGATTATAACGGAGATCCGAACCAGCGCGGTGATAGAGGCGATGTGGGCGCTCATGAGTATCCGACAAATTGGGGGCTTCCACCTCCCCAACCTAGCCCATGGATGTATGGACAGCCATACCCATACCAGTATCCTGGTCCTCCACCGCAACATCTGTACCCATATCATCAATACGGATATCCACCACCTGGGGCGTTTCAACCATCCCCGAACCCAGACTACGCGCGGTCTCCCCAGGAGAATGACCGCCGAATGTTCGGTGATGTCGCGAATGATATGGATAAAGATAGAAGAGATGGAGGCGAAGAGGCGAAAAAGACGAAGAAAAAGAAAGACAAAAGCAGTCGCGAGCATCGAAGGGAGGGAAATTCGGTCCAACCGGCTCCAGATACCAGTAACGAAGTCATCACACAGGACATGTCGAAGATGTCATTGGTCGACGAATCTCGCCCTGAATTCTCGCGTGTTAAGTCCGATCCTCAAAATCCGATTGTAGTGGAACCTGCTGGTGACGGTCTAACTACGTCTCATGTGGCGAGTCCCTCCAAGTCGGCGGTCGTGTCCAGAGAGGTACAATCAATGGATCGCTCTCACACTGCGAAGGATTGACGCCGTTTATCGACAGGCTCCTGCAGGCTCTCCCAGCCCCGCAAGCTTTTCTAACACGACAGAAAAGCCACAGATTTCGCGAACGTCGAAGCTACTCCAACTTGGCAAGGAAGGTGGAAATCTGCTTCTCACATTGGTCCAAGAGGCAGCCCAGTTCGCGCCAATCCCATACCTTCAACTAGCAGCTGACACAACACTCAAGATTGTGAACACGGTGCAGGTAGGTGTTATTTTAGTTCTTTATTCATGCCATCGAGCTCATCGATGGAGCGGTATTCTAGGCCGTGAAAGGTAATCAAGCCGATTTCAAGCAATTGGCACAGGACTCGACGGAGCTCATCGCCGTGGTGTGGAGATCGTACCAAAAGGCTTCTGATCCAGAGGCTTGGGCGAAGGAGAAACTCGAAATGGTGGAGAGCTTCGTAACGTGAGTGGCCGCTATCGCAAGCTTAATTTACTCTTGATGAGGCACCTTCCGCAGAACCCTACACATGATACTGGCATTCGTCGAAGATCAGGTGGACAGGAACGTTGCCGTCCGCGTTATATTCAGCGTAGCCGACGCAGGGAAAATTAAAGCACTTCGCGAACGATTGCATACCGCCGTGGAGAAATTTGAAGTGCGTTGTTTTGATTTCCTGCTACTACCCTTGGTGTTGAATAATTACTACAGGTGTCGTCACATCTCAGCATCCAGGATATGCTACAAGAGGTCCTGAACGGTCAGAAAGAGATCGTTTCTCGACTTGAGAAGCAGGAAAGGTATTTCGTAACCACCTCTGGTCAAGGATTCGGTGAAATAGCATAGATATGCTGTGCCGTTTGATCAAATTTGAGTCGTCGAGAAGCACGTAATCGCCACCTGGGTGCGTAAGGTATTTATTGACGGGTACATCCCGGAAAAAGAAGGCAGAGCGCGGCGAAGGGCTGGGAGGCCAAAAGGGCCCACAAAAAATAAGGACAACCTGGATTATAACTATCCCGGAATTTTCCAATATCATCCTCAAACCTCCTGTGACGCTATTTTAATATCTATCTACCCCTTCGAATTCATGTTCCGATCAACATGCCTGACGCTCTCAGAACTTTTAGGAACCGATCCATGGAGGGGTCACCCGCATTCGATGATACAAACTTTTTGAGGTGCTCGCTGATCTTTGCTCGTATTCGGAGCGAACGGTGTATGCGTCCAGTTCCGCATTTCGCGTTACGGAAGCTCTCGGGCGGGGCTAAATTTATCCAGATTCTATCCAAGCGAGGGAAACTGGAAGCCGCAAAATCGAGGAGAACCCCCTGAAGGAGCTCCATGAATACATAGAAAATAAGGACTGGAAAGAGGGGCTCACGATGGTATCTCGTTCTGATGGGTGCCCCCAATTCCGCGATTCGTTGACAGATATCGACAGATATTTTAATCTATCGCATTGGCGGAGAATCGAGACGTTATGAGGACCGAAGCACCATTTCCCTTCATACGGCGCAGAGACCTGTAGAATCTCTAAGGTTTCCATGTGTAGAGACAAACCTTGAGCATAAAATCGAGTTCCAAACCGATCCGAGGTCGCTGCTTCTGGGTACCAGGGACTCCGGATGTCCAGTTTCTTCAATCCAGAGTAACCCGAAATATAATCGATGAAGCCGTTCCCGACGTTATCGACTGTTATCTCTTGAAGTTGTACTTCGATGGATGATAATGCTGTCCATATTTGGTCGAGGGTCAACCCAGTAACGGTGGCTTCCAACAAATCTTCTCGGAAACGCCTTCCGTATATTTTATCGGTTACTCCTGGCTCGAAAATCCGAACGAGGTGCAAGGAGATAAGATGGCGGAAATGAGGAAGAATGGATCCATCGAGGTTGACGAGCATGTTGGATAAGGAGAGCTTCTTCAGATGAACGGGATTGCGTGGAGAGCACTCTTCAAAGAGCTGGCGAACACTCGAGTTCGGGATACCGTCTGCACGTCTTCCTGTGTTGATGATAGATAAATTTTCAAGATTCGGGGAAGCGGCCAGTGCTTTGGAGAAGTAGCGAATCATTTCCCTGTCATAGTCGCTGTTGGTCCCGATCTGCACCCCGATTTCTTCGAGGTCAGGAAGCTCGTTCAATCCAGAAGTGACATTCCCGAGGACCTCTAAGTTCATTTCGGTGTATTGGACGAAGGTTAGACGGCGGAGCTGAGGAGATGCGTGAAGAGCATCCACTACCCCTGAAATGGCCCAGTCGGGGTCTCTAGTACTTCGTGTCCATCTAGGCAGGAGGAGTTCAGCTTTGCACCAAACATGAGGAGATGGATACCTGACTGAAGTTACTCCTGTCAAGCAAAGCAATGCTGTCAAAAGGGTCTTGGAGAGTTGCGAGCTACGATCGTTCAAGACGTTATCGCGACATCCACTGCTGTCGGATATGGACGAGCCAATCTCTGGTCCGGGCTTCTCTCCGAGCAACCAAGGTCCTATCGACAGACTGTGAACGGAGCGAACAATTGCCGGGTATTCGCCGCGAGCGAGCGATTTCATACGAGATAATTGCTTTTTGATCAAATCGTGGCCCGTGCAGCAGATAGTGAGAGAGGAAAGGAGTCGAGGTTCCAAGTATTCCCCGATTTGCTTGCAAGCGAGACGTGCGTTTTGTGCGTCGTTTATCTCGAGCTAATCCAAATAGGAGGCATTGAGACGAGGTCCACTTTCAACTGTGGGTGGACTTACACAGTCGCCTATGATCCTGAATAGCTCTGGGGCAAGGTCGATAATTGACATGGTCAGGTGCGTACTGTGGATGGAGATCTTGTGGAGGTCGTCTTATAAGCTCCCCCGCCGTTCACTGTGGGAAGTGATTTCCCCTGAATCGGCTGAATCGGCAGCTTCTGACCTAAAAAAAAGTACCAGAATGAGGTGCCACCGGAGGCAGGTATTTCGAAGGTAATCCCTTAGAATGCTTAGAAGGCAGGGAGTTTGATGTTTCTGATAATTATTCGGGCATCCTCGACATGTCTTAACTGCGACCTCACACCCGAAACACTGCCCAAGACTCGCGTTCGTCATACGAAAGGTAAGTGATATCATTTTCATATCTCATTTACAACTACATAACTAAGAAGGCCCCTTCCGTGTCCTCAACAGCCGATGACATCCTTCGACCATGCCGTGCGCCCCTCCCCTTCAACAATGGATGTGGGCTGCCTTCTCTGGGTGTTCAGCGACCCCTCGCTCATCCCCCTGCTCACCCGGATAATCCCACATGTGCCAAACTACGCCCTTGCTTACCCTGGACACCCTGCACCTACACCGCGTGCCCCTCCCCTTCAACAAGGGTTATGGGCTGGCATTTCTGCGGGACACCCCACTCGCCCGCTCACCCAACACCCTTGACACCCATCACCTGCCCTTTTCGCGGCGTATGCCCCTCCCCTTCACCAAGGGACGTGGGCTGGCTCTTCTTCGACGATGCCGACTCCCATCCCGCCACCCCCAACTCCTCATGCTACGTTGGCGTCGCCGACCTCCCACCGCATCTACCACCCTCGCCGATATGCCACGACACGTCTCCCATCATCGCCCGCCCATCATCACCCAATCCTCCAGTAACACAGCCCTCGGACCCCCGATCTCGACGGTTGGAGCTCTTTGGTTGCGCGGCACACCTTCCAGCATGCCCCAGCCATTCCAACCAGCTGTCCATAACGGCAATCAGGACGACACGCCCCCCCTTCCCAATCTCCTCTCTCACACTCGACCTCCGCATCTGCCCAGCCCGCTCTCACCTGCCATTTGTCGACCAGGATGAAGGGGTGAAGACGATGACGAAGAAACCACGAGGGCGACGCAACGAGGACGCTACGGTGACGGCACAGGATATGGCGAGGGCAAAAGCGACGAGGGAGGACGAGAGCAGGAGAACGACAGAAAGGACGAGACCGAGGGGTGGCAAGATCGAAATGTGGACGGCAATGGCAATGGCGAGACGCGGACGGCAGGAGCGAGAGCGATGAGAACATTGAAGTCCCTTTGTTTGGCATCACCGTGTTTGCTTCAATGGGCGACCAAACAAATTGAGGAAAGGATCCTCGTTTTGTTTGGATGCCTATTGGAACAAACACGCCGATGCCAAACATATCGCGACCACGTGATGCGGACGCTCTTGTTGGCCGACTCCGACGCGTTGTCTCTTCCCTCCTGCCACCATCTCCAAACTCCATGTCCACCATATATCTGTCCTGATCCCCCATCTTAGGGCGCAGATAGGCTCGTACTCATTGAAAATCCATACAGACCACCTATAGAGGTGAGCTATGGGTTCCGATCTGGCTGATCTGGACTCTGATGGGCTGATCGTGGTCAAAGGCGATGGGGCGGTATTTGGGAATGTAAGTTCCCATTTCGTTGGGTATGCGTGCTCATTTACGTCCAATTTTGCCTAGTTTTACTCTATGTCTTCCCGAGGTATGCTCTGCACGTAGTGTGCGCCCGCCTATCGTCGGGAGATAGCTCCCACACAACGACTTCGAGACTTGAGGGTTCCGGCAAATGTTTCCATAGTCAAGTAAGGTCTTCTCCATCTCCCTATTTCACAGCTGCGTGCAGCACGATTTTGCTCATCAAGTTGAATGGTGCGTTCCTTCCTCTATTCTCTTTCTCGTTTAATGATTTCCCCTGTAGACACGACCGTTTCAGCCTGGATCACCACCCTCCACGATGATACCGCTTCCGTCGGCATTGTCGTGTGCCAGACCTACTCGAACAAGAAGGCGCAGCTCAAGCCTCACGGCACGGACATGTCGCTCACGGGAATCGGTGGCTCCAACGACCACACATGACCATGTATGCCACGAAATGCAGACGTCTATGTGGTGTGCAATTCGAGCTCCCCCTGTTGTACGCCCTCTCTTACTTTCATTATCTATGTATAATATCATGCTGACCTCTTCTCCAATGTTCGTGAGCAGCGCGAACGTTACGACGAACAGCCACAAAGATACCCCAACCCGCGATGGCAGGAACGAGGAGCAGACGCCGACCCGCCGTTATCGGAGAAACCCCTTGCAGGTACATTAAACTTTGCCCCCTCCTGTTGCGTCTACGTCTCTGATCGACTTTCGAGTGCATCACAGCACAACTCCTGAGAATGGGAATCGTTGTGCATCGAGGCACAAGCCAACTCAGCTCACGACCGCAGGACAGCCACTTCGAGGGCAGGGGTGAATGTTCGTAACATCGGGGTAGGTCGGTAGGTGGTGAAACCTGACCATAGTGCTGCCGCGAAAGTCGGCACCCTGCGCCTCTGCTCGTTGTACCACCTCTCTCTTCCTAATGTCGTTGCACCGTGTTGGGCTGACCTCTCTTTACAGCTGTCCCTCACGCTTGCCCCCTTCTACTCACCCTAGTGTCCCCTGTCCGCCTGTCCGTAAATGATAGCGATCGCAGGTACGTCGGCCCATTGCCGCCTCCCGTGATTTCCTCATCTGACGATATTTCCAGTCTGCTGGATGCGGGGTGACAACCATTGACCTAACACCTCGTGAGCGGCTGAACATCAGGGAGAGTGAGGAGGGTGGCGGCGGCAGTGAAATTACGAGAGCGAAAGAGAGTGCCCAGTGGTTAATGGTTAGTCAAAGTTTTCGAGTCATGTTATATCCGACAAATGTGGACAGCGCCGTCCCCCCAATCCCTCCACGTAGTCTACCTTTCATGTAGTAGATAGCAATATTACTGCTTTGAAACCGATTGGATATGCTCTGAGTTGAGACAGACCAATAGGCTGTCCTCATGATTCCCTCGAAACAGCTGCATCACAGAAGCAAGCTGATAGCCTGCGTGAACGGACGCATTTTCACCTGATTGAAGGGTATTCGCGCAGCTTATTCACCTGAAAAATCCTTGATTCAGAGGACTTAATTACAGGATTCCTCCTGCCTCAAAATACCCTTGATTGAACTGAAATTACAGGTTGCCCGAAAAAAATGAATTGGCTTCCCTCAGTGCGTTGCGATTGAAAGTTTGAAACTGACTCACTAAATGACGTAGTGTTTCATAGCATTTCTCACGCCTTCGAGCTAACACAAAATCTGAATACTGGCCACTGATCAATACTTTGATATACGGAAATTAATTGGAACCCGTCTTGCACTATCCCGAGTCTGCGAGATCAGCTGTACGTCGAGAAAGCCCGAGTGGCTGAGGGACTTGTTCCCATCATGATATTCACGCTATATCAGCCCCTGAAACCCAGTTAGATGCCTTGTCATGCACTTCTCTCGGCAGAACGACGGTCCGATCACACACGTGATCTGGTCCGTCACGGCTCGTGGACGGTTCGGCACAGCCACCGGCGTGTCCGGGCCGGGGTACTGTCTTCCCCTCTGTCACCCCGCGTTGCGCGTGTTTGTCTCGGGGCCCTTCGTCTCCCGCGCCGTCTATCGCTCTGGGATGGCTGACACATGCTGACATGCCCTTCTTTTTTCCCTAGGTCGGCAGTCCCTCCGGCTGTCTCACGGGCCATCGACGGCCTGCACAACAACGGCTGGCACACGTCCCTGTTGGGATGATCGGCCCCTATCATGGGCGTCTCCACTGCCACGGGCGCCTACGCGCTCGTGCTCGTCGTCGCGTTCCTGTGCGGCTACGCGCTCGGCGCTCGGCGCGGTCCTGCCTTCCGTCAGGGTGCTGCAAAAAAAGTGGGACCTGCCCCAGCCCCAGCCCCTCCTGTCCGTGCAGCGTGCACCCCACCGCCGCTGCCAACACACACCAGGAAGCCAAGAAGACCATGAGGCGGTCCTCCGTTGGGTATGTCAATACCCAGTCTTCATATGTGGTACTCAGGCTAATCACACCCGTGGCATAAATATTAGGCAAGCAACATTATTTGCATGTACTCCTACAAGACAAAGGAGGAGCGCATTGCCATCAGCAAGGCCCGACGCACAGCGGCTCGTGCTGCAGCCGAGGGGGCTTGAGGCCTAGAATTACATACATAATAGCTTTATTTAGAATGCTCTGTAAATACATAAATGCACGATCCGACTAACGAAACTGTCTTTTGATGGTTGGAGACCGTCTTTTATTTGATGAACCGTTGGTTGTCAGTCCAGATATAGTTAAAATTTGATGAAAAGACGTGCCTCGACTGTCCTTTTTTTGACCAACCGTCCTTTTTGTGGCCCATGGCGGCTTCGGAAATTGATGGCCAGTTCATCAAAGACGGTTTTTTGAGCGGCTTCCCTGCAAGTGTCACACTGGCATGGCAGCTCACCTCGTTGGCTCAGGCTCCCAGTTCGGATCAACGTACGTAAATTACAACGCACATGCAACACGTGCATGTCAAGGACACAATATCTATACACATCAAGTCATCCTAGCTTTCCTCTCTTCCTCTCCCACCAACACACCCCATTTCAAGAACAGCACAATGCACCCCTTCATTGTCAATATGGTATCAAAATTTAGGTAAGTTATTTACATTCTATTCCTTCCTTATTCTTCTCCCCTTCCTTTCCTCATTTCCCCTCGGTGACGTGCACGCTCAGCGCTCATCCACCACATCAGGCCCACGCGGCCTTGGTTTGAGTGATGGGACGCTAAGCGGGGAACCAGCCTGTCTCGCGCCCACCTCATGCCCGCCGTGGGCTGAGCCCCCACGGGTCAGCAACGCGGCTCGCTCGTTTGGGGCATCCGCATCACACCGTGACAAACCGTCCTTTTTGGCGGTCCGAGCCCTACTTCTGTCGCAGATTACGCGCCAAATTTTTGTATCCACGTTTCATTTCTGCGTCTCGTAGATGAAGGCTGTCATTGTGACCTTAAGGGTGCTCCGGGGAATGTGTGTTTGGGAGCTTGCATGTTGTGCAAGCTCCGAGTCGAGCGACGCGTGAATAATGATGCCGCTACGAGTTTTTTTCTTAAAGAAAGAAATTTATTCTCAATTCCGTCTTTGCTCTCAATCGACAATGGCATGTTGGAAGAGCAGCATGCCAGTCCAGACGCCTTCCGTGGGAAATCTGAAAGATGGGCGCCTATTTCAGGCTCTGGCTGTCAATCAAACTGAAATAGCTGGTCACCCGGGCCTCTATGTTACCAACAACTGATTAAGTGATGAGGTTTTACTAATGTGACTCTGATGCGGGGAGAAGTAGGGCTCGGACCGCCAAAAAGGACGGTTTGTCACGGTGTGATGCGGATGCCCCAAACGAGCGAGCCGCGTTGCTGACCCGTGGGGGCTCAGCCCACGGCGGGCATGAGGTGGGCGCGAGACAGGCTGGTTCCCCGCTTAGCGTCCCATCACTCAAACCAAGGCCGCGTGGGCCTGATGTGGTGGATGAGCGCTGAGCGTGCACGTCACCGAGGGGAAATGAGGAAAGGAAGGGGAGAAGAATAAGGAAGGAATAGAATGTAAATAACTTACCTAAATTTTGATACCATATTGACAATGAAGGGGTGCATTGTGCTGTTCTTGAAATGGGGTGTGTTGGTGGGAGAGGAAGAGAGGAAAGCTAGGATGACTTGATGTGTATAGATATTGTGTCCTTGACATGCACGTGTTGCATGTGCGTTGTAATTTACGTACGTTGATCCGAACTGGGAGCCTGAGCCAACGAGGTGAGCTGCCATGCCAGTGTGACACTTGCAGGGAAGCCGCTCAAAAAACCGTCTTTGATGAACTGGCCATCAATTTCCGAAGCCGCCATGGGCCACAAAAAGGACGGTTGGTCAAAAAAAGGACAGTCGAGGCACGTCTTTTCATCAAATTTTAACTATATCTGGACTGACAACCAACGGTTCATCAAATAAAAGACGGTCTCCAACCATCAAAAGACAGTTTCGTTAGTCGGATCGTGCATTTATGTATTTACAGAGCATTCTAAATAAAGCTATTATGTATGTAATTCTAGGCCTCAAGCCCCCTCGGCTGCAGCACGAGCCGCTGTGCGTCGGGCCTTGCTGATGGCAATGCGCTCCTCCTTTGTCTTGTAGGAGTACATGCAAATAATGTTGCTTGCCTAATATTTATGCCACGGGTGTGATTAGCCTGAGTACCACATATGAAGACTGGGTATTGACATACCCAACGGAGGACCGCCTCATGGTCTTCTTGGCTTCCTGGTGTGTGTTGGCAGCGGCGGTGGGGTGCACGCTGCACGGACAGGAGGGGCTGGGGCTGGGGCAGGTCCCACTTTTTTTGCAGCACCCTGACGGAAGGCAGGACCGCGCCGAGCGCCGAGCGCGTAGCCGCACAGGAACGCGACGACGAGCACGAGCGCGTAGGCGCCCGTGGCAGTGGAGACGCCCATGATAGGGGCCGATCGTCCCAACAGGGACGTGTGCCAGCCGTTGTTGTGCAGGCCGTCGATGGCCCGTGAGACAGCCGGAGGGACTGCCGACCTAGGGAAAAAAGAAGGGCATGTCAGCATGTGTCAGCCATCCCAGAGCGATAGACGGCGCGGGAGACGAAGGGCCCCGAGACAAACACGCGCAACGCGGGGTGACAGAGGGGAAGACAGTACCCCGGCCCGGACACGCCGGTGGCTGTGCCGAACCGTCCACGAGCCGTGACGGACCAGATCACGTGTGTGATCGGACCGTCGTTCTGCCGAGAGAAGGAGTCAGGGATTTGAAGATGGCGCCAATTCACTATCTTATCTAGGCAGTTCTTTATGTAAGCGACATCAGGATCCAACTGTTTCTTCTGACCTAAATGCGTTAGCTTCAAGCCCTTCTTCGGTTCTCAGTGCTCACTACATCGGCTTGCGTTGATTATTGGACCTTCTGACCGTTATCGGCTTCTTCCGATGGGAAATCGCCGCACACCTTGGGCGATAAGGCGTTGAAGGCCTATTTAATGGGGATGGAGAGTCTAGGGCGTCCATGGAGCGTCTTTTTGACATCGGAGTTCGTGCTTAGATTTCTTGCGCGTCGGTATGTCTTGCTCACCATGGCGGTACAGCCTTCATATTCAACCCCGCACTTGGATCCCACACTTGGCCCCTATAAAGAGCCGCAAAGTTTGAACGAGATGGACGCCAATCTCGCCTTCCAGAGTCTGCACGCCTCGCTATGGCCCTGGGCCTGATAAGCCGCCTCCAATCCTTCGTCGAGTACTTCGTACCAATCCCATCGCCTTGTTTCGCTATATTTCGTATCGCCGCAAGGAAGAAGGCCCTTCTCATTGGAATCAAGCGTTGCAGGGATCCTCACTCTCCGAGCCGTAGTCTAACATCGACCCGGACAAATGAAGATATCGAGTTAAAAGGACCTCATCAGGATGCAATCAGAATGGGTATCCTTCTTCAAGGCAAGTATAGTTCTCAGATTTCTCTCATTCATACGAAGCTCATAGGCATTCTGGCAGAAAAATATGGTTATGACGCTGTGGATATCCGACACCTCCTTGACCATCCTGATCATGAGGAGCCCACGCGAGCAAACATCGTGCGCTACTACTCTACATATCCTCAAGTCGTAAGACAGAAAAGCTGATCTTTTATAGATAAAATACATCCTGTCGATGGTCCGCGATGCTCGACCCCGAGACCGCTTCTTCTTCCACTGTACGTGCCACGTGTTCGCTTCGAGAATGGGGCTTAGGCAAATCTATTGGCAGTCTCAGGGCACTCAAGTCAAGAAGACACTACCGATATTAATGAGCCCGATGGAATGAACGAATGTGTGTCACCCTTTTCTTCTTGTTTCGGCGTAGACGCCTCAAGCGCGACATCCGTAGATATACTTACTTGTCTAAACGAGAAGATTCTAGACAACGTAGGTGCCAAGTTCGTTGTATTTCCCTCGCTTTCTGAGGCAATCCAACAGGAACTAAATACATTACTCGTCAAATCCCTTCCCCCCGGAGGCTCGTTGACGGTGAGCGCTTCCCTTGACACATCTTACCTTCCACGTCATCTTATCTTTGATCCAACAGGCTGTGTTCGATTCGTGTCATTCGGGCACGCTGCTCGACCTTGACCATTATCTGTGTAACGGGATTTACCTCCCCTATGTCAACAAGGGACATCGAAAAACAAAAGATCTGTGGCGCAGGCAAGGTACGTGGTTTTCTCCTGGTCCAAGATCAATTTAGGAAAGAGACAACTTTTTTACAGGTCGGCAGGGCGCCTTTTTGCACGAATCTGGTGCAACTGCTGCCAGCACCTTGAACCGTCAATCAGGCAGCCGTTTGAATAACGCGAGCGCTTCAGGAGCCTCCCAGGCTACCTCGAACCCTGCATCGCGCACCCAGTCATCGGTCACTCGCGCCAGTAAGCTCACGAAAGGGACAGGAAGTCTCTCCATCAGGACCGACTTGTTGAAGGGCAACTCGGCCCAATTCTCGGACAACTCGCGTCTCTATGATTCTCCTCAACAGATCTACCAGTACTGCGACGGATTTACCTGTCGGAGGTCGCAACATGGATCTGCGCATATCAACGTGGTACGTTTCGTGGACCTGCTCCGATGCACCCTGATCTCTGACTCCATGATAGATATCTATCTCTTCCTCAGCAGACAGTCAACGAACGTGGGAGGACGAGAATGGCATGTCGATGACCATGGCAGGCTCCTCTCCATCTCCTTTGAATTTCGATGCTGACCGCAAACCATAGGCTCTCGTGAACATGCTTTGTATGCGTGCCTTTCTCTTATAGACTACGTGCACCGCATTGAACTGAGCATCAGCGGATGACCCTCACCCTCCTCTTAGTCAAGTCCTAACAAAGATCTCGTGCGGCCCTCTTTTAATGTAGTACTCTACGCACTGACGTCCTAGTTTCAGGTTTCAACTTCATGCCTCCTGCCTTACCCTCCATGCGAAGGCGGTCAAATTTCGCAAACGGTTGCGCCGTTTCAACGAGAAGAAGTTGAGGAAGGGATCTGATCCCGTTGAAGAACCGGAAATTCTCCCCGAGATGGTGAATTTTCAAGTGCCACAGGTTTGTCTCCTCTCCTTATTTCCATCAATAATTGAACATATACTGACCCGTATTTAAGATCTCGAGTGTCATTCCCCTCATGAGAGACCTTGTAATTTTGTTGTCGCTGGCTGACCGTTCGCGTTTCCTCTCAGCCGCCGAATAAGATTTGGGATCCTTGATATATCCAGCCACTTTGACGAGAAGAGACAAGAGATTCAATTGACATGTGTACTACCACTATTCTGCTCTACTATTTTATTTGTATTTCATTGCTATTTTGAGAGGACTCTGGAGTCTACCATAGATTTTGGACGGCGTTCCAAGCTAATCCAAACAACAGAGGCCGAACCAGATTCGCGGTCTGAGTGACCATTAATCATTACTTACCTCTTTATTTTTCCTTCATGAGTTCTCCGGAAGGTTCCAGCATAGAATGAGAAAACGCGAGGTCAGAGACGCGTTGCAGCGCTTCGCGATCGGTCACATCACATGCTAATGTCACACTTCTCGCCAACGTTCACACGGTTAATCATCAATTCAGTTGGACTGTCTGCTCATTCTCTTTCTAATTACCTCACATCCTCCTTCCTATTTATGCATGCCGGTTCACTTGCCTCGTACGACAAGTACCCCGGGGAAGCCATGGGTAGAACTAGAGCTAGAACTCTGACAGCTCCTCAAGGTCACCCTCAACTCCGTAGAGCTCGCACAGGAGCTTCATCGTTGCCGGTGGGAAGGACTTCAATTCGCTGTCGATAATCCAGCGCTTGAGAATATCGAAGGCAGCATCTACGTAGTCGGCCCTGGAGTTCTGTTCCTTCCGACCTGCTGCCTCTTGCCACATATATTATTGTTCTTCTTTCTGGACGAGAAAGAACGCCCCAAAAAGCTTCTCTTGGGATAGAGAGGATGCCTTGCCGTTCCGGGTAGGTTCTATGAAGCGTCATGACGAAGTTTGTTTGTTATTGACATCGGCGGTTCGTGATTTCAAACCGAGGTGAGACGGTGATATCATGTCCCCAGAAGGTGCCACCTCATCGATTTATTTATGCACCTGTGGGCCGACAAGAAGGCATCGATCACTCTCTCGCCTCTTGTTCATTCTTGTCTTCCGACCATGGGCCCAACTCCCATCCGCTTTTGTGATTGTGCGCCATTCCCCAGGCAAGGTGTTCCTCCACGCCTGCAAGCCGTTGCAACACGAGGCAGAAGAAGGGCTCTGATTATCGGCATCCGTGGCAATTCAAACCTCCAGAGCGACAGTCAATCATCGGAACTAGGGGATGGTCGCAGCTCCCGATTGAAGGGTCCTCATCAGGAGGCGAAGGGTATCGGGAATCTTCTCCAAGGTCTGGTTGGCTCTCTTCCAACTCATTTTCTGTTCAACATCAACGGTCGGGTCCCATAGATCTCTATGATTACCCAGAAGAAAACATCAAGTATCTCCTTGATGATGGTGGAGATGATGAACCGACTAAGAAAAACATCGTAAGGTCTTGCATGACAACTATCGACTGCGCCAAATAACGCCCTTTTCCCGTAGCTCTACCACATTGATCTTCTAGTTAAGGGAGCGAGACGAGGCGATCGTTTCTTTTTTCATTGTACGCATCTCGATCGAATATAACCAACACTTGCTGATGACACTGCAGACTCCGGCCACTCCAGCCAGGAAGAAACGGACAATCCGGAGGAAAGAGATGGCAAGAACGAATGTGAGCCTTCCAGGATGTCCATAATCAAACACGTTCTGACCATTGACACGGCAATCAGACATTATCACCTGTGATGGGAAGAGGATTGTGGACGATGTAGGCTAATTTTTGGCGGTGTTCTATCCCGCCCACTCATGTCGTCGTCTATCAATAGGTCCTGCACCAACGCCTCGTAAAGCCCATTCCCGAAGGATCATCCCTGACCGTAGGTCTCTGTTTGACTGCGAAGTAGTTGGACTTCATTGACTGTTCATTTTCCCTTCCTTCGTCTGCAGGCTATCTTCGACTCGTGTCATTCGGGAACACTACTGGACCTGAAACATGACTTATGCAATGGGGTGTACCTTCCCTTCGTCAATAAGGGTAATAGAAGGACTAGAGAGCGCTGGCGGGGCGTAGGTGCGTGTGTTAAACAAAGATACATTTAGGATTATCCAGTCTAACCTGCCCATAAAATAGGCAGACGAGGAGCGATGGACTCTGGAGGGGCCGCGTTCTCAGCTGCGAGCACAATGATGAGCCAGCAGTCTTTCATCTCTTCATCTCACGGCTCGGCTGCGACCAGGAAAAGAACCATCTCTACGACCCGCTTCATAATATCGGAGCACGATCGACCATCGAGGGCCTTGACGAGGCCTTCGATCACAACACAAACAGAGAAGAGGTCAACATCGCTTGCCAACTTTTGTGAGAGCCCTCGGAGTCTCCATGATCATTGCCATGGCTTCTGCCTCGACATGGTCCTTCGTCGCCCGCCGACCGTGAAGGTGGTGAGTGCATGCTCGCCTCTTTCCAAAAGCCAAACGATTGACCGCATCGATTGCCTCAGATATCAATATCGTCGTCGGGCGACGATCAGAAAACATGGGAAGACGAGAATGGGACATCGATGACGACCGTAAGCAGAGTTATTGCTCATATTGTGGCGCCTCTTTGACCCGCGATCTCTAGGCTCTCATTAAAACACTTCGTATGTGCATAACTCCACATGAGGCAATGGTTGTGGATTAACACCTTTTCCTGATAGGTGATGTTCCTCATCCAACGCTTCCTCAACTCCTCGCCAGGATATCGTACGTGAACGTCCTGTAACGGAGGCTACCCCGACCTGCTTATCGCTCCTCTCTACGTCACTAGATTCGAGCTTCACGTGGCTTACCTCACACTTCATCCGATGGCAGTGGACTATCGAATGAAATGTCGTCGATATCACGAAAGACACGCCCGTAAAACGGAGGAATGCAAGGAATGCAAGTCAAGATACGAGGCGAAAGGAGCAGCAGAACAAATCAACCAGGGAGTGACGAATGAACGAGACCAGGGGGACGAAAACGACAACGATCAGGATCCCAACGCTAAATTTCTCCCTGAAATGATCAACTTTCAGATCCCACAGGCATGTCGTTGCCCGTTCTTCAGATAAGGAGCTCTAACTTGCTCTCATACAGCTCTCGAGCCAGGAACCGCTGGTAATTCACTCGTTATTTGCACCGAGTTCTTGTCTGATACATCATGGCCGTCTAGCCTCCAGACCAGTTGTGGGATCCCTGATCTTGCTGCCTTCAGGTAACAGAAACATTGACTTGGATGTGTACACAATATCGAGGCTCCTCCGAACGCAAAAGCATTTGACCAGAATCAGGGATGTACAACGTATTTCTGAGCCCTGCTCGGATTCGATACTAATTTCACGTCATATACAAGACACCTATATATTACATACATCGGAAGCATTAGGTAGCTACGCTTCGCGCTCGATATTCCACGAAAGAGACAATACGATAGACCCTGTCATCAGCAAGAAGTTACAGCCTTCTGTTCTTTCCATTACGTCCTCTGCTGTACCTTCTCCGCTTCTCGAACCTTCACCTTAACACCTGATCGGGAGAGTTGCTTCGTAGGTCCATGAGAAACCAAACCCCCTTTCAAAGACCACAAGAAAGCTCACCTTGGTCAACTCAGTTGACGGCGCGAAACCTGGAAATTCTGCGTTTGAATACACGCGGAAGGGGCTGCTGTACGCCTCCGCGATGAACCCCAGATTGTTCTGCTGAACGAGTGGGGTCGAGAGAACGTCAAAGACGCGATAGCGGAGGATGAAAGTCCCTTCGTTCTTCACCGAGAGGTCCTACAGAGGCCGTTAGCAAAGCAGAGAAATGAAACGCGTCCCAGCATACCCCAAGGGTGAACAGAAGTGACTTGTGCCCGTGGTGGTCGACAATCGCCGGCTGCACGAAGGTTGTGCCGGCGAGCGCTTGTGTCTGCTTCGATGCTTCCGTAATAGTCCCCTGTTGATACGCGTCACCCGTCTCCGTTAGAAAATCTCAAGGTCTCTTCCTGTGGGTAATCTTGGCATACCTGAGAGCCTGGAGCCGGGACCGGGAACAAGTCGATTGTGCAGAGGAAGCCGACCACCTGGACAGTACTAGGTAACACCGCGGTCAAGTTTCAGTAAAGTTGCTACGGGATAAAAGGTCCGAGTGGGTGCTCAACTCGTAATTTATCTCTGCTTCGGTTTGTTGAGCCGTACCAGCGTCCTCGACACGAAAGAGACGGAGGCGGATGACAGGAGGCGGGTCGATCACTTGGCGGTCGTTTCCAGTAGATCTAGAGAAGAGTCATTGGTGGTGGTCCAAGCTTGATCTCAGGCTATCGTATACGGACCGTCGGCCAAGGTTGGCTTTTTGAATCTCCACGAGCTCGAGGCGCATAGTCTGACTGGCAAACTGACCTGTCGCGAAGTGGATGGGAGTGCCAGCGGCATGCATCATGTGCTCGAAGAACTAGACGCACATCGAAGTCATTACTTCGTGAAGCAGAAAAACCAAAGCGCGAATACCTTCGGGAGACGTAGAATGATATTCGGGGGCTCAGGCTCGGGTTGAAGAGCAATAATTAGCACGACGATGAAAGAGAAATTCGGATGAGATGAGGGCTAGCGAATACTGACCTGAGGCATTAGGAGGAATGCCTTTTATGCAAGGAATATGGGCCAGGATCCTGAAGCGACTCGGTCTCTGTTGGCACAACGACTCGCCAATCTTCAGGTCCAGGCTTTCTCGAACCATGGTTTGGTGCCTTGGCGTGTGATGATCGATTTTCTAGCTACAGGGGTAGTGTAACATAGATTGTGGAATGAAAATTCTTCCAAAACGCGTTATGGTACAGCGCGACAACACGGGACTGGAATGCAATTCTTCCCAGCGAGTGGACACCCCTGCGAGCACCGTCTCCTTGAGGCCCGGAGACGGCAAGAGGTAGAGGTAATAGCAATGTTCAACTGAAATGCTCCAGTATACATTATAAATCTTGCAGACTTCTTCCTATTCAAACCCCTTCCTGTTCCCCTATCTGACCAATGCGCGAGCGCGCACGGATAGATTCGTCTGGACGTCTTGGAGCGAGAACACAGAATATCCGACGAGGAACAACGCTACACTAAAGTGTGAAAACTATCGTGCTCGTGGTAGTCTTCCTATCACGCTATCATCTCGGTGGCGCAGCCCCGGACGAATTCCTTATGGGACAACGATCACCTAAATAGGAAAGACCGTGCTCAGGAGCTACTGGCGGTGGTCACTCACTCCATATTGCTAAACTCCGGAGGAGGAAAAGGTGCAGGAAATAGTCGGAACTATATATCTAGTGGAATGTTCGAATTTCGTGTATTTTATTTGATCAGAATGATACCTTCGTTCGTGTGATTCACCGTTAACTGCGGGCGCCGTCTGATAAGGGGTCGAGGCACTCTTACATTTTCATTTGATAATACGTTAAGCGGTTATCATGGAAAGCGCCTGTGTGTCGAAAGGAAAGTAACGGAAAGCCCTCGCTGTAAAAATCCTGGGACCCGATGCTTCCCAAAGCATGAACGCCGTGTGGAGTAGGTAGCGGAATTTCTACCTATTGGAAATTGACTTAAATACCAGCCGACAAAACGATCGCAAGGCCGCAATTCGGCGCCTTTATTCTCTCCTGCTCTTCTTCCACTATAAAGCCAACGACGCCAAGCAAAAGGCCACAACCCACGTCCCACCCCCCGCTTATCCTCCATCATCTAGATCTTCTTATTTTAGAGCCAACTTTTGCCACTCATATGAGTCCTAGATCGTTCTTTAGACAAGAAGACTTCTTCTCTTCAATTGCCTCCTTTTCCTCAGGCTCTCGTAGCTCTGGCCTAGGCGGACTCCTCGTTTCTATTCAATCCCTTTCAATACAGGAGTACGTATATCTATGTCGTCTCAGCATTTTGGTAGGTTTTGTCAAGACAATAGACCCTCCAAACCTCCAGTCGCACCACAGCGTCATCCCAGGATATTTTGGGCCTGTACTGAGAAGACTATAGTGGCACCGGCTGTCAAGCTTAATCCAAAGAAGATAACGAGGATATAACGAGGGAGAAATATTTACGAGGAAGTATAGCGGCTAATAGAAACATCCGACAGCATTGACATGACTGAGCGCCAATTTGTCAGAGTCTTGGCGTTGGCGTAGTTGCTCTAGATGACATGCGTCCATGGTTATTGACAGACATTGACTCAACTTCGGGGAATCAATACATATGTGGATACAAGGCTCGGCGATCAAGAGAGCGAGTGAATTGTGGTCGAAGAAACAAGAGTGAATGGAACCCGATGAGCCGCAGACTCTTCGAGTTGCTGAAAGGTTGGAGTTCCGTCGAAGGGGCGCGCCTTACGAAGAAAGCTTTGAGAGTGATCGGCCGCCGGCACCGCAGTATGACTTCATGCACCCCTCGTATTACCCCCAAACCCTCTTGATCACCGACCACACCCTCTTCGAGCTTTGATTGGCCTTCTAGAGGCAAATAAGATTATGAACGAGCGCGAGAGTGTGGCTTACTTACTCTAGGGCCACATCTCTGTCGAAAAGCTGGTTAATCAAATTCGAAGTACTTGTCGATCACGCACCTCTTTATAACTAGCGATAGCCCCAAGCGCGGTCGCCAGAAGCGACTCAAGATGAATTTCGGGAGGTGGGAAAGTAGTATTCTCGATAATGAGTAGATGCGGGTTGCTTTCAGCACGTTGCAGAAGACGAGGGAGGCACTTCAACACGAATTCGTAGCCTTCTCGTTTCATGTATGAAAGAGTGCGATTTCGATATTCTAGGCCTTCTTCAATGGCTTCCAAAAGTGGGTCCAAGACGTCGTCCTTCGTCGAAGTTTCATCGAACCTGCACTCGCTACAGAAGCCCGAGGTTGAGAAAGAAGAAGAAATCGAAGGGATATGACTAAGACTTGCCAGACGAAGGATATCATAGACGCCGCGGTGTGTGCGAAGTCTTCTCCGGTAACGATCTTATTGAAGAAAGGGCGGTATACGTGATCTGTCTTATTCTTACGCATGAAGCGGCGAACGTTCAGCACCGATAGATCCAATGGAATTTCGTCAAGTAAACTAGTGAATCCGAAGAGGTAGTCGATCCAGGTGATAGTAGTCGCTGGATTTTGGCATCGAAAGACCAAAGAATCGTTGTTGAATATGGAGGCGGGGTAGATGAGGTAAACGGTCAAGAGGTGCAGAAGTTTCGGTGCAGTTGACCGATAAAATTGGACTTGAGACCTGATGAAATTCTCCACATTGCATCGACAGGCAGGTTCGATGCTCAGGCCGTTCGGCACCTTTTAAAGAGAGAAAATGAGGTCGGAATGAGATCGAATATCGTAATAGCTCAACATTACCGTAATAAGTTGGCTGCATGCTAGATACTCTCTCAGCGTTGTAAGCACGATATCCCAGGATTCCAGGAACTGTGATCGCGCTCCACTCTGGATTAAATTCTTGACCACCTGGAAGAGATCCAGGCTTAGAAAACCCGTCGCGAGTGATTCTGACGGCCCTGCACTGTGACAATGGCCCTCGAGGCTGTCATGTGCAAAGCACAGCAGCCACGGTTCTACAACCTTAGCTTGTCTGACATTAATCAAGATCAAAAGACACACCTTTTCCTTGACTCAACTGTTTAAGACACATGGAGGCGAGGTATGAATGCGCCTTGGACGCATCGATAAAGTATCCCCCTGAACGCTGCTCGTCGAGGAGATAATCCTGCAAAGACGCATGCAAGATCCTTACAGGTTCATCGTCGGCCTGGGGTGTTTGAATCACCGATGCCAGTTTGCTGAGGATCACAAATGCTATGCCCTCCCGTAGGTCGAGGAACCTTTCAATATTTCGGACTGAAAAGGTATCGTCCGTCCATTGTACAACTGGAAGAATGAGATGGGAAATGATTTGGAGACCAATTTCGATATCATCGAGGGCTAAGAAAATCTGGGAATAAAGGGCGTCCAATTCAGAAAACGGATGCTCTTGGACGCTACTCGGAGAGTGGCTGAGTACAGCATCCAAGCGATCATCTGGACGAGCATCAATGGCAGAGATGAATTTGACTGCTGTAGCTGCGTATATGAACTGGCCCGAGGATTTATGGACAAGAGCTGCGAGCTGTGCACGGGATGGCCACTCACGAGGTAAATAGTCTCGGAGCGGATGATTGTCCTTGATCTCGCGTATACTCCCCTCGAGAATAATGAAATGTCGCCCTCGGGTAGATAGGAGTCGTCGAGAGCTGTTCGAACAGTACACGGCTTGAACGAAGGGGAGTTGACGGTGGCCAGAATATGTGACTCCGGGCGGCTCGAAATCAGAATCATGAGCTGGAACTTGCAATTCATAGTGGCCATTTGAAGGCATTTTAGAATGTATCGCTGCATGTCATGCCCATGACATTCATCGAGACCGTCGATGGCTATTAAGTAAGGGCGTGGCGTGGAATGCATATTGGCGGTGCAGTACAGGCGATTGAGGGGTCCAACGACCAACAAATCCAACTGGAATTGCAGACTTTTCTCGAAAAAAGCAGGGTCGGCATCGATTTCTTTCTCGATGAGTGGTTTGACCTCAGGTATGGCAAGGCCAAGCTGGTATGCAATGGTTGTGACAAGCCGCTTTTCGTCGCTGCGCATAGGCGCCGTCCTCGAGAAAAAGAAGCTGGCGATGAGAACTCCCCTCGAACAACAGAGCTCTGCAATTTCTTGCATGATCGCCGACTTCCCAGCGCCAGCTGGTCCGTAGAGCCACCTCATGAATTCCGTCTCGTGGCGTCGGAGAATCCAATCGAGCAGATGCTGGATGACAGTCACTCGAGTTCCTGGATAGCACTTTGGAGGATCGAAGCGCTCGCCAGAGTTGTGCATAGCTCCACTTGCAATCACAGCATGCAGCTTGTCGAACCCTACACCAAAGGTTGTCAGTTCTTCACCGCTTCGTGATAAAGATATCACTTTTACCTGTACGGCGGTGAACGCTTGCTTCCTAAATTACAATAAAGGTGCCTCCAGATACTACAACATTTCTGCTTTGAGAGAACATCATCAGACCCGCGAGTTGGTTAACTGGTTGAAACTGGAGATCCAGAGGCCCCGTTTCCCCGGCAGGTCGAACCTAATGATCTAGTATGCTAGGATTCAGTCCCGGTGAAACGGAAATAAAGGGAGAAACGGACAACTTAGAAGTCGCCTTTTCGTCGCATTCTGAAGTTGTGCTGGCGTTTGCGACGTGGTCGGCGATGAAAAGTGTCGGCATTGAGGAGATTTGCCTTCTAGGGGTGGGAAGATACAGTCTACGTAAGCAACCCCTGTTCTTCAAACCAACTTTAGTACGGTTCAAACTTGGTTCAAATGTTCAACGTTCAGAACCGGGTACTAAAGGCTTCAGGAAAAATGTAAGGCAAACCCATTTTACTGTGGGGTATGTTCCCAGACCAGACTGCATTTTCTTTGATGTATCTGACTATAAATAGTTTCAAAATCCAGATCCTCTTGTTGGCTATTAGCGCGAATAATGAAGCCTGAACGTCTCGCAAGCGTCTCGAGGACGTTCTACCTGCATAAATACGCAAGAGGACACGTCACTTTAGTGAGTTGTGGCAAGGGACGTGTCGGCATACGTGTCCGATCTTTCCGGATCCGTACCCCAAGGCTTGCTGGTTAAAGACTTTGGAATCCCTTCGATGGGCCATTCCTCTGAAATGGGATCCAACCGGCGCCCAGAGCCTTCCATACGCAAGGTAAGTCTGTCGGATTTGGATACGCATGATCTCAATCCAAATTGATATCACCTCGTCTTGTAGCTTCTCCTACACGGCCTTTCGTTCGCCACGACTCTTGCATCAACAGTGGCGCTCTATTGCGTTCTTCAGGTCCTGGCGAACACAGACTCACCAGTCGTAGTCGTTCTGAGGTATATAATCTTCACATATTCGGGAGTCTTGAGCTTCACGACATTCCTCTCTGCTTTAGCGGGTCCATGGAGCCGGCGTTCCAACGAGGCGACCTCCTTTTCCTAGCCAATTCCCCCAACGAACAATACTTCACAGGCGACATTATCGTCTATAAGGTTCCTAGCCAGCCGATTCCCATTGTCCATCGCATCCTCGAGACACATGAAGTTCCCCTGGATTTCAGACCAGCTTCGACGAGGACAAGCTATCGTGCGGCAAACGCCCCTGCACCAGATCAGCTTATCCTGACCAAAGGCGACAACAATCTGGAAGATGACGTCGTGCTTTACAAGGGGATGGATTGGTTGCAACGAAAACACGTCATTGGTAAAGTAAAAGGGTAAGCGCACCGACTATATTTCCGTTGAATCGTTTCTCTGAGAATCATTCTTTCTCTTCGCGTGTTTAGCTTCATCCCTTACGTTGGCTATGCCACGATTGCGATGGTAAGTAACGTTGGTCGTTACAGGGTCCCCTGCTGACTTGAATTCGTAGAACGACATCCTTAATCTCAAATACGGGCTCCTCGGCGTCATGGCGTTGGCGGTTTTCTTCTAACCAGACAACAACCTCGAGACACAATTACGGACACCGTTCAACTTCGATTTACACATTCAACTCTAGGGTCTACTCTATATTGTACTTTTGGGCACTCAACGTCATACGGTTTCGCAAATCAATCGTCCATTACAATTAAGCACAACGTTCATTCACAACTCCAGCTGGCTTCCCTGACTCATTGACGAACGATACCAAAGCCCTGGTCCGGCATCCTGATCTGACCGGGCGATGTAGTCTCGCGCCGGCGTCGAGATGACCTTCGACGCAGTCATAGGGTCCACTGGGCCAAACGTCGTTACGCTCTTGGAGATCTCCGTATTCACTCGGTACAGGTGCCCGATCGACGGATTGCCGATGCGTCCTCCGTGGTCACTCGCAGAGTCGGCCGATGTGATGCTGAGCTGCTTCAGGTAGGGCAGGTTGTCGGCAATCTCAAGAAGAGTCCACTGCGAGAGATAAAAAAAATTAGAGATGGTCCCGATGCGACAGAAAGAAAAAGTAGGCTTACGATGAGGTCTCGATTCTTCTCGCGCTCCATTTCCTCCGAGGTGACTGCGATCTTGAGCGTCGCGAGCTTGGCGCACGCACGAATACTTGAGGCGTTGTGCCGTCCGAAGCACCACTTGCCCTCGAACACGGGCGAGATCTCGAGGTGCATGAGCGAGCCGGCATGCCTGGGAAGGACGTCCCGGTAGAACTTAACCGCGAGGTTGTTCGAGCCATAGGCATCTTCGGCCGAAACAGAAATGAGAGTGAGGGTCCGAAGACCCGAATACGAGGCGAGATACTCAAGGAGGGCGTCGGTGACTTCATCTGTGGTGATATCCTTGAGGAATATACGCTCTTCGCGAAAGGTGTCCCAGATTTCCTGTGTCGACGAGCAATAATTGCTTGTCCGCTGGACGAGCTCCTCTCGCACTGGCTCATCAAGGCGCGACAGGTCCTGTCTGGTGTCGATATTGTTGCAAAGCAGTAGAGATTCGAGGGACCGGAGATGTGGGATGGTTACTCCGTCGAGCTTGAAGCAGAAGCTACGCAGACTGAGGTGGGTGAGACATAGTGGAGCATTAGGAGATACGGCGCCGAGAAGGTCGTGGAGGGTCGACGTCTGGGCGTCTGCACGGTGGCCATGATTATCGACTTCGAGGTGTATAAGATCCGGTGAATTGGAGACGAGGGTTCGGAGGCCTGCGATGACGTCCGCCCGGTAGTCGGTGCAGAATCCTGTGATCGTGATTTCCCGAAGGTTGGAGAGCTGGGCAAGTTTGAGCGACGCGGCCGACCCTCCTCCAAGGGATATTCGGAGCTCTTCGAGGAACGGCAGAGACGAAAGCGAGTCCATGACAACAATTTGTGCCCACTCTGGGTCGTTCGGGCTGAAATGCCACCTACGGACGGATGTTAGCGAGAAACAACGGACATAGGTGGATAGACGCACCACACGGATTTCAATTTGCGCAACGAACATATCGCCTGCCCCAGGTGCGCTAGGAGCCCCCTGTTCACGACGTGTGTTTCTGCGAGTGGACCTCGGCTGCGCGATCGAGAGTTCCTGTTTCGTTCTATAGAGCGGGAGCGAGACCTGGCACCGAGGTGGGCGTCGGGACTGAACCCGCGAATCTCGAGGGATTGGGCGTATTTGCGGGCATTCGTCGTACGGGTCGCAAGCGCTTCAAGCTGCTCACAGATGAGCTCCGGAAGGTAGTTACTGTACTTGATGACGATGTTGGCGAAGATCTGCCTCTCCACCGTTTCGTTCAACTCCCTGCAGACACTCCGGGCGATCTTCTTGTGTGCCCCGTCGAGCTAGAAGACGGTAAGAACACGAATGAGGCGAACAGGGGGTTGAGCGGGACGTACCTGCTCTGTAATCTTCTCAACAATCTCAGGGGGTAGAGACAACAAATTCATCATGCGAGGAAGACGAGGGATGTACGGCTTTCGGTGCGGCTGTTGAAGGAGACAAGAATACTCTGCTTGTCCTTATGAATGCCATCCGTAAGATGAGCTAGACGGACCTTCGCGTGTGCTGATCGCCAAGCCAGGGCATACACTGCTAAATAGCTGAATGGTGACCTCGTCGGAAGAAAAAGTGTACGAAAAAAGACAAGAGGAACGAAATGCCGGTCTTGGCTCGTTGGGGAGCTGGGGTTTGCTCAAGTTCCGTCCAGGAATGCTAAGCGGAATTAAGTCGACGGGATTGTTGAAGGCATAATTCCAGCGCGTCGCGAGAAGTTCTGCGTACACAGGGAGTTAATTGTGGCCAAACTAAGCAGAAAGAAGGAAGAGCAAGCTTGCGAGATGAATGGTGCAAATTTTAGAGCCATCGACGCAAGTTCTGATGTAATCGAGGTGAGGTTTGTAAACTCTCCTTATATAGCAGTTCCGCGAAACAGACTGTTACAGTCACGCAGGTACATACCTGGACGAAAACATACCTTATCTGGAGTAAATATAGTCACGCTATTCCCGCGCCATAAAGCGCCGTTCATAGCCTATAATTATCGTCCTCTTTTCTACCAGACTCATCTCGTCAAGGCTCAAGCACTTTAATTCCTTCGGGGACGAAGTCATCTATTAAGGAGCTACATTTCTGTGGAGTATCAGGCCCCTCGGCCGCTCAGGGTCAGCGACAAACGTTGTTCACATGATGGTGGCAATACCTGATGACGCCTCTCATTCTCATGTTTCTCTCTTTTACGTCCTCCACAGACCCACACAGGTGTTGCACGTTCATCGGCCGTTCTTTCTCATTTTGGACCTCAGGTCACCTACTCTGAAACCCGGCTACCATCATCTTCGCCATAATTTCACCCTCCAGACATCCCAGAACTCTCAGCAAGCGTTCTCCTGTTTGCAGGGCGTGGCCCATTTCCAGCAAGTCATATCTCTTCCTCCGGTAGTGGGCCTTATTCCCCACTTCCACACCCTAAATCGACTCTCCTCGCTCCATTTCGAGACAAAAAGGGGCCACCGTGAAGCCAGCCGTTAAATACCTGATCATGGACAGCTTCGGACAGTCTCACGCTGCTACATCTGCAGAACACGCACTTCGCGTCATTCTTCGACGCTCTGACGCTTGTTTACGCTTTCTACGGCCTGCAATCGTTCGCCCTCGTTCGTGCCGAGTGGCCGTCTCCCCCGTCGGCATATTTTCCTTTCCTTGGGACGCGACGACCTGGTCTTAATTTACGCCGCCTACATCTCGAGCATTGCACCATCCGCGAAGACATGCGGTGGCCTTTTGCCCCGGAATGAACCCCAAATCGTCCAGCCATCCAGCATGTGGAGGTGTTGTCGGACCGGGCGCGAGATACCCTGCACATCCTCGACTACCTCGGTATCTGGGGCCCATCGCACGGTCTGTTCGACCCCGCAATTGCGGACCAGTAGACGGCGCCGGTGGCTTCGCGATCAATCCCACTTCCCTGGAAAATCCGGCCCATGCTGTACATATCGACGACGCGCGCCGGTGCGAGTCGCGAAAATGGCCAAACTAACTGATATCACCCTCTCCGATTTCTTCTACAAAGACCCAAGCAGGACGTCTGCTATATTTTAGACGCCGAAAATGCTTTTGTCCTTTGCCTCACTTGCCTTGGTTGCTGTCAGTCTTGTTGACCTCGGCGTAAGGCTTGCTCGGATTGGAGAGCTGGATCATCATGACATCGATCGGCAGAGGATCGATGGGCTATTGCAACGCCCTGTCTATAATCAGTTAGAAGAGATTCGTTTCGAGCTTCAGGGAGGGGTTAAGGCAAGGCCAACGAGGATAATTTTTGCGGCGTGTGTAAGTAATCGCCTACCTAAGTGCCATAAACGTCGGCTCATATATATAGTCCAGGCTAAATGACCATTGACAATTGTTCTTGCCTGATGCACGACTGCCTTCAAAGCACACAAAGTTGGATGGCAGAACCGTTGTGATTCAACGACCGACGGGAAGTTAATAACGGGTGTCAGGTATGAATGAATAAGTGCTCGAGAGATTAGAAAAGATGGATCAGATGTTAGTGTTCGTCGTAACTTGAGATCGTCGTCGTAACCCTCCTCCCAACCTTCTTCCTCTTCCTCCTCCTCGCATTACCGGAGTGTTTACCGAAGGAAGGCAAGCGAGACGCAGAAGCCGAGAGCAACGGTCGTCATCATGAGGACCGTGCCTGTCGAGCTGGTCGTCGCGGCGCTGGTACCGCCACTGCCGCTTCCGGCAGTGTTCGTCGATGTCGTTCGCCCCGAGGACGTGGAGGCGCCTCCTGGCAGGGCTGCACCCGTCTCGAAGACGTTGAGTGTGCAGACGGCGACGGGGCTGACGAGGTTGCAAACACCAGAAAGGGTGGGGGTGGCTGCAGCAGCTGAGTTGACGTAGAACATCGAGGCTCCATCGGGCCCTTGGACGAGGGTGGCTGGATCGGAGAAGGCTTGTTAGAGAGCACCTTTCGGTGATATGGGTGGCAACACAACATACCTGGGCCGGGGGTGACACGACCCGTTCCAGGACCATCAATCAGGGCGTACGTCGTCGTCGCTCCTGACGAGCCGATTACAGAGGCAGTCCTAGGTACTCTGCTCCACTCGAAGGGGATGTAGATGGGCACTTGCTCCTGCGCGAGGACCACTAGAAAACAACGATGAGCTCAGTCGACTGCGGACGTGCTTGGCAGCGAGGACAAGACATACAGGGGAGGGCAACGGCAGCCACGAACAGGGTGATGAACGCGTTGAACATCGTGATCGCCTTCGACGAACTTGGGAGAGGGTTTTTGGAGGGAGGGCGTTGGTGGAAGGACGGGGGAGAGGCCTGATGGGCGCGGTCGTTGAAGAGGGAAAGGAGGAGGCAAGGGCCGTGCCTGCGTGTTCATTTTAAGAATTGTGCCTCCTGATGAGCTGGGCGTTAACAACTCGCCAAGACATTTCGGGTTTCAGAGCCTCCCCGGCCTGGTTTTTTCCCCTCTGGGACTCATGCTCTTTGAAAAAATCGGTAAAAATTGTATATTACGCCGTCCGTGTAAATATTTTCTGCGAATCCACGATGTTCTTTCCTCGGTGAAGTTACTCTGAGTGCATAATTTTAGCAGAGTTTTCGGCGAGATCGGTAGATGCCAAGACATTTGTTAAGTCATCTCCGGAAGGGCTTGGCATCTCTACCCACCTGCAGGCTTCCGCACAGGTTCGGCGGCATGCTATGCAGCTGATCATGTCCCCGTCAATGCCGGCGCTGCACACTAAAGATTGAGGCAGTTGGGAGGCAATGATCGAGTGTCTTGCGGCGAAAGGCAAGCTAGACGATCATGGTGCCGAACATTCAACGTGGACATTAACTTCGAATGATTTTGTTATTTGAAAATCCAATCTTCGAAGTTCGAATCTTGCCTGCAACAAAAAAAATCTCAAACAGGATTTTTCAAACCTCTACAGGTGGAGGCGTGAAAATAAATTCGAAAATCAATGATGACAGACCGCAGACCACTGGAATCAAGTATACATGCCAGACGGCACGCATTTGTTGATAGGGATCAAAGATTAAAGTGGTTTGCGGTGAATTATTTGTTGAAAGACTGGGAACGTTCGTACATACTTGTATTTGGCAAGAGTCCAGCTTCACCGGCTTCACCTCGTGTAAAGGAAGAATTATTTAATACTGAGCACAGTATCCTCCAGCCAAGAGAACCTCTCGAGTCTCTACAACGTAGTGGCGCCCGAACCTTCAACTGGCGCGCGAGTGTTTCCCGGATTTTCAAAGTATAACCATGACGCAGGCCGAATGAAGGAGCGTTCTTCCATGAAATGGTTACTTAGGCTTGCACGCGCTTAAAGCCTATCTTGTTCGCCGCCGGGGTTCAATGACAAGTGGAGTTTTCTGTGAAGAGGCCCAAAAATAGAACACTTACATGAATCAGGATCTGTAGATGGGTTATGTTTATAAGTCAGCAGTTGCTTGGGTGGGCAACGGTGCTTCATGTGAGTGATATGTAGTACTGTCGCAACGAGCGCCCAACCCGAATTCCACTGATCCAGGCTGCTGTGGCATCCATGGGCGCTATGTGTCGAGAACCCAAGGAGACATCTGATCACAGCCTACCAGCTCTAAACATACACTGATCCTTAGCGTATTATTTGCAGAGGACGCATTGTGTCATTGTATATTAGAGCCTGAGGACCTTCCATGAGAAACCCGCACATTTTCGGACCCCGTCCCACTGAAAAGCGTCCACAAGCCCAAGAACCGACTGTGTCGCCCAACTGCCTTCCAAGGCGCCCTAAGCGTCCTCAGGAGTAATAATTCACTGGGCCTAAACGAGCCTGGTGAAGGCACTCCTCGATCTTGTCCAGAACAAGCGGGCCTCGTAATTGGACGAGCGACGGGGCAGGAAGACATTTGGGCGTAGAGAGTGAGAGGCATAGACTAGATAGGTTTGTGATGCTTGAAGGTACCTCAAAAGGGCTTCAAGGGTTGTGAGGGGACGGCAGAGGACCGAGGTGGGAGAGGGAGAGACCAGAGATAGTGGGCGTTCGGAAGAAAGAGGCGTTCATAGAATGGTTGGGCTTACATATTATTTTGGAGACTGCTTTCTTTGGGGAACGATCACATGAGTGCAGACTCCACGACATACTTGGGAGAGAACGATTTTGGTAGGCCGATTCCCAAATTAGGAACAGATGTCCGTCATCTGCTACATCAGTGCAGCTTGAACGACGTTGCCGGTCCGGGAAGTCCTAACCAACCAATTCCTCATGGGTTGAAATATCCAACGGCGGCGTGCGTCGGCAAAGGAGAGGTTTGTCGAGACACTGGACTATCTCCATCGACACCCAGGCCTTGACGCCGATCGGGAGGTGGTGGTCAGCAAGTTTCGAGCAGAAAGCGTAAGTGGAGACATTTTCTATTTTTCTGACGAGCTCTGGGGTGGTATTTCGTGATTTAAAGGTGGAAGGCTGAAGAAGCTTAATACTCGACCGTAATGACAGCCAATGCCGTAGCGCCCAGATTTCGCCCTCCTCAGAACGTCATTTGTGAATAACCAACACTTGTTTGGTCATCGGTTGCACAACATGTGCAGATGAGAAAAGGCACCTTATCTAACTGCGATAATCCCCATTGATCTGCACGTACTCCTGTTCACAATATATCAGCTACCGTCTCTCGAGAAAAGAACGACACATTCCAGAGGGCAAAGAAAACTCACATAACTAAAATCGCACGTCCAATACTGTGCCTCTCCGCCACCTCCCATACCCAGATCGACCAAAATATCGAAGTCCTCGAGCATCAGGATCTCCTTCGCGCGGACCTCGTCGACATTCTCCGGCTCGCCGTTCACGAGCACAGGCAAGGCAGAGGAGCCGTCAGAGGGCACAAAGGTGACATTCACTTTTGTTGGATCGATTACGAGGATAGAGCCGGTGGAGGAAGGTTGGAGGGGGACGGAGCCGGTGGCAGCCAGGATGCGGCCCCAGCTAAAGGGAGGCGGACATCAACGGACTGAATTAAACGAGAGTTTCGCGGCATACTTTGCATCTTCGCCGTAAAGGGCAGTTTTGACGAGGGCAGAGGTAGATATCCGGGATGCAATGCTGTGGGCGTCACGATAGGACGGCACTCCCTGGAAAACGGTGATTAGGAGGATAGAAATGCGGTAAAGAAAATACACACTTTGACAGTGACGGTGACAAACTTTGTCGCTCCCTCTCCATCCCGGACGACCAGCTTGGCCAAATCCGCCGCGAAATCCGTCAGCTCCTTCTTGAACACCTCATAAGACTCCTTGTCCGTCTCCTCGTCGACGATCGCGCCCTTCGACGCAGCACCGTTGGCCAAGACATAGATCGAGTCATTCGTCGACATATCGCCATCCACACTAATCGAATTGAAGCTTCGGTCCACGGCATACGTGAGGGCACTCTGCAGGCTCCGTGGCGTGACAGCCGCGTCGGTCATGATGCACCCCAGGAGCGTTGCATGCAGCTGCTTCGGACCAGAAAACTGTGTCGACGCAGGGCCCATGTTGGGGTGGATCATACCTGCACCCTTGTCCATCCCTGCCATCCGGTACTCTACACCCCCGATTGTGAACGTCCGTGAACGAAGTTTTGGGAAGGTGTCCGTCGTCATGAACGCCTGTGCCGCCGTCTCCCAGGCCTTGAAGTCCGACCCGAGCACGCCGTCCTTCGCCTGTGCCTGAATGCCCTTGACGATCTTCCCGATGGGTAGGTTCTGTCCGATGACACCAGTCGACATTACTAGCGTCTCGTTCTCGAACTCGGATGACCTCTTGCTCAGTAGGGCATCCGTCTCCTTCACCATCGCCCACGCGTCGTCCATCCCTTGTTTTCCCGTCACGGCGTTTGCGCATCCACTATTCACGACAACTGCCCGTGCGTAGCCGCCGTTACGCTTGAGGACCTCGTCGGAAACGAGCACTGGGGCAGCTTTGAAAGCGTTCCGGGTGAAGCATGCTGCCGCGGAGGTCGGTTTGTCGGATGTTGAGAGTATGACAGCGAGATCGGGTACACCTGGTTTCTTCTTCACTCCTACGTGGAAACCACCCAAGACGAATCCTTTCGGGAAAGAAGAGGATGGAAGAGGTACATGGTGGTGTGCTTTTGAAGGACTGTTCTTGATAGTTATCGTCGAGAGGAGCCTCTTGAACGACATCGTTGGTGAACAATGGAATGCTGGAAGGTACAACCAGCTCAACACTGGTTCTTTTGCAGCCCAAGCGATAATACCGCGATTGGCTGTAACCTTCGCTATGCAGAACGTCCGGTCAATAGCAATAAAGATATAAAAAGCATGGCCTTACATCTCGTGCACGAAGGTTGAACCGAATTTTGAGGTGAAAAGGTGTGGACTCGGACAAGATAGGCAGAGCTCCCAAGCCGACTTCAATGAACGTCGGCCGTAAAGTGCGAAATCGGGCCGGAGTCCGGTCTCATTCCCAGAAACGAGCGCTAACAATTCTCAAGGCGCTAAAGCCAGTAACAGACACTGCGATTCACGATATATTGTTTATAAATTTATACTTCCAAGCACCACTATCCACTATCAGTTTCTCATTCTGGATTTCTTGACATATAATCTCCAATTCAATTCCATACAATTAGCGCTAAACAACTCCGTTCTTTAGTCGCTATTGGGGATCTTCTTCGAACAATGGGCCGACGCCCCGATTGCAGAGGTTCAACAGTAAGGGATAGACCCGGTCCAGGAGACGTACTCGCCCCATGCCAGGGCCACCCAGTAGCCGTTGGTAAGCCTGGCCCAGCCCCTGCAAATGCCAACATCAGCAACCCAAGACTCTTATTGTAACCACAAAATAATCCTACCTATCACCGTTAATAGGCGTAGTGTTGTCCCTTGTATAGCACACGATAGTAATACGCGTGCCAATAGGGTACTGGCCTATCGCAGTGCAGCTGGTGCGCGGGCAGGTGCGGTAGCGCAGGCCGTCGACGCGGACGACGCCGGCGTTGGCACGCTTCTCGAGCAGCTCGACATCGCGCCCGACGAGCGGGGCGGAGAAGACCGTCGCCTCTGGGACTTCGGCGGCGGCTACGGCGTCTGGGGCTGGAGCAGCAAGGGCCGCAGGGATGGAGGTGGCGAGGGCGATGAGAGGGAGGAGAGTGAACTTCATTTTTGAGGTTGTTGGTTGGCTTTGTACTGAAGCTGCTTTGCTGGAACTGTCGGTGAGGACGTTGGAGAATCTGCTAGACTTCCAGGTGTATTTATACCTTTCCCCACCCCAATTCTTGCACCCCAGACCGTGAGGGTGTTGACACTCATCTTTTCTTCGGTTCAGTGAACGCTTGGTATGATTCTCAGATGACCATGTCCAGAGGTGCGAATAAACTGCAAACAGCGCCGGCGTGTCGTTAGTGTCCTGGTCCGCGCTCTGTGAGTATGCATCTCTATTACTTCATCCTCCAGCGAGATAGGGTAAAACGCCTTGGTGCGATGGTAATCATTAGTCGAACGCGTGTGAGGCGCCCAATCGAATAGAGGTCTTCACTCCTCATTTTTTGCACTACAGGTAATTTTTCCTGAGGACCGAAAAATTCGAATTAACGAGAAATCAACATCCATGAGATCGCAATTCAAACGTACAGATACCTGCATTCTCCATTGCTCTACAGGTGTCAGTCTATAACCTTTACGTTCACCCTATTATGCTAGTCTGAACGCGGCTGGATCTCGAACATCAGCCACCGGGCCTGATCCCAGCAAGGAAAAGGTCCCAGAGCGCGCCAATCCTTGGCTGGGATAGTAATCTGCTTCCATATGATGTTTTGAGTTCTCCGTCTACAGGTAATTGATTTGTCTCATCAATTTCAAGAAGGGTGGGGGGCCTCGGACATCGGAAGCGATTTTTGATGACCAGTCCATCGATCCATGCGCCACTTTCGCAGAAAATACCTGCAGAGCTGTAAATCGTCCACTAGCGAGTCTGTGTTTTCTGAAAACTTGTAAGTACATCACGAGTTTCTATTGGCGAAGAAGCAATGCCTACTACGAATTCGTCAACGACGGCCTCAGGTTGATGAACCAGAATCTGACAGACATACCTCCTACTTCCTCTTCCTCTTCGACGGCTTAGAAGGCGTAACCGGGGCCAACTCGACCTCCTTGTCCGAATCCACCTTCGAGCTAACACTCGCCCTCCTGCTCTGGCTCGCCCCAGGGTTTAGCAACACGATATCGAGTGAGCTGTCCATCATCCATTCCTCATCTCCGTCGTCCTCGTCCACACTCATCAGCTGGCTCGTGGTTCCCTTCTTCCCACCACCCAACAAATCAAGAGGCTTCATGGAGAAGTCGAAGGTCGGCTTGCCGAACGTGATGGCGCCCTGCGACTGAACCGAGGGCAAAATCCGAGATTTGGCAGGCGTCTCTTCGACGAGCGTTACACCGCAGTCTTTCTCTTTGCTCCTGCCCTTCGTAGGTAGAGGCGCCTCTGATTTGATCTTGCTCGCCTTGAGGTCGGCTTTGGGCTTCGTCTTGGGCTTAAACACACGCGACATGCTGATCTCGCGATTCAGTACACGTTTCTTGGGTTGTGCTGCATTGGCTCGCTCGCGTTCCTCTTGTTCTTGTGCCAGCGAAACTGAGAGGGAACGTGAACGTGAACGAACCAGGGCTCGTGCGCTCGTCTTGGAGACGGTGGTTGTCCGAGAGGACGTGGATAGAGCAGGAGATGGAAGCCGAGAAGTAGAGGGTGCACGAGAGAGTGATTTGCATGCTTGCATGATGGGTTCAGGAGAGGGCTCGCGGGATGTGTGTGTGTTGGAGTCATCGTCGGAGAATGGAGAGCTTGGGAAGACTTTAGATCGGAGGAGAGAGCAAGCTTCAGGTAGAGTGGATTTGAATCTATAAAGAGTGAGGACGAGGTCTAGTGGTAAGCGGAGAGAGCTTACTGTCGCTCTACAATATCCTCTGCGAATTTCTGGACCCAATCTCGCTCGTCCTTCCGCATGACTACAGGTCTCGTAGGATCGAGTGAAACAGAAAGCTGCCACATCGACAGCTTGTCCATGAACGACTCCAGGTGGTCTTCGGTCTTCAACACCGGTTCCTCCTGCTTCCTTGATCGTCTCTTCTTCTTCTTTTGGGGTTCCGGTGGTAGAGGACCGGGCAATGAGAGCTTGAGCATGTACAACAAAATCTGGATCTGAACCCTAGTTTAAATGAGCGTCGAACACCCATTAACTTTAATCCACGTACTCTCTTCTTTCCATCCTTTCAAAGTACTGCTCCCTCCACTTCTCGTCCGACCATGGCCCTTCAGCGTCCGCTGGTAGATCCTCCGGGGCCTTCTCGTGCGTTAACGAGTACCACATCATCGTCTCTTCCATCTGTCCGGCTCCGCCATTGTCAGCGAGTATCTGGGGGAGCTCAGTGTGGTATTTTGCGTTCGAATTCCGGGTTGTGAGTAGAAGTGGCTCCAGAAACGCGTGCATTGGATGAACAGACGCGCCGGATGTCGATGGGGCGTTCACGCGTTGGAGGGATGGAACTAGGAGATGCAGTGGCATAATTGACTATACGTCCCTCTTTAGAGCACAAAACACATTTTTCAGCTATCCACGCACCTCTGGGAGCCATAGGAACTGCAAGTATGTCCTGGCGATATACTGGTCCAGCGATTCTGCTTGCAGCTCGAACGGGTAGTCCGTTGAGATTGATTTCTCTTGTGCTGCTGTCCAGTTCACGAGCTTCCGGTCTTCGAATACATAGTTTGTCGCCGCCAGGCAAGCCATAGGACGCGGAGTGGACGTGAGATGGGGGTTACAGAACGAGGTTTGAGGCCAACGCCCTGGTCAAGACTGGTTGTTGTATTCTCGGGGGCCTGCCAAACAAATTATCCTGCTGCACGTGCCGAGCACTCGCCTTCAACGACCAACGACCATGGCGGCGAAGGCGAAAGCACGGTACATCTCCCCAAGCTCTGCTGTTCGACTCTATACTCATGGAAATTCAGGACAATAATCGTTCGCCTAATTTCCACAGCGCAGACGGGATATTTTTACACGACACAGCGGCTACGGCAGGGCCCTAAACTTTCCGCTGTAAAATACGACCCGAAGGGTGCGTCCAACTCACACTTTTCCGGCTGTGCCTACTAATGCTTTTGGCAGTGAAACAAAGAGTACTGTTTGTGGAGAGTAAGAAGACGAAGAAAGGAGGGAACTGAGTTGTAGAGGGACAAGGCATTTCGTGAGTTTCTCGTCGCGTTTGGGTTAGGGTCACTCTGATGATTCTTTTCTGCCAGTTCGTTTTATTCATCCGCTGTGTCTAGATTACTCTGCTTTCTATTTATCTGATTGAACTCACTCACCTTGCGCTCCTCAATGCAACCGGTCAACCTTGCAAATCACCCTCCCCTAGGATGCTCGTAAATCTCTCCTCAAAGCTCAACCCCGTCAAGGATATACGCAAACGGATCCGGCTGAGGCTCCCTCGCCTGATACTCCAAGACCTCCCTCGTCAGCGCCACCGGAACAGGGTCAAACATCACCTTCGCAAACTCAACCGCCATATCCAAACCCGACGTAACCCCCGCCGAGCTCCATACCTTCCCATCCACGACCCACTGCCTCACCCGCTTCACATTCATATTATGCATCCCTGCCTGCGCAACCATCTTCAGCGCGACCTTGTTCGTGCACACCTGCAGCCCGTCCAAAATCCCTGTTTGCGCGACGGCCATTGAGCCAGTGCCCACCAGGAGCAAGTTCTTGAGCTCAGGCAAGCGGGCCTTGAGGAACGCAGAGCAGGCTTCTGAGGTTGGCACGGTGGGGTCCGGGCCCGGGACGATGAGGTAGTCCAGCGGAGGGCAGTCTGCGTAGGTGGTACTCGGGAGCATGAGCGGCCCCGAGCTTGCGCGGACAGGCGTGAGGTCCGTCGATATGTAGTGCCAGGCGATGATGGGGCCCTTGGAGATGGTCTCATCGTGCTGGCGGAGGAACTTGAGCATGGCCCGCGAGTGGCTGTTGATGTAATCAACGGGTCCGCAGGCGTCGAGCCATTGAAAGTCAGGTAGGAGGACGCCGAAGCTGAGGTTCTGTCCGGCCATTGTGATGACAGCCTTGTGTGATATGGTTGTGTGGTTGATTACAATTAGGCAAGTTGGTTGGTCCTTTTATGTAAGTTAATTTTCTCTGACTTTTATACCCCAGCAGTGCTGTGGTTCCGATGCAAGTCGCGGATGCCTGTCTAGGCGACGGTATCTGATGGTATAATGTCATCGTCCGATTGTCTTTATACCCTTGCCTCGCATAGGCCTGAGATAACCGGCTCCTCGCCGTTCGCACTTGAACCCACACGAAGCGGCCTACGTTTTACTCCGTCTCTCAATCCTGCGACAACCGCTCAAACGGATCGACAACTGCAGGCTTTCCTCCCGGATTTTCGTCATGCCCGACCTGGAAACCACCTCGTCTAATTCGTTGATAACTCCCGATGAAGCTGGGCTTTTTGGTCACCCGAAGCCCTCTAATAGCCATCCGCATCAAATCAGAAGTCATTCCCCCTACCCCGCACAAGCAAACGCGGCGGTAGACGGATTTCGTCCCTGGGGTTTGACCTGTCTTATATTTAGTAAGAACGCTAACATCGCTTCCCAAGGCCATACTATTCGAATTTCTAGCGGTTGGTCACATCTGCGGACCGAAATGAAGTTGCATGCCTATTTCTCATTGTGGCCACCTGATGAGGGTGTGTTCTTCCATGAGAGAGACTAAGACCAAGTCGAATACTGCCCACGGAAGACGGCGCTCATGTCCGAAATAACATTAGCATGCACTCCTCGGCCAGCGTGACTTGTCCGGATTCTTATTTTCATTTTTCCATTTTCAATGTTACTCGAGAGCTAACTATTCCTACACTAGATGTTACAGTACATGATACATGTCGAATAGCGAATCTGACGTCCATATTTCTTCCTTCCTGAATATCTTACAATTCCTTCGCAGTAGGACTGTGCATTCCGGATGCAAACATGGGCCTGCCAGAGCCACTCATTGAATGGCTGTTGAAGATTCCTGACCTCTCGAGTCTTGGGACAATATCCTAATATGAGTCGTTCTCGCCAACTCCTCGGTGTTCCTACATCCCATCATTAGTAAGTCGCAAGTCTCGAAATTAAAAGAAATCACTCACTGATGTCGAGTCCATCGACGCATATGTTAACAAAAGAGCGAAAGCCGATACGGCAAGAATGGAGGGCAGGAATGCGTAAATGACGATCGATGACGAGACCAGCGCAATCGCGGGTGGGATGGGGATGAGTTGAAGCTCTTCCTCGAGGCTCGGCTGCGGTGGTGACCTGGAGCGTGCAGGAGATCGCGACGACGACTTCCCGCTCGACCTTGACTTCTTTGTCCTGGCAACATCTGTAAGTAAGGTCTCGACAGCGAGTACGTTCAAACAACTCACTTTGATAATTTCCTGCTACCACTTCTTCGACTAGGTGCTGGCTCGCTGGATTTTGGAAGCGAGTTGGAAATACCGAGGCTCAAGGTCGAATTGGTTTGCTTCACCCACGCGGACACCCTCCGCTGGCTAGCGAGATACTGATAATAATTAGGATGGACGGTAATAGGCTGTGTAATGGAGGAGTCGGCCATTCTATGAGGTGAACGAGTACGAGCGATCTCTGGTTGAGGGATGAGACGATGTCCTCTTGGTAGCAGAGAAGTGAGGTTCGAGGGCCTGAGACTCCAGTCCCGGTGCGAGATTAAGTGGACTGCGCTGAAGACGTCGAGGATATGGCATGGCTAACGAAGGGTAGGAAGCAAGGCCTAACGTATGAACTTCTTTGTTGGATTAGGAAACTCAGAGTAGTAAACGCGTGGGGAACAGGCGGCTATGGAACGCTAGGGTGAGAAAGGGCAGGTGCGTGGTGGACATGCTGTTGCCCTTTTGGCAAAGTTTCATTTTGCGGCACAGTGTGTGGGGCAGCTGACCTGCATACTGGCATGCATGACGTTACCACTTTATTTCCCCTGCAAATTTGATTGAAGCGCCTATAATTGTGGGCGCTTGAGTTGTTGGGCGCCAAAAGGGAAGCTCGGGAAGGTCGGACGAGAAATGGACCCAGGATCTGGGCCTTCCCTCCGGTCCGGAACTACCGAGTACCTGCCAAACCGCCAAGCGATTCGCAGGTCGCTTCCTCTTCAAACCAACGATGTCCATCTTCCTTCTCGTTTTTTCCTACGTGATAACACCCAGAAGGTATTTCTTCGTTCTCTCATCTGGAAATTCGCGGAGTTTAGCACCTTATGCCCAACTTACGCCCGACACGTCTTTCGGGAAGTTGGCACGACCGACTATCCGTGACAGCTCGCATGGTCTGCGTCCCTTTTCCTTGTGCCAAAATGTTATCTGTTTGCTGAGGCTTTGCCAGCTCTTTCCTCCTCTGCGACCGTCTATTCGACTTTTGTCTCGAACTCATTGCGATTCTTCACATGATGATGAAGCCACTGTCGTTCTTTTCGTTGCTCGTTTCGGGATGGTGTATGGCCGGGAAAGTGGCTGCAAGGTGCGTTGCTAAATGAGTCCTTGATCTCTGCTGAACTGAATTTGCGACCAGTATGTTGGAAGAGAACCCCGATCTGTCCCCAGCGCGAATAGTAGGCGTGCACCTTGCACAGCCAGCAGATGCGGTCGCCCTCGCCAACTACACTTTCGACGTGTATTTCAACGTCATAGCGAAAGACGAAACTTATGAAGGCGGATGGGTGTCGTGCGTTTCCTTCACAACATCCCTGTCGCTGAGGCTCACTTCGAACACCGGATATACCAGGAAAGAGCAAGTTTTGGATCAACTTGATATGATGAACGAGGCGTATGACAGAACTGGGATCTCATGGAACCTCCTTGAAGTAAACCACGTCATTAACGAGAAATGGTTCGATCCAAAGTTTGTTCGCGGCAGGTAAGGTCAGTCAATGCCACCTTTTCAGCAGATTTCTCACGTATTTTGCCTGGTTTACAGGCCAAACGGCACGGAGATGTTCAAAGCATTGCGGAAAGGAGGGTCGACTGCTCTCAACGTCTACACAGCTGGGTAAGACATGTACAAGACCTCCGCGAGTTCCCTGGCTCAACGGCCGGCTTCGTAGATTTACGGACATGGAGGTGACCGGATTTTCCTCTTCGCCTGAGGACTACGCCTCCAAACCTCACGAAGACGGATGCATGATCCAATTCGACACGCTCCCTGGAGGCACCAATCTCGACAGACAGGGCGGCACCCTTATCCACGAGACTGGACACTGGTTGGGACTGCGTCACACTTTCAGCGAGGCATGATATTTCTCCACCTCTTCACCGCTGAACCTAACCCAAGCTGCTGCAGCCGCAAGGTTATTGCGACGACAATGACGATGGGATTGATGATACCCCTCCTCAGATCCAACAAACTTCAGGCTGTCCGCAAGAACCCGAATATTCATGCAATAGCACGGAGCCTCATGACATCCGTAAGCGACCTCTGCTTCGTTCGTCGTTCGGTTCATTCACCTTCGTTTTCTCTTGATGGCAGATAATTGGATGGACTACTCGAGCGATAAGTGCCGTCGACACTTCACACTGGGCCAAGTAGCCGTGATGCGTGAAACCATGAAGAAATACCGCAGCAACCCTCAGGTCTGAAGATCTGAGAAGCCACTCTCCTGAGTCGTCCGACTCGCGCCTTGCATTATGGTAATTATCGACTTTATTCGCACCCGCGTGCAGCGCGGTCTTGTGGCGCTACGCAGGCCTAATTGAATAATCTGGTGTTCCGCGGTAGTCATCTTCGCCCCATAATTCATATTCCTCTACATTCTCCAGTCCTTCCAGAACGCTGTCGGGTCGTTATGTCGTGCATGCTTCTGGGGACTCTGTGAGCTTTTTGGGGTCATTTTACACCATAGCATTCAGCGCTATATACGTAGCTCAGTTCGAGCGCCGCTTTGCGCTCGTGATGGCTTCGTTGGCCATCAGGCAGGAAACTTATGGCACTACATGGACAAAGGGTGCTTGGCGATCGAGTGCATCTAGCGCACGTTCGAGTGCCTATTACTCAACACTAAGGCTCTGAGAGCAACGATCGAGGTACGCGTGTTTGGTTCGAAACTTGAGACGCCTCCGGTAGTTGGCCCAAAAATAGTAAGCGCCCACGGGGCGCCAAGCCTGCAGCTGTGCCCAAACTAGGCGTTGTGTACTTGAACGAAAACGCTACATTATAGAGGAATACTACAGATGTGTAGTAAGTATACGAGTAGAAAAGAAGGGGCATTGCAAAGGTCTGGTTATATTAATCCATAATTGAGAGTGACTGCCAGTAGTAAGGAGGATTAGCCCGCGTTGCGAAGATACCTCCAGTGAAAGCCCACCGAACACAATATGCTTTAAAATATTAGTCCGCATAGAAATACATTGATGTTGATAGAATTCTAGGCAGACGTTGGTCACTCAGTGAGTGTCAGGCCCGGTTCGTGATGTCGGCAAGTGCTTACACACTCGAAGCTGCATTCTCCTTAAGGTCCTATTGGCGAAATCATCCTTCGGGTTCATCCTGTTCGAGAATAAGTGAAGGACAAATCTTTAGTGTTTTCTGAAGACGTACAATCTAAAGGAAATTTATCCCTCTCAGGGGTGAGTGTAATGGCGGAGCTTCAGAAATCGCGTACCTCCTGGAATCTGTAGTGAATTGGGAAAGAAAAGCATGAATGAAAAATACATACCTCCTGTTACAGAAGGGGGGGGGCATGTATTTATGGTTGAAACTGAACAATCGGTTCAGTTTGGATTACTCACACACTAGGTCGCTCGTAACATAGATGTAAGAAAGGGACCAGCGAGATGAAAGAACCACTCACACGCTGGAGTAAAATGAGTGGTCAATCCGTTCGCTCATATCAATAGTGAATGAGGGCTTACATCCTGTGAGACATAACTACGTGTCAGCAGACGTATTGTTAGAGTGAACAGACACTGACCCACTACGTTGAGAGAATCATGCGCTCAGTTCAGGGTCTAGTTGAGAACCTGAATTTATAACTCACGTGTTGAACCTGAGAAAACATGGGTTACAGTTATGAAATGATCAACAGTCTGGAAACTCACTCTCTGAAGCAGGAAATGAGAATTGAAGATCTCAACGAAGGGTTGAATTGGGGGGATGGGTAACGTACCCTCTAGTGTGCGTATGTCATGAGTATATGGAGAACGGAATAGACGTGTACTTACCGGCTGGATGAGGCCAGTCATGAATCTGTCATAATGTCTTTCAGAGCACCCAGAGAAGAATTGACTGACCCTGATTAGGACATGGATGTTCCGGAAAAGCTTGGTATCTTCAGCGGTCCGATAGGATCCCTTCGACCCCGTAAGCTGCGGCAAATCACACTTTATAGTCTCGTAATCGTAAGTAGCCCGAATCCTGCTCCCACATCCATAGCTGGAGGTCGTCTGGGTGTCACGTACGCAGGAAACGGAGCGAGGCTGAAAATATGACTTGCCAATCGACCCAGCCGTGTTGAACCTTCTCCCTTGGAACGCTCCGCCCACATCGAGGACAAGCACGACGAATTCCTTGGGCAATCTGAAGAATTGTAACAGCCATGGTGATCTTTGCTCCAGGTCGTACAATGTGGGACCACTGGTCAGATTTGACGATCCCGTCGGTCTCTGAGAATATGCTGTACTCTCCGCGATTGAAATGGCGTTCGCTTGCGCGGCCCATATAGTAAGATGCCATCGAGGCAACGAATTTCTGAAAAGAAATGATGAAAATTGTGTCTGGTTGATGTGAAAATCGCTTGCCTCCCACGAGAAACATAGCTCCCAAGGCAGCGTCAAGGGACACCCTAGTACATCCACGAACTCTAATGCATTTTCGCGCGTGTAGCCCAATACGCGGGGTACATCAGTAATGGACGTCAAAGGCGACAATGTGCTGATTCGATCAGCAACAGAAATCCAACGCAGAGTAAGTCATACCTCGTGAGGAGTAGTGATATTCGAGCTTGATGTGCGGCGACTCGGCGGCGCACAGCGTTTACATCTTCTTTCTTGAAGAGCGCCCAAAATATCTTTCGAAAAACGAGTTTCATGGCACGTTTGCGGCTCCTGGGAGCTGCCGATGTAAAGGCGCGATGGTAGCCTTTGATGGACTTGACAAACTTCGCCAGAACGAGGCGACTCTGCAGGATTTCCGTAGAGATGAGACGTTGTGCAGTCTGTAGGTTGTCGTCGCTTGGAGAGGTGGCAAATTTCTCTTGAACCAGGTCAAGCACGTTGCTGAAGGCGATGAGTTCGTCCCGAAGTTCGAGGTACTCGACCGCAGAACCACAAGTATTGTTGAGCACCTTGATCACCTTGAAGACAAGCTCGGAAACGGCGGCGATGTCGCCGACAGACCCAGGAACTAGAATCATCTCTTGAAAAAAAAGCAAGGGAGAAGGTGAGGTGTGTAAGTGTCGAGGCCGACATAGACCATATATAATGGTCTGAAAGGCGGTGTGAGTGCCTTATCAGTTGGCTTGGGAGGTCGTCAGAGCCCTTGATCCTACTCATTTCGGAATCAAAGCTCATTCCAACGAGCTGCCGCACGGGATTTTGAAGGACGAACTACACAGTGACCGGTACTGAAGCTTGAAGTCTCTATTATCGCATGGTGAGGCTGTACAGCTGTAACAGTGACACAATTAGCGGCCGATAAGCCAAAGTCTATGAGTGAAGTTAACCGACCTTTCGAGGACCTGATTCCGAGCTTTTCCGGCGTATTTGGCAGGCTGTATGCAGTCAGTTAAGCTTCGAAAATGATTATAGGAACACTTTGCATACCTTTGTTAATTGTCTACCATTTATTACCAGTACACCGGACGACGTACACAGCATCTTGATTCGAGAAAGTTGACGTACTGACCCATTCCAGAATCCCAGGCTCTAGTGGTGGAAGCATCGAACGATTACACATATGTAATCGGTCTATGTAGGAGGTTGAAAATTTCCAGAGAAAAAATATCACTAAGAAGAGGGATTAGGGATTCAGAGGTGAGATCTTGAGACTGGAGGCGTGTTGAGAGCTCATCAGGAAGATCTGGAGGAAACAGCACGACAGAGGTTCGGATACTGAACGTGGTGGAGCAGAGACATCATAGAACGACAGATAATTTTGCGATTGTATTTAAACAACTGCAGAATACCGTCCGTCCAGCGTGTAGAAGATGTTGAGATGACTCAATTTCAAAGCTTAAGCCAGAGTTCAACAGGAAATGTGTGCGACGCTTCTTGATTTTGAACCATCACCATCCAGCCGTGGGAATTCGTCGCCCCCACCATGGCCGCGCTCTACACTACCGAACTCCTCTCATTAATCGGCATCGTCCTCCATCAGGCCCCACTCATTGCCTGATTCCTTATCTATTCATTAAACCAACACCTTTTCTTATTTATCGGAGAAGACCACGCCGAAGTCGCGATCTTCTCCGATAAATAAGAAAAGGTGTTGGTTTAATGAATAGATAAGGAATCAGGCAATGAGTGGGGCCTGATGGAGGACGATGCCGATTAATGAGAGGAGTTCGGTAGTGTAGAGCGCGGCCATGGTGGGGGCGACGAATTCCCACGGCTGGATGGTGATGGTTCAAAATCAAGAAGCGTCCCGGACCAGTCGACTCTGCCAGTCTCTTGGACTACTACCAAGTATCGACATCCCATTGGTCTTTCATGCGAAAATGCACCTTTACAAGTCTTGAACAGCTTTGATATCTGGGGGTCTTTGTCGAAACAAACGGGAAGTATCGAGAAACCGATCAAGTTGGTGCATAGCGCATACATTCAGGTTGTGCAAGTCGGGAAGAATGCTTGCGAGCGTTTCAAGTCTTTAGATTAACTACAGTAAGCACAGCGGCAAAAAAATAAAGAAGATATACACTGAAAATTTTACAACCCTCGACTTGCTGCTTTATTGCTCACTGACGAAAACAGCAGCCATACCCATACCGGAGCCGATGCACATGCTGGTGACGAAGACCTTCTTGCCAGTTTGCTTCGAGATATTGAGGCCAGTTGCCACCTGGCGAGCACCGGTGCAGCCGAGAGGATGGCCGATGGCAATGGCGCCGCCATTCAGGTTGACCTTCTCGAAGGGAATCTTCAGGTGTTGTACGCTGAAGACGGCCTGGCTAGCGAAGGCCTCGTTGATTTCGTAGAAGTCGACGTCGTCCAGAGTGATGCCAACCAGGTCAAGCACCCGTGGGATGGCGTACGCAGGGCCCACACCCATGATGCGTGGAGGGACACCGACGGCGGCAGCGTTGACGAATTTACCGACAATGGGCAGGCCGAGGCGCTTGGCCACAGATCGGCGGGCGAGGAGAACAGCAGCAGCACCGTCGGACACCTGGGACGCGTTACCTGCGGCGAAGTGGAGGATTAGATAACGAGCACGAACGCAAGACGACAAAACGCACCAGCATGGGTCGAACCATCCTTCGAGAACGCAGGCTTCAGCTTCGACAAGCTCTCAGCAGTGACACCATCCCGAATGCCATCGTCTTGGTCAACAACGATTGTCGTCTCCTTCTCCGTCTTCGGGTCGAAGATCTTGGTGGTGATTGGTACAATCTCGTCCTTGAACTTGCCGGCCTTGTTGGCAGCAGCAGCCTTCTGGAACGAGGCGGCAGCGAATTCGTCCTGGACGCGACGAGAGATGCCGTAGTCCTTGGCGACGTTCTCCGAGGTGATGCCCATGGGCAAGAGGCAGTCAGCGGCGTCCTGGTTCTCGAGGATCTCCTCCGAGACATCGGGAGCGGCAGCAGCACCGTAGCCGTGGGTCATCGACTCGACACCAGCACCTGGTCCAAGGTAAGTCAACTCGGTTTGACAAGGTGATCTGCCAGCACTTACCAATACCAATGTCAATCTGTCCAACGCGGATCTGGTTCGCAATCTGGTTGATGGCGGTCAGACCTGAAGAGCATTGACGGTTGACGGTGTTGATCGAGGTTTCGACGGGGATTCCAGCGTGGAGGGCGGCCATGCGAGCTGCTGAAGCTCCACCACCGGGAGGAAGGACGTTGCCGACTGAGATGTCCTCTATGAGCTTGGGGTCGAGGTTTGCCTTCGTGTAGGCAGCGCGGAGGACGTGCGAGAGGATAAGCTCCGGTTTGGTGTCCTTAAAGCCACCTTTTTTGCCCTACGGGTTGGTTAGTCCTCTTCTTTATTTCAACGCCATTCTTACTGACCTTGGTGATGGCAGAACGCACAGCGCTGACGATGACGACGTCGTCGTCGTGCTTTTGGAGGAGAGCAGCTTTTCCTGACATTTCGATGGTGGTGGATGGATGGAAAGAGCAGAGATCGCGGATTTGCCACCTTATAAGCGGGGTACGACGCTACCCGGTGACGCGGAGGTCAAATCACATGTGGGGAAGGCCCCGGATATGGAGAATACCCGTACGAGCCTGCCCCTAACCCCAGCATTCAGCCAGGGTCCTCTCGAAAAGAGTCGAAATTCACATGGAAAGCAAAGTTACAAATCGCCGAGGTAGGTCTCCGAGTCCGAAGCGTTCCAGGAGGCAGGGAGTAGCTATTTGAAAGTGTAAGCCAAATTGCCGTTTCAACCTCATCAAGAAAACTGCATTCAGATTCGAAGCAACATATTCTCGCTTTGTCTCGAGCAAGGGAAACTATATTCTCGGCGAATTTGTCTCATTTACCTCGACCGAAGATAAGTAGCCACCAAAGAACTCCAGATTCCACTATTCACTTATGAACATATTCTGGTCTCATTTCACCGCCCTATTCTGCAACCCTTTCGCGACCGAAAGACGTTGCACCTTCTCCACATACGCCTCAAGACCCTTATCCCATCTCTTGAGCTCTGCCTTCTTCGTCACCGTATAAAAGACGCCCTTGTACTGCTCGCCACCTTCGTTGTCTTCGTCATCATCTTCGTCGCCTTCGATGACCTGCTTCAAGAACCATACATCATGGCTAACGACCACGAGCGCTCCTTCGAACTCGCAAAGCGACTCGACGAGAGACTCGACGGTGCCCATGTCGAGATGGTTGGTAATCTCATCCAGCAGGAGAACGTGCGGGTGATGGAATGTCACCAGAGCCAGCGCGACCCGATTTCGCTGCCCACCGCTGAGCGTGCGGATGGGTCGCGTTACGGGGTCGCCGCTGATTCCGCACGAGCCCAAGTGTCCTCGAGCCTCGGCCTCCGAAATGACTACGTCCGGATACGCCTTCGCGAGCTGTTGGAGCGCCGTGAGGTTCAGCTCAAGTTGATCGACGGTGTGCTGCGAGAAGTAGCCGATCCGAAGACGGTGGTGTTTCTTGACTTCGCCAGACATGGGCTTCAACTCGCCAGCCAGGAGGTTCATTAATGTAGATTTTCCGCATCCGTTTGGGCCGAGGAGCGCAATGCGAGCACCAGGACTGACGTCCAATGAAACGTTGTTGATGACCAAAGGTGACGAAGGCTTGGCGTCGTATTTGAAGGAGACGTCCGAAAGCTGGAGGAAAGATTTTCCCGGGAAGTTGAATGGCTCGGGCGGCGGCAGGTGGATAGGCGCCGTCTTGACTGCTTGCTCTATGACAATTTCGGCGTGATACCCATGGTAACTGCGCTTGTACCGTTTGCCGTCTTCAAGACGTTCCATTCCCAGTCTGTCAAGTTTCTAGGAGCCAACGGTCAGCAAGGCTCATCGACTAGCAAAAGACAGCAAACAACCTTTCGCCGAGAAGCTACGAGGCCTAAACGTTTATCATCTCCAGTAGATTTAGCGTGCTGGACGCTTTTCTGGATACTGTTTAGAATCTGCTTTCGACGTTTCTGTTCCAGCTAAAACACAAGATATGAGGGTGCGTTCGTATGGGCCACTGCAGGTACGTACCTCCTTGAGGCGAGTCTTCCGCTTCCTCTGCTCTTCGGTATTCTTTTCCCAATCTTCATAATTTCCAGGATGATACTTCAATTGCCTATCCCGGAAAATAATGGTCTCGTCGGTTACAGCGTCCAGGAAATTGCGATCGTGCGAAACGACAACGACGGTTTGCCCTTCGACGTCGTTGGTAAGGTACGACTGTAGCCAGAGGATAGCAGGAAGATCCAGATGATTCGCTAATGAAGGTGAAAATGAGGCAAGTTAGTCAATTTCGAGGCTTCTAACTGGAAGAGCACATACTAGGTTCATCCAAGAGGAGAATATCGGGTTTCACGAACAAGGCCTTGCCCAGCATAACCCTCATCCGCCAGCCTCCGCTCAAGCCTCCGATATCTTTCCCCTCCTTCGACAGCTCATCATCAGTGAATCCCAAACCCTTCAGAATAGCCTTCGCCCTCGCTTCATCTGCCTCCAAGTCGAGCGCCTGATATGCACCAAACACCTCAGCCATCAGATCGTTGGCCATCTTCGCCGTGACGAAAGTATGAGGATCTTGAGCCTTAAGTGAGGCAAGTTCGCCCTCTGCTGCGAGTAATGCCTGACGAGCGGTGTGGCCTCGCTGACCCGAACGCTTCGCGGCTATTTTCTGTGCGAGGTCGAGAGCAGTTTCGGCACGAGAAACAAGCAACTTGTGGATGACTACGTTCATGCTTGCTTCCGATGAAGACTTGGAAGATGCTCCTTGCAATGCTGCACCCGGAAGTTGTTGAGGCTGCTTCATGGCGTGGGGTAGGTACGCATACCTTGTGCCTCCTTGATGATCCGCTCACGATCGACGTCAGCACTGAGGATCTCTTGCAGGATGGTTCGACCAGGAACGATCTCCTCCAACTGTGCGATGTGAAGGATGCGAACATTCTGAGGAAGCCCCACGAGTATGTTGTTCCCAAGGACGGACATGAGGACTAACGCGATGCATAGGCATGAGTGATCTGGGATGAAGACACGATCGATACGCACCAGACTTCCCAACACCATTCTGGCCGACCATCCCATAACGAACACCGGATTTCAACCGCAGATGAGCATCCACGAGCAGTTCCTTATTGTTAACAGAGATGTTCACGTCTTTCAGGTCGATCTCGGTACTGTTTGGGTCGAAGGTCTCTTGGTGAAACCTGCTCTGCTGAGAGTAGGCGACCACCTCGGGAGTGCCGCCATCCTCTGCGATAGGCGCGGTATTTGCTTCCGCCTGTTTCTTTTTTATCCTGCTGACCTTCGTCTTGGTGGCAGCAGGAACCTATTGAACACAAACGTCAATTGTGAGAGACAGAGAGACGAAGATTTTGACCTTTGGTTCGTCAATCCGCAGAGCTTTCAAGTCGACTGTGTCCATTTGGTGATTTCTATTCGCAGGGTGGTAAATTGTCAGTGGCAGGTCGTGAAGAGCTGTCGAACCCTGCCATGCCTTTCTTATCGACCTTGACTCAGTCGTCGGAACCGAATCGAAAAGTTCAGCCATGTTTGGAGCGAGAAAACGCGATTTTCGGAAGAAACATGGAACAGCGAGACATTCGGTATGCGTTCGAAACCTGAGTTAGTAAAGGTTTGAGTTGACTGTCGAATGTGAGGGAGGATTCTGGGTTCTTGGCAGCATGCGTGACTCCTAGTTGATGTGAGCCAGTTGATGTGAGTCAGTCGTTCTATTACTAAATTTGTACAAACCAATTTTCTCTTACTCTCCTCATCAGACCATCGAGATTCGAGTTTACATACTGCTCAGTTCTTCGGGATCAACCGTTCAGCAAAAAGGATCTCTGGCAGCTCTGAATTCCTCGTCCTCCCTGTCAGCATTCACCAACATCCTAATGTCCTGTGAACCTTTCGGTCTGTTTCTTTGGATGGGAGGACTCGGAGCCTTTGCATCGTCCAGGTTCAGATCGTCAATGCTATTGCATTCCAAGAATGACCATCACTTGTTATTCATTAGGTATGCACCAAGTCCTTGTAATCTAATTAACGATGTCTGTACTCACCCTGAGGTTGGAGTATGAACGTACAACAGCGAACGCATTACGATTAGCCCAATCAGTGTCCGCTTAACGCACAGGAACAAGTGCAACAGCTTTGGGACCTCTCCCCTCCAAGGTGGACAATCCTCTGGCCTCAGTCAAGGCCATGGGCGTCCAAGTTCTGGCAAATGAGCGATTTTGAAGGAGCTTTCCACGGAAGCAACCTCTCCAGACACCTCTCCAGACACCTCGATTGCAGGAACCTTTTCAAAGCAACAAAGGATCGTCGGCAAGATCACGCCCACCCTGTGCTCACTCTGGCCTACTCTGGCGTACCAGCTTGGGATAAACATGGCCGGAATGCGAGACTTCATCGAATTGGCAATCGTCACGAACCCCAGCGTCTTTTCGAGGATATTCAAGTTACAGCTCCAGCACCTAATCGTTCGGGCATATCAAGCATACCTCGCTTCGAACGTTCCTACAGCGTGACACCACATTACCTTTCTCATCGACGGGCTCGACGCATACTCTGGGGCGCTCTAAGGCGGTGCATGGACGAAACTACTAAACGTTCACGCCCTCAGACTGACCCCTTCTCTAACCACATCAACGGAAGCCAGAGCTGGCCATTAGACCAAGATCTTCTTACGACGATCCATCAGACGTGCCGAGTGATACAGCCCTATATTGTTGATGAAGAAGCCCACTCTGATACATCTCGCTGCGAGTTTACGACACCGCTGGAAGGACTGCGGACTTTTCAGCAAATGCACATGGATGCACTCGTGCGCGAGCCCGTCGAACTTGATGGGGTTGGCGCAGTGGTGGAGGAAGAGTTTATCCTTGATCAAAACCTGATCCCGACGCCGACGATGTATCCTCTATGACAGACCCAGCAGAGCAGTCATTCTCGCGAATTGCAACGTCCACTGCAGATGTCATCGTGCTCGTGGCTGTCCCGCTTCCATGGGAAGCTTCAAAGTAGATAATAACAATGAGGAACCCTTTCCGTTTCCCGATCTATTTTAGAATTGGCATCCCTACTTTTGTCGCTATGTATTCCGGGCAAAGAGGGACATGAACAAAGCTCCTCTCCATTCCATAAGTTCTATTAATTACAATTGATGGCTCTTCTGCGTCCCAACAGTATCGACGTCGCGCACAAATCGAGCGAAGATAAAGCCTTTCGCCGGGAATAGAACAAAGGATGCGGCGATATCGAGCTCAGTTATTGTGTTTCAGTGAAGCTTCGAAATGGCGGTCGGCGCCAAGTTCCCAGATGGGGAAAGAATTCATTAGGTAAATTTCCTTTTATATGACCAGACTTTGACGAGTTGTGGGCGCGCAAAGATGATCAAAGTACTAGTCGCACGTCAAAGAAGATCCTGCTCCTGCTTGTACTTTGCTCCATCTCTCCCTCCAATTATATTTGTAGACACAGATCGTCTAAACTCTATGTAGACGATTTATTTGAACCGTTACGCTCCCCTACGTCGAAGAATGTGGACTTGAGTGCTAATTCTACGCTGATTATCTACGCTGATTACAGGCTAATCACACGGTCTTCGAACAGTGGAGAGGAAGATGAGTCATACATAACAATTACGGCCAGAAGAGCGTCAGCATGACAGGGTCTTCCGCATTAACAAAGTACATGAACCCAAAGAAGACCGCACAGCCCAAATCCTGTTCTCGGAGTCGTGTTTCAATTGTGGCATACCTCTAGCTCTGCCACATCCCCCGTTGCTAGAAACGTTGACACTTGAAGCTCCAGAGCCTAAGGTCTTGGGAACGGCATCGTTGGTCGATGAGACTTCGATTCTTTGCAGTCCTGTCTCACGAGACATAAATAAGACGTCCCAGGCAATGCACCCATCTTGTTCAGTCCCCACTCCAGCCAATCTCACCCGCTTACCATCTACCTCACTTCTGCCGTAATGAACCTTGCTAGCCTCCTGAATAACGCACATCAGTGCCAATTTGTCAACTCTCAGCTCACCGTCGCCCAACTCACAGTTGGATCTGAAGGTCCGCTTTTATTCAATCGTCATCGAATCGCTATTATTGAGACGTTCTCATTTTCAGGGAGTGTTCTGGCGAAATTTAAAGACCACGTCGCCTCTGATGCAAGACATGATTCTCGAGAACGAAAGCCTTTCCCTCGGTGTCTCGAGAGCACAAGACAGGAAGTATTCCAAGCCATCGTGGCATGGGCAAACGCCCCACTGGAGAAACACATTTTCTGGCTGCATGGACGATGCGGAACCGGCAAGACGGCCATCCTTCAGAAGCTTTGCGCGCCCAACGAGCTCGGAATAAGGCCTATCATCGGAGGCGGATTTTTCTTCGGGCGAGGGAGTCCTTCGCGTGGCAATTCGCAGCGTTTCCCCGCGACAATTGCTTATCAATTGGCTATGAACAATCCTATCATGCGAGCTCTCATCGATGAAGAAATTTCGAACGACCCGGGTATTTTCGAGACCGACGAAGAAGCTCAATTTCGGCGTCTAATCATCAACCCCTTCCAGAGACTCGCCACAATCCCGAACGCACAAGTTCCCGTTGTAGTCTTCATCGTAGACGCTCTCGACGAATGCGGCACATATGACGATCAGCTGGCCTTTCTCGATCAAATACGCGTAGTTCTTCAATGTGTCCCGACTCTTCGCTTCTTGATTTCAAGCCGCGAGGAAACACACCTGGGATTAAAGTTAGGAGATGCCTCATTCTCTCACATCACCGAGCGGTATGCGCTCGACTGGGACAGAAACGCCGCTGAAGATATCAAAAAGGTTTTGGAGAGCGGATTTCAGGACATTAGACGCCAACATGCTTCGTGGGTGGGGCATATGGATGCCGGCTCAAACCTGAAAGACCCGTGGCCGGGTATGGATGTCATCGATTGTTTAGCCAAAGCCGCCTCTGGCCAGTACATCTACGCGTCGACCGTTTTGGATTTCATAAAGAAGGGGCAGCCTTTGGAAAAGCTACAAGTCATAACGAACCCTGAGTACATTTCGACCGCTCCTGGACGTAACACGGTTGCCCATGCTTTCAAGAAACTAGATGACCTCTACAGCCAGATCCTCTCGAATGGCACCCTGGTACCCAGTTGTGTTGGTAGCATTTTAGCGCTCCTGAACGTGACAACATTCCCCCAACGCCCAGAGGTTATCGCCAATCTCCTTGGACTTCATGTCGCCGACGTACATGCGACCCTGACTGCAATATCACCTTTACTGAAAGTCCACGACCTCAAGACTCCAATGTCGGAGGACGAGCGCATAGTTGCGATATTCGGCCATGACTACTTTCAATACGAGATCTCCCACACCTCTCTCAGGGATTTTCTTGGTAATCCGGAACGATCGGGAGAACTGGCCCACTATACGGTCGGCATAAAAAGGGTGGCGCTGAACAACTTCTTCGGCCTTGTGGAAGAGGCTTTCACGGAGTACAAAATCGGACCGTAAGTGTTGTTAATTGTTGAAGTTCACTGAGATGCTGAACGTTGTTGACAGCCGCGTGAGTGTGCGGGACAGCACCTGGCATTTCTTCAGAGATAGCTTCTCGTCCCAGTTCCAATTGGACGAAGTGCCCGTTGATCAAGTCTCGTCGTATTTGACTAACTCAGGTCTAAAAAATCTCTGGCCCAATGTTACCTTGGGGGCTGGCGATCGAGCTATTGACGTACGCTTCCGTGAGCTGATTTTAGCTACCAGCGCTGCCATTTCAGTTCTGGTGAGCATGAATCGTTCTCAATTTGCTGCAAAGAATGACGGGTCAATTGAAAAGCGAACCTGGGAAAGCGAATTTAGTAGCTGGATTGACTTTCTGAGGTCAAAGCTCTTCGAGTTTTATTCAACCGTGTTCCCCAACATCCGAACTCTCCTGAATCGCTTACCGTATCACATCATCACTGGCTCATGGTTTACCTCACACTATCTTCGAAATGGGACCCAGAGGAGCGCGGAGTTCGCCGAAGATTTCCTTCAGACTTACCGGCCAATCATCGAGGTTGAACTCCAGAGTCCCAGATGGCAGTCGACGGACCGGGCATACTGCATAACTCAGTCCTTTATTGACTGTTGGAAGGAGACCTTGGGGTCGTGGGGTCCGCGTACCGTGAGCACTACATTTTAGTCACGGCATGGTGCCTCAAAGGCGCGATCAGGGCAGTCCAAACACGGTGGGTCTACCTCAACGCATCTGGCGGGTGAAGAATCCTGCTCAGTCACGCTCTCTAGCGACCCGAGTTTTTTTACACGAATATTCGGCGTCGTCATCACAGACTTTGCACGTCGGGACCTGAAGATTCTGAGCCAAGAGGAGTACCAGCGCGGGCACGCGATGCGGGAGTTGCTAGACACTATCTTGACGCTCGACCTAAGCGACGACATCTTGAATGACGATAGTGATCATGCTACGGCAGTGTGGCAAATACTATTCTGGTATTACCTGCAGGAAGAGGTGAGAAGTCTCTGCCAGAACGCCGGGTCTCCAGACATCTGACCTTTCCACAGAAAATCTTTTGGGCAGAACGCCTGGCGGATCACAGCATTGAAATCGAGGCAGACCAGGAATTCTGGGAAAAGAGCACCGGGTTTTTTGAGGAGATCTCGGAGCACCGCAGCTTCGAACGTTGTTCGGCCATCCTGGAGTCGGTGAAGTACCGGTACAACCTCTGGGAGGACAACGCAACAGGGATATTGGACGCGAGGCTCTACAACAAAGATGGTTGCTTTGTGGATTGCACCAACGAAAAGAACGATGCTTCTTGGTTCCAGGGCTTCAAGAAATTTGCTCGAAGATTCCGGTAGATTTTGTTTGATCCAGTAGCTTGACAATAATTAGTTCTGCCTTGCGTTCCCTGCTGCCCACCAGGTTTGATACGGAGAACGAGATGCGAAGGGGGTGAGAGCGTTATTCTTCAATATGTGGCTGAAGTATTCATGCAGCGTTGGACCTGATTTTTCCAAAAAAGCTGACCAGAGTCATCTGACGGTCATCTCAAGAAACATGATATTGAGTAAATTCGAAGGTAAACAAGACTAGTATGTTACAAAGTGACCGAACTCACACTTAAACCAACCGTCCAAAGGGGCCGCTCAAAATCACGCTTTCCCATTCCGTGCCATTTCCTTGCGAACCTCGCTAGACCACTTGAAGAAATTACACTTATATCGAGGGTCAACCTGGTCTCTTGGGCGTTCTGAACCTTTATCGTAGCCAGGTCCTACAGGCCTAATCATATCGCATGGCAGAGTCAGAAAACGAGCGGATACTGGAAGAACAGGATGAAGAAAGGCCAAGCGCACCTGGAACAAATGAAGAACTTCTTCCCCTTGTTCGGACCTGGTTTGTTCACTGTGTACTCTTTCGCTGGTTCGCGATGCATGGTACACAATGGTATTTGTGTAGGGGCGAGGAGAGTATTCCAGGCCTGTTTACTCTCCCCTGGGTCCTTCTCCTGGGAGGTTCTCGGCGCTTGGGCATTCTCCGCCTGGGAAAGCTGAAGCGCCAATTGATAGTCGGCATCCTCATCCGCCTCCGTTGAATTCGTTTGACTTTGAGAGGCTGGTGGCAGTGGTGGACTGGACGAGGCCGAAGTCTTCGGTTGAGCCCTTGCGTTAGACGGAGGCACAGACGAACTGGTGGTAGATTTGGAGCTGGAGGGTTTGGGCTGAGAGAAGAAACGGGCGATGCTTGACTGGCTTGATTTGCTCTGCAACTTCGACTTGCCCTTCGCCGATTCTTTCTGAGGTTGAGAGGGCTTGAGCTTCTTCGTCGCTGACGGTATGTGGTCCACAGTCAGTTTGCGTTTCGCTGTTGATGCGCTGGGGTCCGGTGGAGAGGAGACGGGGTCGAGCAGTTCAACGTCGGGCGGAGTGGGAGGGTTTGAATCGCATACAGGCGGTTGACTACCTGTTGAAGATGTTTGGCTTGGTTGCGGTTCGATCGCGCTCGAGGGTATACGTATTGATGACGATGCATCGGTCTTCTTCCCGAAGAAGTTTGACAGAAGCTTTTGTTTGTGTTCGTCCCAAAACTTGGCCGCTAGCCTAGGAGGCTCTGGAGGTGTCCCATCTGCAGCTCGCGAGCCCAAGACGTCGCGTAATCTTACGATATGACCGTCTGCTTTCGTGATTTCGTCGAACAGATCGACGAAAACTGGGCAATGGTCGCTGCCCTTAATCTGAGGTTGGATATCCGCAGCCTTGACCCACGGAACGAGCCCCGGCGTGATGAGGATGAAGTCGATACGCGTTCCGTAATTCGTGTCCCTTGCAGAGATTTTCGTGTTCCAGCCTACGTTCTGTCAAAAAAAAAAAGGTAGAACATAAGGGTAGAACATGAACTTACAGGTGTACATTCCCTTTCGGTCCGGCCAGAATTTGCGCACAATATCGACCATACAGCCGCCCGTCCCGTCCTCCTTGACTAACCAATCCCTGATCCACCGGCGATAGTCTTTCCCCCAAAAGCCCTCTTCGCCCTCCAACCCTTCCGCAAGGCCACGGGCCACCATGAGCTCACCCTCGCAATGGTCCTCGACTGCAGCACACGCGTTGAGGTCGCCGACGACCACAACCTCTCGCCCTTCGCGTATGAGAGTACGAACGCGAGATTCCAGAAGCCTATGATAGTCCATCTTAAACTTGTCGCGTTCCTCTGTACCTGTGCCGTCGTTGGGGCAATACACGCTGATCAGGACAAATAATCCGAGGTCAACAATGACAGCCCGGCCTTCGCTGTCCAGGTCCTTGTAGTCCGGCTCGTCTTGGTCCGCTGGTATGGGCATGTCAGGTGGGTAGTTGCCCAGGCGCGAGATTCGCTCCTCAGGCGTAAGTGGTGGCCGCGGTTGGAGAAGACCCGTCAGACCTTCTTCAGCTTTTAGAGGTACCACGAGGTTTCGACGCGTGTATATAGCGATTCCGGAGTACCCGCTCTTCTTCACAGGGAAAGAAAAGAAGGAGTCGTAGGACGGGGGTAGGGCAACGGCTTTGGGAAGACCTTGCCTGGATGATTTCATCTCTGTTACGCGTTCAGCACGTAGAAATGCGTGAAGAAGCAATAAAATACCTTGAAAGCATATTATATCCGCCTCTAAGTGGTTCAATATGTCATCGAATGTCTTTAGAGTGTTCCATCTAGTGACGAGTTGGGAACCCTGACAGGTACAGGGTGCTGCTTCAACCACTCACGGGTGATACTGGGGCAGCGTGCGAACACCGTTCTACAGGTTTTCGTCAACGTTTGACTAGAGGTGGAAATGGGGTACCTACGATGTTCCAGGTTGTAATTCGCATCTTGCTAAATAGTGGCCACAGACGATTTGTTGTGGTTTTTTCTTGGCCTAGATTGGAGTTAAAAACGCGTCTTTCGAGTTTAGAATAGTCTTAAGGAGGTTATGCACCCAATGTGAGCCTTAATGAAAGGTTTCATTGCGTACTTCGAAGACTCATAATGAAAGTTCAGAAAGAAGCCTTGTTTTCGCGTAGGGTTAGTCACTAGGATGTCCTTGTTTGGCAACAGCTTTTGACAGAAATCTTCTCTCCTCTTACCACCATCACCTATGGGTCGCCTACGACGTTCAAGGGTTCATCACGCGCGACGAGACACTCATAGAGCGTCTAGAACAAGAGTAGGACATCATAACTCTTTTTCATACTTCAATTAACGCAAGATACCAGGTCAGAACTCGGGATTTGGACCAAATTCAACTGATTGACTTAGATCCCAAAGTACGTTGTTCGCCGTTCTCAAGGAGTCTGGCTGAATATTACAACTAGAACCGTCAAGCTCTCGAAGCTCAACCGATTGATTTCGAAACACCTGGTCTTGCTCAACACTACTGCGTAGAATGTGCAAAGTACGTCTCCAGTAGCTTCATCTGGTTGGGTCACTGATCCTGTACCAGATATTATGAAACAGACTCCGCCCTCCAGTCGCACTGGAGGAGCAAAGTGCACAAACGCCGTCTGAAGCAGCTCAAAGAACCTGCGTATACGATCGAGGAGGCGGAACGGGCAGCTGGGTTGGGTCGAGACAATAGACGGGCAACGAGGGTAGAAGGCCCTTCGGACGTCATGGTAGAAGCGTGATTGTATGAGCGATCATTTCTTATATTCTGTTCAAGTGCATGTTGTATTTTACTTCTCTCGATTGTCCATAGCATCGCATTAAAGGTCCAAACCATGCTGTTGCAGTGCCGCTTTCAAATGATCCTTCTTGCGACAGTCAATAATTTCGATCATCAACCCAGATTCCCGATATGCAAGGAGCTCGAAGGCCGTTTCACGGTCGATGGGAGGGAGAGAGGTTGGACCATGGTCTGTCTTCAGACTGACGCGCCGAAGCGGTCTTGTTCCTGCGCGAGACGGCTGCTGAACGTTTGCTAGCATCGGCAATACCTGCGATCGACGTTCGAGGACCTCGAGGAAAACGATCCACGTGAAGTCCCATTGAAGAACACCTTCAATCTCCAGGACTTGCAGAAGTGGGCAGACCCACGGCCCCGCACTTCGGTCTTGGGGTGCGAGTTTCCAAAACTGGGTCAGGAAGAGATGAGAAATGTTGAATATATGCGGCTTTTCGCGAAGGGTGGACGAGCAGAAGCGCAAATAAGTGATCGCTGGCAGATGTTCGAGGACCTGGAGCATGTCGATCTTCCCTCCTTTCTCGTGAGCGCGGAAATACTGGCCGCGAAGAGTGAGATGTGTGAGACGGCAGTTCGAACGCGACAAGAAGTCCGTGAAGATATTCAATTCGGTGAATTCGCCCCATTCGAAGATAAGCTCTTGCAGAGACGGGAGCGTGATATGCTCAAGGATGATGCTCTGCTCCTGTGCAAAGTACTGAAAGTATCGCAATTTTCGATGGATGAGTGGCGATATACCCGCGGCGTCCCAAGTGCCTTGATTAGTGGCGACTTCACAATGAGTTAGTTGCGGCGCAAGTTGGAGGACGGTTAGTAATTCTTCTTCCCAAGTGTGCCAGTTGTGGTAATGGGTCAGCTTGCGCCATGCAACGTCGACGGACGATTCTAAGTCGAGGCCGCAGTACCGAAGACACCTGAGCGATTTGAGGTTCGGGAGGTCAATAACTTCGCCAGGATCGTCCGGATCCGTGATAGGATAGACAATGAGCGTATGGAGTACTGTCGCTGTGAGCTTGAGGCGAGAACAGATCCGTTCAGCGAGTTCACTAGGTAGGAACAAGTATACGCTCTTCCACCGTTGACCGTTGTGTTTGATCACTTCAAGGAGGGAAGCTTGAACGCGGGCTCCTGCCGGTGATGTTATCTGAGGCGTATCAGAATCGCTGTCGTCCTCTTTGTCAGTTGTGGTCTGAGAGATGCAGAGGTTCATGGGTAGGCTGCCGGCAAGCTCGAGGTATCTGCGAACGAGCTGAGCAGGATTGCGCATGCCGAGATCTATACGAAGGGTTTCCCATAGCTGCGGCGTCCTTAGGACTATCTGCTCCCAATTCTTGCATACCGATCTCAGAGCCGACTGAGGAGAGCGAAGACCTGTCTTGAACCCGAAAATGGGATCTGGAAACCACTCAGAAGGTGCGTAGTCCGCCGGATGTACCCTGGGTCTGTATTCCCACTGGCCACTGTTGGCCATCGCGACGTATTCGAGAAAGACTTGGGAAACGAGTTCCAGAGGAAGATGGCGAGTAATGGGATCGTGATGCAGGTTGATCTTGGTCTTGAGTTCATGGCGCCGTCGACCGAGAAGTTCCATTTCTGATTGGAGTCGAACAGCGTCTGCGTCCAGCTTTTCTAGCTCCAGACATCCAGGACAAGGCTTTGTGGGATTCATTCGGCAGCCTGAAGAGCGATAATCTGCAGGATGGTGTAGACATCTGCACAACGAGCTACAAGTTTCGCATGGCATGACCATTTTCCAGGATGAAGACGCCTGTTTACAGTGCCCTTCAGTCCAACTGCCCGAGAACCCAAGTCTCAAGGCGCGTAAAAGCATACCGTATTCTCCAGTGTAGACTAAAAAAAGGGCAAGGAAGTGGTCAGCCGTTGTGGCCTGTGTCTGCCCGGAAAGCTCTCCGTCGGACATCGAAATTTAGTGTGCCGATGCGGGATGGGGACGACGAGACTCTTTACCGAGCTCGTCGTAATGTCCGTTGAGCTCAGCGATGTCGACAACGCCATCCGTATTGAACCTTCCTACGCCTTTACTTCTTCTTGTGCACCTTCACATCCTCGAATATCCGCGAGCAAACAACCCAGAATATGACCAAGATATCTTCAGTACGCGTAAACGCGGTCTACGAGAACGGGCGAAAACAATGGAGGATATCGCGTATTTTCTGGTTGGAAGGATAGAAGGGAAAAGTGTGAAGACGGTATTATATATATCTCCGTGCTGGAACGCGACGTTGACCAAGATCATCAGATTTTGTCCACATACCCTTGCGTTCAACCCGCCGAATCGTTGGCCTTTCGGACTTCTCTAACGAAATATCTGGAAGCCCTGCGACACCAGTCCATATATCCTTCGTCAGGACGATCGTCTGCGGGACTGAAGGGGAACTTGAAATCGTCGAGTGGGAGCCAAGCGGACGACACGGTGGCATGGTGGTGGAAAGACGTCCTGGTCAGAAAGTCACTTCTAGAGGAGTGTTCTGGAGACAGGTACGTGGCCATGCCAAGTGCCATTATATAGGCTAATTTCAATGCGCCAGATTCGAACGTCTCTTACTTTCGCTGTCAACCCACGCACTGATGAAGACTGCGCGTCGAATACCACCGGATAGAATGAGCGTATGTAGGTTTACAACATCCACAAGATTATACTATTCGAGAGGCTGAATACGTCTTTAGGCCCTCCTTCGCTCTCAGCCCGCAGTCTATACTTCGAGACTGGCTGAATACCACGCCGTTAGACAAGATTGGAAACGAACTGCTTCACTTGTATCCCAACGCGATCGGGGTATACAGTCGCTGCGAGTGAGTGCCTCTTTTCTACGCCATCCCCAGACTTATCCCGGAGCGTTTTTTTCCAGGTCCTGGTCGACTCCCAGAGTCATATGTTCTCAACTCTCTACGCAAACCTTTCTACTGAACGCCTCCAATTATTGGCACAGTCCAAACTGCAAGATTTAGAGAATAACGATTGGCAAGGGGAAGGCGGCCGTGCTGCGCTGCTTTTCTTGACCGACCTTGCCGGGCTACGACCTTCTCTCACAAGTCCTCCTTCAAGTTCAAGCTCTCTTTTCCCGAGACCATCGCCCTCTCGTCCTGTGGTATCGACACACCCATCACCTCTACCCGTGGCCGCCGCACACCACCCAGCCCATCTCAAGAAACTTCGTCAGTCGACCTTTTATTCCAAGTCCTCGAAGCATGAACCAGGAGAACCAGCCACTCACCAGACGCATGCAGAGATCCTGCTTGCGGGTCGCATCCACACTCGGAAGCAGACCAGACAAATTCTGCATGACGCCCTTTCTCGGGCCAAGAGGAGAGGAGAAGAACTACGCGTTATCTCTCGTTCGGTTCTACAACGAGAAATTCCTGAAACCACCGCTATCCGGCTCTGGAGGCGACACGGAGCCACCAAACCCATGAACCTCCAACCAGAGCCTTCCAAAGAGCTCCTCTTTTCTCTGGGCTTCGAGCGAGAGTATGAGACCTTAACGCCGAACCCAGACGAAGATCCAATAGAGAAGAGGATTGAGCAGATCCGCGCATCCATCCTGCCACCATATCCCCAGATACCTGACCCCCATGACGCGCGTCTGCCACCTCGCGAACCAACTAACGGCCGTGGGCCCAAATCCCTTATCCCATTAGCGAAGGCCTCCTCCAATGTCAGACAAGCCGGGAACCAATTGATCAAGAGTGGTCAGCCCACACTTCATGTTCCACCACCACAAACACCTGGCATGTCGCCGAGCAGGTCCGCAGCTTCGAGGAGCCTCAGACGGAAGTCGCTCTCGGTGCGATTTTCGATGGCACAGCGGCACTCTAGACGGCCGTCAGTGTTCAGGGCCTTTAGCGGCGGCGTGGAAGACGAAGTGGAGAAGGTAAGTTCTCTCTTTATCTGTCTATCCTTTCCTTGTCCTGATAGCCTTCCACAGCTGATCGACGAGACACACGACTTCCCCACAGACGATGACGACACTGACCACGAATCCTCCCTCACCTCCGTTGCCAAAACACCGAAAGCGAAGCGCAAGACGCCGAAAGTCAACCGGATCTGGACTGCTGGCACACCTGGCCGTCCTCCGCCTGTGTCAAAGTCGCGCGAGTCGGTCGCTCTCGCAGGCCTGTTCGACTCTGAACTAGACGTCGGGCTGCCCAGTCTGCTGTCTCGAGAATCTGTCGGCCCAGACTCCATACCTGATGAGGATGATGAAGATGGTGTTTATGGAGGTGGAGAGGCGACGCCGATGCCAGCTAAGAGACGTTTTCCTCGGGTAGCTCGCCCGCCGGACTTGGAGAATTCGGACGAAGGAGAAGGAGACGACGAGCTTGACGCGTCGCTGCGTGACGACGAAGAGGATGTATTCGGGGACGACCCTCCTAGCATGACGCTCAAGGACATCTTGTTGAGTGCCGATACCAGTCGTTTTGACTTATTGGGTCCGTTTCTCCTCTTCTTGGGTGAATGTATGCTGATTGTTTCCTTCTTAATGTAGAGCAAGGGGATGAGGAATTAGAAGAAGGAATGTTGACAGAAGATGTATCATTTGTATGGGAGTAGGTTCGTCAATGGCGACAGAATTGTTCTACGCTCAGGATTTCGGGCAGTGAGATGGTCAGCCCGGCTTCCGAACCACGATGTTACTATGGAAGACACTCGGGAAGTGTGCTACAGCGATTGGGACTCGAATCCCATGGTAGCCCGAAGCTGGACCTATTCCGATGATCCACGTCCATGTGGGCGGTCTCACTGAACATATTGATATTTCGAAGATACGACATCCGCACGGACGAGATGTCAACTGCCCTGGTGTACTGCTCTGTTGTTCTGCTGATGAGTGGCACTTACCTTGAGGATAAGGATAGGTTGTCAACTAAACGCAGTGGGCATGTTGCTTTGGGCACGTTCTCTTCTCTTCTGACCTGGAATAAAGCGGGCATATATCAATGCACGACGGTTTGGGTGGTCCATCTCCACGTCCCCAGCAGCTATGAGCAGTCCCTCGGTCTTCTTGTCTCTGGTCTTGCCTTGTCTGTTTCTCAACGTTGTTCGTGGCGCCCCTGTCGAACCTGAGTTACCGGCGATATCTTCATCGGGTGCCGCCGCTTCAATCTCTGTGACGCTGGATGGGCTGACATATGTGAATAAGGTCTGTTGACACTCACTCTAAGTGTTCTTTTCCGCCAGTAGCGCTAATATTTCGGACAGGGTCTAGTTGGTTTTGGGTTTATTCCATCCAACGTTCTTGAATCCACAGGGGATACTATAGGCGGCATTGGTAGCGCGATTGCGATAAAACGTGGAACCTGGACGAAGAACGCGAATGGGACCTTTTCTGGTATCCTCGTAGTCCATCCTGATCGTGGATTTAATGTGTACGATTTGCATCTTTCCGAGGTTGCTTCGATGATCGATTTTTCCTTTTCTTGCCAGTGACGGCACTGTCGACTACCAAGCCCGTCGACACGAGCTGAATTTCATCCTGAATCCTTACGAAAATTCTGCCAAACTCAGTTTTTCGGCGTCTCAGCAGACATTGAACGTCACATACGCCAACACCATTCTTGAGTCTGAACGTAGCGACACCAAAACGAGCGGGTTAGACCCGAACGCGATCCGGCCAGCGCAAAGCGGGTTCCCCACAGACCCGAGCGCCGACCCTCAAGTTCCTATTGCCTCCAGCAGCGAACCCCACCTGACATTGGATGTAGAGGGACTCGTCTTGAACGCGGATGGATCGTAAGGATCTTCATTTCTACCTACACGTGGAGTAGGTTGACGGAGAGTTACTACGCAGGTATTGGATTAGTGATGAATATGGCCCGTATATCTACCGCTTTAGTGCCACAGGTCAGCTAATGCAAACGATCCAACCTCCAAGTGCGGTTTTGCCTCGTGTCTCTGGCAACCTTGGATTTTACATCGGACGACGATCCAGACACGGGCCGAGCAGCAAATCAGGGTTAGCATTCGTTCCTTTTTTGCACCCATAGTCATAAGCAGCCTGTTCCTTCTTGCAGGCTTCGAAGGCTTAACAATTGATCAGACGACAAATACGCTGTATGCTATGCTCCAATCAGCAACGATTCAAGACGGGGGCGATGACAAGACTACATCGCGTTATACTCGCCTTTTCGCATATGACGTTTCGGCTCCGACGGTCAGTGTGCCCTTCCGTGGCGAATGGGTAGTCCCGTTGCCGCAGAGTGACAAGGGAAAGACTCTGGCCTGTAGCGAGATTCACTTCCTCGGAAATGGCTCCTTCCTAGCTCTCTCTCGGGATGGAGACGGAAGAGGCGGGGGCGACAATAAGTCGAAATACAAGTGAGTAAAGAACAGATCACGACACTTTTTAAGGCATTGGAGCCGTGATACTCACGTCTTCTGCTAGGCAAGTGGATCTCTTTTCGATTTTGCAAGCCACCAATATCAAAGGAACAAAGTTTGACGACCCCGCCAATCCTGTCGCAAAGAAAGGGAAACTTGACAAGAGTATCACCCCTGCGACGTATGTTTCTTTCGTGGACTTTCTGGACAATACGCAGTTAAGTCGGTTCGGTCTTCACAATGGTGCGCGTACGATGGTACCCATTCCTGCAAATCTAACCATTCGGTATATATGAATTGCATGGTGTAGATGATCCGAATGACCAAACATTGATCGATACCAAATGGGAGTCGCTGGCGTTAGCGCCTGTCGGCGACTCTGCGTTTCCAAATGACTACTTCCTCTTTGCCGCCGTAAGTCGACTTTGCGATTTCGATTAACTCAGCTCATGGGCCACTCTTCACATGCTCCCACAGGCGGACAATGATTTCGTTAGCACTCGTGGTGTATCTCTCGGCGTTCCTTTCAATGCAGGTCTCGATGTCGACAATCAGTTTCTCGTGTTCAGACTTACACTCCCTAGCGTTCCTCAAGGAAGCGTAGAGTCGACGTTGGGGATTTGAGATGATGTGGGGCGCTTCTTTCTCTTACGACCTGTCCTGCTGACTATCGCTGAGAATCTCATTCTTGTAATGCCCTTCACGAACCGCTTACTCAGGTGGGAACATCGCCACGACGTTTTCTTCGAAGGTAGGACTAGATAGGCATCCGTGATGGTGTCGATGGGAAATTAGATGCCAATCATAAAGCAAGTAGACGATTATGACTTCACGGCGAATACGTTGCGTGAAAAGGATGATGTACGGGCACGTGCGTTCAACAAGCGTGAGTTCGAATCGTCGGCTATTACACCAACGCGGTTCATCATGAGACCATAAATTCTTATAAGAGCCGAATACACTTAAGTTAAACAACAGAAATCCCCCCATGGACCTTCCAAAGCCATTCGAAACGACCCAGTGGAGGTTTATACTTTTCATCGCCACTCTCGTTGTCTCTCTCGCCCTCAAACCATCTCCCATTCGCTCCCTCATATTTTCCATCGCCTGCGCCGTATATGTCTCTATCGTCCTTGTTCCATCTCCAACTCCACTTACCGCCATGATTGAATATCAATTCGGCCTCACCGGCGCACAGTACCTCAGCCGAGCCTGTTACCTTGTCTTTTTCACCAAGAATCCTTTGCAAGAACTCCAACAGAAGGGACAGAAAATACCAGCGGCGGAATTAGACCTCGTTTCAAGATTGATGTGGAGCCTCAACCTGATCCTCAACACTCGTGGTGCCAACTGGTCCTGTGAAGTTCGGGGACTCCGGCGCTCCGGGGCCCACACGCGTTGGCCCTTCGTCTGGTCCCAACTCAAGTGGGCTGCCGCCTTTTTCCTGCTCCGCGATGCGCTGGAGTTTTCCGTTCGGCGCAATAACGCATTTGGGGCGTTGCATGAGCAAGGGATTCTGGATGCCCAATGGGTACTCTGGCGTACATTCAATGGAGTCTTGTTTTGGTTCACCCTGTATGCCTTGATGCAATCTAGCCATGCGTTCGGTGCCGCTATCTTCGTGTCTCTGGGGCTTTCAGAGCCAAGCGATTGGCCGTCGTGGTTCGGGCCGTTGGATGAGACAGTAACGGTCCGGAAGTTCTGGGGGTACGTCATTGCCGTCGCGACGCATTAGGGAACAATTGCTAAATTTGGCGGTGTAGACAAACTTGGCATCAAGCCATCCGTATGGTATGTTGACCCCAAGCATCCCGAATTTCTCTCTGATCCGTCGTCGTTCAGGGAGTGGCTACACACGCTCAACACTTTACAAGCACGATCCTTAAATTTCCCAAGGGGACTTCTCGATCATCATATACCCAACTTTACATCGCCTTCTTCATCTCTGGTCTCATCCACGCCTTGGCCGACTTCGCCGTCACTCATGACATCAAGCCTTTCATTGACAACATTGTCTGTTACCTCATTCAAGCTGTCGCTATCACTTTCGAAGACGCCGTCATAGCCATATCCAAGAGATTCGGTATCCCTCGGGTGCCTCGAGTTGTCGGGTATTTGTGGACAATGTGCTGGCTCGGGTTGAGCTGCTCGGTATGGTTCGACACTCTTGTTGTAGCTGAGATAGCAGCATCTGGACCAAAATTCTCTTTTACGAGAAAATTGCTCGAGCTCCTTGACTCCTTCCATACCACGTAGGCAGCGTGTTCGAATGCAGAGGGGTCTTCGGATACATCTGAATTTAGTTTATTTCCTTACCATTTCCGATATATATATTTCCGGAAAGAGTCTGTTTACGAACTTGTGAGCGAGTTGGGCCGAGTTGTGATAAGCCTGCTTTTTATCAACTTGTCAGAAATGTTACCTAGTTTTCGAAAGTTACCTAAGTACTGGTTCTTTATCCTCTTTCAGCTCTGTCGTTCGACGAGGAGTGGGAGTCGTCGATAAATCAACTGAATACCTCCCATGGTTCTCCCAAAGCCATTCAAGACAACCCACTCAAGGATTATCCTTTTCTTGTTCACTCTTGTCATTTCTCTCGCCCTCAAACCGTCTCCTATCGGTTCCGTCATAGCTTCTCGATCATGTGTGCTCTATACGCCTCCGTCGTCCTCATTCCATCTCCTACTCCACTTGCCTCCTCAATCGAATATCATTTGGGTCTCTTGGGCGCCCTATACCTTAGCCGAGCCTGCCATCTTGTCTTCTTCAAAAATAATCCTTTGCAAGAACTTACGCGGAAGGAACCCACTACGGATTGGGAATTTTTGTCGAGACTTCGTTGGAGCCTCAATCTGGTCGTGAATCCCCGCGGCGGTCTTTAGTTGGGCTGCGACGCTCCGGCCACGCCCACTGGGCCTTCGTCTGGTCCCAGCTCAAGTGGGCTGCGGCGTTTTTTCTTCTCCGCGATGCGCCGGAGTTCTACACCCGGCGCTTTAACGCCTTTGGACGAATCGACGAGCAGGCGGTGGATGCGCACTATCTCGTCTGGCGTGCATTTCATTGTTTCCCTCGGGATTTCGCATCCCAGCAATTGGCCGGCATTTCGGGCCGCCTGACGAGACGGTTACGGTCCGTTCTGGGGGTAAGTTGATCGCTCTTGCAACATATTAGGAAAGAAATGCTAAATACGGCGTCTAGGCAAATCTGGCATCAAGCCATCCGTACGGTACGGCAACCCTCTGCGGCATGTGCATGAGGTCCCGCTGATTCATTATTGTCTAGGCGGACTCCCACGCTCAATACGTCGGTCCTCGCAGACACGGTATTTCGATTTCCCAAGAGCACCTCGCGATCATCATACACGCATCTCTATGTGGCCTTTGTCATCTCTGGTCTCATCCACGCCTTTGCCGACTTCGCTGTTGCACATGACATCAAGCCTTTCATCGATAATATGGTCAGCTACCTATTTACTCGAGCTTCTTGAGTCCTTCCGTACCATGTAGCTAGCGTGTTTGAAACATGGCTCATGAGGGATCTTTGGATAAATCTGAATTTATGTCGTTTTCACACTATTGGCCAAAATAACCTGCTTGAGACTTATGTCCTAGTTGTGCCGAGTTGTGAAAGGCTTAATTTTCCTCGACCAGTCAGGGAATTGACCTAGCTTGTCGGCTCGTACAGGTTGCCTGAAGAAGTCGTAGATACGGGGCATGCCCGAATATCATCTATCCACTCCTGGTGGTGAAAGTAAACCCCTTTGGAGAATCCCGTATGTCTCGTTGTGGTCGTGAAACAAATGGGTGATTATCTCTGATCCCGGAACACCCATCGCATCTCTCCCGTTCTGTTCAGCATGGATCTGATGTCAATGTGGATCTGATCCTCACAGTTCGAATTGTCCCAGCTCCCGCGTGAAAGCTTGTTTAAACCATTTCGGCCAGAATAAGCGTTCGAGACTACAAGCTTTCGGGTCAGTGACTCTCGAGCGTTGTTTGCTCGTTTTCAACTGGCCTCCGACTTATCTATCCCAAACACAAGGATTGGCATCTCGGCTTTTCATTGGCGCCGAAGAAACACCGCTCCCAAATCATCCCATCATGGAAAATTGTTTCCCCATTGATACGTTTTCCTAGGCGATAAGTATATATAAACATGAGCGCTCTTCTGACAAAATAAAACCCAGGTCACCCTTCTTGACCATTGTCGCTCTCACGTTCGAAACTCCAATGACGCCCCTCTCCTTCCTCGAAACCAACTTCGCAAGGTTCACTCTTCTGTATATCGCGTGCGTCGTCGCACTCGCTCTCAGGCATTCGTCCAACCGTATCGCGGCCTTCCCAATTCTGTGCGCTATATATGGCTCCATGATCGCCCAACCTCCAACATATCGCTTTCCTACAAACATGGAATATCAGTTCGGGTTATCAGGGGCCGTCTACCTTCTCCAAGCAGCCAGCCACCTCCTTCTCAATGATTCCATTGACTTGCGACGAAAGGGACAAGAGAAGAGCGCAACGGAACTCTCCTTCCTATCCAGACTGGCATGGAGCACGAATTTACTCAACAATAACCGTGGCGTCAATTGGACCTGCGAAGTTCGAGGGCTTCGTCACTCATCCCTTCCCCGTTGGGCATTTGTCCGGTCACAGGTCCTATGGGCGGTCCTGTTCTATCTCTGTACGGATTTGTTATCCATCCTTTCCCGCGAAAATCCCGCATCCAGATCAGGAGGCGGAGAGGCGATGGGTGCACAAGGAATTGCACGGCAGATATGGAATGCAAATTCCATGTGGCTCTCGGTTTATTGCTTCATGCAGTTCCACCATACAATGGGTTCGATTATCGCAGTTTCTCTGGGTCTGTCGGATCCGGACGATTGGCCTGCATGGTTTGGACCGCTTGAGCAGACGGTCTCGGTCAGGAAATTCTGGGGGTACGTTATTTTATTCACTTACTAGGAAATAATATCTAAATAAGGACGCAGACAAACTTGGCACCAAGGCCTACGTTTCGTGAGCAACACCAAGTATTCTACCATACGAACATCTACTAATGACGGACTACGCAGGGTTTATCCTCCCATGGACAATATCTTGCCAACACGATCCTTGGCTTCCCAAAAGGTTCCCAGCGGTCATCATACACGCAGCTTTATACCGCGTTTCTCATGTCTGGTGTCCTTCACGGAACCGCCGACTTTGTCGTAACACATCAATTCCCTTCTTTCAAGAGAAACGTGGCCTATTACATCCTCCAAGCCGCGGTGATAACCTTCGAGGACGTGATTATCGCTCTTGCGAAGAAGGCCAACGTTCGACGAGTACCGAAGGTTTTGACCTATCTGTGGGTGATATGTTGGCTCGGATGGAGCAGCCCAATATGGTTCGAAACTCTGGTCACGGGTGGAATGGGAGACTTTGCACCGCCTGTTTCTTTGATCAGTAAATTATGGCTTTAGTAACTAGAGATGTACTTGCCACGCCTGTATGTCACAATCGCGAAGGAGATGGAGGGATGCTCTCCGACGATTTGCTGCGGAAATGATCCAGCATTCGTCGAAGTATGCGTCGAGCCTCTTGCTTCCTGGAATTCTTAACCGGTAATTTGGGCAAATCGTGTTTCTGCTTGATATGTCAGTACACAATATACGAAGCGTCGTAGCATTCTCACTTTCAGATACAGAGAAACCGCCGCCTTAGCTTCGTCTTCGAGATACTGGAAGTCAGGTGCAGGGCACTTGAGCTTCTTCACTTTTAAGTCCGTTATCAGTCCTTGGTCATGAGACGCTCTATCAAGAACGCCAGGTAGGTACGCGAGAGCAAGTCTGTAACCCTGCCGCTTCAAGTCCAGGATCGCATTTTCTTTGTAGCCCCACTTATGCGACAACGTAAGACCGGGATGTAACCTCATATCTAGCCAGGAGTCTTCGCGTCAAAATGCTGTCTTTATAGGACAAAATCAGACTCACTGAGCAGTGTAGGCGAACTCAACAAAAGCACGGCCAAGTTGATTGTACACCTGATCCGCCGGCTTGAAAAATTCCTGGAAGATGAGCCGGATTTGGGCGACATATACCATCTCAAAGTGAGCAGCCGGTGTAAGCAAATGCCGGATATCCAGTCCACTCTGGTCAATAAAGATACCGACGTCAGGGCACCGAGACAACCCCAACACGAAATCTATCGGGGTGATCCCAGCATTAGAAAAGGTGTTGGAAAAGACGAGTAAGGGCGCATGAACCATGACTTCGGCACCATGCAAACTGCCATCGTACGGATAGATCGCCTGATGAGGGCATTCGAGAGTCAGAAGCGCAAGCAATGAATTAAGTTTCACGTCCGTGGCTCGGTAGAGCTCAAACTGGGATCGTAAGTATAAATCCAAGTTGAGATACCAGTTCGACTTTGGGCTTGGTCCCTCCCAGTTCTGGGGAAGAATGTACTCAGTGTCAGTAGGAGCGTCGACAAAAAAGTGCAGGACACACCAGAAGGTCTATATTCTGCACACATTTCGACAACACCTCGATGGCGGAAACAATCCTAGCAATAGAGCTGTCCGCCAAGTTGTTGGCCCTACAGGATCGGATTATCATGTGTGGGTCTATGCTAAACAAGAATTTCCCCAGATCCACGTCATATCTTGAAGCCAATGAACAGTGATATGCTGCATGTTGGAATGCGTAGGTAGCTCCGGGCAAGCCATCTGCAACTTGAGTTAGTAGATGTATAGCACAGGGGTTCCGTGAATGACCTTCAAAAGTCAACAGCTGACGAAGGTATGCAACCGCTAATTGACCATGGTGTACTGTTGCGTTGATGTGGTACGCTCTAGATCGCCTTTCATCGAGAAGGAAGTCTGAAAGCGAGGCGTGGAAGAGTTGTACTGGTGATCTGTATTTGGACGCATCGAGAACCGACGCCAACTTGCTAAGGTGAACTTGTACTGAACCCTGACGCATCAAGAGAATCCCCTCGATGGCAATCGGTGTCGTCACAGGACTCTGACCGCCCCTCGACAAAATGACGAGCCCGAGGACGCGAAGTGTTGCTTGGATGTTATCCACGCCCGAAAAAATGTGTAAAGGGTATCCAATTCGGCAAAAGGATCTTCGCTGCAGTCGTCAAGTGGTTGAAGTCCTAGGATGCTGGCAAGCCGCTCGTCGGGGCGATGGTAGACAGAGTCGACGTATTTGACAACAGTCGCAGCGTAAATGAACTGACCCGATGACTTTCGCACTATCATATCAACTAGCTGGGGGAAAGGCCAGTTGGCTGGGATGTGCTCGCGGAAGGGATGCTGACGGTGTATCATGCTTAGGGCGTCTTGGAGATACAGGCTGATATCGAGGTGAGGTTGGTAGCGCTCATCAAGGACAAGCTCACCAAGGCTCGAGCGAAAGGGTTCCCTTCCGAGGTGCGTCGAGATGTGTACTTCAGGACGGCTGGCGACGAGAAATATGAGAGGGAATTTGGTGACCTTGACGGCGGTGGTAATGGTGTCGAGGATGCGTCTTTGGGCTTCTATTCCGTAACATTCGTCCAGGCCGTCAATGATGACGAGATGTGGCCAAGGGAGGAATTTCAAATCCGCGACCGACTCGAAGGCATCGTTCAGAGGATCAATTATCAACATCTTCATTTTCGCCTCGAGACTGAGACAGAAAAAGTTTGGGTCGTGTTCGATGGCGCGGACGATATGAGGTCGCACCAGGGGAATGTTTAGTGCCAGTTGGTAGGCGATGGTGTTGGGTAGGCGGGATTCGGTGTTACGGTCGGTCGAAACTCGGGAGAAGAAAAAACTGGCAAGGAGGAGGCCATGCTCAAAGCAGAGCTCTGCAATTTTCTGGGCGATTGAGGACTTTCCGGCGCCTGCAGGTCCGTTGAGCCACAACATGAACTGCTCGCGGTCTACGTTGCGAATCCACCGCATGATCTCCTCTATGATAGCGACACGCGTGTTGGGATGGCACTTGGGAGGGTCGAATCGCTCGCCAGAGTTGTGCATTGCGCCTGGCGCAATCGTGGTCTGCAATCGGTCAAGATCTGAGTGGTGGTCAGTTCGTTTAGCGCCGGCGTTGTCAACCTCGTTGCGTACCATGTTGTCCGAATACCACATTCGTGTCGCCTTCGGAATGAATGAATGTGCCTCCAGTAACGAGCGTGTTCGTGCTATTTGCAAACATGGCGAGTGCTAGAGAGGCTCCACCCGCGATGGAGTGTAGGGGAGAGTCCTCTTCGTGGGTGTACATGGACGCATGCAGCGCCTCAAGTGACCAGTGTCCTTGTGCTGAAAAAAGAAGTTCATTGCCTGAGTATTGGGCTTCTGCAGGCCGTAGAATGACATCAGCGCTGGTAAAAAGCTATACATAAAATGCATTACACTTTGTCGTATTTTGATCGAACGAAACGAACCGGTGGCGAAATCAAGTGTTCGACTTTCAAGTTGGCCGTGACACCTCATAGAAGATTTCGGGCAGTTCATCGGCTAAGAAGGGGGCACCAAGGCCGTAGCAAGGGAGGAATCAATGGTAATTTTGTCAAGAGTTACAGTCAGTTTCGAATAAACGTTGTTGTCGTCGATGTTTGAAGGAGGAAGGAGGAAGGAATGTTGGATGCCGAACCATCAGTGTGGCTGCCGATGTTCCCACGTGTCAGCCATCCGTGCACAGACACAACCAAAGTGAGCATACACCGCTCATCGACCCCCTCAACCCCCGAATCCTCAAGAACGCGACGAGATGGTGAGTTTTTGCTCCTACAGTCGTTTCGGACGTCTTTTGCGACTGGATGGATGCAATTTGGGCGCTGTGGGGCGAAGGGAAGGGGTGGATGGGCGAGGATGAGTTTGGATGGTGTTGGTTGATTGGGGGTTGGATTTTGCGGTTTGGTGTTGGGGTGCTGGAGATGGGCTATGTGGTATGATTCAAGTTGTGGATCGCCATTCTTGCTTCTTTGGTGGTTTGAGATGGTTGGACGGTATACTGACTTTCTTCTGCCTTGGTCTGGTTTCGGGGATTTGTAGACGAAAGGTGCGTTTTCTCTCTTTTTCGTCACAGGAATTGTCTTGGTTGACATCTCTTCAAGGTACCTCGTCCTTCGGGTATGTCAACGCCATTCTCCTTGTTGCGACGTCGATGGAGGGCTGATCATCTGCTGGGCCTACTCCAACAGTAAGCGACACACCAAGTCCCACACCATTTGCCGGCGCTGCGGGAACCGCGCCTTCCACAGGCAACACAAAAGTGCGTCCGCCCGCCGTTGACTTTTTCTACGTCGTCTGATGCGCATTTCCTTGCAGCTTGCGCATCATGCGGCTACCCTTCCGCTAAGATCAGGTCGTACGAGTGGGGCCAGAAGGCTAAGCGTAGAAAGACCACTGGAACTGGTAGGATGCGTTACTTGAAGGAAGTGTCGAGGAGGTTCAAGAACGGATTCAGGTAGGCTTCGCAGTCTTTCTCTGGCATTAATGTTCTCCGCCTCTTTACCCTTGTTTCCTCCGTCCCTCCTCTCTCCTTCATCTTCTCCTATATCATCTACGACATACTGAAATTCATTCCACAGAGAAAACACCGTGGCCAAGAAGCGGGTCGCTGCGAAAGCCGATGCCTAATCGTGTACATGTTGAATTCTGCAATCTCACTTCCATCATGCATCCACCGCTATGAGTACGCGCTAGGTCTTACTTCTCCATATCGCACGATGCAACAATACATGCCTTATGCTCTTACGCCGTCATCAAAATCCCGCTGGATGCAAGAGTTGTACCTCCAGTGCATATGTCCTGTGGCTCCATGAAGACGACTTTTACGCTGATCTTTGCCGATTCGAGTGCAGGCTTTCCCCGCTTCCGACCTCGTGTCCTTACATACAGGCATGAGGTTTGCCTGGCTACGGTTCAATTTGGTTCTTGCCGATTCCTTCGGATCTTATCTGATGTGCTGGCAGCCGATGAGTGGAGGAAGGAGGATCTTATCAACGCGTTCTGTCAGGTCGGATGTGATTTGGGGTTTGATGCAGGGTTGCGGAAGATGCGGGAAATTATCTTATCAGATTGTTCTTAGGAATTCTTGGCAGAAAGATATAGGAGGTTCGAGCTCGGTTCGGGTGGTTTGGTTTGAGAGTACAGTCATCCACCATCATTTGATACACTGAAATTTAAATTTGATCCCAGAACTCAACCAGCCCATGGATTCTCATAAAACCACTTGGAATCAGTGTAATAGAGCCATTAAAATAAATTTATACCAGCTGTATGCCATAAAATCAACCAAACGTGAGCAGAAACAGCCAGAGATGCTGTACCAGTGACTGGTGTGACAAAATCAACCAAAATGAATATTTTGGTGATTTTATTACTGGGCATTGACTTCACCAAAACCCATAAAATTTTATACACAGTGTATGAAAGACTTATAGAGAATGGGGTTATTTTTTCAAAGCAAACAGTTGAGTCCTTCATGGTGTTCCAAGGTGTATCATTAGCCGGTGGTGTCTCATTGGCCGGTGGATGACTGTAGGAGAGAAAGGGGTGGAAATGAGGGTGGGATTTGCCGATTCACGTTGGTTCGTGCGCCATTCAACAGAGGAGTGGTGGGAATTTCGTTCGATGCCGCGACCCGGAGTAACGGGGTGATGCCAATACGGTGATCCCTGCGCAAAATCCCCATGGAAGCAATTTTTGGGTGGTAGCCTCTGGTAGCCTTTCACAACACGACTTCGGAGGAGGTGTGGCGCTCCGAAAGACGTCGCGAGTGCGTCGATGGATGGCGTCAAGGATAAAATTTTGTGAGTCTAAGCTCTATCTGATAACCTTAGCTTAGTACATATCTGGTTATTTGAGCCTACGACATACGTGATATGATACGATTTGCATGGAGGCGCTCGGCAAGATGAGTCGTCGGAAGCATTCCTCCCTGTTTGCGGACGTCGAACATCATCAAATTGGGTAACTGATTATTTTATTGTGGCGCTGGGATTGGACTTGGACTCGCTTGCATGGTGATAATTTCCAGGTTCAATGGGGCGTCCTGCACGAGGCTGCGACCTCTCACCTTCACCTCCTTCTCAGGAAAATCCTTCACGAATCGCTCGAGGCGAACCCAGACTGCGCTTTCCGAACGCTTTCCCAGGACACAGATCGCGTGCACAACAGCCTCAGGCCTGCATTCAATTTGTAAGCCGGCCCCCGCTTCTTACCGCATTAGCGATCTGCGCCGGCGGTTCTGGGGTATAATTTTTTTTTTTGGATTTTGGTGCCGTGTGGCGCGCGGTAGGCGGCTGATGGCGGCGCCCTCCAGAGGGGGATATAGTACGCTACGTGGCAGGCAACCCGCACGTCCGCACTCCAAGGGAGGAGGACGAGCCCAGTTTGTGAGCGCGTTTGTTGGAGAGGATTTGGGTCCGTGTCCGACGGAGGGGGCTGGTACTTATCTATGTTTCCACCTTTTTTTCACTTCTGAAGTTAGAGCTACTTATAAAGTCGAACAAGCCATTCGGAATGGTAGTGATCCTCAAACTGGCAACCGACAGCCGACAGGCCGTCTGGTGGTCGAAATTTTTGCAGAGATGCGGCGATTCGGTGCTTGCCGTTCGTGTTTCCGATCTTATCTCCCCCAGGTTCGACGGGATGATGAGATAGCGGTTGACAGCGGGATCGGTAAGTAAGTAAGTATGACTTCTTGGAAGTTTGGTGGATGCACGAAGTTCGTCTTTTTTTTCTTTCTTCGATGGCTCGCTAACGGTCGCACCTTTTTTCCAACACGGCCGAGATCGGTCTTCGGTCTGCAGCTGGTGGGTTCGAGGAAAATGATCGTCCATCCATGAACTGTAGTGAATGCCACTGAATCTTGAATGAAGAGGTAATCTGCGTTCATGACGCGGAATGAGTGCCATCTATAGCTATCTTATCTCTTCACCGGAACGGAGATGAATGACAGAAAGAAAAATGAAATGGAGATGAGGCTGTCCGTCGCCGCTGGGAATTATCGCGCATCCCGACTTCGCGTTCCCTCGAGGCCACAGGCGCGAGAAAGCTCGGCCGTTCTCGACACAGTTGCGGTGATTAGATACGCTAGTCTTGAGAATCCGGCGTTTGTATTCAACGTTGATATGATAAATGATTTGATATGAGATTCTCGCTTGCATGATCCGATCAAGCTCGCGCTGGATCGCTTGTTGGACGGATGGAAAGCGTAGGACGGGTTTGAAAGATTTAGTGAAGCCTTGCGAGTTGGATTCTACGTTAAACAGCGTTTGGACTGTAGATAAGTCGAGAGAGGATGTGAAGGATACCCGGGGGAAGATGTGGAAGATAAAATTTAATAGGAAGCCCTGAAGACGACCCTGGTTGTAGGGACGAGGACGGCCAAGCATTCAGCGTTGCGAGCCAGCTTGGTTCGGGTCAGCTCGGCGTGTTATCTCGTACAAACTGGGCTGCGGTGATTGGCTGCCCAGTGTTATCTCACTTTATCTTTGGCTGCCTCGCCCCCTTCTCCGCCACTGCTGACCTTTTAGTTTCGCACTAACATCTCCCCACCCATCCTCCCCCGAGCTCATCGTCGCCGACAGCGAGCTCGCACCAATTTCGTGAGCTTGTCCGTCGCCGCCGTCCCGCACAGTGCTGACGTAGCATCTAGTGGCAGTTTCAAGCTTCCCTCGCCAATCTATCTAGGTTTCTATCAACTCTAAAAGCGCCCCCGGGTTATCTACATAGATAAAATTCTTTCGTCCACGATCCGAGGCAATGTCCCCCGTCGTTCTCGAGACCCCCGCGATGAACATCCACAACTCAACCATATCCACCATGGCTCGGATACAGCAGCAGCAGCACCCCGTCAACCAGACCCCGAACGGCGAGAGCTCCCAGAACCAGAATGGCGAGACGCGACCAAGTGCGTGGCATCTTATATCTTGTGTCTATGCAGGGTTTACCGACGTTACATGGCCTGATAACAGATGGTCAAGACGAGTTCAACTTCGCCTCCACCGTCACTGGCATCCTCGCCCAGACCCGCCCGACGACATGCATAAACTGCGCTGTCACAGAAAGCCCACTCTGGCGGCGCGACCCCAACGGCAACACCGTCTGCAACGCCTGTGGTGAGTTCCCAGCCTCCGTTACCTCCCTTGTTTCCGTGATCTATTCTTGCTACGCTCCGGAGTTGAGGAGGGCGTCGGCCACGTGTCGTCACGACGCGCCGGGCAAGTGGCCTTCCCGTTTCTGCATCGTTCCTGGGGCGTGTGTTCTGGACTGCCGTGCTCGTTATCGGCGACGAGAGCTCCTGTTTACCGGTTGGCTGGATCTTGGACGACGTACGTGCGGCGTAGCGGGCGGTCTTGGGTGTTTCGGGTGGGTCCTAGCACGCACTGTACACGCGTCGTTCGTTAGCCTTTTCCTGTCACCTCCCCCACCAACCACCGTTCTATGGGATGCCCAACGCCTTATACGAGCCGTCGCTGAGTTCATTAACGACCTTGACATGGTGTCCAACACGTGTATCCGTCCCATCCTGGCGTTTCGCCTGCGATTGCCCCAATCTCCGTCACGTATATCCGTTCTTGACATTCCGAATCCCGATGATCCTTTTATTTCTTGCTTTTATCGCTTTTCTTCATCGGATTGCTCTCCACGAGGGCTTTTTTACCGCAGAGTGTTTCTAGTGCCTTCCAGCGACAAGTGAAAGGGCGAAGGCGTGGTTGCAGGACGCCCAGTGTGCTGTGCTGTGCGTTTTGCTTTGTATCAGCTGTATCAAGATCAACAAGGACTGCCAGCCAACATACGAGCTGCATGTCTTCGGAGTCGTTGTGGACTCCGCTTGCCTTGCCTTTCATCCCCAACGACCTCCTCTTCTCCGGGCTTAACGTGCCCGTTTTACCACTCCTTCTTTCTTCGTTTCTCATTTACTTCAACTCCAATATATCCCCTCCGAATAAACGGCCGCTCACCCTGTCTTCCCGTCGTCCAGGCCTTTATCAAAAATCAAGACACATGCCCCGCCCGTCCTCGTTGGGCCGGACACCACCACCTCCAACATCTTCCACAAATCAGCCGACAACGACCACAGCGTCTTCCAACCCCGTTAGCACCGTCGGCCCCTCGCCTTTCGCCCCTAGCTCCTTGAGCTCATCCACCACCGGCCCTACAGGCTCGACGACCGCCAAACCCCCATCACCCGCCCCGAAAAGCTCACCCTCGTCGACCAACAAGGTCGCTGTTCCCCATCTCACAGGCTCAGGCGGTACCTGCCCCGGCGACGGGCGCTGCGACGGCACAGGCGGCACGAGCGCGTGCTCAGGGTGTCCCACATATAACAACGTCCTCGCGCTCTCCGCGCGACTCGAGATGGACAATGCAGCTGCGGTGGCGGCTCTCGGAGCGGCTGCGGACGCTGTGCTTGCAGCCGGGCTCGCCGGTGCTGGTGCTGGTGATCCCTCGTCGGCAGCAGCAGGGGCTGGGGCGCCGACGGAATTGGGAGGAGCAGGGGGTGAAGGTACTGTGCAGGATGGCGCTGCGAGCCCTGGAGGAGGTGCTGGTGCGGATAGTGATGCGAGTGCGATGGGAGGTGGTCAAGGAGGTGCCGGCGCAGGAGGGCAAGGAGGAGGCCCGGCGAACAGGAAGGCGCGGGCTGCTGTTGGCGCGCTGTGCTGTGCGAACTGTGGGACGAGCACGACGCCGTTATGGAGGAGAGACGATGTTGGGAACAACATCTGCAATGCTTGTGGTGGGTGTTACTTTTTGTTTTCGTTTTCATTTTGGGTTCGTTTCGCTTCAGTTTTGTGTTGGCTTTCGGTTGTTTTGCCTTCCTTTCTTTGGTTTTACGATCAATCCCTGGGGTTTCGCCCTGTTCTTGTCGTGTGATGGCCAATATGTCCACGGCTTTCTTTTTATTTCGATGTCGGTGGTAGGACGGAGCCCGCCCATGTTGTGTTGGAGGCATTCCAACGTAATGGTTATCGCATTCTCTCGTTGCTTCTATCTTCTTCCCTTTCTTATCCTTCGTCTTCTTGGGCGCATATATGCTACTTCTCACCACATATATGCGCCTATTTTCTATCTTTTGGGCTTGTAGGAGCGTCTTCCTATGCATTTCATGGGCGAGATATCACTGGGTACGGCTCTGCTCTCCGCGGCTCTGGCAGTCATGCGCTGGTACATGCACCTCATTCCCACATCTAATCAGATATGGGACATCTGTCTGATGCTTAACGGACACTTGTACGTTTCTGCACCTCTTGACGGGCAGTACGAAGCAATGTTCTCGTGCTGGGTGGGAGATGAGTTGGGGTTCTTGTTTTTGCGTGGCAATGCGGATTTGCGTTCTTGGTTGTTGTTCAACGTGGGCAGATGAGCCTGTGTTTTTCTACCTTGAGGTGCAGCCGTCGATCCATATGTTTCTTTCGCTCTCTTTCCTGCCTTGTCTTCGTTTTGATGTTGTTTCGGTGCTGCTATCTTTCGGTGCTGGTATTGATTAGTTTTCGACTTTCTTAGGATTATACTTCAAGCTACACGGAACCCACCGACCCAACTCGATGAAGAAGACTGTCATCAAGCGCCGGAAACGAGTTCCTGCTGCTTCGAGTGCCGCTGGAGGCAACGTCTCAACACGCATGTCGGACCAGGCCGCTGCGGAGGCTCTCGTCGCTGTCGGCCGAAGCGGTCTTTCACCAAGTCACGGTGAAGAAAGCGACGCAGACGATCAACCGAGGAAGAAACGAACCAGGCGTTCTACCAAAACCTCTCGCGAGAAGGATGAAGACGTACTGATGGACGGCGAAGACGAAGACGACGGTGCTCGAACAAGTGCAAGTGCTGCGGGACGGAAACGACGTGGAGGAGCTGCGAATGGCTGGGGCGACAGCGGTAGGTCGGCGTCTCCTCATCGGGCACCCTCGCGGAACCAGGACTACCTTCGGAGTGGGCTGTCTCTGCCATCAGGCGGGCCTTTCCCCCCTGGACCCCTGAATGGGTTGGAGTTACCGCCTCTAGCGGCGCTCAACGGCGGAGCAGCTTTCTTCGGTAGTGCCAGTGCGCCTTCTAGTTATATCCGTTCTGGATCGAATGCACCGAGCCGGACTCACTCGCCTTTAGGACACCCGCACCCTCCGCATCCGCATCCGCACCACGGACTGCCGCCTCTACCAGGCCCGCCGCAACATTACCCCGGTGGATCGCCGCCCTCGGAATTCAGCAGCTTGATGGTCGCAGCCGGCGTCGCTCTCGGTGGATTGGGCATCCCTTCGTACATGGACCTGGAGAGGCATTACTTCGAGCTCAGCGAGCAGAAGAGGAAGTGGGAGGAGATGATGGAAAGGACGGATCGGTTGATGGCTGGGATGAAGAGGACGTTGGATGAGATGAGGGGTTTGGCCGCCCAACATCCTATGCCGATGCCTTCGCCAGGTATGCTTCCACCACCGGGCTTGATGGCCCCGCAACCTCAACCCCCGCTCGGTGGTCAGCCGAGCCAGCCAGGATCGGCGAAGCAATCGCCGCAAATGCAGCCCGCTCCTAGCCCTGCGCCAGCTGGTGCTGGCCCCGCCGCCGTGCCGCTCAATCGACCTGCAGGTGCAGAGCGCGAACGCAGTTCGATTTGGCCCGTCATTGAATCCTCCGGCCCTCGTGACTGAGGACGTCACCCTTTTTTTCCTTTTCGCCAATTCCCTTTATATGCCCCTCTTCCTCCTTCCGCACCCTCCTCGTCCTTCTTTCCGACCTTGGACTGTTCTTCTACCACCGCCATTCACGATTTCCTGGCTTTACCCCCTTGTGTGTCCCTTTAATCCGCCGATTTTATTTCCTCGAATATCCTACCCTATCGTACCGTTTATTCTATTGTGTCTCTTGGTTCCCAGTGCTCCATGACCCCACCCCCTCCTCATATTGATTGATAATATTTCTGGATATGTTATACTGTGTACTCCGTACCCCTTTACTAGTACTTGTTCTTGTGACGTATGCGTCCGAGTTGTCCTCGACGTTGCTCAGCTCCTCTCTTCGCTGTTTCCTTAAACCCCCTTCTTACCTCTGTACATTCGGGCGGAGGGATCGTTTCACAAAAGAACCGATTCCAATCGGAGCTCCCCTCTTTCTTCTCTAGTCCGACTGCCCTCTAGTGTTTTTGCTACTTCACTCTTTCCTCTTTTTCCATGTACATATGCCTTTTCCCTTCTTAGATTCGGTCCCTCCGCGATCGATTCTTCTCCATCTTCCGTCCTACGTTGTTGCCTTTGTCTCTTCCATTTCACGTCTCTGTTGTGCTTTCGGTGACTGACTCGAACTCTTGCTGTGCTTCTCTCGCTTCCTTTAGTATTACTACCTCCTACGATTTTGACTGCGTAGCGACGTAGCTGTTACATGTTGCCTTAGCCTATTATTGCTGCAGTGGGGTCGTGTCGAACACCGCTTCCTGATAATGTATATATTTCTCTGCTGGTTGCAGTCGGGCATAAGATGGAGACATTCGACGCACCGTTGAGTGGATTTCCCCGTGGCAGTCTTCATGAAGATGAGATAAGCAGGACTTCTACCATCGTAAGACTATTTGTTCCGACTTGAACACAAGCATCGTCCCAAGACTATCATTGCGGTATCGACTCCCTACCTCTCCAGATTAATCGAAAGGGATCGGCAGGTGGCTCCCCGGTTTGTCCAATGTCCATTAGGTGCGGCTTATCTTTTAGTTAGAATGTCACCGTCCGATTTGCTGAACGTACTGAATCAGTATATTCATGGAATCCCGATGATGTGGCAAGCATTCAGGTAGAAGGAAAGGATGGGGCTCCATGCCAGCATACAGATCCGATCTTATTCCAGGTTCTTCCTTGACTGAGGTGAAATTAGTTCTGTTATCACAAACCTGCGTGTAAAGCTGATCTCATGTTTGTCTTACAGGATAGTCGAGTCAACGACATGCTCAAGCGCTCAATACTTATCGCCTATTTGTCAGACTTCCAACTGCAGAGGAAAGCGCTATTCTTCATGGTTTCCGGGAACCCTCTCGTCAAAAATTGCAAGGCTGAGAGTGGATCGTGCAGAGAAACTTATCGCGATCGAAACAATGTGCAAAGAGATCTTCCTCATCGAAAAGTTAATAGCAGATCAAGAAAGGCAAGTCATCGTCTCTACCTCCATCGAAGCTCCAATCCGACGACTCCCATTCGCTCTAATTGCCAAAATCGTGTCCGTTTGATGATCCCCTTCCCGGATTCCCCCACGAACCTCTCTCACCCGCTCTGCCTCTGCCAGGTATTAAAGCTGGCCGTGCTCAGGGCGCCTTACACGCTCAGAGAGCCTACATCTTCTGACGGACTCTCGACGCTGGGGTGATTCCGTCGCCAACATCAAACCCGCATAGCTTTTCCGAGTTGCAAGACCTCTTCCTTGACTTCCTAAGCGCAAATGCATCTGCAGGTTCCAGCATTCTCTGTCGCGCCTAAGCTTCGCCAGTTTACCATCGACACAAGTGTTCACGGAGTTCATCAATATTCGTGTCTATCCCCAGGACGCGCCATCGCAAGCGTACACGTGATGAATGTGCCACCGTTGCCTGATATGGCAAACCAGCGCGCTTGCACTTGTTTGCAGGTTTGTGTAAGGAGGACCGTGGCCCGGTTGAAAAGCCACATAAATCAATGCACCTTCCTTCCTTCCTTACATACTCTCACAAACTCATCCCCAGCCTCCATTCTATCGACTTATCGTCAGCTCTTCATCTTGTTTGCTTGATTCGAGGTGAATTCAATTTTCAATTGGGTTACGTAGTCCGGAAGCTCGCTGACCCGTCTAAATCTTCTTATACACCTCGTAGCTGCCACTCCAATTATACTTCGCGACGAGAGGCGCAATGGCGTCGTTCCTCAACCCACAGCCAGTCGACTACGAGCATCTGGAGAGGCTAGTCCTAGGCTTCGACGAGTTCGATCAAGTTGAAAGATACAGAAATGCTTACCTTCACGCGCCGAGCCTCTATGAAGACGTCCAATCAACCCTTCAGAAACGGTCTGGGGGTCTAGTAGACATTTTTGAGCGGTGTCTCGAGGAGGATTGGTCTTGTATGTGGTGCGGGAGGAGGGGAGGACATCCAGAAATAGGGGACACTTGCGACCCCAGAGACCTCGAGGCGGATTTTGCGAGGAAGGTGGCAGGGTGGCTGGACGTGTAAGTGTGCCGAGCTCGACTCGCCATTCTTGGCTCATCATGGCTGTGATCACAGCCCGGTGGAGGAGGCTTCGTACATGCTTCGGACCGAGAGTGTGTGGTGGGGAGGAACCGCCGAACACACGGTGCAGGCCAAAGTTCCCGGCCCATCATACTCTTTTATACCACAATCCGGCCAGAAGCGACAGCGATATGAGGCCGATGGCACGGCGGGGCGGGCACCCAAGCGTCTGAGAGAGATTTCTTGCGACATAGAAGACGAGACCGGCATAATGCCAATAGCGTAGGTTACATTACCATTCGCTTTTTATAACGAAGCGAACTCACACCTCCCTAGGTCGTCGTCGAGGACACGCCAACCAGGATTGGCTAGGGCTAATACCTGCTCGAGGTTCCTGTCCACGCAAGTCAATTCTTTGCTCCGTTACTTCGTCTTCCTGAATCTCTCCTGCAGACCTTCTCCGTCCGTTCCCACCTCCACTCCCAGCCCTCAATTAACACCTCCATTCAGGCTTTCATTCGTTTGTCGCTGGAACGATGAAAACGAGCCGTGCGATTTCGTTATAACTGGGAACACGACAGCGGCGAAGTTTTTAGATCATCTTCGAACGAAGCACGGAGTTACACAGACTGGCACGAACAAAGTTGAGTGCAAGTGGAAGGGTTGCAAAGGCCGAAATGGAAGCAGGTTGTTCCAAGCCGAGAATATGTTCGATCATGTCTGGTCGGGGCAGCATATTCGGAGTATGAATTCGAGTGCTGTTATGAGCGACCCAGGGCTTGTACAGTCGAAGAGGGCGACGCAAGTGTTGCGCGCTCGGAGCTTTGGCGCGTAAAGGGGTCAGTCTTCGGGTTTACGACGTTAATCATGGTTGAGAACTTTGGATTGTAATTTATTGCAGTCCATATTTAGCTTGCCTACGCGCGTCTATAGTCTCGAATCCAGCCGTCTCGGTGAAGCAAACAAAAAAATTGCGCACCTGTAGGCTGGCTTCGAGTCTAGCGCGTCTATGTGTTTAGTTGAAGTCTGGTCAGATAATAAATTTACTTTATCTCTCTGTCGAAGAGAATTGCATTTCTGGCAAGGAAAGAGAAATTTCAGAGCAAGTCCAAAGCCTGCGGAGGTCAGAATCTCGCTCATAGGATTCCAATCACCCTTCTCTCCAACGGTGAATTATGTATTTGAATATACTCCGTAGGTGCCTACGCGGGATTGACATCTGGCATACCTTGGGCATTCGGGCGGATAACTGAAGCAAGTCCACAGCCCATTTGAGATCCTGCCGTTCACATTTGGCGGCGACGTATTGTTTAACCTCCCTTTTTATCTGTATAGAATTTAGCCGTTTCTCAAACTTGAAGCCACTTCTAAACGCTTAGCCCTTCTTTTAAACGCCTCTGACCCTCTCTCTTTCTACTTGTCGACAAAGCGGATGTGCATTAAAGTCTCATTGTCATATCGCTAACTTTCCACAAATACTTTGGGTTCGTACTCTAGTTGAACCAGGGGACGTGGGGCATCGCCTTCCTCCACTGCAACACATTAATAGAGGCTTTGTGCAAAGCCAGCTGGAGCCAGTGGTGGCTCAAATGCATTGCGCTGAGACCTTTAGCCAGCAGAACCTGAATATCAGACCGATGAATGCCATATATTAATATTACTTACATCTCTCTATAACCTCATATTTCCTCCAGAGCTCCATGCAATATCAGTCTGTGGGGGTGGTTGATCAATGGTTGATCATGGTTGATATTTTCTGCTGGCTCAGTTTCCATATATTATGAAGCGCCCTACTGGACAAAAATCACCTCCGATTTTTTTCTGAGCCTGGTTTATGAAGAAATCTTAAATAATCCTCAAGAATTCTTGAGATTCTTAAGTGATCCTTGAGATTTCTAGTGAAGCCTCGAGAATTCTTGATTACCCTCAAGAATTCTTCAAGAATCCTAAATAATCTTAAAGAAAATGCAAGAATCATAAAGATTCGTTAAGAACGTGTAATGACCTGAACAGAGGGGGGGACTTGGCCTCAGCATGCTCTTGTGCTGTGCCCCTACACATCATCTGGTTGTCCCCAATTTACAGGAACTGCCTTGGTCTTGACAAAGGAGAGACAAGAAGAAGTCATCCTGGCCAAGGCCCAGGAGACAGAGGATGAACAACAGAGCAGAGGGGTTGTCAAGGTTGAGATTCAAGCTGGGGAATCCAGTACACTACCTAGCTACTTATACTATTGAGAACAATGGAGAAGATCTAGGTTATGTAATGAATGCCAGCAGAACAATGACAGAGAACAATAAGGACAATAATGAATAGAACAATGAAGGGAAAGCCCATTGATGAACCAGAACAATGAACAATGGGACAATGGAACAATGGGTTCAGGAATGGGATGTGACAGAACGACCTGTTTCGTTTTCACGGGTCATTAGGAATACTCAAGAATCTTTAAGAATCTTGACTCCCAAAAAAGGCGGGCCACTTAAAAACTAAATTGGCATTCATTGAGAATCTCTAGGATTCCTTAGGAATCTTAAAGACAGTGCTGATTTTCTTGTCGAGTCACCTTACGTTGCATTTTAAACTTCCATGCTGATTCTCTGACTTTCCTGAATATTCTGTAAGAAACCTTCAGATGTCTCGAATGAAAAGGCACTGGCACGAATTCTAGGTCTATTGACAGAGCAAGTAAGGCTACATATATCTCGGCCTATATGGTACCCAACACGGAAGACAGACAAAGTACAGAATACGAAACAAAAGGCTACTGGGTAAGAGGAGATGGTTGCGAAGTGGCCAACAAGAATGGTGGTCCCATCTAAATGATACGTGAGGCACACTATGGTCTCATGCCGGTGTTCGAGACCACCCAACAAAAACAATGGGCTTCAATGTGGCTGCCTCCCGGCGCCAAACGAAAGGCGGCTGTCAGTGGAAAGTCGATGAGGCCTTTCAAGAAAGCAAAAATGATTGGTGAGGGTAATTGGACGAGTGATGCAGGTGACCAGACGGAGGAGATTATGCCCCAACCGCGATGCGAATGACCCCAAGGATGGCCAAACATGCAGGAGAGGATGGGAAACGGATGACTGAGACTACCGCCAGCACAAAAGTTCAAAACTATTGCAGAAGGAGCCACTGTCGCCCTCGATGCCCTAGGCCAACAGTCAGAATTAGCAGACGAAAGGAATTTGAACAACATACTCAAAAATGTTTGATCTGCGCAACGTCAGCAAAGGACATCCAGCGAATCCTCCTCTCCAGGATGCCTGGTCGGAAAGTGGGCTTGACCCTCCACATGCTATCGAAGGTGTGGATCCTGACCAGGTACGATCTGGGTGGCCTGGAATCGAAAACTCGCCCCATGTAGTGGGGGATCTTGCAGGTGTCCGACTTTCCTGGCACAGAGCTTCCAGACACTCCGATTAGGCACCACTGCTCAAAGAACACCAAAGAACCAAATCCTCTTACTGCGTACAAACGACAAAGACACAACGCATATTTTCGTCACCCAATTCCCGAATCGCCCTTCGAACCCCTACCACCTGCAACGCAGCGTATATCGCTTGCTTGGCCGTGTATGCATTCCATTGCTGCCCCTTCATGTCCTTGATTTTTGTGTAGCAGCAGGCATACAGGGGGCCCGACATAGGAATGGAATTCGGCCGAGTTGGAATGCCCCTCATCTTAGTGTAAGAGCGGGGGAACGATGCGGAAATGGACTTGTGGCCAGCTTGACGGGTATTGCGAGCCATACTTGCCACTGTGAACCTGCTGTTGTGAACCTGAAAGATACAGAAGGAGGCAATTAAGGTTCACCTTGAAGAAGGCAAAACCCTGTTGTCCAAATGAAGCTAAACGAAGCTTAATCTCTCTGTATGTATAATCTCCACGAAACATGTTTGTCCTGAGTTCCAGACAGTCATCGACAATGTGCGTACTCCCTGTACCTTCCGCTAGTAGTGCGCCACCAACTGCTATCCCTTGTTGCTCATCTGCCCAGCCCTCTGCTATCACCCAACCACATATTGCGTCACACTCGTGCCCCATCAACATTAAACAGTTATGAAACAAGTCGACAAGGTGCCCCCACTATCCCCAACCCGATCCTCCACCACATCTGCCGGCGTTGCCATTACATCTCTCCCCCTTTTCCCTCACCGCACAATGAACCCATGTCCCACCCGCCCCGTCCACGCGCAGCAATCACGACTCTCGCTGGCGAGGCACCATCCCTGTCACCTGTCAGCCCACTACCTCCCCCACTTCCAACCATCTGCAATTTGGAATCACGGCCGTGATCACGCTGGCCAGTGAGAGCCAACTTACACACTCTCTGATCAGACCTCTATCCGAATTGTGAAGACACTCCCCCTGGCCAGCAGAATCCCGCATCTGATACAGCCATCACCACGCTTCAGTGCACAAGTACCTTCATTTATTGATCTCATCTCATGTACAAAGAGACGATCAGAATCAATTTAATGTACACCTCTTATTCTGTAAATCTATCCACTATCAGTTCTCGAGTCACTGTAGGGACACTGAAAACGCACCAGGTAGTCCACACACCTAGTTAACCCTCTTCCGTTTCTTTGCATTCTCACTGGCGAACTTCTGGTCGTGGATAACCATTGAATGTGTCAAACCAGCCCGGTATTTCCACCTGTGCTCATTCCATGCGTCCCTTTAGATACAGCCCGTCCATGCCCGTTGTGCCGGCCGCTTGAAAATTTGGTATCCCTGTCCAGCATCAAATTTGAGAGTTGTTGTATCAGCAGACGCTGCACCTTTGATTCTCCCAGGTATCTCCTTGCGCTTGAAGAGAAAATGCCGCTGATAATCTGCCAGGAGGAAACCATCTTCGGGTAGTCCTGTGGGCAACGTGTTTTTGTTATACATGCCATGCGCTTTGGGGTCCACTAGCAGGGCGTTATTCATTTGAAGACCTAAGGAATGTGTCATGCAGTGGCGAGAACTGTAAATCCCGCGCTCAGTTGCCTTCTCTTGGTAGTTCACGATACCTCTTGCTTGAAATGCCAAGTACATTGCCAGAAAATCCACTTCCTTGTTTTTGTCAACATAGGTAACCTCCCAACTGGCTCTTACCCGTCACAAAACATCCATCGCAAGCCCTCGGGAAAACCGCATATGGTTACACTCATCGAGACCGATGTCGTTCATGTCATATTGTTCCAACCTGTAGTGTGCTGATATGGACACTGGCTCACCCTCTTTCTGATTTGGCACTTTGTACATCTGCTGATCGAGCACATTCCCCATGATGTTCAAGTTGCACAATGTCAAGAGTTCTACCAGCCCATCCTCTGTTTTGGAATCAGGGACATGACTGGACCTGAAAGCTTCATCCACAGTCAGCATCTCTTCGAACCCGTAGCTGACAGACTTACATCCATTACCATTCACAATGCATAGGTGACAGGCCTGTATCATGCGCCGAAGCAACATCCGTGACTCACTTCAACCCTCCTCACTGATACGGGTGCCACATACAAAGGCATGTACCAATCCTGTGAACATCTCTTGTAGGGTGGTCGCCGAATAGAAATAACCACCATGGCAAATGCTATGGGACGTCGTAATTACTGTATGAGGAATGTTCGGTTGCAGAAATCTAGTCACCCAATGGCGGTCAGCAACTGTCAACACACAAAAGCACGCCCTACATTTGTGAATTTGGTGTGAGAAAGATCGACTCTGCCTCCCAGATAGTGTCATTGGCCTTATCAGCTCGAAACTCCTCCTGGAGGTACGTGTCAATGTTATTGTTAACCCCCAGCAACCCTAACATCCACCATGCTGACCCGCACAGG